AACCCTAACCCTAACCCTAACCCTAACCCTAACCCTAACCCTAACCCTAACCCTAAGATTTGTAGTCTTGACTTTGACGCGCAATATTCCCAGGTAATTCCAATGAGCTACAACGCGTCCCAGAAAATTTGTAGTGCACGTCTTTAGCAATACAAAGATAATTCTGAGCGCGAGTCTCCACCGCCACTCTATCTCGCTTGTTCGCCATAAAACCCTAACTGTTGCTGGACGGCGCAGCCAGCGTGCCAAATGCTCCTCCTTGACCGCATCTTCCATCTCTGACGTGATGTAAGCGCAACTGAGCATCTCTGCAGTTGACTCTGCAGCTTGCCGAGACTTGCAGAAAACCATCACCGCACCGCTTGGGTGGGACAGAAGGAGATCTTGCAAGGCGGTGTGCACCTGGGCCTGTCAGCCAGGTTGTGGATGTTGCTCAGAAGAACGCGCAGGTGGCTACCCTGAACGACAAGACGGCTAAACTCAACGCGCGTTACATCCCCTCTGCCTTGAGTCAGGGCACCCAGCTGGGTAACGCGGACTCGCACGGCGGCAGCACGTCGTCGTTCGAGACCAACGACAAGGTGATTGGCGGAAACGGCATCACTTCTATCCTCGGCGGCGCCCAGTTCAGCAACGGCGATGCTACCGGCGGCGACATCAGCCAGCTCCTCCATCTTTAAACAAACCACACACTCTCTTGGTCCTGTTCGATTAGCTTTATATCTTGTTGTTATTGTTCCTCTCTCTCTCACAGCCTGAAAAAAGACATGCGATCTTTTGTCTTAGGAAAGCTCGAGCGTACCTACGCTCGCAATGCGATAGGCAAGATAATGGCTGGATTCTTGGCAAGATTGGTGATACTAGACGTTGGCCCTGACGGAAATGTGAACTCGCGGAATTCAGTCAACCTTCGACGACCTCATTGCTGTTTCCTCTGGGACGGCCTCCGCACTCGCCTCCTTCGGGGCGGAATCCGATTCCTGTTGCTGCACAAAAGTTGCTGTGCGTCCACGCTGCTTGGTGGAATCAAGGATCCAAGCTCCGGGCTCGACCACAGTTGGGAAACCCTTCCACCGTCTTGCTCCAGCAAAATCCTGAGTCTCGCTCGTACCGTGCTGGTACCAAGCGGCATTGGGTCCATCCAGCGCGCCAAATTCTTGCCACAACCACGACGCTGCCCCCAACGCCGCAGCGATGCCCAACAAGGCCGTCGAGTTGACATGTTGCTGCTCTGCCAATGGCAACAGCAACACCACAATCGCTGCTACAAACCTCGGCGCAATCCTGATTGGTTTCGAGAAGAACAGCTCGCCGGGTGCATCGTGTTCCTTTTCCATCATGACGAGCAACGCTGTTGAGACCATTCCTATGGCGTAGGTGGCGGAAAAGATCCAGCGGATGCCCTGAGCCACCTCGTTCTCCTTGACCAACTCGGCCGTAGCATCGCCGCACAAGGTGATGGCGGATACGAGAGGAAGATGCAACGCAAAGTACGGTATCGCATGGCGCATATCGCGTCGAATTGGATGCGTGATTGATCTGCTTCCGGCTCCACAGCAGTAGATGCCGTGGAGCACAAAAGCGATGATGACGGTGAGAATGATCCTTGCAACACCCGAATGCATCCCATGACCTGCAGGTTGACCCGAGATGACGCTGTACAGAAACTCGCCATGAACCAGAGTGACAAAATCGGTAAAACGATCAATCTCATGTTCGATGGCCACTGCCGAAGAGTAGCGCAGCTTGGCCAACCTTTTGAAGAGAGGACTGTAGAAAAACATCCACGAAGAATACTCGAGCATCAATGCCACCACCACCATCGCGATGCACGCCTCGACGGAAACAAAGATGCTCCCGATCCAAATACCGAGCACCACCAACCAGACAAATGCCTGCGACCGGATCTGGATGCGATACTGGCAAATATAGAAGCTGTAGAAGGTCAGGATACCAAACACGAGTCCTCCTGCCAACAGGTACGAACCAACGGCAGTAGCCCGAGCGCCTGATTCGTGCATGCTTTTTTCGGCTGCAGGCGCATTGTTTCCGTACACCACCAAACAAGCCATCACCGCGAGCACCAACACTCGCTGCGGCAGGTCGTCGACAAAAAACGCATTGAACACTTCGCGCATGTAGTTCCAAATCATCCAGGCAGCGGTATACGTCAGGATATACCGCACAACGGCATCGCCGTTGTGCTCGTGGATCGCCTCCTCGGCCAACGTGGCAATGAGACCGACAAACACCAGATCAAAAAACAGCTCCAATCGGTGAGAGGACCGTTCTTCCTCCGATCGGACGAGGATGTTGCCGCGAAAGTACTGGAGTGCGCGTGGTCGACGGAAAAGGTATCGTCGTTGCTCGTGCAGGGCTCGATTTCGTGCATCTTGTCGCTCCATGGATCGCCATTTGCGTGCCTTTGCATCGAGGCCTTGCTTTGTCGGCGACGAAGAGACACCGGACAACGTAGAAGCAGCAAGGCTGAGGCTGTCTGCGCCGGCTAGAGCGCTGGCGGCATCGTTGGTCTCGGGTGAACGGTTGTTGTCGTTGTTGTTGTCACCGGCAGAGTCGTCGTCCGAATCGTCGGGCAAGAACCCGGAAGCAACCACATGGCCGTATTTGAGATGGTGGGGTAGATGTGCATGAGGCGTCGTCAGCGACGAATCTGCCGAAGCGACGGATCCACGATGTTCGTTTGGCGTCATCATGGCGCGACCGTATCAAGGGGAAAGTCGGGTGCCCGAGATGGCCGTCCGGAAGGAAGCGGGGTTTACCCACCTGATGTCCGCTGTCCCGTACCATACCAAATCACCATTCCGGGGCCTAATTGGTGGCTTTGAAACCAGGCCTAATCGAAGCTAGCCGAGGTGATTAGCCTTTTTCCTTGACCTGGCGCGTTTCAAACTGCGGCCCTGGGAAGCTGTGTGCGGAACCCATCCCGCGGCGTGGTGGTGTCTGGTCCGGGCACCATCCCAAGGCTTAACATCGGAAAGGCTCAAACGCCCGGTTCCCAAGCTAGCCGATTGTCTTTGCTCGCATACAATGCTTGCCTCGTGGACAGGACACTGCTGGACAGCCTGTCGATGCCGTTCAGGAACAACAGCGACAGCGACCTTGTCTCGAACCGTGGCTTCTGTGATGAGATCCTCGACAAGGCATTCATCCCCTAGGGTTCGTCGAGTACTCTATAAGACCGTCCAGAACCGAGCCGTCAAAGTATCTGTTGCGCTTAGCCGTTTCGATTTCCTTGCGCGTTCCATTCCCACTGTCTATTCCGAGATTTTTTTTGACGTTGTGGTACCAAGTCTCTGGGACGGAGCCTTGATTTATGGGGGCCCCGTCACCGGGGTCTCGGAACTGCGTCTTGCTTCCGCGTATTCCTGTACGCGTAGCCCGACAGTAGACAATCTAGGTGACCTTCGGTCGAGAAGTTCAAAGTGTGGAGCGTCGCCAATACGCTTCCGACAGGGCGAGCTTTGTCCACTAGGAGCAGACCACGATATAGCGCTGTGCATGCGCACGCGACAGCGGTTCATCGGGTTCTCGGGATCGTGGCTCGGAAACACCGCGGACGCTCGGGACCAACATGCGCCCAGTCGTATATTTTATCCCGCGCGGAGATCGCCGTTCAAACAATCTTATCGCTCTTATCAATCTCGAATCTCGAATCCTCGGAGGCAGCCGAATACTTTTGGTATTTTCGACGGCTTTGTCCCGTCATGCGGAACTTTGGTCGTCACCTGGATCTTATCGTGTCGTCGTAACAGAGACCAAAGGAGGTATCCCGTTCCCGCGAGATTGCCCTCAGCGCAACATGTCCAACGTTCGAACGTATTGTATATAGTGGCAAAACTTCGTGAATCGCATTGATCCACCACTCGTCCCGCTATCGACACCTGCATTCTCTCTCCTTTTACCAAATGTCCGAGCCGCCTTCAACAGACTCCGTCATCACGGTGCATCCTTTGCCTGTCCCAACTGGTTCAAGGGTGGATTTCGGTGCCCAATTGTGCAATGCAGACCTCGAAAACATTTCTGCCGCAGACTTTGACGTCATCTGCAATGCGCTCTACACGCATCAGCTCATTGTATTCAAGGATCAAGCGAGTCTGTCTCCAAAGGCGCAATACCATCTGACACGGCTCTTCGATCCCGAGTCGGACGTTTATGGACATGGCAAAGCCGTTGGTGCCAAGAGCGTGCTTCATCCCGACCTCAAGACCATACCGCATCAGCCCCAAGTACAGGTGATCGGTAACGGCCACGTAGCCAGCTTCGAAGGACTTGAAAACATACAGCTCAAGCACCCACATCACCGGAGCTTCCATCGCGATCCAGTTCCCGAGAGAGAAGACCGCACTGCGACCAGGTTCTATCGATGGCATATCGATGCTGCGCTCTACGGTCTCGATCCTCCCAAAGTGACCAGCTTGCTTGCCGTCAGGGTGCCCAAGACCGAGAATCAACTCCTCTGCTACGACGATGGCAGCGGAGACGTGCTCTCGGTGCCCCGAGGCTCCACGGTCTTCGCAAGTTCGTATAAGATGTACGACCTGCTGAGCGAAGAAGACAAGAAATTTGTGCGTGGGACGAAAGTGTCATATGCGCCGCATCCCTATACGTGGATGGCCAATGCCAAATCGCGCCCTGACGGGCTCGGCATGGTCAGCGAAGGACTAGAACTGGAACGTTCCAGCCTTCCAGAGATCGATGACAGCATGATCAAGATCTATCCCATGTGCTGGAAGAATCCGAAGACCGGCAAATTGGCGCTGCAGGTGCACCCCTCTGCCGTGCAGGAACTTCATCTTGAGGACGGTAGCGTGATCGACGACCTTGAAAAGGTGCGCGAGATCGTTCATAGGCTGCAAAGGCCAGGAATTGCACCTGATCTCGTGTATGCTGTGGACTGGGACGAGGGCGATCTGGCGCTCTTCAACAATCACGGAGTATTGCACTCTGTCACTGGATCCTTCCTGCCAGAAGAGGTTCGAATCTTCCGACAGTGCAATCTCGCCGCCAGCGAACCTCCTCTCGAGCCGTGATGGCACTGCTCTATCTCTGACTCTGTGTTTGGTGCTCGGTGCTCTGACGCTCTTTACGACCCCACCATGTTCAATATTCACATCGTCGATCGCCTGTATGCCACCACGGGAGCTGTTCGGTGTGGTGTGCAAGCCATTAGGGGAGCATCACGGCTAGCGAGTGCGTTGCTAACCGGAAGGACGCTTGGTTTGGGCGATCTCGCTGGCTGTCTCCGAGTCAGTAAGCAAATACGAAGGAAAGGACAAGATTTGATATTGTCAAGGGTTTATTTCGATTCCGTTTTCGCGTGCAGCCATCACAAATTCATTTTGCCACTTGCTTACGTTCTCGAGATGCTATTGCTACAACTGTGTGTCCTGTCTGTCACCACGGCCACCAGTGGCAGCAGTCAGGAGTCAAAAGCGCGGGCCCACGGACTCATACGAACAGCTTCCCCACCACAGATAACAGGGTCGGAGGGTGGGCTAGGTTGAGTCGACAAGCGAAAGAACCGGGGCCACCCACCTGAGGGTTGCACTTCGCCGAGCGCAAAAGCAAGGATGAAGAAAAGGTCTCCGCAACAGCCAGTGAGGCGCAGCACGAGGATTCTTCAACGGACCTCACCGTACTTCTCCTCTAAGGATGTCGAGCCTGAAGGGTCGACATCCCACGCTCGCCCTATCAAAATCGCCACAGGCTCAGACGAAGCACACCTAGAACGTAGCGCCGCAAGGAAGGGGCGTGGTTCCAGATCGAAGCGTCGGACAGGCTGCAAGATCGAGCAGGCGAACGATCCACCACTCCTTCCTGAAGTAGAACGAGTGCACGGGCTGGCTAGACAGGCCAATTTCTATGGCTTGATCCAGGAGATTGTGACGCCGAACGTGTTCCGGCTGCTTGTGGCAACATGCCTTCTCAATCAGACCAAAGGAAGGGCGGCGATGCCCGTGTTCTGGGAGTTGCTCAAACGATGGCCCGACGAGCACAGTCTGGCGAGAGCCAACATTGTCGAGCTGACCGACTTGCTCCAACCCATCGGACTCCACAACATTCGTGCAAGACGACTGGTCAGCATGGCTCAGACCATGGTCGAGATCCCCTACAACGAGAGCAATCTGTTCAAAAGTCGAGACAGGACGGCACCGGATTCACCGATCGGTATCTATCCCGGAGTAGGACGTTACGCAATCGACAGCTGGAGGATCTTTGTGGCGGGCGGGGGCGCTAGCGTCGGATTGCGAGGTGCGAAACCGGTAAGTCCGTTCGACACTGTGTCAGTGGAAGCTGAAGCTTCCGGAACGCAGCTCGCCCCTGCTCTGCCATCGATGTCACGAAATGTAGAGGCCATGGAGGCCGAATGGAAGACGGTCATGCCGCTCGACAAGGAGCTTCGAGCATACCTCGTTTGGCGGTGGGCCAAGGAAGGAAAGGTGTGGGATCCTGTGCGCGGCGTCGCGTCAACATCAAGAGGCTCACATTGAGTCCGCCGCCACCGTGTACATTACTAGTGTCTTGCGACGATTGAGTGCATCCGCCTATCGGTACACGCGTGTGGGCGTCTTCGAATCGCACACCCCACCAAAGCGAAGATGACCGGGAAGAAGAAGGATCGAGTTGGCGATGCTCTCAGACAGCTTGGAGAGAGTCCATTCCGGTTCCGCGGCTCGATTTGGTGAATTCAAGGTGGTCCGTGTGCATTCATTGTTTCTTCGGAGCTGGCCAAGAATGCGTCAGGAGGCAAGTGTGCATAAATTCCGACTGAAATTCGCCGGTTGACGCACGTCACGCCTTTCTCGTGCAACTGCGGCCCGAACGGACTGTTGCTGTGCACGTTGCTGACGGCGAAAAAGACGGAAGAGGGTGGCAGCGAGTGTTGGTCTCGGTATTCGACTAGACTAGCCTTGATTCACCTGTCCCTCAGACCACGACGAACGACTGCAAGAATCCCACATCCCCGACGTCTGATCCCAACCCCGCTAGACATACTGCTACAGCACATCAACATCGGTCTCGATCACTATGGCTCCGCAATCTCGCATTTACTTGACGCGACACTCGCAGGCAGAGCATGTAAGTGACGAGTGGTCGAGATCTTGACTATATACAAGTGGCTGATCTGCTGACCACTGCCTCCCGGCAACCTTGGTTCGCTGCCACATTTGGCTTTGCAGAACGTCGCCGACGACTATTCAATCCCGGATGCGCCGCTGACGCCACTCGGCAAGCAGCAGTCTGCCCGATTGCCCTCGCTCACCCATGACTTGCAGTCGCGCGCAGAGGTCATCCTCTCGTCCGCACTGAAACGTACGCTGCAGAGCACCAAGATCGGCTACGCTCCAGCCATCGAGAGATTGGGCGGCTTGAGCAAGGTCGTGCTGCTGCCTCAGCTCCAGGAGTGCAACGACTTTCCCTGCGACACTGGCTCGGCGAAAGAGGTAATCGAACGCGACCCTGAGCTGCAAGGCTTTGACTTTTCGCCGCTTACGCCCGATTGGACCAGCAAGCAGGGCTTCTATGCTGCTGACGAGGCTTCGCTCAATAAGCGTGCCCAGTGGGTGCGACAATACCTTCGTAGCCGACCCGAGCTAGATATCGTCGTCATGGCCCACGGAGACATCCTTCGCAGGATCACTGGTCAAGCTTACGTACGTGTCATGACATGACAGATGTTTGCCATCCGTTGTCCAGCTAGATCGACGAACAGAAGTGCTGATTGACCGATTCTTGTTTTCGCCCATGCTCTGACCCTTCATCACTCACGAACAGCCCTGGAAGAACGCCGAAGTACGACTTTTCCAGTTTGACCCGGCATCGGTCGACACCGAAGCTTGCCCACTGGTGCACGTCCAGGACATCGCAACCGGCGGTGCAGCAGTCGAACCCACTTCTGGTGACATTGCAGCCGAAAAGGGCGTTTTCGCCCCTGGTGCCGGCCCGAATGCAAACTCTGCTCTGTGAGCATCCCCTCCCCTCTTCCGTTTCCCTGTTGCCGCCTTTTCTACCGCCAAGGTCATGCCTTGAAGTGCGTTTCGGTGGCGCAATGCCCCGTATCCCAACGCTGTTCCCCATATAGATGCTCACGGAGCCATGCTCCGGCGTCCCATGAGCAAATGCCATGCCAAGATTTCACTCTGCTACCAGTGCGAGCCTACGTCGTCCTCATCGTCCGTTCATTGAGGTGTGTTCGGCTCTGACTGTATACTGACGACGGAAAGGCCTCCCACTTCCCTTTACTCATTTCGTCGATCCGCGTGACGACTTCATGCTATCGACTGCCACACATGACCGCGCAGCCCCGCCATCCCCATCTCCAATTCAGGCTCGCTTCAGAATTGGGCAGCATCGGCGGCACCGACGACGTCAGCTGCGAACCCCTCCAAAGACGCCGACCTGAAAAGGATAGAGGATCGCGTTCGCCACCGTCAATCGATGCTCATGGAGCAGACAAACGAACTGCAGGAGCTGGAGAAGCGTCTGCAAGCCGCAGAGGCCCGCAAGAAGGAGCTCGAGTCGCGCGGCGGCTTTGTTTAGCAGCCCGCTTTCCACCATCCCCCTCGGTCTACGCATCCGAAGTCCATGCACAGCATCATCTCGTTGTCCCTTGACTCTTGACTGCAAGACATCGTCAAAGACAAAGCCTGTGGTTTCGTTGTGCGAGCGAGCTTGGGTTGCGTGCGGCAAGACTTCGGGAGTCGGAGGCCCACACTGCGCTGTCGAAGTATTTTTTTGAGCTCTTCGAGGCGTCGTGTGGAGCAATTTTCAAGGAGCAAGGAGGACCCTGAGTCGCAAAGTGTACAAGTGGTTCCGTGACAAGGCAACACCATCAACTTGCCTCCCTTCAACGATCGCCTCTCATCGACATATGCCTTCGGAAGATCGTTGTGGCAGAGCCGCAAAGAGCACCCAATCAACTCACTTGCCAACTCAGATAGCTTGATCCGAAGTTGGCACAAGAAGACATGTTACAAGTTTGAACAAGCACCCCGAGCATTGCCACTTGAAGCCGCAAGAGCGCGAGCAACTCTATGAGCTGGCTCAACTCTTTCGACCCAGCAGCACCACGAAGCTCGTCAAGCTCCAGTGCCAATCGGTCTCCGCACTATGTGGGATCAGGCTCAGCCGAGAATCTGTCGCGGAGCTCACAAGCGGCCACAACATCAAATTCGGCGGCTGGACCTTCAGCTTTGCGGTCGCACAACGCAGCGCCTTCGCCAGTACACCGTATGCCTTCCCAGACAGGGCGGACCACTCGTCTCTTCAACAACAACTCTTCGACAAGATCTGGCACCGCATCGTTTCAAGCTCGTCCGCCTCGCCCACCGCACCGCAGCAAAGCTGCCCCGCCGTCAGCAGCTTTGCGGTCAGAAGATGCACAACCCAACGAAAACGAGATTCGCACGAAGCCTTGGGAGATTGCAGGGCCTCCAACCATAGGTAAAGCAAGATCGAGTCAGTCTATGAGACTTCCTAGACCGCCAAGTCAAGCTGCGTCGTTGCAACCGCCAAGAGCGGCTTCACGACGTTGGCCGCCTTCGGAGCTACCTACCAATCGCCCTCTACCAGTACGGCCGACCCCGGCCAGCCTCAATGGTCAAACGCCACCACGTACTGAGAGTAAATCGCACGTCCAGGCTGTGATTGACGGTCTTAGGCATCGAACCTCGCATGCAAGTCCGTTATCGCATTCGAGGTCGATCCTACAATCACCGTCAGACTCAGCGGCCGCATCGCAGTCACAAGCTCAGACACCAGCACAACCGAAAACAAACCTCGCGCCAAGACCTCAGCAGCCGAAGACTCAAGAGCCTAAAATGCTTTCTGTAACGAAGAAACGAAAGCTAGAAGGGAACGCGAAACTGGAGAAGAAGCGGCAGAAGGAGCAGCGAAAGCAACTCGAGCAGCGTCAGAAGAGCGAAGCAGCGAGCCAAGGCGGAAGCAGGCATGAAAATGCCAATGATCAGCCACCGACGAAAAGAGTGAAGAGAGAAGAGACCGGAAAGCCCAAGTCAACGGATGCGCACGTTCAGCAAAACACTCGCCCGACCAATGCAGAGATCATCGCATCCCACCTTCAAGCCGCGCGGCCGAACAGCTCCAATGGCGTGCCCCAATCATCAGAAGGTGTTCGCACCCCTTCTCCGCCGCCTAGCCATGCACGACAACAGCAAACTATGCATGGCAATACGCAACCAAATCGAAAGGCGCAGGATCTTGCTTCGGGTGCAAACATACCCAGCCTGGCCCAGCTGCACAGCATTCTGTCCATGGTCAATAAATCGCCTGAGGCACTGGAACAGTCCAATCCACGCCTTCTGTACGAAAGCTCTTCGCTTGCAGCTCAACAAGCCGAAGAAGCTCGACAGGCCGAAGAGCTCGCCCAGTATTTGGATCAATTGACAGAAGACGAGTCGTCAGTGCCTGTCAAAGCAGATCCCGTCGCCTATCAAGCTGCCTCGGAGCGAGCGTCGGATACTTTGGCTGAACTGATCAGCCGGTGTGAGCCTGCTGCCACTTTGGGTGGACCGTTCAAGGAGAGCGCAACCGTAGAGAGCAGCGACGACGAGGACGATCTACCTTTGGCGCAGCGAAAAGAAGCCGCGCCTTGCACAGATACCCTTTCCCATCTTGCTAGCGGATCAAAGCACTTAGACAGCGACGATTCGGACCCAGACGAAGATATTCCATTGCGGGACCTTTTGCGGCAACGCTCCTCCGAAGCACTTTCTTCGGCCTCTGGCTCAAACGAGGCAGGGTCAAAGTGGTCTGCACCATTCTCACATAAGGTTGCGAGAATTTTCCATGGAGCTCGAGGTCTGTCGATGAAGTTCTTCGTGCCAGTGGCCAGCTCTGCTCAGGAAGGGGAAGATCGGGCGCGTGCCCGCAGCAGAGCCGCAGCATTTGATGCAGCTATTGGCGTCAGTGAACAGGGACGGATCGTGACGTTCTCCGAGCAGCCAATCAATCGGTCCCCGGGAAGCGAAGCCGATCTGCCGAGCCATATGATGCGCTTCCAAGCGCAGGATCTGGTGAAGAAGGCCAAGGCAGAAAGCTCCAGCCTGCCCATCGACAGGGTCGAAGACGTTTCGCGCCTCACGTCAAAAGTATGCGGCATCGCTTCCTCGACCGACAAGCCGCTTGGGTTGGGTAATCACGACGGCTATCCGTGTCAGGTGAGTCTCGTCACCGTCGACGATGCGGCGCGGACTCATCGTATGTATCATCTCGACGAGCGACCGCACGCGTGGGGTGTGGCGAGCATCTCTCACTTTCCTCGCACCGATCCGAAAGACGCCTCGTCCATCGACTTTGCGACGGGCGGCATCGACGGAATCGTCAACCACTGGCATTGGCAGTCGCGCTCGACGAAAGCAGAGACGTTCCGGCTGCACACATTGCACGATTCGAAACCGATCGTTGCGCTCCAACACCTGTCATCGCGATCCAACATTCTTGCCTCGGCCGCCATCGGTACCGTGATTGGATACGACCTAGCGGCGCTCACGCTGGGATTCTCGTGGAACACGAGCGATCACATTGTTCATCTGGAATGCACGCCTGATCCTCGTCTCATGCTCGGTGTGTTGGCACGACGCGATTACGACCAATTCCGCATGTTCGACATCACGGGACGCAACGGCCCAACCTCGCGTCCAGTGATATCTTTCGGATGGCTCAATGATTCTCAAGGGACGCTGCCGCTAGGGAGGGGGAGCTTCCATCCGACCAGAAGGGCCATCTTTGCGCATGGTGGAGAGGACGGTCGTGTGAGGGTGTGGGACATCAGGAATGCGCGGGACCCCTTGATCGATGAGAGGTTGGCGGATGGTCCCATCGTCGAGACTGTGTGGGCTGGCAGTGGAAAGCAAGGAGGCGAGGAGGACGCGGATAGGCTGTACATAGCTACGCCGAAGGGCGTCGGCAGTGTGTCGATCTTTGCTCTTTGAACGTCTCGCCTGTTCCCACCAACGTTCGTGTTTGTGTTCACCTCTTTTCAGACGCACGGAGTGGTCTTTGGCAAATGCTGTGGCTGCAATCAACCGTCCGAAACGGATCCGCTTCCATTGAATCGCTCGGGAAATGTGTGATTGAGGTGATGATTACGAAAATTGCGTGCCAAAGCCTTTGATCTAATGGTGCTGTGCTTCGAGAGCAGCCTTCTTCTCGGCTTCGGAAAACATGGGAGGTGGAAGGTTGCGCTCCCATTTGGTACCATCTTCGAACATAGCAGCTGCAGTAAGATGAAAGCGAGGTAGAAGATTAAAAAGAACGTTGCGTCAGTGTCAGGAGCATGGTGATGCTGGCAGCTGCAATGAACTGCAAAGCGCGACAGCTGGACACGCGGCATCGAATGGGTTGGCTTGGGGATCATGGTTGCAAGGCTCCACATGCTTGAGCTTCGTGCAACGAAAACACCGGTGCCTTGTGTTGCAAACAGTGAGCAGACAGCAGTTGTGTTGCTGTAGCCTTTCCACTGATGATTCTTCGGGTGCCATGATGCCCAGGCTGGGTCGTTCTGCTGGTAGTGATGCGGAAACTTACGTCGGTGTGGATCGGGATGCTGAACTCGCTTCAATTCCTTCTCGGCCTTTTCGAACAGAGTAGCCAGCTCCCTTGGGTTGCGGATGTTGCGGTTACGTTCAAAGGCGACACGAATCTCGATAGCACGGTCTCTCCATACATCCCTACGGATGCACCAGTCGAGCGAGTTCTTGAGGTAGCGTCGGTAGAGCGACTTGACGTACGACTTGTGTGCCTGCGAGAAAGCGGATGCGGTGGCAGCTTTGGAGCTGGATGCGCCTGCGTTGCGCAGCAGCGGTGTGACGAACATGATGGTGAGTGTGTGTGAAGAGAGAAAGCGTTGGAAGCGGCGATGAAGATGGAGATGAGTGCAGAAGATGAATTGGAAACGCCGATGTCGACGAGGTGCGCATCGCAACTCGCCAAATCTTTGGGCGCTTCTCACCCGCACGACCCGCCAAATTCGAGATTGTTCACAGATCGTCATCACGTGAATCGCATCGCTGATTTTCACAGTTGACCATTTTCCCGATCAGATTTCACACATCTGACTGCAGTCGAGAAGCAATTCGATTTCTGAAGCACAACCCGCAACGGCGACTAGCGGTGCAGGGCCCACACAGTGTCCGCAGGTCATCAAGAAGATTCTACGCTGTCGAGTACTTGCCGTGGCTTCGGTGCTCATTCTCCAACAATATCGGCACCAGGAAGCATGGTTCGGATGGTGATGCTGAGCCGGATCGATCGCCTCAGCACTTCAGTCCTTTGGGGGTCTTCAGCTGTGCGTACGACGTCGTACCCGCGAGCAGTGATACCATGTTCCCAGCCGTAGCGAGCCTCACCAGACAGTACCAGAACCGAACCTGAAGGCAGGAAGAGATGCTGGGAAGGGTGTAACTTGTGGGAAAAGTCCATGACGGTGCCAGTCCCGTGGGGACCGAAGGAGCACAGCAGAATGCCGTCGGCAAATCGATTGACCAGATCAACGTGCGAGGCGAGGCCCTCTGCGCCATTGTAGAGGTTGAGGATGAGCTGGCGCGAGCGCACTTGGTCGTCAGGAAAAAGCATCTCCTTGACACGTCGGGGAAGGTCTTCTTCGGGCTGTAGCTCGAGGACAGTCCGAAGCTTCAAGATGAGTTCGACAGCCCAAGCTGGCAGTCCTGCGCAGTCGCCAGGCGCTTCCTCCGGAGACGACGGGTCACCAATCCGTCGTGGCGCGCGAATCGCAGAAGGCGAGGACGCGAGCGATCGTGCAAAGAGCATGGCCTGATTCCGCGGAGACCTGCGATACGCCTTCTCCTGCCCTGCCTCGTTGGCCTCCTCGCTCTTGACATTGTCATCGAGATGAAAATAGCCGCAGGCTGACACCTGTTGCAGGACCCAGTCGTGGAGCTCGCGAGCCAGCAAGTCGGAAAACATATACATTCCGGGTATGTCGACCACTGACCGCGATGCTACGGGAATCTCGTCAAATGGCGGTTGCCCAGCACGAACATCGCTAACGAGCTCGTCGTGGCTGGCATCGGAGCCGAACAGAGAGTCGACGTCGACGTCGGCATCGGAATCGTCACCGACGACCATCACCGTGGCAGCTTGGGAAGCGCAGGTACTCGAGTATCACTTCGCATGAGGTTCGAAACGCGGCAGAAGGCGTTCATCTACGATCGTTTTGCGCTCATGGTGATGGCGCTCAGGGAAAGATGGCATCCGTGCGAGGCTGGGGCTCAGAAAGCACGGCGTCTTGCGTATTTGATTGTTTTACTTTTTATTTCGTTGCGATTTCAACATGGCATGGCGGAATCAAGCAGCTGCAGGCGTGAACTGGCTAGAGACAGCGCGTCAGCTGCTGTTGCTTGTGGCCCATCTGCACGTCATGCAGAGACCAAGACTTTCTGAAAATTTTAGCCTTGTTTTAGAGCTCTGTTCCGGATACCCAGCCGCTCAAGTGCGAGAACGAGTGTAGGGAGAGAAAAAAGTTGTCTGCTGGGTGCGAAGTTCGTTGATTGGAGGTACACAACTGCAACGTCAAACCCACCGTCGGACTCAACTTCCTTTCTCGTCCACCACACCAACTCGAACGATCTTGCCTTCGCGAACGCATCGCCACCAACGCCACCGTCATGTCTCACGAGCAACTCCCGGACGACCACTTCCGCCCCACGTACGAGGATATCCATGTCCAGATCGGCGAGTCGGCGCGCAGGATCAAGACCGAGTTCGACCCTGATCTCATGGTCGCCATCGGCGGTGGTGGATTCTACCCTGCTCGTGTATTGCGAACGTTCCTCAAGAAGCCTTCTGCGCTCGACCCTAGCAAGCTGCGCAACATCCCTATCCAGGCCATCGGCTTGAGCTTGTACGAGGAGGTTTCAGGCACCGCGGAAGGACAGATTGGCAACGAGGTGGTCCGCACACAATGGCTTGATGCCAAGACCGTCAGCGGCCACAAGGGTCCCGGAAAGATCGAAGAGGGCAAGGATGCCGGCGGTTTGCTTGGCAAGAACGTGCTCATCGTCGACGAGGTGGACGACTCGAGGACCACGCTGCAGTATGCCTACTCGGAACTTCTCAAGGATGTCAAGAACGCCATTGCCAACCTCTCTCCGGAGGAACGTTCCAACCTTGCGCCCACCCGTTTCGCCATCTTTGTCGTGCACAACAAGGAAAAGGCTGGAGGTAAGCGTGGTCACCTGCCCATCCTTCCCAAAGACCTCTCCAAGGGCGAGGACAAGATCGTCGATGGCCTCAGCGAAGGCGTACGATACTATTCGACGCAGGACATTGGAGACGTATGGATCTGCTACCCATGGGAGGAGGAGGACATCCTCGAGCACAACCGCTTGGCAGCTCTGGCCAAGAAGCTCGGCGTGAACCAGCCCAATTAGACGTGCAGCCTGGTATGCCGTCACGTGTATATCATCCAGACTTGTTATGGAATCATTGTAACATCTTCTCTTCTCAAGGAAGTATCTGCGACGTCGTCTTGTGTAGTCGCAGAAGCAGCATCTGCAGGCCGCTCCTCTCAAATCAGCGGTTGATGAAATGCAGAGACGAGACGGGCGATGAATTGACCACGCATCTGCCCCCGAAAAAGGAGATGGATTCGCTGCTGGCGACATGAATAACACGGTCGAGCGAGACAAAGTACTGGCGACGCTTCTCGCGTCCGTGCTGGGGTATCAATGAGGGAAGTGTGGGCGTTGCGATCACGTTGTCCGAACGGCAGTTGGCGTGCCTATCGCTTTGCGCCCATCCTTGAGCAAGGTTCGGCATTCGGCTGCGATCTCGCGGACTCCAGCTACGCCGGCGTCCGTCCAGGCCGCCAGTACAGGTTCCATCGTGCCCCACAAGTGCTCTGCTTGCGCCAGTCCTGCCCTTTTTGCCTCTGGTTCGTCACGCGGTGCTCCTTCTGCCGCATCGTGACGGCATTCGATCAAATCCGAGAGGGTCGTAGGAAGCGTGACTATGGGCTCGAGATCGTGTAGAGGGTCGACGCTGTCCGCTTTTGACAGCTCGGCAGCTGGTGAATGCTCCGTGGCAGGGCGTCGCAGTACTTCAAGGTTCGAAGCTAGTGTCGACATGGTCTCGAATGATGCCTTGAGCGAGTCGAGCGACGGATCGAGAGACTCTGACTTGACCTTCATGTTGCGAATGGTGTCGCTTGCTGCTACGAGTTCATGATGATGGTTGTAGACCAGGCTTTGGCGCTCTCCATCTAGCTCGCGGATCTGGACAATGAGCTCGGACTCCTTGCCGAGCAGCACACTCAGGCTGCTGGAGCGTAGTAGCGATTGTATGTCGATTTTTGCCTCTGTCGGAGCAGCCGGGGACTCGGGTGTCTGGGTCGCATCCGAAGAGAGACCATAGTAGTCGCGCAAGAGGTTGGCGGCCCGTCTTTTGTCCTGCTTAGGCCGTGACGTCGGGGTCGAGGGCATAGAGGATGGGCTTGCGGATGCCATCTTTTCTTAGCAAGCTATATTATGGGTACGCCCGTGACTGAGAAGTGGTGAAGGTCGAAGGGAGAGGCAGAGGGAAGGACGTCGAGTGTTTGGACCCTGCGACAAGGTCCGAGCGGTGCCAAGGCCAGTCTCTCGAATAATGAACTCTGTTAGCATCTCTCTGTCTCGGGCCAATAAATTCATTTTAAACGCTGCAGGTCCTCGCTCGTCATGATAGATACAGTGTCTGGGGCAGATGAGCCCGTCGCTTCTTCCGATTTCTGGCGCTGTCCGTGTCGTCTGAGCCTGCGTCGGCATCACTCGACGGTTGCGAGTCGTTGCCAAAGCGAAGTGGAGTGCCAAGCAATCCGTATCGCCTCCCGCTCGTATCATCAACCTCATCTGACCCGCTGGTGCATTCTCTGTGCCTCTCGGAGCGACTTTGACGCCAATCATACCCTAAGCTCGTTCTGCACAAACCACTGCATCCTTTAACGCATCTGCCTAAGCAGATTGGACGAAACCAAGACAGTTGCCAAACGCTGGACTGTATTGGCGGTCCTAGGAGCCTCTATCGACCATGGTTCGCACTCCATCCATCTCGATCTCGTCGAGCGAGAAAGACAGAGACAAGGCCAATCAAACGCTCTCGTCGGCGTTCGCATCCATGATCGCGGTGGGCGCCCCGCACCAGACTCCTCGTTCTGCAAATGACCACCTGAAAATCGACGATGGCAGCTCGATCGATTCGCGTCAAAGCCGATCCGCCGCCTCTTCTGTCTCATCATCGAGACAAGAGGACGAGCGTTCGAAGCGCAAATCCAACCGTCTGAGCGCGTTTGGGAGGTCCGGGCGCAGCTTGTCGCCTTTCCGATTCGGATCCAAGAAGCGCTCGTCCTCAGCAAATCGCCTCAAGATCAATGGCGAGGACGACACTGGATCCGAGGCCGGCAGTAGAAGCGAACGTGACAAGGATAGCGACACCGAGTCCGTCATGAGCTCTGCCTCCGGTATCACTCCACGCAATAGTGCCTTCTTCAGTCCTGACGACGAGGACGATCTCGACGCCTCGATACCTCACTCTCATCGACGCCGCCATCCTGCCTCGCAAAACGAGCACGACACGCATCTACCAAAATCGGGCTCATCCGCGAGCATTGCATCGTCTACACAGCTTCACGATGATCATCATGGAGCCGAGGCCGACGTTGAGTCGGATGACGGCTCGGATGTATCCGACGACGACATCAAGCACCTCTCCACCAGCGAGGCCGACCAGGATGACGACGATGAGGAAGACGTCGATGACATTGATCCGGTACTGCTCGACAACACCATCTACAATGCAGAATGTCTCACCTCTCATGAGCACTGGAACGCTCCCAAGTCCGAAGACGGCCCTCCCCACTTCGAGACCTACGAAGACGAAGACCTCGAAAGGGATGACGAACACCTCACCGCACCCAATGTCGTCCTCAGCGAAGACCAGGTGTCCACCTTTGTCCAGCGCCGCGGCTCCAAGATGCTTTCGCTCGACCTTTCAAGACCACGCTTCGAGCGTAACCGCTGTACCATCACCATCAACCACGGCGACGCCGATGCTGCTGCCAAAACCAGCAAACGACCAAAGCGTTACGTTGTGGCCAGTGATGGTTCCGAGGAATCTTCGTATGCGGTAGAGTGGACCATAGGCACCGTTTTGAGGGACGGCGACGAAATGCTCGTGGTCTCGGTGATGGAAACCGATACAAAGCTCGACGCTCTCGATCCCAAGCACGAGGAAGTCTCGGCCAGGATGGAACACCAGCGCATCCGCCAAGCCATGGCATCGGTGCTTGCCAAGCAGGCCACCCACTTGCTCGAGCGTACCAGGCTCGAAGTCAAGATCTCCTGTCAAGCCATCCATGCCAAGAACGCACGCCACATGCTGCTCGATCTCATCGACTTTTACGAACCGACCATGGTCGTCGTAGGTTCGCGAGGGTTGGGTTCGCTCAAAGGCATCTTGCTCGGCTCGACCTCGCACTACCTCGTGCAAAAGTCATCCGCCCCCGTCATGGTGGCGCGCAAGCGACTCAAGCTGCCAGCTCTGCCACGGGGCAAGGGAGACGTGGTCGAATCTGTCCGCGCCCGACACATGCGCCTTGACCAGGCCTCGATCGAAAAGGTCTCAAACGCAGGCGAGGATGCTCCTTCCGAATCGAACATTGCCGATGACAAAGCTGACAATGGCGACGATAGCACGCCGGACAACGAGGCTGAAGCCGATCCAAGTGCGGATCAACCATCGACGGATACGCCAGCAGCTGCTATCGTTGCGGCGGTGAAGGCATCCGAACCGTCCACGCCGCCTCGTACCACGCGAGCCGAGGATACGAGCCACCCGAGTCCTAAATCGCCGTCCAGCAGCGATGGCAGTCCCAAGCTGCAGCGCAGAGGATCCAAAGCTGGTCCGACCGTCATCCCGCATACGTCGCTCGAACGCGAGGCCGAGACGCGCATCCAGATCCAGCAACGCAAGGAGGAAGCCGCCAAGTTGCACGAAGCCGACAAGAAGAGGCATGGGTTTGCCCACCATTCAGATCACCTCAAGACGTCCAAGTCAAGGCAAAGCGACTCCGACAACGATCCTGCCGACGCCGAGATCAAGCCGAAATCGCAGACAGGAGTAGCTGCGGATGAGACGTGAGCTCTTCTTCTAGCGAAATATTCAATCACTTCAGCCTAAGTCAGCTTCGGATCCCTTCCGTGTCGTCACACCGTTCAGCGATGGTGTGAACACAGCAAGAATGGATGAAATGGGACGTGCAGAGCGAAGGAGGTATCTTACATGGTGGAACACAGCTACAGCGGATGAGGATCGATCTGGGCGTAAGAGAGTCGGCCTTTGACTTCTTACAAGTAGGCAACGGGGCTTCGGGACAAGGAAAAGCGGCTGTTGGGTCGTCAAATGCTCTGCTTCGTGCTGCGCAGACTCTGCGTGGCCGCCCTGAGACTGGTCAACATGAACCCGACGTACTCATCGACGCCAAGAGCTTCCAAGTTGACGTAAGCGACCTCTTTGAACTGCTGCACAGTCGGACCCGCTTCATCGGAGAAGCGCTTGCCCGCCTTGTTGAGCCCCTCTGAGGTGGTTTTGGCCGCGTCAATGGCCTGCAGGCGGAATTGTGCGAGGGCCGGGGCGACGACTTTCTCGCGATACTCGACCGTGTGTTGTGCAGCCTCGGTTGCTTGCTGGTATATCGAGGCAAACGCCGGGCGAAGCTGTTGCTCGCTGTACTGCGATGTCATGCGGGCTGTTCGCTTTGCCGCCTTATGCAGCTCCTCGGAAGTCGACTTTGCCGCATCAGCGGCCTGACGACGGAATTGTGCCAACGCGGGTAGAATGACCTTTTCGCGGTACTTTGCGGAGCGCTGCGCAGATTTGGCTGCGTGCCCGCGCACAAAGGCGAAAGCGGGACGAACTTGGTCTTGGTTGTAGTGCGAGGTAACCTCGGCAGTTCGCTGGGCTGCAATGAGCGCATGTTGGCGCAAACAGGCATAGGTTGGCAGCACTTGATCCCGATGATACTGCTGAACGAGTCGCGCCGCCTCGAAAATTTGGTCCTTGGCTGCTGAGATGGCAGGTCGCAGGGAACGCTCGTACACATCGTCGAGCCGTGCCAGCCAAAAGGCCCACGTCGTGGTGGTGGCGTTGTCGAGGTAGGAGGAACGCGGCAGCGATGGGAAGACAGGCGAGTCAGGGTGCAGATTGAAAGCCAGTTGACCCGCAAATCCGGCGTACCGCTTTGCTCTGGCATTCTTGCTGCCAAGGTTCGAGGACTTGACTGGATCGCGGACTTTGCTCGAGTGGGACCAAGACGGGGTAAAAACGGTGAGGCCCTTGGTTGCAGGATCGGCCTTCTGGACCGCACAACCAGGAATGGCGTAGGCGCGAGCTTGTTTGGTCGTCTTGTTGGTGGCAAGGCTGGAAGCAGATGGGCTGGACGTTACGCCCAGAGAGGATGCGGGTCGGGTCGCTAGGACGGCGGCGTTGGTGAGCGGGTGCTGCGAAGGTGTAGCGAACTTTGCGATTGATTCGTACTGTGCGATGTGGGCTCGGGGCGAGAGACCAAGAAGGGAGCTCGACTTGAAGCCGAGAAGCATGGCTGCGACCAAAGCCACCAGCCAAACAGCCTTGGGTGCCACAGCTGCGGCTCTGCGATGCGGCTGCGAGGGGCCGGCCTGCTTGTGCTCAGATTCACGCAAGAACTCCATCTTTTCGATGATGCCAAGGTCGACGATGGATGCGGCAGCGGAGTGCATAGGCTGTGTCGATGCCTGTGCCTTGTTTTCGTGGCTCGGTTGCAGCGATTCGGTCTGTTGGTTGTGCTCAGACGGCGCCAAGAGGGTGTACAGCGAGCTGGACTCGAGGCTGAGCTGTTCGTCTTGAAAGACCGAAGCAGGATCGGGGAAATGAAAGTGAGAAGCGTCCATCTGCGGACTCGGTGGAGTGGTTTCGACGTCGGAAGCCATGCTGGCAGCGTCCGAGCCGATGGACGACGAAGCCAGGAAGCGTACGTCGTCGTTGTCGACGTCGACCAGCTCGAAATCAGACAGGCCGTCTGTCTCGGCGAGGGAAAGAGTGTCGAACGACTCGCTGTCGTTGCTGGACGACATTTCGATGGTAGCGACGCTGGTTAGATGCGTCAGAGAAAGATGACCGGCAAGGAGTCGTGAAGACGGCTGTGTTACTACGATGAGCTCGCTATCTGTGAGAACAGATCAGGAGCGGAAGTGAAGCAAAGGATGTGAGGTGTGAGGTGTGAGCTTTCTTGGACCCTGAAATCGCTCCGTATCTTTCCTACTCTTTGGCTTAGTGCGCGCGCGGAAGCACAAAAAAAGTGAAATGCATGCGCAGCAGCGTTCTGTGCCGCTTCTACCAGAGCCCATCTAGGCACAATTCCAGTGTCCCTGGCCCATGCGCGTGACCAGCACCCCTGCTGCCCAAGTTCGTGACCGCGGAGGAACCCTGCATAATGCGGCAGACGCGCCCCTTTCAACAGGCTCTCAAAATTTTCTCTGACTTTGTTACATTGTTCCACTTGACACTGGATTTTATTCGGGCTCGACAAGCATTTCTCGGAAGATGGAACAAAGAGAAGGTCCTCTCCCAGCTGTCGTTGAACAATGCTGAATCTATTGGTATCCATTCCTGACCCAGACTGACCCTTCTAGCTTTGCAACATCGGTATCAACCAGCTGTCACCATCACCGACAGAGGAGGGAGTCATAACGACCGTGTTTGACCTGCGCCAAGCTCCGGACAGAACTCACAGTCAAGTGCCAACTGCACGGCACGGATCAGGGTCGCACCGTCACGTCAAGATCGCACCTACCACAAGTCAACGCAGCTCACGCCACAATAGTTCGGACATCTGCAATGACCTCACAAGAGCATCCGCTCGTCAAGCACTAAGGACGTATCACCTCAGCCGACTGATCCGCAGGTTCGTCCAATCTCTCGGCTCCCCTCGCTCCTCACCATGTCAGACGCGCGTGACAGTAACCTGAACGCCTTTGTCGTTCAGTGTATCGTCAACTGGGATCTCGACGGCGCATCTCAACTGTAAGTTATACCTCAACAACGCACCCGGCATCTCAAGGGACCGCCTCTTGCCGAACTTGGCACAAACTCCAGCTAACAACGACGTACGCTCGCGCTGCCAACATTGTCGCTCCCTGTCTATTCCTCCGCTTTCGTAGCAAAACCTCCCTGAAACGAGCCATCGCAGACGCAGGCGGCGATCCAGACACGTCTCACCTCTCCGAGCTCTTGACTGCCGCGCTGCGTTTTTACTGCTTGTCATCTCGCACCGTCGAAGACTTTGCCTCGAAGCTCTTTGATCAACCCAACGATGACCACTACGACGAACAAGCTCGGACGCTCCTTGCCGACTATCTTCTCGATTCAATCTGGAGCATCGACCTCGAGTTGGAATCGCGCAACGATCTCGTCTCCTCGCAATCGCAGGATCTCCAAGCCTCTTCCATCGGTCTTGAACCGGATCACCAAATAACGGCGATAGCGGCCCGTCAGCGACTGGGCACTTTCGTGAATTATCTCGTCTCCGCGTCCATAGTCAACCAGGATGAAGTAGCCGCAAGGCTCGAACAGGGCCTTCTGGCACTCATCGGTCTCATCCCGAATGAAGCTTACTTCAACAAGCGTTCCGTCCAGATCCGCACCGCTCGTCTCTTCAAACAGCAGAAATTCAACCTCTTACGCGAAGAGAACGAGGGATACACCGCGCTCGTCACCGAGATCGTCACCAACCTCGGTCCTGCCATAGCTCCGGCACGATGCCGTCAGCAAGGAGGCCTTGGCTCAATAGACTCGCCCACCATCTTCTGTGGTGACTCCGTCACTGTCGTCGAACAAGAATCACCCAATGCACGAAATCGTCGTGCCGCGCGTGTCATGAACAACATTCAGGCGCTCATTGGCTATTTTGATCTCGACGCCAACCGCGTCCTTGATGTGATTCTCGACTTGTTCGCCGCCGAGGTCATGCGTCACTACCCCTTCTTCCTCGCGCTGCTTGCAGAGTCTCCCTGGGCAAATGCTGCCTCACCATCATCAATACCATCATCTACGTCAGATGATGGTCCCGAGAACATCTTTGGTGGTGTCGACTTGAAGCTCTCATCCGACTCTGGCGACCGGATCTGCGCCCAGCTTCTCGGCTTCAAATTTGCTCATTACTGCCATCCCGACACCAAGGAAATCACGCCGGATGAGATATACTTCCTTGCGGCTCTCCTCATCAAATACGGCATCGTGCGCTTAGCCGACCTCTATCCGCATCTCTCGCCCAACGAGCAAGAGATGAACAAACTTCACGCTAAACATCGTCAGGCCATGGCTGCCAAAGTGTCGAGCGCGCGAGCCAATGCACTCTCCATGGCCGCCCCTCTCACCGACGACGCTGACCCATCCAACACGCGCAAAGACTCCGCCAAAGCCGCCGCAGAGGCTGCTCCCAAGGAGCCACCATACCAGATCGTCGGTTTGCTTCGAGCATTCCTTGCCCTCGGCGATCTGCGACATGCCTTGTTCATCCTCACGCGCTATCCCTGGCTTTGCTCCGCTTTCGACGAGATTGCCGACCCTTTTATCCGTTTGCTCAACGTCATCGTCCAGCCCGCTTACGACGAGATCTCCTACTCGCGTATGAATCCACTGCTGGCGAGCGCAACAGTCGCTACGCCGAGGCCGCGTTGGGATACCAAGCAACAACAAGCCGTCCTCCCTATCGTGAAGAGCCTCATCTTGACACGCAAGGTGCCGGAGCCTGTCCCGTCCCTCAATTGCCAGCAGGTCTTCTTCTATCCTCACTGGGCCAACGCCCTCCCCAGCTGCCGCAGTCTCGACGACGTTGTGCGCGTTTTCTTGCCACTTCTCAAGGTTCTCGGCGTTTCCCTGTGGAGAGACGCCGCGCTGCTGCAAAAGGCCTGCCGTCTCACGAAAGTCGGTTTCCGGTTGGCAAACGCCGCAGCCACAGCCAATGCTTCAGCGGCTGATGACGACTTCGATGACTTTGACGAGCCGAGACAAAATGATGAGAGTCAAGTCTGGTACGATGTTCTGCGTTACCACCTTTTGCCCGCACTTTCACTTTCGCCTTCCAACTCGGGCATTGTCGATGAAATATGGATGTTGGTTCGAATCCTGCCGTATCAGAAGCGCTTTTCGCTCTACGGTCAATGGAAAAATGATCTCTATCAGCTGCCGGAGCTGCGTGCGGCCCAGGCATCAACCGAGAAGGAAGCAAAAGGCATCCTCAAACGCATCAGCAAGGACAACATCAAGCAGTCCGGCCGCAACCTCGCCAAGGCTTCGCATTCCAATCCCACCGTCTTTTTCACGGTCGCACTCAATCAGGTGCAAGCCTACGACAATCTCATCCAACCTCTGGTCGAATCGGCGAAATACCTCTCGCAGTTCGAGTACGACATCTTTTCCTTCAATCTGGTCGATGCTCTTAGCAATCCGGAGAAGGAGCGCACCAAGCAGGACGGCACCAACATCAGCTTGTGGCTCAAGAGTCTCGCCGCTTTTTGCGGCACACTCTTCCGCCGCTACGCCATGATGGACTGCACCCCTGTCCTCCAGTATCTCGTCAACCAGCTGAAGGCCAACAATTCCAAGGATCTGGTCATCATGTCGGAGCTCATCACGAAGATGTCCGGAATCGAACCATTGGCCAACCTTGCCGATGCACAGATTGCTGCTCTTACGGGCGGGCGCCACTTGCATATGGAAGCCATGATGGCCGCTAACGCGCTCACCGGCAGCAAGGAGCGTTTGGCTTACCGACGTTCGGGACAGCGCCTTCTGAGTGCGCTGGTCGAGAGCAAACTTTCCGTGCCTCTGCTCATCTTGGTGGCTCAGCAGCGCCAAGCCTGCATTCACCTCGTTCCGGAGAGCGAAGCCCACCTCAAGTACCTTGGTAATCTGTACGACTCGTGTCAAGAAGTGCTGCTGCAGTACGTCGAATTCCTGTTCAACCACCTCGAGACGGCCGATTACGCCTCGCTCGTTCCATCGCTGCAGCAACTCTGTGTTCGCTTCGGCATCGAGCCCGCCATGGCCTTCTACATTGCGCGACCCAAGCTTGTCCACAGCATGAAGCAGGTCGAAGCAGCAGAAGCGGCTGAAAGGTTGCGCGCCGAGCTCACGGCCAGCCGAGCAAAGGCCAAGGCAGCCGAAGACGACAAGGCTGCATCTGACGAAGCCCGGCAAGGCGCGCCGAAAGGCATGGAAGGATCCGCTGTGGCGACAGATGCAAAGAAGGACAGCGATGTCGAGATGGAAGATGCAGAGACGTCCAAGACTGAAGCGCAAGAATCGGCGATCAGCGACGTCAGCGACAAGAATGCAGGTGCCCCTGCGACAAATGGGGCGACGACGGGGGAACAACGCAAGACTCTGTCACCAACGCCAGACCCGTGGCACAGAGGCTTGCTGGGTGCCATTGCAGCTGCAAAAGACATGCTACCGACACCAGCGCACTCCAGCCTTGGTGTACACTTCTACGTCTCCTTCTGGCAGCTCAGTCTGGCCGACATCAACGTTCCGATCGAGCGGTACCAACAAGAAGTTAAACGACTCAATGCTCTGATCCGCGAGACAAATGCCGAGGAGCAGCGAAAGCGCCTTCAAGACACGATCAGCCAGCTCAACGCCGAAATGAAGGACCAGATGAAGTCGCACGAAGTCACGCGCAAGCGACTGATGGCGGAAAAAGATCACTGGTTTGGGGACGGCGCCGATCGAGGTGCCATCGTGTCTCACCTGATCCAGTACTGCCTTTTCCCGCGTGCGCTGCTATCTCCGACCGATGCGATCCTCGCTGGCAAATTCATCCGCACTGCCCACAACCTCGGAACTCGCAACTTTTCGAGCCTCACCGCATACGACAAGATCTTTGTGGATCACATTGCCGCCGTCATCTTCTCTTGCACTGAGAACGAGGCGCGCAACTACTCGAGATTCCTCTACACCGTCCTCTCCGACATAAGTCCTTGGCATCGCCAAGCCGAGACATATGCCAAAGAGGCAATTGGCCAGAAGCTGCCTGGCTTCCAAATGCGATGGCAGGATCGTCATGGCGGTGAGGACATCCCACCAGCCGACCTCCTCTCCTGGGAGCAGTTCCGCAGCATCTTTTGCAAGTGGCAGGACTGCCTCCAACGTGCCTTCGCGAGCTGTCTCTCATCCAGGGAGTACATGCGCATCCGGAACGCCATCATCGTAATGACGAGGATCTCTCCCTTCTATCCCCTGATCGAGGTGCACGGCGTGGAGATCAGCGCTCTGGTTGGGACGCTGGCGGCAAACGAACAGCGTGGGGACCTCAAGATCCTCGCACAGGGTCTTCTGGCCACTCTCAAGGCGCGCAAGAAGTCCTGGATACCTCTACATCAGGCTCGCACCGTGCCACAGCCACCTAAAAGTACAGATGCCAAAGCTCCTGCTCAGTCGGAGAAAGCAACGGAAGCAGCAACTCCTTCCCCTACCTCCCGCGCAAGCTCTCAAAAGCCCACGGAGAAGAGCAAGGCAGAGGCGCCTTCGGACGGGAAGGAGTCAGGGTCAGCACAAGCAAAATCGTCGACACAGCCAAAGAAGCAAGCTGCCCCTCAAACGAACGGGCCGAACGCCGTCAAAGCATCCGAGAAAGCCGTCACTACTTTGCCTGCAGGAACACGGGTTTCAGCAGCATCGACAGTAGCAAGCGGTCGAGGAGTAACTGCGACCAAAGTTCCACCCAGCGCAAACCTCCCCACTCGCCCGGCCCTTGCAACGCAAAAGTCGGCACCGACGGAGCCCAGAGATCGTCGTTCCGCCGCTCCGAGTAGCTCGACCTCGAGCCAGCCGCGGCGCGGCGAGGAAAGGACCGGCGTTAAGGCGGACGACGCTTCCGGACGTGCTGGTGCCGGTGGGCGTGCCCAGGCCGCGCCCCCTTCTGGTCCTCGCGGTGACCTTCCGCGCGACAGCGGCCTCCCATCCCGCCCTGGTCGCGAGCCTGCGCCAGCCAACGATCGCAAGTCCGCCAGCAACGGAGGAGCTGACCGACGTGCGCCGGCTCAGATATCTCGTGACTCTGTCGAGAAGCCATCTGATCGCACGGCAGGTACGATGACCCCACCTGCCGGGCCAGCCAGCAATTCGAGCGCACAAGCTGCCCGTTCGCGTGCTGATCGTGAACGTGGCGAACGCTCGTCGTCAACGACCGTGGCTGCCAACGGCAAGGACAAGGATGCACGAGAGCGTGATCGTGACCGCGATCGTGATCGGAACGATCGTCAAAGTGACCGCGACAAGGCCCGTCTCACGGAACGCGAACGCGAACGGGAGCGTGAAAAGGATCGGGACCGACGCGATAGAGATCGCTCCGTCAGAGATCGCGACCGCGAACGGGAGCGAGATCGCGATCGAGAGAAGGATAAGGAGCGAGACCGCGAGCGAGAGCGAGAGAAGGAGCTCAGAGATCGAGATCGAGCAAGAGAACGTGACCGCGGAAGCAACAATCGGGATCGAGACCGCGACCGTGAAGAACGAAAGCGCGGAGGCGGCAGCGCTCAAGCAAGTCGCAACGGCACGCCCGTCCGCGAAGTTGCCGAAGGCGCGCGCGGAAGTGGGTCCACCACGCCGATCGCTCCACGCCGCGATCGAGAGCAGGCCCAGCAGCAACAGCAGCGCGACCGTGAGTCTGTCGCAGCCACACCGACCTCGATCCGCTCTACACCGGGTGTCGGTGGTGGTGGTGGCGACGAGATCAACATCCGCGGGGGCGCCGAACAGCAGCGGAAGCGCACCCTGGTCGATCGTCTTGGAGGTTCCTCTTCCGCTGCCTCGTCAGGAGATGCATCACCGGTCGGTCGAACAGCGGCAGACTCAGATGCGGCCGCTTTGTGGGAAAGTGCCGACTCTTCGAAGCGCATCAAGATCGACCGCAACCAGAAGTACGCTGCCGCAGGTCCGCCGGTGCCATCGTCAATTCCTGAGGGTCCGCGGTCGGACAAAAGACATCAATCGTCCTCTCGCAATTCCTTCGGCGGTGGCGGACGTCGAGATGGCGGTCGAGACCAACGACGAGATCGGTCGGCACGCAGGGCCGGAAACGCGTGACACTCGTTACCTTTTTGCCCAAGACATTTGGTGTCAAAACTTCGGATCCACACTCGCGTTCAACTCAGCACTCATCCTAACATCCGCACAGACCAAAGCAAAACAAAGAAGCACTTTAACAGTATGTCCGAGCTGTGGCATGGCATCGACATTTGAATCTGATCATGCTAGCTCACAAAAGACCGTGGTTGGTGAGCGCGACCCTGTAGGTCTGTGTTTGAGTCTGCTCGACGGCAAGGTCGCGTTTGAGTCGCTTGTTCTCGACCATGAGCTGATGCTGATCTGCTTTGGTGCGCTTGAGTTCCTGTCGAAGAAAAGCCAGCTCGTCGTTCTCGGGCGTCTGCGTATGGTCGTAGAGCATGTCCAGCTCCTCGTTGAAGGCTTTGTGAATCTCGGTGTTTTCGAGCCGCCCGTCTGCCTCGAGCGTCGTCAGGAGCTCGCATTTGCGTTTTAGAGCAGAAACCTGGATCTCGAGCTTCTCTTTCTCTTTGTTCAACGCAGCCTCCGCGTCGCTGTGTGCCTGCACGGGATCCGCAGCGTTAGCGGCAGCAGCGGACGCAGAGGCAAGCGCGGCGCTAGCATTATTGAGATCGTGCACGATGCGGTTATGCATACGGATCGAAGAGATCCATTTCGAGTCGACGTCGGAAAAGAGAAAGTTGAGCTTCTTGATGCGCGAGTGGATGTGATCGACCTCAGCAGTCATGGACGCGGTGGCGTTGAAATCAAGTTCTTTGAGCACTGTCGAATCATCGGCGCGTCGCTTGCGTGGCGTGCGAGTTTCGGCTTCGATCGCAGCCATGCTGCTCTGCAGGATCTCGACATCGCACCTTAGCAGATTCATCTCCTCTTTGACGAGGCGCAGTCCGTGCTCCATGGCTTCGTTTCTGCGCCGCGCTTCTTGCGACTTTGAGGCGGTTGAGGATGTGCGAGCCGGCGTGACCGGTGCTTTCGCAGGCGAAAGCGCAGAGGAGTTGTCCTTCTTGCCGCTCTCGCCATGCCCGCGCTCGGTTGACGTCTCGCTCTCTGAAAGGGACGGTCGCTCTCTCTGCATTTCCGTCGACAGTTTAGCCAATGGAGTTGAACGCGGCAGCGTCGCCCCATGGCGAGGAACGCCGACTTCGTCATCACGACCCAGAGACGGCCGTTTGGTGAGGGAGCGCTCTCTGCCTGGTTCGGCGATGTCAGCATCGCTAGACGACAGCGGCCTCTTGGTTCCCGAGACGCGCCTCCTGGCCACTCGAGGCAGGCTGTCGTCGCTCTTGTCCGCAGCCTCTGCACCATAGGCGCTCATGCTGGATGCAGGTCTTGTCCTGACAGGCGTGGCCACACTGTCGTCCTCTGCGTGAACGTAATCAAGAGCAGCTGTTGGCGCTGGTTTGCGACGAATGTTGAGTGGGGTGGTTGGGCCGTTGGTGAGTAAAGACTGTGATTCCAGCTCTTTGGTTGCAGAGGGTGGCGCAGGACTGGGACTAGTCGGCTTTCTGGGACCCGTCGGTCTCCGACCTGCGGAGCTCGGTGTCCGAGAGAGCTCGACTGAGTCGGCTCTCTGGCGTTGCTGATACGGCGCCTGAGATTTTATGGGAGACCAGCTTGCCGCGGTCGGCGCAGCGCTTTCCGTCCTAGCTCGAACATGGCCGCCCACGCCTCGTCCTCCAACAAGGGTTCCAGTTCTGGTTTTGAGCGGCGAAGCCGAAGACGAAGCACCCGCGGATGTCGACAACAACGAGATTGGATCGGGCGTGGCAGCACGCGCCCTACGCAGAAGGCGATCCTCATCCTCGTCAGCACTGTCCACGCCGCAGCGGCTGGCTGCGCTAGAGGGTGGGCCTACCGAGGAAGATCGGCGTCTGCCGAAGCGTCTGAAAGAGCCTGGCGAGTTGGTGGTGCCGCCACGCGAGAGCGCATCGAATGCTGCGCTGCGACTGCTTATGCTGGTTCCTGCGGTTGACATGGTAGTTCCGCGGCTGTTGATGGAAGCTGCGTTGCTGCTCATAGTACTTTTGGATGCATTGCTGTTGCTGCGACGTGTAGGGGATCCAAAAACGTCGATACTGGAGATGCCGGCACTTGAGATGCTCGATGCGGCGCCGCTGACGCCGAAGAGCAGAGAGCGACCGAAGTTCTCGAGACCGGCGGCTGCCTTTGCTCGCTGACGGAAACCGGATCCCGAAGGAGTGCCAGGCTGACTGAGTGCATGGGTGCGGACGCCACTGCCGAAGCGCTTGTCGACTTCGTCAGACAGCTGTGCGATGTGGTCTCCGAGATCTGCCGAAGATAAAGTGTGCGCCTCGCCGCGCACTTCGTCTCCATCTTGTGCCCCTTTGGTGCGGACTTGTGCCACGAACTCCTCCTCCATCTCGTCGATGTGACTCACGTCGAGGATAGCGTGTGGATGCGTCGGTTCCGAGCTGCCGAGACTTGTGCGTGAGTCGATGCCGCGGTCATCCACGGACATTGCTAGGGCGGATTGATGTAGCTGATGCTTATAGCTGTGCTTGGTATGCAGGTGAAAGTAGACGAGCTTGCGCGCATCCTGTAGCATGGATCTCGACCCGATACCTCCAAGAATTGCGTCGCTGGAGTCGAGCCGTTGACGAGAGGCGGGTACGACGATGCATCTTGTGTCACAGCCGGCCTGGCCAGCTTTGTAGAGCGCCTTTGCTTTCCAAAGGCTCTCGAGGAAGCGCATCTTTTCCAGCTTGGCGGAAACGTCTGCATCGAGTGATGACGAGCCATGCTGGCTGCGTGATGCGTATGTGGATGGGGCGGAAGCCGAAGTGTCTACGGCCACATACTGGCGCAGAGGTCGATTCGTCCATTTGTCCCCCGTAACATGGCTGGGTTGACGAAGCATGGTGAGCTGTAAGTCCGCGCCTCCGAGATCCTGAGCGTCAACATCCATGAGGCCGATGGTGCCTCGGAAGGCGAGGTCAGCGCGTTTGCCTGGAGCAAGCAGAGATCCGCTGGAGCTCTTTTCAGAAACGATTTTCATCTGTGAAGTGAGTCGTCCAATGTCGTCGAGGCCGACCAGCCTGCGACCGCTTGTGGAAGCATGAGCGCGTTTTGCAACGACAATACGGTCATCGAAGAGGAAGAGTGTACATGGGATGGGCTTGAGACCGGAAAAGGAAGCAGCGATGCCGGAGGAAGCAGCCGAGGCGTCGAGGGGAAAGTCGTCTACGTCGATGCAATCGATGAATCTGCGATGTGCGCTGATGAGCTCGGCTGGGAAAGCGTCGACGTTGCGGCTGAAGCTCCACAAGATGGCGGCTCTACGTGTCTTTTCGTCGGCTTCGCAGCTGGCGATGCGACTGACGAGTGAAATGGCTTGCTCGAGTCGGCTGCGCAGAGGGTCGCGAGGCTCGACATGCTTTAGGATAGCATCGATGAGGAGCTTGTAGCGTGGAATGCGCTGGATGGGTTCCATGAGGAGATCTCGGAGACCAGTGTTGCCGATGTCGGTGACCGAGTAGCGGGTTCGGTCGGTAAAGTCACAAAAGGCACGGTGCTTCGCCAAGGTGCGTTCGATGTGCTTGGCCTTTTCGAAGTTGGCAAAGTATTCTGTGTAGCACGAAAAGCAAGACATGTGGTTGTAGAGGGCGTCACCAAGCCCTGCGCGGAGAGAGTCGTGACCTTGGGAAGCCAGTCGCTCGAGATCGTTGAGGAAGGCGCGGTTTGCACCTGCAATTTCGCCGATGTTGCCAAAGAGCTTTTGAGCCTCGTAGAGGGGAATGATGGCCTGTTCGCGATCCTTTGCCAGAGTGCGGAGTGGAATGGCATACTTTTGGTGGAGCACATCGACGCGCTTGACGTAGCTGCGCTCGGTGTCGATGAGTTCCTGAACGCGACCAAAGAGGCGTGACGGGTCCACATTGGAAGGCATTGTGCTGGTGGAGGGCGAGGAAGAAGCGGCAGAGGAAGAAGACACAGCAGTAATGCTGGAGCCGCTGGATGACCTGGGAACCGCTGAGGAATCTCGACGAGCGCCTGAGCCAGCGGAGACATCGGCATCATAATCGTGGACGCTGTCACCCAGCCAGGCTTCGAAAGCGGCAGTGGCGTTGGACTTTGACAAGGAGAAGGAAGAAGTGGCAGAGCCGACTTCCCCTTCTAGAATGACATCGACGAAGAAGGCGCGGGATAAACTGTCGCTGACACCGCCCGAACTGGTAAAGTCGGAGTCGGAAAAGGTAGCAAAGGTCGATGGATGCGCACCGGTGAGAGGAAGGCCATCGTGTCTGCGTGGAGTGGTGGAGTTGCTGCCGGGGGTGGCAAGCGCGTGAGCTGCGCGGACGGGAGTCGTAGGCTCTCGAGTGAGGTTGGCTACGATACTACTGCCAGCTCCAATACCAGCAAAGGGCGATCTGGGCAGGTTCCGAGGAGGCATACTCGATGCAGCTAGTCGTGTAGCCTTGGTCGTTGGAGTGATTCCGAGTCGTCACGTTGCATTGGTCCTTTTACGAGTGGAAATAGGCCAGAATACGTCTTGATGCTGTCGGCATGCTCAACATGGCCGTGTTGGAGCGGAGATGCGAGATGGTGGTTGAGTCTCTTGAGTGTTTGCATCTGGAGACAGACCAACACCAGCACCAAGACCAACACACGCTCAGCCGCCTTGTCTTGCTCTCCTCCTCCACAGCCACGGCAAATGCACACAAGACTCGATTGCGCATCCTGTCAAAATCACACAGTCGCCAGTCCAGAAAAACACACGCGAGCCTGCATGCGTTTGAAACGCGTGTCTCTGTCCGCATGACCAGTGCCGTATTCTTATATATATGTTAGACCTACGATCCAGTTCACCCTAATTCGAAAAGAATCGAAAAATAGCGGGGCAAAGGAAAGCGAGCTTACTCAACAGGCACAAACGCAGAGAGCCAAGACGGAGAGCGACGTGGAATCAGTCCAACCTTTCTTCTCAAACTTGGCCCGAACGCCTTTGCGGAGGGAAGAGAGGGGGAAGGGGGCGAGAAGCCGGCTGAGCAACCTTAAAATTGATTCAGATCTCCAAGTCGAAGCCAAGGTCGCGCGCTCAAGGCTCCCTTTGTTTCGCCCGTGCTTCTGAGTGGCGCGGGTCGTGCGGTGGGTAGACAGACGCTCGGACTGCGCACGCCTTAGTGAACCCTTTTCCGCTTTGCTTCTGTTGCTGAGTGGTTGAGCGTGTGTGTGTGTGTGTGTTGACTTAGCTCACCGCTTCTTGGTGCCACAGACTTCCATTATTGCTGTTTGCCATCATCACCTCATCACATTCTCTCTTTTCAAACACAACTGCATCGCAGCAGAGCTCCCTACATAAGCATTGCCTGACCTCGTTCTCTCTGCAACTGTCTCCACACCGCATTCCACCATGACCGACATCAACCAGAGCATCGTCGACCCTGTCGCCAACAACGCTCAGCCCGTCAACAAGGCTGAGGACGACGACAAGAAGGTCTTCGCCGGCAACCTCGCTTTCGCCACCACCGAGGACCAGCTCAAGAACCTCTTTTCCGAGGCTGGCACCGTCACCCACGCCCAGATCATCACTCGCGGCACTCGCTCTCTCGGCTATGGATTCGTCACCTTCTCCACCAATACCGAAGCACAAACCGCCATCCAACTTCTCAACAAGCGTGATGTCGACGGTCGCGAAATCAGCGTAGAGTCGGCAAAGCCACAGACCGCCTCCGCCGCCGTTGCTGCTGCCGATGGTGACAAGCCAAAGGCGCGCAGGACCCGTTCTAAGAAGGCCAAGGAGTCTTCGCGAGCGCCACGCCGTGCTCGCGCGGACGAGGGCGAGGAAGGAGCTGCCGAGGAGGACGCGGCGAAAGCTGCCACCAACGGCGACGGAGCCAACGGCGCAGATGCCACAAAGCCATCCAAGTCGGCCAAGCGCAGGCAGAAGAAGAAGGCGGCTGCTGCTGCCGCCGCAGCCAACGGCGAGACCACCAACGCAAACGCCGACTCGAGCGAGGCACAACCACGCGCACCCCGTGCCAAGCGCCAGCCAAAGGGCAAGCCCCAGGGCGAACCTTCCAAGACGCTCGTGTTTGTCGCCAACCTCGCCTTTGCCACCACCGACGATTCGCTCAAAGCCGCCTTCTCGGACTACAAGGTCAAGTCGGCGCACGTTGTCAAGCGTCGCAACGGCGACCGATCCAAGGGCTTTGGCTTTGTCGACTTTGAGGATGCATCCGAGCAGCAGCGTGCCATCGCCTCGGCCCAGGGCAAGCAGATCGACGGCCGAGACGTCACCCTCCAGGTTGCCGTTCAGAGCGACAAAGCCGACGAGCAGGTCCAGGCCGCAGAACCAACTTCTGCCGCTGTCTGATCGTCCGTCTCTTTGCGAAGCTAACTAGAAATCACATCTGCGTCTATGTACGTCAGATACAGTCTCGCACCATCTGCGAGCAAACATCGGCTCACTGCAGCCTGTCACAAAACATTAATCAAGCATTCACAAACACCACAACAAGTTTACATTGTCTGGTCGATTTTGCCTGTGTTGCCCATTTCTATCCGATCGGTTTGAGCGTATCTGTTGGCATCGCGGCGCTAAGGTGTGCTTCCATCTCGATCATCTCGTCGTCGTCGTCGTCCTTGCCGGCAGTTGCAAAAGTTGAGCTGCTGCCTGACGGTCCACGTGGCCTCTCGCGCATTCGGAATCGTGACAAGAGCGACTTTCGCGTTGCTGGCCGAGGCCGGTCGAGGCGTGGTCGAAGAGCATCGACCAGCTGTTGAGCCAAGAGTTCGGCGAGCAGCACTGCAGCACAGATAGCGAGTGCTCCATCCAACGCCGCGTCCGAGGGTACACCGTCAAACACGGTAAACACCACCTGCAGCAGAACGAGCACCACTGCAAACACGAACCGCAGCACCATCGCCCAGCGAAACGAACGCAGCTGGCGGTCTCGCGAGCTTTGCATGGTCTTGATCACAATGTCGACGCAGAGATACACCGCACTGGCCACGTAGATGTACTTGAACTGAAACAGCGAGTTGGTGATAAAGTGGTCGATCGAGTCTGGATTGATCACGTTGTCGGCAAACTCAAAGTACGACTTGAACGGCAACGCCAAGCTGGGCGCGAATTGCGACGAGAGCCGATTGGTCACCCCAGTCGTGTTTTCAAGCGCTGCAAGCTGCTCGGCTGTTTCTTGTCCCCCAGCGAGGCCTACCACCGAAGCGACAAGGCGCTGCGCATCCGACAGGTTGGGTATATTGGCGCCGTCGTTGCTTTGGATCACAGAAATGATGGCAGAGATGCCGGCAAGCGTGCCGTTGGTCGAGAGAGGGCTCGAGCCGTCTTCGTCATTGAAGGGTTGCGCTACCTGGTCCGCGGTCAGGTTGGACCAAGGTGGTGAGTTTGGCAGGTAGACGGTCGGATCGTCAAAGAAGCGCTGCAGCGCATTGAGCGTGTTCATGAAGCCGAGGATCTTCTTGAGTCCGATCACGAGCAGCGCCGAGGCCATGTGCAACACGACGTGGATGTAGGCCCATAGCACGACGAGCACCGAGCTGAGATCGATGCGGCTCGAAGCTCGATGGAAGTATCCGCCGAATTGGAGGATGACGATGAGCACACAGCTTGTGGCTTGAAGGATCGTGTCGGCGCTCCAGCCGCCGCTTTCGATGGCGACGCCGCCCGACGCCTCGTTGCGCAGCTTGGCGCCGGGGCTCATCTTGTTGAGCGTCTCCGAGATGCCCGTGAAGCCTTCGCCGAGCACGATGAGACCAAAAAGGACGAGCCGTTCGGGCAGCACGCTGTTGCCGAGAGGCGAGAGGACGCCGCCGAGCTCGTTGACGATCTGCACAGCGGCCTCGAGAGCGACACCTAGAATCCACATGACGAGCAATGGAGCGGTCACACCATTGTGACGCACGAAGCGGCTCAGAATCCAGAGCAGGCCCGATGCCACAAGTGAGGCAATGGATAGGACACGTGTCTGGACGATGCGACCGATGTCGTTGGTGCCCGCATCCCTTGCCTTTGGATGGAACGGTGGTGGGAGCAGGTCGGACTCGTCTGCGTCGTCTCGATCGTCCTCGCGAGAGGCCAGGTGAGCTACGCGACTACGTTTGCGCCACTGCACGAGATCCCAAACAAGCACCACCGCATAGTCGAGCGCCAGAGCTATGCGTGAGTATCCGTAGATCTGGCTGAAGTTGGTGAAGCTGCCTCGTGCGAATTCGGACGGCGTGGTGGCGAAGGCGACCCACAGGCCGAGCACAGCTGCGCGGACGATGCGCTGGCAGGACTTGAAGAGGAACGGCTGGTGATGCGAAGGCCGACGGTGGCGGACATCGAAGTAGGCCTGACTCCACCAAGCCCACCACAGCGCGCCAAAATAGCCCATGAAGGCCGCCACGTCGCCCAGCTTCTGGAGGGACACGGCGTTGCTGTAGGTGTTGAGGCAGGCGGCAAACAGCAGATCGAAGAAGAGATCGCTGTAGCTTGGAGCGTGGTCGGCCTCGTGCGAGCTGAGAATGGCCATTCCACCTTCATCAGAGGTCCCGTGTGGGTCTCGTCGTTCCGAAGCGGATCGGTCGAGCGAGTCTCGGTCGTGAGGTTGCGGAAGCAGCGAAGTGCGGTCACTCTCGGGTCTAACGACATGTTTGGCTTGAGGATGCGACGGGTTAGCCGTAGGCAACAGTGCCTCGGCTGATCCGTGCAGAGGCTGCGATGCAGGCCCTCGATCTGGCTTGTGCTGCGTGCCAACGGACGCCCGATCGCCGTGCGACGTGCCAAGAGGATGAGCGGTCGGTCCTGACGCAGGTGAAGGCACGGCATGCCTCTCGATGGAAGGGTGCGCTTCTGCCGCTGATGTGCCAGGAGCATCCATCGGTTGTGTTGGTCTCCGAGGTGATGGTGCAGCTTGGCGGTCTCCGACGGGGCGCGTCATGGCCCCAGCTGCCTGATCTATGTTCGCGAGCGTTTGCAGCGCACGAGGCCACGTCGCTTCGACGCCTCGTCGTACAATACGAGCAGATATCTGTGTCTCGACAAGTTGGATACGGCCAGGAGGGTGGTGTCGAGAAGGCTTGCTCGCCATCTCGCCGCTCGCATGCGCATACAGTGCAAGAACCCGAAGCTGCTTCTTTTCCGCCTGCCGACGGCAGATCCGAACAGCCACAACCCTATATTTTCGGTTTGACAGGCCGTCCAAGCGCGGAAGGATCGACTTGGCTTGTTCGGGTTTGTTTCGCGTGGCCGAGAGGCCCTTCTTCCACGCATAACCCTAAATCCAAGTCGCTGGAACACCGTCGATGCTGCATCGCTGCATCGCTGCAGCTTTTCACGCACACTCACGCCTCTCTCGCAGATATTCGCATTCGCAACTTGGGTTCGCAGCCACCAGAGTCAAGAGCAACGGATCGCACTGCCTGGCAACATCGGCGTACTGTGCGGTGATGCTCGGTCATAGAGTGGGAGGAACATCGAAACCTGGCGTCGACCACCTCGAGTATTGACCGAGTTCGGAACGTGCAAGCAACATCGACTCGGGACGCAGCACCTCAGGACACAAGAAGTCATTGTCTATGATATCTGTCTGTCCACTTGCCAAAAAAAACAAATCGCGTCACAAACGAAGGCTCTGATATTCCACACATCCAGAAGACCGCCGTCTCCTACTCCCAAAAGAGAGCAACGAAAAAAAAAAGCCAAAAAGTTTTTGCTTCCTACCAGGATTGAACTAGTGACCTCACCATGTCGCGCTATACGAGTGGCGCGCTCTCCCACTGAGCTAAGGAAGCGTCGAGATGTCTCCTTTTTGCATGTCAAGCTGAGAGAAGCATATATATATTGTGCATGGAGATATCGGGATAGTGTCTCTTGTTTGTCTGGCATGTTCCTATGCCTCGCGGTTGGGGCAGGCGAGCGAGGCTGCGCGAATTCGTAAACGGCTCTGTCTACTCGCGGAAGGCTATCTGATTGCTGTCGCTCGGGCTGCTACAGTATACAGTTCGGGCTGCTATACAGTGTAGCGAGTGTCGGTCAAGGCAGTCAGGCAGTCAGTCAGATGTAGGAAGAAAAGGGCCAGGAGGAAGAATCCGCGGGTCGGAATGGATGCTGCACGACGCACGGACGCGAACCGCCAACCCCACTTTTTTGGATTTTGTGTTTTGTTCGGGAGGCGGACGCGATGGTGACTTTGCAAGAGAAGGTTGTAGGAGGAGGAGGGGGGATGGTATGGTATGCTTCTGCCTTCAACACTGCTGTGTGATTGCATCGCATCGCATCGCCGCCAAAGGTGCGCATCGACCGTCGAATCGTCCCCACTGCGGAAGCGCGACTTACCCTCTCGATCGATCGATTGGGTGGCTGGCCCGCCGCGGCAACGACGATGGCACCCGCACCCTCGTCATCGCGAGGCGGACAGGCGAGGAGGCCGGGCGACTTTGACGACCAGGCTTGGGGCATCGAATCCGACGACGACGACTTTGTCACGCAGATTGCACCTCGAACCAACGTTCCTCGAAGCCTCAAAGCTTCATCCCGTTCCTCTTCCTACTCTTCCACAAATCAACAGCGACAGCAGCATCAGCCGAACGACCCGACACGACCGCAACAGGATCGCAGCCATGCTTCGTCCTCCTCGCTCCATAGCACCTCGTCGGCTCAGACCTCGACCACGTCCGCGATGCCTGTCGCGCGCGGCGGGTCTCGCACTCGGCGTACCAGTTGGACCGTGATCGACAAGCAGCACGGAGGCTCAGGCTCGCTCGACCAGACCCCGATCGCAGGCAGCCCGCCCACAGATCTGGCGGATGCGATGGCAGTGGGTCTCGATCTCGATCGTAGCAACATCGGCGGCGGTACTGCTGCTGGCTTCCAGCTCGTAGACGATGATCCCAAGCTGGCGAGCGGTAGCGAAACCGAGAACGTGGACCTCGACACGGGCAAGACGGTTCGCCGTCGACGTTTGCCCGGCACCGCGAACAAGCCGAGCTCTGGTACGAGCGAAGCAGAGACACTTCGCCGGTCGCTTCGCAGCGACCTGGATCACCTTGTGCGAGATCCCTCCCACGCCTTGACACGCCTCGCTGCGCGGTGGTCCTCGTCTCCGCACCGCTCCAGCCCTTCTACCGACCAAGCTTCAGATTCCGCCCGACCGCTCACGACCACCAGCCGGCTCGGCGTCGCGCCAACGCCAACAAAGCAGGACTTCACCTTTGATCCCATCGCTGCAGCCGGCGACGGCCTCATCATGACCGGTCCGAGCTTCGCCGACGCGGCCGCAGCCAACGACGCATCGACCGCTTCTGCATCGTTCGCGGACAGCGCAGACGTCAGCTTTAGCAACGACGGGTACGACAGCACAGACGAAACGCAGAACGGGAGCGGCAGCAAAGGGAGCGTCTCGCGCAAACGCAGTGTGCGCTCTTCGCGACGTCGGCAACAGCTGCTCAGCTGTCTGTCCAAGCAGAGCGTCGACATTGCTGTGCTTCGCACACTTGCTTGGGCCGGTGTCCCCGACGAGCTGCGACCCATGGTCTGGCAGCTGCTGCTCGGCTACCTTCCCGCAGTAGCATCCGTCCGTGCGTCGACATTGTCGCGCAAACGTGCCGAGTACGCCGCCGGTGTCGAGCTCGCCTTTGCCAAGGGCATCGCAGCGCTCGACCAAGCCATCTGGCACCAGATCCACATCGACGTCCCTCGCACCAACCCGGGCATCCGTCTATGGCAGCGCCAAGCAACACAACGCTCCCTCGAACGCATCTTGTACGTTTGGGCGATTCGACACCCAGCTAGCGGCTACGTACAAGGCATCAACGACCTTGCGACGCCCTTCTTCGAGGTGTTTTTGAGCTCCTACATCGACTCGGACCCCGAGATGTTTGATGTCGGCTTGCTGCCTGCCAACGTGCTCGAGGCAATTGAAGCCGACACGTTCTGGTGCCTCTCGAAACTTCTGGATGGCATTCAGGACAACTACATCTTTGCACAGCCGGGCATTCAGCGGCAGGTGCGTCGTCTGGGCGAGCTCGTAGCGCGTATCGATGCGCCTCTGCATGCACATTTGCAGGAGCAGGGCGTCGAGTACATGCAGTTCGCTTTTCGATGGATGAACTGCTTGTTGATGCGCGAGATGAGCGTACGCAACATCATCCGCATGTGGGACACCTATCTGGTATGTAGCAAAAATGGTGACCGCTCCGACTCTTTGCGACAGACATACTGACAACTGTCGTTCCATCGACTCGATCTCTGTTTCTTCAACATCTCCAGGCGGAAGGCCCTGACGCATTCTCCGATTTCCATCTCTACGTATGCTCCGTGTTCTTGCACAAATGGACGGACAAGCTGCGCACAATGGACTTTCAAGGGATCATCATGTTCCTACAGTCGTTGCCTACGCAAACTTGGTCGGACAAGGATGCAGAGATGCTCCTCAGCGAGGCTTTTATGTACAAGACGCTGTTTGGTAACACGGCGCACCTGAACAAGTGATCTCGCACCCAGCACACAATGACATGACCGCATGAAACTTTCACAATCACGTCTGGCTTTCACGTTGAAGCGTTGAGTGAATCAGCTTCGTGACCCAATGAGCAAAGGCTTGAGTGTTGGCTCCAGCCTGAATGTACACCATGCTGTGTGGCATCGTATCGTCTGGCTGGATCGGAAAAAGGACCGGATCTCGGGTTCACGCGACTCGCGAGAAGATTGGCCGAGAAGTGACTTTTTTGGTGCTTTGACCTTTCTTCTCGTTTCCACCGACAAAGACATCTTCGACCTCTCATTCAGCATTCCAACGCAGTGCTCGCAACTCTTGCATGGGAGAAGAGCAGCGATGCATCGAGCACAGCTGAGGCGGCGATGAGATCAGTCGTCACAGCCGCTTTGGCCGTCCGAGCTGCCGCCTATGGCCGAGCTGGACGCTGTCGCTGCTCGCGTGCTCTCCACGAGTCAAACGATCCACGAATCACAGATCCGACCACTTCGCCAGGCGTCTTTTGCACTGCAAGGCTGTATTCGACTGCCTCCAACGCGGAAGCCGGGCCGAGTCGTCTGCCTAGCGCAGGGTCAGGTAGCAGCGCCCGTCCCAGAACCAAAAAGCATCCCAAAGCCCGAAAGGTCCTGCGACAACCGCCTTTACTACGTCTGGACCCCAGCCGTCCGCTCATCCCCTCCTTGACGCCCGCAACATCCTCGAACGAGATCAGCACGGGTGAATCCCTTCAACAACGACGAGCAAAGGGCTTGAGTCGGCTACATGCCGCTCTCCAGGCCGGCACGGCTGATGCAGCGTGGTCAGCATACCTCGATCTGAAGCAGTATACAACCGTCGATCGGGAAGCCTTTTCCAGTTACCAGTCGCTTTCGCAAAGCTTGTTAACTCCGCAGGAATGCGCATCGGTTGCCAAGATCATCAGCAATGACGCCACCAAGACGAAGCGAGGCGCGAATCGAATCCTTCGACTTGCAGCAGATGTCCGATCCCAGCAGCGCCGTCTCTTGTCTCAACTGCAACACGCTGACGATGCGAACGATCCCACTCGCAGGCACTTGATACGCAGAGAGCTCAGTTCCTGGGATGCCGTCGTTTCTCCTGAACTGCTCAATGTCACCATCGCACACATTGGTCGAAGCCTTCGCAGCGTTGGCTTGGAAGAGATCGATCAGATATTGGATCAACTGTTGACCTTCGAAGCCAACGAACATTCGCGTCAACGCGTAGGCTCGCGCGATAGCTCGACTTCAAGTCAGCTTTCGTCGCTGAATGCGGCAGGGGCGCTTCAACATCTTCGCACAGCAATGCTGTCTCCTGTTGCTCAGGCAAGCCTGGTCAGCCGACGACGCGGAAAACAAAGACAGGCCGAATTTCCCGACCTGACGACGTACAACACGATCCTCGACATCATCACGCGAACGGTGCAACGTAGCAAGACAAATCATCGCTCTGACTCGAGGCCAGCGCAATCGTTTGAAGAAGAGGACGACGACGAGATGTCCAAATTTGCTGAGGAGCAGATTGATTCGCACTCGGTCGAGCTCAGTGCGTCGATCGCGAACCGACTACGACGCTTGGATCTGGACCCGGATGCAGCATCCGTGCATGTAGACGCGTTGGAGCGAGCAGATCGACTTTTCCATTCGGTATTGGAACGAATGCAGCGCAAGAGCCGTATCGAGCCAGACGCCATCACGTTCAACATCATGGTCACGATGTATTGCCTTTTGAATCGGTGGGACATGGTCCACCGTGCCGTGCGTTCTGCCAATGAGCGAGGGCTACTCGGCACAGACTGCATAAACAACGTGCTGGGGCACTGGTTGTTGCGTGGACCTGCTTCCAGGCACGGAGAGGATCGCGATATGTCTCAGGCCGATGCTGTTGAGCCCGCACTCGAGATCTATCGTCAATTGCGACAAAATATGGTCCGCGCTGAGCTTGCATCGAGACACTCATCGATCGCTTACGGCAAAGGTGATGCAAAATCGGCACACTCAGCTCGCGCAAACGAGGAGAATGGCAACTTGCAGGAGGCTTTCGCGCCGCTCTCTTGGCCAGATCGGGACGATGCAGAAGACACTGGCCCCAGTGTCGAGGACTCCAAGAATGACGCTGTCGAGGCGGTGCTTGGCATATCGCTCGTGCCGTTGCAAGCCTTGCCCGACGAAATTACGCACGCTCTGATGATCAGCAGTCTGACTCGCGAGGGGCGCTTTGCGGATGCATTGAGCATGTTCAAGGATCTCGTGTCGACACCGATTCGAGAAGCGGTCAATGACACCTGCGATGCAAGGTCCAGCAGCGAAGGGTCCGAGGACCGCCAGATGCAACCGACGCTGGCCATTTTCGACAGCTTCTTCAGGGGATTCTCGCGGCATGGCCGACCGAGTACCATTACCACGCTCGATCTGCAGAGTCCGGAGCGTAGTCAGTGGGAGCTCGTGCCTCGTGAAGCTGCACCAGACGCAGACAATGGCGATGCGAGGGAAGACGATCCTCAATCTCGCCAGCTGCAATTGTGGAGGATCGAGACATTTCAAGAGATCTTTGCGGCTTTCCTGAAACTTGAACCCGACGTCAAGCAAGCACTTGGGTTGAGAGCGACGGGTCGAACTGCGAACAGGAGCAAACGCAGCACACAGCGCAACATATCGACGCCTTTTGGTTGGCTGACGTTGCCCGAGATGCGTCGCCTGGACGCGGCGCGAAGGGCGCCTTCGACGAATCAGCTCTTCTGGATTCTAACGGCGATTCGCAGGGTCAGCCACGATCACCCCGCATGGAGTCTCGCCATGTGGCACAAGGTGGTCGACAAGTTTGACCCAGAGCTTTCAAAGTCTGCGAACGGGGTTGGCTGGAGTGGATTCCGGCTCGACAATCGCGTGCGTCGTGTAGTCGAGCATCTCGAAGCTCGTCTTGCGCAGGACGGTGATGCTGAAGAGCAGCTTCCAAGCCAAAACGTAGCTTGACGGAGCTTCGATGGTCCGGTCCCGACACCTGAATTCAGGCGGAAGCCTTTCTATTAACCAGATTCATTACAGCGAACATACTCCTGACCTGCTGGCCTGAATTCGTGTGATTCCGCGCCGATTGACCACAACCGGCGCTTTCAAACCGAATCGCAGCTTGTTTCGAAGAGCGCGAATGCGAGAGTGAGCAGCGGGCTTTGCATGATGCGCCAAGGGCCTTTGCGAGGAACGAAATCCGGACCTAAGTTTTTGGAAGGCAGGAGTCTAAGTCGAGGCGAACCACCAATGGAATGCGCCGAGGCAAGTGAGCGACGGTTATGCGAATATAAGTCCCCACAGCGGCCGAGCGGACTTAAGCGTCGGGACATGGGATCCGAAATTAGAAACGCGATTCAGCGTACAACATCACAAATCAGCCCTCGATGCACTCTGGATGGCCTCGACCCCTCTGCAACCAGAACCCACCAGGCAACGCCTCGCTTGACGCATCAAAAGCCTTTGACACGGACCGCACCTTGATGCGACTGCTCTGTCTCTCAAGAGAGGTCAGAGCATCAGTACTCAATCGGAATGATGTGTGAAGGAAGCTCCAGGGCACATCAATCGGCGAACTTTCAAGGAGAAAAAAAATTCGCCGATCCTTCAGGCTATTCGCCAAGGTGCATTCCGGAACCAGAGATCCGGACAGGCCCAAGGGGTAACTTTAAGGAAATAAACATTTCACGTCGCCTCTCAAACAACGCGAATTCTTGCCCAACGCGATTTTGCATAAGACGTCACTTTGCGGCTGTGGACACACAAACGGCAAAGCCAAGCATACAGTAAGCATTCGGAGCTCAAATATGTTCCACGCGGTGTTCGGTCGGAAGGCAGAACCGAGCACTTGCCTTGACATTCCGATTGCATACTGAATTGACAATAGTTCTTTCTTTGAGAAGGTGGACGGACCCTCCTCGATTGCTTTTCGGACGGTCTCAGCTCTTGTCTTGCAGTACGTGCCAAGAGCACCGTCTGCACCGGAAGCGCAGGCCGTGCCAAGCCTGATTATGCTTGCCTGGACCCACGGTATTAGAGGCCTTTGTTGATATTACTCTTCGGCATGTTTCTTCCGGTGTCTGCGGCGACGAGTCCAAACAGATGCAATCTGGCCGCGTCGTTGTGACCTGTGTGGGGCCATCTGAAGTCCGAGACGCACGACACATACTGCTAGCATGCCGTTGCGGCGGCTAGCTGGTTGGCAATGCTGAGCCGCGGGCAGCCCAACGAGCGATGTGATATAAGCTCGGCGATCTCGTCCTCTCTTGGTTTGTTCCCACAGTCGACGCCCCCTTCAAAGAAGACCTTCCTTTCGCTACCTTCAACTTCCCGCTCCGCAAGTTCCAGCTGCGAGCTTTGCTCCACAAGAGCTCTCGATCATGAGCGATCCGGTATCCTACAGCGGCGCTACCACGCCAGCTGACCACACTGCAGCTCCCACACCAGAGACTCGCAGCGTTGGTAATGGCCAGCACTCAATCAATATGCACGACGCATCTAACCCTCATGACGGCCATGTCGACGTTGAGAGCGCTAAAGCCGAGTTTAGCAGGTTGCAGACGTCTCTCAGTCGTCAATCCGAAGCCACCCGCCAGCACAGCCAGGAGCCCAATGACATCGAGGCGGGACAGAAGGCCAACGATGATGACGACGAAGACTTCGACCTTGTTCAGTATCTTCGCTCGGTCCAGTCCGAGAACTCTCAGGCTGGCATCAAATCCAAACACATCGGTGTCTCCTGGTCTGATCTCGAGGTGCTTGGAAACGACTCTATGTCGCTCAACATCAAAACCTTCCCCGACGCTATCACCGAAACTTTCGTCGGTCCCATTTTCTATATCTTGAACCGACTCAAGAAGAACCGCGGACGCAAACTCCTCCAAAACTTCACTGGTGTCGCAAAGCCCGGTGAGATGGTCCTCGTCGTCGGTCGTCCAGGTTCCGGTTGCTCCACCTTCCTCAAGACCATCGCCAACCATCGCGGAGGGTACATCGGTGTCAATGGTAACGTCAAGTACGGTGGCATCTCTAGCCAAGAGTTTGCTAGCAAGTATCAGGGTGAAGCTGTCTACAACGAGGAGGATGACTTCCACTTCCCAACGCTCACAGTAAAGCAGACGCTCGAGTTTGCTCTCAGCCTCAAAAGTCCCGGAAAGCGTCTTCCTCATCAAACTGTCCAATCGCTCAACGAAGAAGTGCTGACCACCTTCCTCAAGATGCTTGGCATCCCGCATACCGCCGACACTCTCGTGGGCTCGGCAGTGGTACGAGGTGTGTCGGGTGGTGAGCGCAAGCGTGTCAGTATCGCGGAGTGCATGGCGAGCAGAGCCGCTGTCGTTAGCTGGGATAACGCGACCCGCGGTCTCGATGCCTCCACCGCTCTCGACTACGCCAAATGCATGCGCGTCTTCACGGACATCCTCGGTCTCACCACCTTTATCACGCTCTACCAACCTGGTGAGGGTATTTGGGAGCAGTTCGACAAGGTCATGGTCATCGACGAAGGTCGCTGCGTCTACTACGGTCCACGAACCAAGGCTCGTCAATACTTCCTCGACTTGGGCTTCAAAGACTATCCTCGTCAGACTTCGGCCGATTTTTGCTCTGGCTGTACCGATCCCAATCTCGACCGCTTTGCCGAGGGTCAGGACGAGACCACCGTGCCTGCGACTTCGCAGCGCCTCGAGGAGGCTTACCAAAAGTCTTCTATCTACCAGGACATGCTCCGCGAAAAGCAAGAGTACGATGCCCAGATCGAAGCAGACCGCTCCGCCGAGCAAGAATTCCGACAGGCTGTCCTCGAAGACAAGCACAAGGGCGTGCGGCCCAAGAGTATCTACACCGTCAGCTTTGCTCGTCAAGTTCAGGCTCTCACCGTTCGTCAGATGGAGATGATCCTGGGTAATCGCTTCGACATCTTCGTCTCGTTCGCGACCACGATCATCATTGCCCTCTTTATCGGAGGTGTTTTCCTCAATTTGCCTCAGACTGCCGCTGGTGCGTTCACTCGAGGAGGTGTTCTCTTCATCGGTCTCCTTTTCAATGCCCTCACCGCCTTCTCCGAGCTTCCAACCCAGATGGGAGGTCGTCCGGTGCTGTTCAAGCAGATGAACTACGCCTTCTATCGTCCCTCTGCTCTGAGCTTGGCGCAGCTCTTCTCCGACATCCCTCTGTCCATCAGTCGTGTCATTCTCTTCTCGATCATCCTTTACTTTATGGCAGGGCTCCAACGCTCGGCAGGCGCATTCTTCACCTTCTTCCTCTTCGTATACTTTGGCTACCTCGCCATGTCGGCACTCTTCCGACTCTTCGGTACCGTCTGCAAGTCGTACGATGTAGCTGCGCGTCTCGCTGCCGTCATCATTTCTGGTTTGGTCGTCTTTGCAGGCTACGTGATTCCACGTGACGCCATGTATCGATGGCTTTTCTGGATCTCGTACATCAACCCGCTCTACTTTGCGTTCTCGGGTCTCATGATGAACGAATTCAAGGATCTGTCTTTTGCCTGCGTCGGATCGTACGTCGTTCCGAGAAACCCTGCTGGTATGACTCAGTATCCGGATAACGTCGGTCAAAATCAGGTTTGCACGCTTGCTGGCGCTAGAGCAGGCCAGCAATTCGTCGCTGGCAACGACTACCTCCGAGCAAGCTTCGGCTACGACTCGGGTGATCTCTGGCTCTACTTTGGCATCACCGTCATCTTCTTCGTCGGAATCGTCGGCATCACCATGGTGGCCATCGAGGTCTTCCAGCACGGCAAATATTCGAGTGCGCTTACCATCGTCAAGAAGCCCAACAAGGAGGAGCAGAAGCTCAACCAGCGTCTCAAGGAGCGAGCCACGATGAAGGAGAAGGACTCTAGCAAGCAGCTCGACGTCGAGTCCAAGCCTTTCACCTGGGAGAAGCTCTGTTACGAGGTACCCGTCAAGGGTGGAAAGCGACAGCTGCTCGACAATGTCTACGGCTACTGCCGACCGGGTACTTTGACCGCTCTGATGGGTGCCTCCGGTGCCGGAAAGACGACTCTTCTCGACGTTCTTGCCGATCGCAAATCCATCGGTGTCATCAGCGGAGATAGGCTTATCGACGGGAAAAAGATCGGCATCGAGTTCCAACGTGGCTGCGGTTACGCAGAGCAGCAGGACATCCACGAAGGCACCGCTACCGTTCGCGAAGCTCTTCGATTCAGTGCTTACCTTCGCCAGCCCGTCAGTGTGCCCAAAGAAGACAAGGATGCCTACGTCGAGGACATCATTGAGCTGTTGGAGATGCAAGACATCGCTGACGCTATGATCGGTGTTCCCGAGTTCGGTCTTGGTATTGGTGACCGCAAGCGCGTGACCATCGGAGTCGAGCTCGCCGCTCGTCCGGACCTGCTGCTCTTCCTCGACGAACCCACCTCCGGCTTGGACGGTCAGACGGCGTACAACGTGGTACGATTCCTCAAGAAGCTGGCTGCATCGGGTCAAGCCATCCTGTGCACAATTCACCAACCCAATGCTCTTCTCTTCGAACAGTTCGATCGCTTGCTGCTCTTGGAGCGCGGTGGAAAGACCGTCTACTTTGGTGACGTCGGTCCCAACGCCAAGCACATCGTCAAGTACTTTGCCGACCGAGGTGCTCAGTGTCCCGACAAGGTCAACATGGCCGAGTACATGCTCGACGCTATCGGTGCTGGTTCCATGAAGCGGGTCGGAAACAAACCTTGGTCCGACGTATACAAGGAATCGGATCTCTTCCAACAAAATCTGGCCGAGATCGAAAAGATCAAGTCGGAAAGCAACAGCTCCTCTTCGCACACATCTCAGGAGACTCATAGCAAAGAGTACGCCACGCCCTTCTTCTTCCAGGTGAGGACGGTTTTGCAGCGCGCTCTGCTCAGCACATGGAGGCAGCCGGACTACCAATTCACTCGTCTCTTCCAGCACGCTGCCATCGCACTCATCACCGGTCTCTGCTTCCTCAACCTAAGCAACTCGGTCGCTTCGCTCCAGTACCGCATCTTTGGCATCTTCATGGCCACCGTGCTGCCCGCAATCATCTTGGCTCAGATCCAGCCGTTCTTCATCATGGCACGCATGGTGTTCATCCGAGAAGATTCGAGCAAGATGTACAGCGGAACGGTTTTTGCCATCGTGCAGATCATCCAAGAGATTCCGTTCGGCATCCTGTCTTCGGTGGTGTACTTCCTGCTGTTCTACTACCCGACTGGATTCCAGTTCGCTTCTGATCGAGCAGGATACTTCTTTGCCATGCTCATGGTCACCGAGCTCTTCGCTGTGACGCTCGGTCAGGCGATCGCAGCGATCTCTCCTTCGATCTACATCGCTTCGCTGTTCAACCCATTCCTGATCGTCATCATGGCGTTGCTGTGCGGTGTCACGATTCCGTACCCGAACATGCCCAAGTTCTTCCGTTCGTGGCTGTACTGGGTCAACCCTCTGACGTACCTGGTGTCGGGTCTCATCACCAACGAGATGCACGATCTGATCGTCGAATGCACCAGCACCGAGTTTGCCCGTTTCCAACCTCCCACCGGCGAAACGTGCAGAGCGTGGGCTTCTTCTTTTGTCGACGCCTTCGGCGGCTACCTGCAAAACCCAGACGCCACCTCGGACTGCCAGTACTGCCAGTACCGCAGCGGCGACCAGTTCTTCGCCGGTCTCGAAATCAAGTTCTCCCAACGCGGCAGGAACATCGGCATCATGATCGCCTTCATCGCCTTCAACGCCTTTGTCACCATCCTCGCTTCGCGCTTCATCAAGTACGCCAACCGCTAAAGGAGTCAATCTCTTCTCCCGTCCGGCTGTGCATTTTGTCTGCTTCCTTGTACATTCTTTATCGATAGATACTTGCTTCGCCCTCGCTAATCTACGGACGTTTGATGACCTACTTCTGCCCTGTCTGAAGGTTGACGTGTATGCAAATGTTCCCTTCAGCAAACTCCCTATTCTGGGAAAACATGCTCTGATGGTGCAATACCGAATTCAAGACGTTGATGCAAGGTGATACTATACAGTTTATCTGAGGCAAAGCGAGAACAGAAAAAGTAGGCAGAGGGTATACGGATAAAGCAATGACGGGACCGTTGAGCTTCAAGAAAGATGAATGGGGCCGCGAGCCGTCTCGACTCGTTCGTCGGCCATGCGCTTGCGAGACACGGCGCCGACACCACGGATGAGCGTGAAAATGAGCAGGCGCACTACGACAAAGAGGCCGAGGAAGACGAAGCTCTGGGTGATGATCAAACCTGCGGTCTGCTCGACTCGCAAGCCGGTGGTATTGTATAGTGTCCAACGCCAGGTGTGGTCGATCCATGTTGCGAGCGAGCTGTCGAGGCCGGCGGAGGGGGTGCCGACGTACTTGCCAAAGACCTTGAGCTGACATGCTGGATCGATCTGCATGTGAAGGCCGTGGCAAAGTTCCATGATGAGCGAACCTCGTCGATCCAACCGTTTCAAGCCGATTCGGTCGTCAGTGTAGATCGAACTCTGTCGGAGCGGCGTAGGCTCATCTAGATTGCCTTCTTTGAGCGAGTCGGACTCGTTACGCACGGGGTAGGAAGCGAACCAGGAGGATTGTTTTGGCTCGACGGTGGTGTCCTTGTCAAACATGAGCATGACAAAGTTTTCGAGCGAGGCGAGATTGTCGGCATAAGTGGTGTTGATCTCTTGGCCTTCGTTGTTGATGTCCTTGATGAAATCGTTCTTCTCGAGGTAGGAGGCGAAAGCTCTGGGATCTTTGGGATTGCGATAGTATTGTGCAGTGACCAGGTGCGACTGGGCATAGTCGGTGTAGATGCCGCCGCGGAGAGCCGCTTCAGCAACGCGGCAGAGAAGATCGGTGGGACCGCAAGCTGGCAAATCGGCGATGCCCATGTGCTGGCTGCCAAACGTCACAAGATTGCGCACCTTGGGCGTATTGCAGCGCTGCACGTATGCGCGGAGGAACTGGCCGCCTTGGGAGAAGCCGATGGCATCAAAGCCGTTGCGAAGCTCGTCAATCGAAGCGAGCTGGTCGCAGGCCATCTGGACTTGATCGTTGACGTGGCCGAAGAAACCCTGCCTGCGATCTTCGGAGTCGCTAGATTGGTCTTGTGTGACCGAGTGTACGTAGAGTCCAGGAAATGCCTCTTTGAGCTGCAACATGAATGATTCGATGCCTTCGGAGTGTGCGCTGTCGCCGAGGCCATGCCAAATGACGAGTGGATGCGGTTTGGGTAGCACCGAGAATGGTGCTGCCCCGACTGGGTTTGAAAGAAGGGTTACTGATGCTGCAAGAGCTCCAAAGAGCGCGGTGGTTGTGGCCCTCATGGTGGATAGCCTGCGAAGGGTGATAGGGACTGTCGTGAGGTGATGGTGCTAGGTAGGTCAAGTGAAAGGTGCAGTTGCCAGTCTCGGGGTCATTTGAGCTGTGCTCCGAGTGCTCTCGAATTGGGCGAATTTGGCTGTCTGAGCTGAGCATCCTCGCGCCGATCCCATGCAGGGTCCGCGCAAGCCAAACCCGAATATTCGTGGACTCGACTCATCACCCGTGCGGGTGTGTGAAGGTGAACAAACCACGCGTGAGCTGGAATCGCAAGCTGCTTCCAAAACGCTCAAGCCACAGCGAAGTGCCCGATTCCAACACACACACACACTCACCTCGCCAATTCGAAGTTGCCTCTTCTGGTTTTGCCATCGTCTTGTCGACATAGCCGTGACATTTCTACACTACCTCTGGCACTCTCCACAGAACAGACTTCCTCCGGAATGACGTTCAGCAACTTGACGCTATACACCACGTCGGCAGTGCTGATTCTAGACACAGACGGCAACCGTGTCATCGCAAAGTACTATCAGCCTCCTCATGCAGCCAACTTCCTTTCGACGGCAACGCCCGCACAGCAGAATGCAGTAGCCAGCACAACACCGCAGCTGTCAGCAAAGAATCCTCTGTCGACACTGAAGGATCAGCGTGCGTTCGAAAAGGCCATCTTTGAAAAGACAAAGAGAGCGACCGGCGACATTATCCTCTACGACTCGCATCTGGTGCTGTTCAAGTCTTCGCTCGATGTCATCTTCTACGTCGTAGGTCCCGCCGCAGAGAACGAGCTGATGCTCTCGGGCCTATTGAGCGCATTCTACGATGCGACGAGCATGCTGGTGCGTCATCAAGTCGAGAAGCGCGCCATTCTGGAAAACCTGGATCTGGTGACGCTTGCATTGGACGAGACGGTGGACGACGGTATCATTCTAGAGACAGACAGCACCACCATCGCATCACGTGTTTCTCGACCCAGACCCGATGTCAACGAGATTCAGATCAACGAACAGAGTAAGTTTGCTCTTTTGGGCAGAATGTTCCTGGCTCACTTCGAGCCATGCCTTGACTCGAAGCCAGCCGAGCGTTTGCTCGGCCAACACAAGCTCTTCCACGAGACCGAATATGCTGACGTCGAACTGCCTTGTTTCCTTTCTCTTGACCAAAACGCCATCTCTGCAGCCATCATGAGTGCGTATTCGAGTCTCAAAGAACGAGTTGCGCAGAGAATCTTGCAGGGCGGACTCTAGAAGCGCACGCATCTGAAAGGAACGACGAGCAGCGCAGCTCCAGACATGGTGTTCCGTTCGCCTTGGACAGTTCTTCGTGCAGCACGCGACGACACGCAGCACAGCAACATCTTCACTTGTACATTAGACACAGCCAACCATCTTGTTTGGTTTCAGCATCCTTGTTGTAGCCGATTTGGTGAGATGCTGCACGCACGATCGCTCATCCGAGTCAGTTTGTGCTGTACCTAGGCAAAGCAAACAGTCGGATACTGTGGAGCGTATCGTCGGATCTGACATGCTTCGGAATCGGGAGAGACAGCCATCGGAAGCGCAAATCCCGCGTCGTGTCGCGCAAAGTGGGTCTATCTTGCACAGCCTTTCGATTTCCTCATGCTCGTCTGGTCTGACACACGACGACGACGCCATATCGCTTTCGTCAATTCTTGATCTCAGTCGGCTCAGGCTGCATTAGGATGGCCCAGGATGGAAGCTTCTGTCGTGACGCGTGTGTTGCAGCCGCAAATTTATCCGTGTGGGAATTGGTGCGTCCTCCTGAGCGCTGCTCCACTCCAGGCAACAGGAACTCGCGCTGGGACCGCCCAAGGGCGTAAGTTAGGTCACAGATCAAAGGCTGCATGCATATTTCGCTTGCTCGCTTGCTCTCTCTGGCCAGCCTGCGTTATTGTGCCGAATTCACATTTCCATCTGTCAATCTGAGACAACCATCATCCGGCCTTCTTTCTCTCCTCTCTCCTCTGAAATCTCTTCAATATCATCCCACCGACCGCATCGACCGCAGCATCAAACAATTGCTTCATCCTCCGCCCACAATATCATCTGTACTTCGAGTCCATTCACGGTTGCTTGCGACGGCATTCGTTCGGTCATTGGCATCGTTGCTTGCATTGCATCGAGTCTAGCATCCCGATACTGAAACACTGCGACTCTCGTTTTCTGTGGTACCATGCAACGCTCTTTGCTGCCGACAGCTCAAGCGCTTCCGCACTCGCCATATCGTTCGATCTCAATCTCAATCTGAACCACCGACTGCACTCACGCTTCCGCCGACTCTGCGCCTGTGCCGGGTACCAATGTCCATTCCACCATGACTCAACCCGGCGCTCGTAGAGCAAATCACTATGCCACCCAGAGTGGTGGCTCCACCATCAACCAGAAGGCCGTTCTCGCCTCCGCGTATCAGGAGCTTGGCAAGGAGCTCGCTTCTTCCAAACTCAAAATCGTCGGCAACTATACCCTACAGCGTCCCATCGGCGAAGGCACCTTTGGAAAGGTACGCCTCGGCCTTCATCGTCTCACCAACACTCGCGTAGCCATCAAACAGATACCTAAGGCTCATTCCGCCAGCCTCACGCGCGAGATTCACCACCACCGCCGTCTCCACCATCCCAACGTCATGCAGCTCTACGAAGTCATTGCAACAGAACAATATATCTGGATGGTCAGCGAGCTTTGCGCAGGAGGCGAGCTCTACGACTACCTTGTCGAGAATCAGGTGCTTGCAGAGCCCGAAGCCCGCAGAATCTTTGGCCAGCTCTGCCTTGCCGTCGCCTACGTCCACAGCAAGGGCATCGTACATCGCGACCTCAAGCTCGAAAATATTCTCCTAGATGAACGTTGCAACGTCAAGCTAGGCGATTTCGGCTTCACCCGCGAATTCGAACGCAATCGTCTCATGGATACCTTCTGCGGCACCACCGGCTATGCCTCCCCGGAGATGCTTGCCGGCAAAAAGTACACGGGGGAGCAGGTCGACATTTGGTCACTCGGCGTAATCCTGTACGCTCTTCTTTGCGGTGCATTGCCCTTTGATGACGACGACGAGTCCGTCATGAAGCACAAGATTCTTCGAGGAGAATTTGAAATCCCCGAGTGCCTCTCTGAAGAAGCACAAGACCTCGTCGCATCCATTCTCCAACAAGATCCTACCAAGCGTCCCACCATTCAGTCCATCCTTGCGCATCCGTGGTTCACAAAGACGATGGTTCACACTCCCATGTCGACGGTCGAGGAGGACGAAAGTACTACAGACTACTTTGGCAGTAAGTCCAACCCCTCAGCGTCGCATTCCATCGAGCAAGCTCAGCGGCAGCTTTCAATATCAGCGCCACTGCCTCCTGCTGAAGAAGTAGATCGCACCGACGCGGCAGTTCCGACGAGCTCGGAGTTCTCTGAACAAGCTCAAGGCGAGGGCTCCCAGGCACGTCATCACCACCACCTTACGGCGAGTTCCGAGCAGAGCTACCATTCAGCTCGCAGCGATAGCGAGTCTAGCGACCGTCGCTCCACCAACACGGATTTCACTGATCCGACCACAGCTGACAGTCTCAGCCGCACAGACGAGGTCACAGGCTTCGACGAGGCCATCGATCAAATCACTGCATCGTCACCACACTCCGACACTGTTGCTGCCCCCCAATCCGACAAGCACACTATGAGCTTGCATCGCAACGGGTCTCAGACCACCATCAGACGTCTAGGCTCCAATGGCAGCGATGCCTCTCTCGGCGGTCTCACGAGATCACTCACAAAGTCTACCTCTACATCTTTGCCAACACATCATGAGTTGCCGGCCGGATTGGATGTCCGAGGGGAGGAAGATCATCTGCCCATCTACCAATCCGTTCCGCTCGCCAAGAGAGGATCCCAAAGCTCATCACGCGGCCATCACCGCACGCCGTCTAGGACCAAGCGCCGCTCGCTCTCTTCTGGCGGTCTATCAGATCATCACCCGCCTTCGCTCGGCCGTAAGCCTGTCGACTACCTCTCGCAGCTAGTCCACCTCCAGCCTGCCACCTTTTCGACTTCTACAGAGCAAAACTTGCTTCATCAACTCAGCACCCTCGGTATGGACGTAGGTCAGATGGTCCATAGCGTCGTCACAGATGCATGTGACGCAAGCGGCGCTACATGGTGGATGCTTCTGCGCAAAGCTAAAGTCCGCCAGGCCGAGCAGTCTGCCACCACTTCACCTATTCCTCAAGCCGTTTCTGCACCTGTCGACCAGTCTATGCCCATGGAGGCACCGATCTCGGGCGCCTCTGACCAAAGCGTCGCATCTGCACAAGCTCACACTCCACCGCCACCGCTTCCCGTCAAGGCTCCAGCCAGGTGGTCCGAAGAAGCATCTCGGTCAAACGATCGTCCTACGTCATCCCTGACGGCCTCAAGGTCCGAGGGCTCTCGCCTAAAAGAGGGAAGCAATCGGCGACTGCAGACCGTCGTTTCGCACGAAGAATTAGACGTTTCGTCTGCACCTGCTCTGTACGCCTCTGCCTCAGAGGTCGTCTTGAATGCCGCTTCTGCCGCGCAGCAGGGACTCAACGTGCCGACGTCTGCGTCCGGGCCTGTCGACAGCCTGTCGGTCTCAAACGCATCGCTTCTGAGCGACAGAAGCTTATCAAGCACGCCCGACTCTATGAGCCCTCGACCAAAGTCGCAACATCGTCATACCACGGCCGTTACCACCCCTTCCAAACTGCAACACAGTGTGACGACGATACTAGGCAGCAGCCCAACGTCCGAAGGACCCACAAAAGCACGACGCAATTCGCAGAACGGTCGTCCTCGGAGCAACTCGTTCACTGTCAAGCACTTCGCTCAGAGCGTCCTGGGCACCAAGGATCGTTCGGCCACTTCATCTCCGGTGCGTCCGCCCCCCGATCAAGTCATCGTGGCGGGCGAAGCGCTCCCTATGGAAAGCGTCAAGAGTCCGACGCTTTTCGGTCGTCGCAATACCGTCTCTAATGTCAAAGACTCGATGGTCGGCATTCTTTCGAATCCCTCTACTCCAAAGAAAACCCCAGCCGACATGCTCGACAAGCCTCGGAAGAGCACTGGCAAGAAGAGCAGCGAGGCGGACCTTGACCGCGTCAAGGCTCTCGAACGCAACGCTTATTCTCCATCAGGTTCTCCATCGCGCTCGATCACGACCCAAGCTACTGCTGACAAGGCGAACAACGCTGTACCTTCGACTTCGCAAGATTCCTTCAGCACCATGTCTGCCACGCCTCAAGGCAGTGAAAAGAGCGGGCCGCGTGGCAAAGCTGGCTCTTCTTTCATGGCGACGGTGCGCACGTGGCTCGGAGGCAACGAGAAGCCGGCGAGAAAGTCCAAGACGGACAAAAAAGGTGGCAGCGGAGCGCATCGTGGCCTAGGTATCGACGATGGCACAATCACAGCAAGGTCGCATACCAGCACGGTCAAACATCCTGGCGGTGTGTCCTCGTTGGCACACGGAACGCCTTCGCGCAGCGCTAGCGTGCGACGAAGGTCGGCCCACTATCAGCAGACCTCCACTAGCCGCCGCGGTGGTCCTAGAAGCCCGCACTTGGGCAGCATGAGCCGACGATCCTCGAATGGCAGCTCGTATCAGCCTCATCTCGACATACCCCCCAACAGTTTCCAGCAGAGCATGAATCGACCGGCCAACCCGAGGCGCATGAGTGCCGGCAGTATCACGCCCACAGGTACTCTGTATGGCGACTATGTCAGCGAGCTAGCGGGTGCACATGGTCCTTCGCGGCACAGTCGACCCTCGAGCTCTCATTCGGTGGCCCACTCCAACGCTGCGACACGACCCGGATTGCCTGGCAAAGCCGGATCGACAGGCAGCACTAGCTCCATCTATCGTCATGGACAGGCGGCCAGCGTCTACTCGACGGGTAGCGGACGCCGCCATCCGAGACCTAGTCAGGATGGCGGTACGATCGTCCGAAGGCATCGCACCTACGCCTCGTCTTCGGGAAGTCCGAGCCGGCGCAACTCGTTCCGTCACGATTCGCGGCCATCGTCGATCAAGTCGCGAGCCTCTTCGCCCGGCCGTGCCATGATGGGTATCGGCGAATTTGGCGCAGACGAAGACGAAGATGGCGATGCGGGTGGCCCCATTGCACGACAGTCCACACGCAGCACACCACGCCATTCTCTGGAGATGCGCAAGCCGAGCGACGCAGCTACAGCTGATACATTTGCTACCCACCATCCCCACCACCAACATGTCTTTGCGCAGAGCGTCTTTGTCGCGCACAAATCGCGTTCACCCTATCGACCGCCATCTGCCAACCCGAGTTTGCTCAGTGGCGTTGTTCGCGGACCGTCGCACGTCTCGGGCCGCAGTCCAAAGTTGTCCGCAACGTCAGACAATGACGGGTTTCCGGTGCAGAGCAGCACATCAGGGTTTCCGGCGACTGGCACGGGTACCTGGCGACACTCTTGGGGAAGACCACCGCCTTGCTGGGCAGGATCCGTGGACCCGCCTCCTGCAAGCACGGACCCCGCTGCCAAAGGCGCTTCGAGCGGTGACGACGGAACCGACGGCAGACCTCGACTGCGAGATGTTTTTGCAAACCGGGATGATGACGACTGGACAGACGAAGAAGAAGAGCAGACCTACTCAGGCGGACTGGGCCAGATGGGCTCGCTGTCGTCCACCATCTCGAGCAACGTGGGCCGAGGCAGCAGCAGCACCGCTTCTTCCGCATCGCCCTACGCGACACGCAACTTTGCAGCGCTGGGCAGCAGCAGCGGCTACTCGAGTCAAGGTGCTGCGGGCTTCGAATCCGCCAACGCGTTCCGCGGTGCAGCACCGTTTTCTTCACGCTACGCGGGGGTCCGCAGCATCTTCCAGCCTCCGACGGCAGCTGCACCTGGATTCGGATCTCGATCGCATCAGCCTGTTTCGCTCAGCTTGGGCAACGAGTTCGCGCCGAAGCTGCTGTCGACGACCATTCACTCGCCTACAAAGTCTACGGGTTCGTCACCCGGCGGTCTCGGAAGCATCGGGGAGGCTGGAGCAGGAGAGGAAACCGCAGCGTCGTCAAAGTCAGAATCGACAGGTGGTCAGGCTCAGCAGCAGCAGCAGCAGCAATCGCAGCAGCAGCAAGGCGGCAGTCGTATCACGGCCTCCTTCCACAAGCCTGTCCAGATTATCGAGGAGGAAGAGGAGGACGAGTGAAGTGTGTCTTTTTGAACATGTAGTATTCGCGACCAGCCAGACCAAGGCAGAATATACCCTTTCCCGAGTCGTTGTGCCATTTGCGACGCAGTCTGTGATGAGCTCCTACGTCACTCCTGTCCCGAGACAAATGAATACTTCGTCGTCTGTCACACTTCTCTGTTCATCGTCTCGACCCTCACATTTTCAGATCGCACGCACAACACTCGACACCAGAGATATCTCAAGCTGACATTCACCTCCGTCTATTCGCCATAAACCACCCTTCTGATCCTATCCAACTCGCCCTTACCCCAGCACTCGCCCCTCACGCCCTCCTGCACGGCCTTGACCGCCTCCGCCATATGCCTCTCGTCCTTGGTCCCCGAGAGCACCGTGACCTTCAAGCCGGGAACATTCATCCCGCTCGCCAGGAACGCGTACACCACCTGCTGCACCGTCCACCCCTTCTCGATCGCGATATCACCCACCTCCACGCTCGATAGCAGATTCGGATTTCCCGTGAGACTCCAGAATGGTTGGTACACCACGGGTGGCGCTTTCCCGTTGTCGAAGTCGTTCGGACTCAAGGTGGGGGAGAGGAGGGAGAGGAGAGCGACATCGTGGCCCGTGGTGTAGTGCCATCTGTTCTGTACGATGGCAGGGGGTATGCGGGTAGTGCGAGAGATGGCTTGGAAGATCTCTGTATCGTAGACGTTGCTCAAACCTATCTGCCTGACCAAGCCGAGTTGGACGAAGGATTCCATGGTGGACCAAACCTTCAACGTTCTCTCCAACGTCGTCAGCGGCGAATGCAAAATGTAGCTGTCCAGGTACGCCTCGCCCGCCCTATCACCGTACTCCACACCTGCATCTTCATCACTTGCTCCGCCCGCATTGTGATTCTTGACGATCTTCGCTGCCACCTTTTCCAACGGTTCGAACTCCAACCACGGATGCAGATTCCTCAAACTAGCAGCGAAGCTCTTGCGCACCTGAACCTCGACATCCTCCTGCTCTTCGAACGGGATCAACTCCGGATGCGACCAGTCTTGACCCGAGCGAGGCGTGAACTTGGACTGCACCCAGATATCCTGTCGATCGAGGTTCATCTCGGAGCGTGCGGTGGAGAGGGCCAGTCCTACGTGGTCTTCGCGATAGTGCTTGCGCTGACCGGCAGTATCGATTCCGCGAAAACCGTGTGAGAGCGCGAGGATGGTGAGGTCCGAGGTGTAGTCGCCCTTCCATGCTGTACCGTAGAGTAAGGGTGGGATGGAGGGGAGGCGCGAGCGGGCGGCTGGTGTTGAGGGGATGGCGGTGGTGGATGCGGAACCGGAAGCGGATGCTGCCGCGGAGCCGGAGGCGGACGACGAGGCGACGTTGGACGACATGCTACGTATCAGCCTATGAGGTGGTGAAAGGCGTGAATTCGGATTGATGAGCTTCGTGCTGAGGTGTGAGTAGCGTCGAATGAGTCCGTCTACTGAGCCGATTGATGTGCGACGACTGACAACGGTAGCAAGCCTCCTCGCCGAGAGCAGCGTGCTTGCTGGAAGAATAGGTGGCAGTCGATACTTCTCAGCCCGCCTGTCTTTCCGGCAAGCTGGAGCGTGAGCTTCGGAAGCGTAAGTTGAAGAGAAGGAGGAATGGTTGGAAGCAAGAAAGCAACCCGAAACCAGCTTCATGCCGGACCGCACAACCGTGCGCAGCTCAATTGACCTCAAAAAAGTTCGCGAGGCAGCATTCCAGTCTCTGATTTCCATAGCCGCAATCCGGAAACGCCTAAAAAGCGCGACTCTGACGTGCTCGACTGACAGCCTTGCGTTATTTCGCCGCAAACCACAGCTGTTCAGCAAATACCACTTCTCAAACCTGAACGAACGAGCGATCGTGAGAAGCCAAAATGTCCATTGTTCTTCTGGTTCTTCTGGTGGAAATGAGGGAGAAAGATACACGATACTTCAAAGCGCGATCAGGTCTTTCGGAAGCACCTCGTCGAGTTCCTCTTGACCCAGTACACCAGGCATCCAACGAATCTGAAAGCCGAAAGTCCAAACGTCGCCCACAGAATGATCCTGAAGTACGTCGACTGCTTGGAACTCTGCTCCAGCTCGATCTCCTTGTTGGTGAGACCCGTGTTGAGGCCGTTGACGTTCTCGATCGCCACGGTGAGCGCGCCGTTGGAGAGCAGCCAGAAGGCCACCAGGCGCGTGCGGAACGTCTTGTTGCTGTCGTCCGCCGTCGGCCTCTCCACCGCCTGCTCCGGTTTGAACGGTGCAACGGCTCGCGAGACGACGGCTTTGAACGTCTCGTCGATGTCGTCCTGATGACGTTCAATTTCTTCCACCGTGCCTGGTTCGGTGGACTTGTCTATCTTGGTGTCCACAGTGGGCAGTGCGTCGGCTTTGTCCGATCCCTTGGTACCCCAGCTGACGTCGTGCAAGTTGCAGAAGGCGTACACGTTGAGGATGTTGATGAACGAAGGTGCGATCATCATGTACTGCGGGAACGAGGTAACCATATGCCAAGGATCCGCGTACAGGATCGACGCAACCAGATAAATACCAAACGTCGCCGCCAGCGCTGCGATCAATACCCCCGTCGTCTGGTTGAACAGCGTATGCCAGATGTCTCCCGACACACTCGTCTCCAACAACGCCCTGAGCGTCAACCATAGCGAAACAACAATCAGGTACAGACCCAACAGTCCAAACACGATGAACGAAGCGATGTACGTCGGCTTCTCTCCCTTCGGTCTATTTCCCAACGCCAGAACGAATTGGAGAACCAAGAACGCAACGTAGATCCACTTGGCCGCCTGGTTGATCCAGTGGAAGACGACCAGCGTCGTGTGCGAAGAGTTCTTCAACAGCTCGTCGGGGAGGAACTCGATGATGATCGAAAACGTCAACCAAAGGTTGGCCAGTGCGAACCAGGAAAAGATGAGCACGATGGCGTTATAGAGCGCCTGGATGTGGAAGAAGAACAGACGGATGATGCCGTGGTTCGACTTGTAGATGCGGAAGAAGTGCACCAACGAGTAGATCGAAGCGGCAAAGGAACCGTTGAGCCAACGTCGACGTTGCGAGATCAACTCGGCCGCACCTTCGGGCACGTCCGTCTCACCTTTGCTCGGCTTGACGTAGGTCAGTGTCCACCGATCGCCCGCCTTCGCCACCAGTTCGAAGCACAGGATTCGATCCTCTGCCAAGAACATGTTCTTGGTGAAGATGTCCATGCCGTGCAAGCCCTTCTTACCGAGCCTGTCGGCCAGCGTGTGGTCACCGTGGAAGTACTGCTGCAGCGGTCTACCCTGGATCGCGCGGAAGCGGTAGGCGCTGAACGCACCGGGAAGCACGCTCACGTATCCGAACGTCGACTCGAGCGGCTTGTCCAGGATATTGGACATCTTGTACTCGAAGTTCTGCGCTGCAACGAGCGGGTTGACGAGCTTGCGACCGTTTTTGATCATGGCGTGGATCTCTCCGCACGCACCGCCGAGGTTGGCGTTGTTGTAGAAGGCTTCCCACAGGTAGTAGAGCGACTTGTGGCCCGGTTTGGTACCTGCGTCGATGAGCACGCACAGTTCGGGTTGGAGGTGACGTCCGAGCGCATTGAAGAGCCAGCGATGGCTGTTGATCTTCTTGCTGTTCTTCTGCTTGAGACAGAAGATCATCTGTACGGGGACCAGGTTCGAAGCGTCGTCGCCGTGAGGTTGGATGAGCGCAGGTGTGGGATCGACCGAGAGCTGCGTAGTGTACTCGAAGAGATGGGCGACAGTATCTTTGCCGTCGACCTTTCGCTTCATGACACCGTCTTGGTAGACACCGACGGTAGCCAGCAGATCCAGCACCTCCTTGTCGCATGGGTCGATGCCGTCGAAGATGAGACTGACGACGATGCGCTGCCAACCCGGACGACCTTCCTCGGCGGACCTCCTCCAGAACTTGGACGACTTGCTTTTGCAAATGTCACGGATGTTGAGCATGACACCGTGCAGCGTCCTGGCGAGCAGGATGCGGTCCTCGTTGTAGTAGGTGATGGCGATGAGCAGTTCCGTGTCGCGACCGTACTGCTGCGAAGTACGCAGGCTCCAGCCGTTTTCGAGCGTAAACTCGTCTGGGTCGCAGGTGGCGGCGGTGTATCGCATGTGGGTGAACTCCTGCGTGCGGTTGTTCTGAGCCCATCTCGGCTCGACCGAGTTCTTGACGGCGGTGGGAACGGGGTGGTCGACAATCCAGTGGCCTCGAGTGAGCTTTACCTTCTTGGTGAGACCTCGCTTGGGTGCTTGTTGACGTTTGGCCCATGCCACCTGACTCGCGCTGTCCTCGGGACCGAGAGCGGAGGAGTAGGACGAAGGTCCTTCGTAGGTGGTTGGAGTGGGCAAGCCGCTCTGCACTGGGAGGTTGTAGTTGCTGTGGCTGTTTTGGGAGAAGCCGTACTTCTCATCGGCAGAGTCTGTGAGTGGGATGTGGTCCTCGTCGTAGGAGTACATGCCGTGACCTTCCGAGTTGCCAGGAGCGAGTGTCTGAAGACTGTGATTCTCGCCTCCGTAGAAGGGGTTTTCCGGGTGCATGCTTGTCGAACTTCCGTAGGCACCACCAGGGTTGGCGTAAGGTAGGTTGGGTTGCCTCAGCGGGTCATCCTGTACCGGTCGAAAACCGCTCAACCAGCGTCGAAGGGAAGACATGATGGGACGGTTTGGACAGTGTCGTTCGTTGCGGTGAGGAGTTCAGGTGGTCGTGACGGTCATAGGAGGAGGGCGTTGTAGGAGCAGAGAGAGCGGTGCAAAGAAGAGGATCGTTCAAGAGTCAGTCTCGTTTCGCTAGAAAGGGGAGCTTGCATCCAGCACAGCGCACTGTAAGGGCACCAGCTTGAGGCTGTGGAGCCAGCGAATAAGTGGACATGGCGAGATGAAAAAACACTCACGGAAAGTTGATAGGATCGCTGCTGCTGCTGCTGCTGCTGCTGTCGCCCATAGTCACGACGTTGGCCGGGCCGCGTCCGGTAGGCGTCGTAGCTCATTGTGGGTTGCGGTGGGTGTGAGACCGTGCACAAGGTGCAAAGGTGGACTGTATGCGGTGTCTTGGGTGGAAATGTGCGGTGTGCCGACGAGCCGATGCGAACAATGGCGATGGCAAGGCTTGGACCTTTTGGTGGTGCAGTAGGCCGAGCTAATCAACCCACTCTGCAGATGAGTTGCGCTGCACGGAAACTTGCAATCGAGTTTGCGGGGTGCAGAGCGCGATCGCGGTGTTCCGCGACTACAATAGATGGTGATGATAGTGGTGAGGGTGGTGGTGAAGCTGATGGCGACGACAGGTGTCCAACGATGTCGAGTAGCAAGAATGAACCTTTGACCAGCCGGCGCTGAGGGAAATGTCGAGAACAACAGAATGATAGGACAAAGGCGCCCCAAATCGTTTGACGTGCATGCAAGGAGGTTCGCTCTGGGGAAATGCCGTTGCCGGCGCCCTCGCCTTGTGCGCAACAGACCCGCTGTCACTTTTCATTGATGCGTCTTGGCTGTCTCACTTTTGATCGACGAAGCAGCTCCATCGATAATTCATCTCATTCGATGCGCTTAACCTTCTCCTTCTCTGCGTCAATGAAGCTGAACCAAGCTGCTCCACGATGCCATCGCACTAGAGGTCAAGTCACGACGCGAGTGAGGTGCAAGTAGAAGCGCTGCGAAGCAAATTAGCTATTGCAGAAGCACACCTCGTTTGATCGCCGACCAACGACGTCAACACGACTCGAGAAGCGAGGCTTGCATCAGAGCGGAGTTGGAAACGCACCATTCAGCGCAGTCTATTTTTGAATGAAAATCCCCCTCGACTCTCGGCTCGAACGCTGAGCGGCGAATACTTCACACCCCGAGACACAAAGCACACGAGATGCGAAACGAGAGACAGGGGTCGCCATCAAGACATGCTTCTGCAGATCCTTTTGTTCATACGCAACTACAGTATCATTGCACGCAAGGTCTAGTTGTTTCAGGTGGATGATAGCGGAACAGTTGAGCTAGTTCATCCGATGACGGAACGTGTGTCTACCTTTGACCCGCCTGACAACTTGAAAATCGAAAACAAGTGTTCGATTTGACCGGTAGCCTATCCAACGAGACACATCATCTTTTCTCATCTTCATGGTCATAGTGGCGCACAAAGATCGCCAGCAACATCCATCACATGCGCAGCTCGCAGGTCATCAACTGGCTCCACCCGATCTGGGAGTCGCTAAGCAAAGTCGATCTGCATTGTGATGAGCTCCAGTCAACGATGCTCTCTAAGAGCGCACCTGGTGGAGGATCCGCGTGGATGCAGCTCCGCGCAAATCATGCGTGTCTGCACTTCGGTGCGGAAAATTGCAAATTGCGACGCCAAAATCGCCGTGCCGTGCCGCGCATGTGTTCCTTTTGCTGTGCTCTGCCGCGTGTGGCTTTGGCCGATCTGCTTCGTTGCTACCAAAATCCAGCAGCGCCAACGCCTCGAGGCTGTGTTGCGCCATCACGCTTAGCCTTCAAGCTTCCTTGGTCCATGCTGTCCATCGACATCAAGTCTTGCACAGCCTTTGAGGGAAGCCACTTTCGCATGTGCTGTATTCCGCAAACCTTACCCATCGTCCGTCCGCTGTGATCGCTGGTGACTCAACCTGATGTTGATCGCCTCGTTGATGATCCTATCCACGTCCAACGGCGGCAGACTATCCAGCATGCTCCTCGTCTCTGACCTGTCCAGCTCCTCCAGCGAATCCTTGCAGTTGGTCAGAATCGCAATGCACACGTACAGATGCAGATCCATGAAGTCCGGTAACGCAAAGTACGTATCCCACAACCGCATGAGATCCTCAATCCGCAGTTCCCCTGCCAGAAGATGCTGCAGCCAATTGGTCGCGAATCCGATAATGTCGACCTCTTCCTCTTCAAAGTACGAATGAAGTTCGGGCAGCGTCGTACGGAAGAGCGTGAGGAACGTCGCGACTTGTCGCGGTAGCGGATGGCGTGCACTGTGTCGTGCCATGAGCGTCATGAGCTTTTCAAACGCGAAGTACATACCCGCTTCCACGCGCACGCATTGCACAAACGGTGCGCAGAGGTACACCAGCGCAGGGTGGAACTCGGCGCATGTTCCGCGAGAGCCAGAGTTGCTGTCGTGCACTTGTGGTTGCCACTCGTACTCGCGCGGCATGCGCGATCGTACTGCCTCTTCCACGCTCGCGTTGCTTCGTCCGGGTGGCAAGCTCGAGGTGGTGACACCGCTGTTGCTCGCGCTGCTGATGGATCCCGCTCGTGAACGAGACCGTGAGCTTGTGCCGCTACCATGCGCATGGCGTCTTGTTCCTGGATCGTCGACGTATTTGAAGGTGCCATTTCCGTTGCCGCTATCTGCAGGCCTAGTGGATCCGAACAAGTCATCTTCAGTATCCTTCCCCGCTTGCGCACGACCTCTTCCGCCGTCTGATTGCCTCGAATCAACCGTCTGAGCAGTTGACGAAGCGGTGCCGAATGTCTCCGTGCTCTTTGCATGTCCTGTGTCACTTGCTTCCTGTACCGTCTGTTTTCTTGCTTTCTCTGCCGCAGAGCATCGGTTCATGAAAGCGCAGATGATGTTTTCCACGTTGTGGCCAAACCGTTTCAGCTCGAACGCTGCAGCTGCATCCGGATCGTCCGCATCCATAGCAGCCGAGACACCGCTCTCTCCAATAATGCCGCCTAGGGCTCGAATCCTACCATCGTTGACCCGATTTGGACCCCTATCGATCCCGTTCAGCATGGTTGTTGCCAACGCTGCTCCATTCGATCCCGATACCACACTGCCATCGATCGACGAACCCGTCAAACTTTGCGTCGAGACCGAGCCATCCATCGTATACTCTCGTCCCATTAGTTTGCTGCTGTTGGACGCACTCGTCGCCAGTCCTGTTGCAGAAAACCCACCAGGTGGTCGCGAGAGCACACTTCTCGAGCTCCTCATCAGCGTCCTCCCTGGAGGAGGTCTTGTACCCAATCGTTTGGCGTAGTACCGTTGGCATTCGCTTCGAACGCGTTTCTCGAGCGCCGGGTTGTGCTTGTCGAGCGCCTCGTACGCGAGGTATTTGCTTCGAACCGAGGTCATCTCTTGTCCCTTGTCGTCGCTGAGAACGCCGAGAAGGTAGAGCCACACCTCGCCGCGCACCGATGGCTGTACTCCGTGACGAGCGAGATCGCGCAGCTTTTGCAGGTCGACATGCTGCTCTGCGTTGAGCAGCTCGACAAATTCCTCGACCGTGGAGGAGCTCATACTGATATGGTTGGACCTGTAGCTTTCGCTGCGGTGATGTAGCGAAGGGATGAGAGTGCTGGCGGTGAGACAAGTACAGGCGAGTGATCAGCAGGTGTCGGCTGTGCGGAGTTGGACTGAATCGTCGTTCCGAGCAGTCTCGGCATCAACCTCAGCAACGCTTGAGCCGCGTCATGGCGTTTGATCGAGCCCTCGTTGAGAGGTGGTCGGGTTGGGTTGTGAGATGATCGATGGCCAGAGGTGTCCTGCAAAGCCTTTGCGAAAATCGGACCCTTGATTTCAGCGAGTGGAGCCAATAGGCTCAATCAACCGCGCCTCACGTCGTCAGTGCTCGAAACCCGTTGTTCAAATTCTCGTCAAATCATCTCTTGGAAAGCGGCACAATTCCGAGAATCCTACACCTTGCTTTTGCAGGTGATCATAGGGATCGAGTGTTGCAAATGACATTCGTAAGATAGAAATACAGGGAAAAAGTGTCTGGACATGATGCTGCGAGCGACTTGCGGCTTGAGAGGACAACAATATGTGGCTAGTCGGGAAGCACAGGAATCTGTTTTTGGTGCGTACTTCACTTCTGTGTAGTCGTCGCCTCTTCATTGGCGACCGCAGCTGGTGCACTCCAGGATGCCCATGAGCGCCAGCCTCCGCCCGACAAGGACGAAGATGATACCTCGGCTGCTGGTCTAGTATCCGCCGCACTCGCAGGTCCGTCAACCGCAGCCTTCAAGGTGTCTGCTGATGGCACCGGTGCCGGAGCAGAAGGTTCCTTAGCAGCCGAATACGGAGTGGCTGTGGACGTCGGCGCCGATGCTGTGCTCGTCGAGACGGAGCGACTCGCACTGGGCCGCAAAGCGGAGAAGCTTGGGAGTCCGAGGCCGAGCGAGGCACGCTTGCTGCCACCTTCGTCTGCGGATGCACCGCTATGACCGGCGATCTTGGCCGCCGACCTTTCGTTGAGCTTTTGCAAGGCACGAAGCGCTCCGCCGCCGCCAGCACCAGCTCCCGAGGTCGAGCCGCTAGCCGTGCCAGATTCATCAGGCCTGATGGAGTTCGCGTTCCACATCACGCGCTCAGCACGCAGCTCAGACAGCTGCGACGACAATTGATGTGCTCGATCCCGATCCGAAAGCGAGAGCGAGAGCGATGCCGTCGGGCTGACCAGATTCGAGTAGACCGAGGCACGTCGGGCCGATCGTTGCTGCTGGCTGGGCAAATCATTGCTGTCGTGGTCTTGGTTGTCGCTTCCAGGCTTCCAAGGCGTAGAGAGAACATCATGGATGGCGTGCATGCTGCCAGGAGTCGGAGGCGATGCTGAAGAAATCGAATCTTCCATCGCGCTGTCAAAGTACGACGAATCAGACGGCGTTTCGGTGCGCGAGGATGTTGATGCGACGGCCGAGGGCATTCCAAGTAGAGCTGCCAGCGTCGATTCGGCCACGGTGGATGCTACGCCTACAGCCGCAGACGACTTGGAGGTGGAAGAGGTAGCGTAGCTCGGTTGGCCAGGCGCACTCCTTCTCGTCGGCGGCCGCATAGCGTTGTCTTCGCGAACTGTTGCCTTTGAGAGCAGGGTGGGCTCTGAAGGTGCAGACGAAACATCCGGCCGGAGGGTGGCCATCAACGAAGGCCGCATCGGCGGCTGCCTCGAGCCGTCCGAGTCGGTAGCATCCACCCGAGACCTTTCTGCTGCGATCGTTGTTCCGGCGACTAACGCAGGGCCGTTGGACACTGTCAGGCTCGAGACAGGGCCCGAAGTCGAGGCCATGGTGGGAGCACCGAGCTTGGTCATGAGCTTCATGGCGCCAGATGCGCGAGTGTCGTGGCTAACCGAGCGTTTCTTCTGAGGCGTCGTTGTGCTGCTGCTGGACGGTGTAATAGCTGCTAACTCCGACGACGGGCGACGTGAGCCGGAAATGGCGTTCGAAGTTGCAGCTTTCTGGGGTGTCGTCTCTTCTGCAATGCTCGACTGCACGGAGCTGAAGTTGGAGATAGAGAAGGCACGTCTGCTGGAACTACTGTTGTTTCGTCGTTGTGCTGCGACCGCAGAGGGTGGCGAAGCAGTGGGAGAGGGAGTCTGGAGCATGCGCTCGAGTCGTTTGGCGGCTGTCTTGCCGATGGTTGCGTCTCGATCGAGCGCTTGTACGATGCCTGTCGCCGCTGCATCTCGCACGTGAACCTCTGCCGGATCAGCGAGAGTGGTTAGCTGGCTCGTAGACGCACCAACGGAAGGATGACGCATGCCACTTGCAGGCGAAGTGAGCTTTTGCAACTCTGCGGAAGTCTTTGAGACAAAGTCGGTCATGTCTGTAACGGCTTGGATCTGTCGTCGTAGATGCGCTTCTCGAGCATCGAGATGCGAGTCCAGAGCCGCTTCCATGGCGTTGAGTTGTGCAAGCTTGGCGCGAGACGAGAGCGTGTCGAGGACAAGGCGATTGGAAGCCTCAAGCGCCTCCATGGTGGCAGCCATGAGCCTGTCTATCCTTTGTGTCATGACGTCATCATCATCGTCAAAATCGTCGTCGTTGTCATTGTGGTGCTGTGGGTCGGTGCATGAATGTGGTGTGTGAAGCGCGTCGATATGGTTTGCATCCGTCAAGACAGCTTTGAACTTGGTTAAGTCGGATAGATCGGCCATCTGTTCGTCCTCGTCATTGTTGAGAGTGGCAGATAGATCATTGAGGCTCGATGCATGGCTCTCCGATCGAGCCAGAAGGGTTTGCGGGGCGTCGTCCAGAAGGTCCACAAACGTGAGGTCGCTGACGCGATTCCGGCGACGATGCGCAAAAGTATCGACGCAGGTCGAGGTGGTCGAGTCAGCGCGGCTGCGGATCGTGTCATGAGGATCAGCGGCAAGCGTATGTGTCGACCATCGAACTGGAGAATGCTTCAAGGAAAGGTCGAGATCTGCTTGTTTGGTGGTCGGAGCAGCGCGAGACTTGGTGGCAGCGTTTTGCATCCATTTGGTCGGCAGCCGCGACCTGGTCTGGCCTGCCGACGTTATGATGGGAGGCGACATTGCTCGCCAAGGCTACCCTGAGCCGCAGGCAAGCTTCAAACGCTTCGCGAGAGTATACCGAGTGCTACCTTGCGAAGTAGACCATGATCAAAGACATGCAAGAAGGTCGAGCTGTTTGCCGCAATCGTGAGCAGCTGCCGCCTCGTGCGTTAGAAATAGATGTCAAGGCGACGGGGTCGGGAGTCGCTGTGTGCTCCTATACGAAAGGCTAAGTCTGAAGCAGTGATTGATGAGAAGGTGTGACAGCAAGCAAGTAAAGTGACCGTCCGATGGATGACGAGCGGCTGTGGAATCGTCGGCAAGCAGGATCCACGGCACGCATTCCAGTGGCCTGCACAAGGCAAACACAGCAGGCAAACAAGAGACCCTGAGCTGCTGAGCCAAATCTGGAATTTGTCCCAAATTTAATCGTGAGGGCGGCCAGGCTGCCTCGAGACGCGCTCACGGGTTTAGGGACGCAGACTCGCTTTGTACCTGTCTGTTGCTTTGCCGAACGCGGTGTCAAAAGTGTCAAAAGTGGAGCTTTGTTTTGATTGCGGGCTCGAGGTGTTGCTGCTCACCAGACTGTAAGCGCTTCGGCCACGGGCATGGCTGGATGGGACCGCTTTTCACACGTCAATGTAGTGCTTGGAAGCCTTCCGAATCGGTCACGATTTACGCCATTGAATGCTGATGTATCACGTCGATAATGGGATCGACCAGCACGCAGAGAGTGCGCTATGCAGGCCGTATCGAAGTGAAAGCCGATCGGATCGAGGAAGCCCCTGAGCCTTGGGAAATTTGGCGTGTCGGAAAGGCCGCAGGACACGGAGGCTGTGGACCGAATTTTGGCAAACTTCACTTGCCAATTTTGGCAGAAGGTAATTTGATTAATATCAGGAATTTAGCACCCATCATCCCAGCATCACCACACCAGCGTCGAGGAGACAGGATCGACTCCGGTCACCAGAGAGACACTTGCTGATTGCAGCAATTATTCCAGCAATCAAGATTTGAGGAACATGAGTGGCGACATGTGGGTCACAGCCTGCCAAGCTCACAGCGTAGATCAAGATACCAATGCAGACCGATAGACAACATTACATTAATTGGTCCTTGCCTGTTCAGCTCGACGTCGACCTCGGAGGGAGAACCACATCTCTATGACTCTCTCAACCGCACACTGGATAAAATATCATTTGACATCATTTGCTCATTGCAAAGAGAAACCCGGGGACCGAATCGTGAGAAAGTACATATAAGAAAAGCCACCCAAGAAATGCGCCAGACGGGACATGTTTGACAAGCGCAATTCACCACAGCAACGTTGCTAGGAGGTGGTTCTGGTATAGAAGGAGCATCGAGCAACCAGTGTGCAGCGTAAGCTGTCGCAGCCACTTTAGATGGTGTAGGTGAAACCGGGACGGTCGTCGACAACCTTGCGGCCAGCACGGATCTTCTTGTTGGCGGCGTAGAAGTAGACAGTGAAGCCGATGCCGCAGAGCACGTTGAAGGCCTGGCAAGCGATGGTGGCGTACAGACCCTTGCGGTACAGAGGAGCATCCTTCTCGTTGTAGGCGAGCGAGGCAAAGATACCGCCGATACCGCCGAACATGATGACGATGACCGAGGTGAACGACTTCTTACTCTGACCGGCGACGTTGTTCTGCGAAAAGTTGAGCACGAAGGGAATGTTGGCGTTGGCTCCCCAGACACCGAGGAAGCACCCGGCGAGCTGTACGGAGCGATGCTTGGTGGCAAACAGCATGCCAAGACCAGCGATAGTGAGGATGCACTGCCCGATGAGGATGGGCATGCGGACGTAGTAGCGATCGGCGATGACGGCGGTGCCGAAAGCACCAACCATGGCGACGCAGTAGGGAGCAGCACCGAGAAGGAACGAGTCCTTGATGCTGTAGCCGAGACCTCTGAGAATGACAGGCAAAAAGTAGGCGAAGCCATAGGTAGGCATGGTGGTGCACATGAACATGAGTCCGTACAGCCACACCTTGACGTCCGTGGCGTACTTGGCAGCCTTGCGCCAGGTGAGAGCATCGGGCTTGGCGTCACCACGGTCGCGCTGGATACGAGCCAGGATCATGTCGCGCTCAGCGATGGTCAGGAAACCCTTCTCGGCAGCCTTGTCGGGGAAGTCGAGGATGACAAAGTAGGCGATGACGGCCAACACAACGGTGAGCAAGCCTTCGATGATAAAAATCCATCGCCAGCCTCGGAATTTGCGGTCAGAAACCTTGATGAGCGACATGCCGTAGGCAAGGATGTTGGAGAAACCAGAAACACCGACCGAGATGAGGTAGAAGGCAGACATTCGCACCTGCGACTCCCTTCGGACGTACCATGTCGAGATGAGCCAGACACAGGCGGGGAAGAAGCCAGCCTCAAAGGCACCGATGAGGGCACGAGTGGCAGTCAACTGGTGCCTCGTCTTGACGAAACCTTGACCGAGCATGACGATACCCCAGCAGAAAGCGAGGAACGACAGCTGCTTGGCGGCACCGATCTTTCGGAGGAGCAAGTTGGAGGGCATCTCCAAGAGGATGTAGGGAACGAAGAACATGAGCAGAGGGATCGAGTAGTTGGTACCAGCGGTGAGCCTGAGTTCGACACCGGCACCAGCGATACGAGCTGCGGACAAGTTCGTTCGGTCGATCAATGCGATCGAGTAGAGAGCACCGAGGATGGGCAGCAGGCGCATGTCGACCTTTCGGCGCACACGCTTGACCTCAGCCTCGTCGAAGCCGGCGTTGATGTCCTCTTGGATCTGGTTGGTTTCGGGATCCTGCGAAGTGGACCCTCTGGTCAGGGTCTGAGCTTGAATGGGGTAGCCGAGGGTTTCCTTCTCCTCAGAGTGGAGGGACCCAGAGCGGTCTCGCGTCTCAGCGGCCGACATAGTGACTGGAGTGGCGAGGGGGAAGGGGGGAAGCGAGCCGATTGAGATGAAGTGTGAAGGCGTGAGCCGAAACGAGGAAGAGCAAAGTTTGCTGCTGTAGCGAGTCTCTCTTGAGAAGGAGAGGGGGTGAGAGGGGAGTTGACGGAAAGCCAAACGAGGGGAAGGAGACAAGAAGACAGCGACTTCTTATACGTGACAGGTTGGAGGTTGGACGCCTGGCAGATGCATGATCAGGGCGTACTGGAGCTTGAGCTTGGCAAAGAAAGTCGCGGTGCGCAGCGAACTCGATCTACGATTCAGGCACACGGCGCGTTTCCAAGGTGTGGGGTGCATGATTGCTGCACCAGTCGCCCATCCCTTGCGCCAGCTAACTTTCAGTCGACCTGATCAAAGCGCAAGTGCGGGGCCAGGCGGGATAGCGATGGCTTTCCTTGAAGCGTAGCGCGCGACAAGGATAGCACCGCAGGGCAGCGCAAATCATGATGGAGACCATGCAAGAGACCCCTTCGCTGAATCCAAACTCCGCCGAGACATTGGGTGCCTCACTCAACGGTATGGACAAGCTTGTCCGAGCCGGTAAGAGCGAACGCGAGATGAAGGAAAGAGGCCATCTGCACAAAGGGACACCATGTGCTGCTCGCTTGGAGTTACCCCAGTCCGGCAAAGAAACATCGAGTACCGAAGAGGCGATCGCCGACTTGGATTCAGATGCGCCCTGGTGCTGGCTGCGCGCCAACCGCACGAGCAGCGATGAGAGCAAGGTCATGTGGGGAAGCTACCATCCAACCTTGGGACGTAATGCCCACCTCTCCCCAGAGAGAAAAGCTTTCGAGGGCAGATGCTGTGGTGCATCAATAAGACACTGGGCGACACGGGCTGACGGGACAGATATTGTGCAGAATTTCGAGGCAACGAGGTTGGACTAGGCACACGAAGAGGGGCTGCAGGCTTTGGAACCTCTCGTGGCTTCCGCATTGTTTGAGTGGCGGTGTGCCTCGTCGCTGTCGGTGCCAAGAACTCTGGGATGGGTGGGGACATCATGCCTCTCGCACTGATGGACGCATCTGGCCTGTCACAATGGCACGATTCGATTTTCTTACCCCACTCGTTTTTGCCGCGTGGCAGAATTCCGAGACACCCTTCTTCGACTCGTGGCAATTTCCTCTGCGATTCCGCCTTTCGAGGCTGGCTGCGCCAAGAACAGAGGCTGCATTGGCGAGGATGCTCCAACGGGAATGAATTCGAATTGAAACACCAGCGACAAGATGCCTCAAAGCCGATTCTCTTCCAGAGCGCTTCATTGCACCGCCTTGCAGCAGCTCTTGCGTTCAGTGGAGTGATCCCAAGCCGCGTAGTAATTGCAGTTGAAGCTTGCTGGTGTTCGTGGATCGAGCGCCACCGCACGCCGCCGCGTTCAGGTCGAAACCAAAACTTTCGACGTGGCTCGCCCTGGACTGATTGGCCATTTACGAGCCCTCTCGACTGCATGCAAATGCTCGAAAGCCCAGTGGCGGATTGCTTGGCACCAACAGACCTGCGCCTCAGTATCATTTCCGCAGCGTTTGTCCTCTCAGCTCGAACTCGCGGGTCAACTCGATGATCATCGCTCAGCATCACCAAACTCCCTTGCTGCTTCTAGCAGATGGACCGCCGCTCGGAGATGTTTCTCAACCCCGGGCCGAAGGCTTTGATTCAAGCGCCGCTCTCTTGATCGCTTCATTCCCAGTATTGTATTGTGGGGAGGGTGAAGCACCGCAGTGCGTAGATGATAGTACAAAGCCCGCGACAAGTCTCACACTGAGGATAGATGAATGAATGAAGGAATGACGACAGGGCAGATTGATCATGGTGGAGGCTTACTCGAGGTGCAGTAACACACCATAAAAAGAGATGCCTCACACTCTGGCATTCCCTCAATGACCAACATGGTGACACACTAGAGTGACATTGCCAATCACAATGTACTAAGCAAGGGAAACTGTGTGGGGGAGGCAGATTCTTGGCGAGTCGCCGAGTCCACCCTCGTGTATCCGTGTCAGGCTCAAGCTTTCTTTGTCCGATCCTATTGACGCAGATTCGGGGCTTGCATGAATCTCTGCGAATCTTCAATCGTGCACAAAAAGCGAACTATCTCGAACCAAGCCACATGGGCGCGGTCTGGCCCGGGGGCTTTTGGCAGCTGTGCTCTCATTGGTCGAACAAGCTGTACCGGTTCGTGGCTCATCGCCCCGCAATCTTTGTTGTCTATCTTAATGGACCGTCTTGACCCATCGATATCTTCTTTCCTCTTTTGTGTCGCGAGAGCGAGACAGAGACAGCAGACAGTCGATGTATTACAGCTGGAAGGAGCGCGGGAAGCGGTGGACCAGTACGCATTCTATGCCAACTTTGCAGTCGCGCGCCAAGACAAGTGACCAGGAACGCACCGCTGTCGCGTTCTCGGAAAAACCACATCTTCCCCGCACGCACTCGATCCGAATCGAACGATACTCGCCCTCCAGCCATCTCGCCACTGTGTCACAGTACGTTACCTGTTGGCGTTCTGCTTTTCGAAGATAGGCGAGAGAATCGTATTTTGCAACACCGCTCAGCACTAGCGTCTCAGGGTCGGAGTAAGCAGGAGGTTGAAATTGCTGCCCCGCTCATTCTTCGCTCTCCCTCTCCTTACTCCCCCGCATTCTGCGTTCTGTCTCGCTGACAGGACCGCTTCCTTGGCAAGGTCCTAGAGCGAGTCATCAAAGACCAAAACAATCTCATTTTTTGGAATCCCGCCTGCACATCTACTCTTCTCAAAGGAAACCATCTCATGACAAGGCAATCTCCCCATTACTCTCCGCACTCCAAGTCGCTCTCCGAGCCTCCGGCTTCTTCTTTCTGCCGACCGCACTTGCCGGATAACCGAAGCTTTTAGTGCCACCCTTTTGAACGCAGGTCGTTCTCCACGTATTCCTAAATGCGCTGATAGGCGGATCAATTTGCACCGGTCAACCTGTCTTTTGCCCCCTCCAAAAGGATTCCTTGGCTCATGCAGCGGAGCCCCACATGTTGTGCAGGATCGTATTAGAGTACCGTAAGACGGACAAAAGGGCGATGCAAGGTCAGGATCGGATTCGTGCAAGGAAGCCAAGCGGTCCTGTGGATGCCAAGGGTACTAGGAGTGGGTTGCCTGCAGGGACGACGAGCGATGCTGCTGGTAGATCTTTCCGATAAAGACGGCATCGTCGTGTTGGAGTTTCGCGCCGGCTTGCTGCCTGACCCTGTGTGTGATGTAAGCAGCTGCGTATCTGTGATTGCTCAATCCCCGATTTCATGTGCCATCGCGATAGTCTCCTTTGGAAAGCCTTGCATTGACGCAGCGAGCAGGTCAGATAATCTGGCCATTGACTTCGGTCAATTAAGCCAGTTATTGGGTCCCATCTTCAGCCAGGCTTTCTTTCAAGATTGCATCGTGCGCGGAGCTCCGACATGCTCATCCAGAGGGTCTTGTCCGATAGCCATAGAACAGTGTAAAGAGGACGCTGAGGGACTCAGATCGGAAGCGGCCCAAGATGACGCTGGTGAAAGATGAGCAATTTCTGCTTGAGTCGAAGAGCCAGCTTTAAACCCACGCTCAGCCGTTGGCAACTCGAAGAAGAGAAACTAGTGCGATTGCAAGAACGAGCAAGCAAGCAAGCAAGAACAAGAAAGAGAGCGAAGCAGTGGTCCATCCAGTGGCATCCACCAACTCCTATATCGGTATACATGAAACGATCGATTTTAGCTAATGTCCCTATTGCATCATACCAACACCGACGCCCCGACGATGAGCAGCGACATGATGACGACCAACATCGCTGTGTTCACCCGTGCCATCTCCGCCACCCCACTCGTCGACGACCCACTCCCCGAATTGGCAGAAGTGGACTTGTTGACGCTCGTAACATTCTTCCAGCCCTGGGGTCTCCAGCCCAGCTGCACATTTTTCGTATCATCGAACAACGCCGACGTGCCCTCCAGACTCGAGTAGACCTTCTCGGCGTTGTGATCCGCATCGTAGACCACAGTCAATCTGTGGTTCAGAGTGTTTCCTGTCAGGTTGCCCCACGAGACCATCCCGGGTAGTGCACCGGGGAAGCCAGTCAGGTCCTGATTCGTTCCGGCGAGCGTGTTGATGTATCTCCACCAGCTGAGGTTTCGATCGCGACGAGCAGCACCGCCTTGAAGTTTGGCCATGCAGGTGTTGTCACCGTCTGGTTGGGTGTCTTGGTAACCCACGACCCAACGAACGTCACGCGTGGCGAGTCGTTGGAAGTACTGCTGGGGAGTGAGCAGACCGGAGGAGGAGGTGCCGTTGAATCGGTCGAAACCGTAGCGCCAGCGGTTGTACAGTGGACAGGTGGATTTGTTGGCGACGCTCGCGTCTTGAAGCGGTCGATCGAGCGTATAGTAAGGGTTGGAAGAAGGATCACCCACGACGTACCTCAACTTGATGTTGCTCGAACTAGGAAGACCCGCTCCCGCCATGGCATACCTCGAAATCAACTGCGCACCACCACCGTGTCCCACAAACGTGATCAACTGCATCTTGGGATACTTTCGAGTATCGCTGAATTCGGCCAGCAACGCATCCAACGCATCGAAGCTCGTCACGTTGCTCCCCGTCGGGTGGTTCGCTGCTTCGCCCGCTTGCCAAACATTGACATCCGCAAAGGCCAATTGATTGCTCGAATACTGACCAGAGTTGAGCTTGGTGGAGTAGAACTGCGGCGCTGTGATGATCGAAGTCGAGACGGCGTTGGGTGTTTTGGCAGAGATGGCGGATTGAAGGACGTTGTTGAGGATGGTCCAGTAGTTGGCACCGTCACGAAGTTTGCCGTGCATCATGATGTATGCGTTGGTGGCGGTGGAGTTTTGAGGGTTCGAGGTCCAGTAGGTAGCGACGGAGGCTGCAGATGTGACGGGAAGAGAGACGAGGGAGGCGCCTTTGGGGATGGTGACACGTCCGTGGTCTTCGCCTTCGGTGTTGGGTGAATCCTGGTCCGAGAACGCATCTCGCTCGAGCACCGACAGTGGTGCAGAAGAGGACCTGATCGGCGTGAGCTGCGCCGAGACGGAGAGGGAAAGAAGCTGAAGCAGCAGTAGAGCTAGACAAAGCATGGTGGCGTTCAAGCGTCGAATGCTTGAGGGGTATGAGGTCGAGCTCGACATGGTGCTCGTTTTATTTACGACCAGATCCCATCTGGTCGAGGAGGGCGAGGTATAAGAGGGTCTCCAAGAAAGAGAGGGATGTGCAATGAGGTCAAAGATGTAGTCGAGGGAGAAGCAAGGTGGTCAGGAGGAAGACTATATGCTTCCAGAAGCTGACATGCAATCTCCAGTGTATGCGTTCGACAAGGTTGTATCGGCTAGCTATCGGTTGACGTTGTATTTGCAAAAGACAGGAGCAGCAACCCAAACCTCCGTGACAACCTCGCTGTTCGGACCGAAAGGCACATATGCGGGTCCAAGGGAGGTGTAGATGTGACAGCAGGAAGGGGAAGACTTTTGTGCAGGAGATTCGCGGAAGAGATAAACTTCGGAGCGAACTTTGTCGGCGTTGTGGCACGAGACATGCAAGCCACCTTTGCTGCACCAGCTGCGTCAGGACCTGTCGATCAAGCGCTGTCTTTTAGGATGCGCTGTCGATCATGTGTGGCAGCGTGTTGCGCTTGATGTCTGTGCCTTGAGAAGGTCTGGGGAGGGCGAGTAGACAGGAATGAAGAGGAGAAGTTCCCACCAAAGATCAAGGTTACCATTCGTCATACGCATGATTTCGCAGCAGGACCAACACCCTGAGCGGACATGAGCGGTTGATGCTCAAGATAGGGCGGCTCAGGGAGAGGGAAAGAGAAGAGTGAGGGTGGCATTGTCGCTGTGTGTGTCTCGCAGCTTGAACGCCGAGGTGTGCCGGCCAAGTCGAGCAACGGTGCGCGTTAGGTGAGCGCTTGAGGTTGTCAAGGATCGACGATCTCGTCGTTTTTCTTGGAAGCTTGTTGCCGAGGAGGAAACAAAAGAGGCAGCAGAAGGCACATGGTCATCCATGCGAAAACAATGGCAACGTCGGAGTCTGAACTCCGCTGCGCTCACACCGAGGGACGTCGACGGCGGCTACCATGATACAGGTGCTGGCGCCACTTGCTTGCACCAAATGCTGTCGTCCTCTGCAGGCGTAAGACTGTTGTCCAGGCATCTCGTGGCTGGCCTTTCCCAATCGATTGTCTGCTCGAAGCCAGCACGAGGCAGGGAGAAGCCAAAATTGAATTTGAAATTGAGTTTGGTGGGGATGGCGGCGACATCGGCGTCGGCCTTGTCGAGCTTGGAATGCATCGTCGTGCAGCTGAGCCCACAGTACCGGCGGCACACTAGCACAGCCGCAAAGTGCGGGCAGATATCATGCCAATGGAGAGGTTCATGCCAGGCTAGCTTCGGTTAGTATTCGGCAGAGGAAACACTCATGCATTGCTGGTTGTCTCTCGCTCGAGCTGTTGAAAGTGGCGCCAATGCAAGGAGAGACGAAAGGCTATTTGGCCGCTCCGAACATGCTGCTGTCAAGCAAGATCCAAATTCAAATTCGCCCACTGCCACTGTGCCTGCGACTGTCATCCGCTTGGCCGCATCGGAACGCCTCTGAAGGTTGTCGGGAGGATTACAGCAATGGACAAATGTCGAATGAGCAAGTCTATGCCTTTTGCAGGAATGCAGACGACCATGCGGTGAAGTCACAGAAGAGGAAAAGGACCGCAGGGGTCCACAAGGTGACAGCTTTCATGCCGGTCGAGCAACAAAGGGACAAGAGTTTCTGCATCTCGGGCGCAGGCTCGCTTTCTCGCTTCCTCGCGGCCCGAGCGACGCCTCAAGCAACGTGTAGACGACACCTACCATGGTCGATATTCCCACTGATGTACGTTCCACACAGGGTGCTCGAAGCCCTTTGTACTCCTCTGCCTTCACTGTTGAGCTATGGCTTTCAACCCCGTCCATACAGTGCGGTGCTTTCACCTTGAACGGATGACACGCTTCGGAGAGAGCATCGGGTCTTCCCAGATCCGCGAGGCGCGTGACAATTCTACCGCACGAGAGCTTTTCGGAATGCTCAAGCCTGAGCGCGGCTGATTTGGCTTCGGTTGAAATAAAATTGATTGACTCGAGGTGCACGATGTCGGCTCACTACTTCAGTCTCAATCAATTTTCTTCCGACCGAAGCCAAATCAGCCGCGCTCTTCAGATGCCGTCCGTGCGGCGGAACACGGCTCTGAGTCTCTCTTACGTTTCCACAATTTTCGATCTTTGGCCTGCCTAACCAGATCAAAGCTCATCGCAACGTCAGCGAGGCCTGTCGTCAGTGTCCCGCAAATTCAGAAGGAAATTTCCACGGACCTCGAGTTGGTGACTGAGACCCAGTGGCGTGCGGCGGCGAGTCAGAATAGCTCAGCGCTTTACCCTCTATCGGCCCTCGACCCGATCTCAGCTCGAGGCGTGACATCAACTGGCGACATCTATCACGACTGCATCTTCCCCTTCCTCTACCATTCACGACCGATATTCAGACAATTCGCCTGAACGACGTACTCATATCGATCAATACTCTCCATTCTGGTATTCTCCATCATGCTGCGAAACTCGCTCGCTTCTATCGCCAGGCAAGCTGTGGCTTCGACCTCACGATCCGCCGGCTTCTCTACTGTCGCACGACCTGCTGCTGTCGCCACAGCACGATCCGCTAGCAACAACGTCTTTGGCGCAGCCGTTCAGCGACGAAGCTACCACGAAAAGGTCATCGACCACTACGAAAACCCACGCAACGTTGGCTCCTTCCTCAAGACCGAAAAGAACGTCGGTATCGGTCTGGTCGGCGCTCCCGCCTGCGGTGATGTCATGAAGCTCTCCATCAAGGTCAACGAAGACGGCATCATCGAAGACGTCCGTTTCAAGACGTTTGGCTGCGGCTCCGCCATTGCCTCGTCCTCGTACATGACTGAGCGTGTCAAGGGACTCTCGCTTGAAGAGGCTGCTAAGATCAAGAACACCGAGATTGCACAGGAGCTCTGCTTGCCACCCGTCAAGCTCCACTGCTCCATGCTTGCAGAGGACGCGATCAACGCAGCCATCAAGAACTACAAGTCCAAGCGGGATGCAACTGGCAACAAGAAGCAGGGCCACATCGAGGTCGTCCAGGACGTGGCGACTGGCAACACTTCGGCCACTGCGCACGTCGGCTCTGGTACCGTGTGAGGAAGGCGACCCTCGATCGCATTCAGCTTCGTTTCCAAACATGATTCCAAGTTTCTTGCAACGTCTCGAGTTCGGGTTCCATCTTGGACGCCTCACTTCCACCTTCTCACAGAGTCCCAAGCGCTTCCATTGTCCTAGCATCCGTGTACTATATTCAGCTGCCGTTTTCAATCATCTTTCGAGTCCGAAATGTCGGCTCTCTCGGTTCTGTGAATTGCTTTGTCGCTTTTGTAAGAGAGCGTGTCGTGATCTCGTAGATGTGGTCGTCAGTCGAAATGAGATCTCAGTGTTGCGTTGACCCGCACTTGCTACGGCTGCAGGTCGTTAGCCTCGACTGAAAGGGATGGCTTGGTCGGAGACGACAACGATTCCACCTCGGCGCAGGATTGTGATGGCTACGTCTTCAAACGCTCTTCGGAATTCTCTGGTTGCTTCTCGTGTCCATCCAAACTCAATCCGCGGAATGTTCTTCGCCCCAATGCCCGCGGTCGACCAATGCGAGAAAGGCTTCTTTTGACATGATAAGACTACAAATACAAATGAGGGACAAACGAAGGAGAAGTGCACTGCCAGCTCAAGGATATCAGCGAACGATGCGAAGCCCCATACTGCGTGCGCTTCCAGCGATGACTTTGCACATCTGTTCCTCTCCTACACCTTTGACGTCTTGCATCTTGATCTTTGCAATCTCGTAAATGTGTTTCATCGTGATCGTACCTGCTACTTGAGAGCCTGATTTACCAGCACCAGTTTCGATCCCTGCTGCTCGCTTCAGAAGTAATGATGTTGGTGGTGCTGTGTTGTACAAAGTCGAGAGTCGAGAGTCGATAGCGATGGAGCGAATCAGCATTTCAATGTTACGAATCGCTGAATGGATGTGACTAGGATGATACTCACTCTTGATCTCAAAAGAGAATGTGCGATCCGGGTTGATCTTGACGATGGCGGGTGTAGGAATGCCCACTTCGAGATGTGCTGTCTTGGCGTTGAATTCTTTGGCAAAGTCCATCGCTTTGACACCTTTGGCACCGAGGGCGGGACCGACGGGTGGTTGTGCTGACGCTTTCCCAGCGGGCACGAGTAGTTTGACAAAGGATGCTGCTGCAGCTACGGCTGCCTGTCCTCCCTTTTTCGACATGGTTGAGTAAGTGACGACAGTTGTGCTCGATGGTATCAGGTCGATTGATGAGGTGAGCTCGCATTCAGCTGCTCGGGAAGAAAGCGTTGCAAAAGTCCAAACGGCGGAACTCGGAACTCGAGATGGCGCGTTGCAGTTGATTTTTTTGGACTTTTTCTCGAAAGGCTTCCAAACTTTTTTTCTCGGTGAGCGGAATTTCGAAGGTTGCAGCTAAGTTCGCACAAAGCTGCGACCCTTGCGACTATCGACCCTATCACCATCAATCACCGCAGCATTCCACTACTCGCCCCTATATACCCCGTCTCGGATCGCTCAACCGCACACGAGGCCATCTTCTGCTCGTTGCAGACTTTGAGGAGCTTGTGGCACCTCAGCCGCTCAGCATCCAGCTCTTTGCTCCTTTCATAGACACTCGTACTCGACCATGCCCGCTGCAGTGGAGCCGGCTCGCGTTTACACCGTCTCTGGTGGCGGTGCCGCCACCTCGGGTGCAGCAGGCACTTCTTTCAATTCTTCATCCCTTCCGGACCTGTTGCGCAAATCCGGTTCATCGAACAAGCGCAAGAAGCGCAAAACCGCCCTCAAGGACGAAGAGATCCTCTCCCGCATCGAGCTCATTCAGGACTTTGAATTCCCCGAAGCAAGCAACCGTCTCACAGCAACACGAGATGGCCAGTCGATCGTGGCCACCGGAACATACAAGCCTCAGATCCGAGTGTGGGACTGCGAACAACTCAGTCTCAAGTTCGAACGACATACCGATGCAGAGAACGTCGACTTTCTGGTAAGTTTTCGTCCTCATTCAAAACATGCGAAGCCGTCCACATCTCCCAAGTGATGATCACAACATAAAATTCAACCTTATCTACATTAGCTGCAGAGCTGTCTTTGGGGCTCGCCCCGAAGCATCCTCGACGCTGAGACAAGCAATCTGATTCACGCGACCTCTACCAATCCCGCGAGCTCGACAAGTGACGAGCGATACTGACTCGCAATCTTCCCTTGACCTTGTCTCCAATAGATGCTCTCCGATGACTGGACAAAGTCACTTCATCTCCAAACCGATCGAACCGTCCAATTGCAAGCACAAGGTGGCGCACATGCCCGTGTCCGCATCCCTAAATTTGGCCGTGCTCTCGGCTACCACTTTCCTTCCGCCGACGCAATCGTAGCAGCTGCCGGCCGTGAAGTGTATCGACTCAATTTGGATCAGGGTCGATTCTTGGCGCCATTCGTGCTTGGGGGTGGCGACCTGGGCGAGCCAACAGGATGCAACGCCATCGATGTCAACCCAGCACATGGCCTGCTTTGCTTCGGTGCAGAGGGCACCGGCGTTGTCGAGATGTGGGATCCACGCATGCGCAAGAGAGCAGGTGTCTTGAGCGTGGCAACAAAAACAGTCCTTGATGCTGCTTTGATCGTGGCACGTCGCAATCTGCCCGGCGTGGTTGGTGAAGCGGACGATTCTACCGCTACCAAGGAGGCACTCTCCTCCCTATCCGTCACAGCACTAGCCAGTGCTGAAGACGGCCTCAACCTTGCAGTGGGCACCAACACCGGACATGCACTGCTCTACGACCTTCGAATGGATCGACCTTACCAGACCAAAGACCAAGGTTTCGGTCTACCCATTAAGAAGCTCATGTGGCCAGGCGACAAGGCTGCAGCCACCACGGGCGGTGTCGGACCCCGCACACGATCGGAGGCTGAAGGCAAAGTACTCAGTGCCGATGCCAAAGTCATCAAGATCTGGGACAAGGACTCGGGAGACAACCTCGTCTCTGTCACGCCTCCATCCGCAGCTACCGACATCAACGACGTTGCGCACTATCCCGGCACAGGTCTGCTCATGGCAGCGGTCGAAGGAACGCAGATGGCAGCATGGTACGTCCCTGCGCTCGGACCGGCGCCACGCTGGTGTTCGTACATCGATACGCTCACCGACGAGATGGATGGTGTCGATTCAACCGGTGCCGGAGCAGGCAAGGGCGTGTACGAGGACTTCAAGTTCGTCGATCGCGCCGAATTGGAGCGTTTGGGCATGTCTCATCTCGTCGGCACCCAACTGCTGCGACCCTACATGCACGGATACTTTATCGCTCTTGCGCTGTACGAGCGTGCACGCCTGCTCAACAACCCAACAGCCTACGCGGATGCACGCGAGCGTGCGATCAAGGCCAAGCTGGAAAAACAGGCCGAGAGTCGTATCCGCGCGATCAAGAATCCCAAAATGGATGCTGGTGTTCGCGTCAACAAGGAGCTCGCCGAGAAAGTCGCGCGACAAGCAGAGCTTGCGGCCAAGAAGCAAGCCAAGCGCGATGCAAAAGCTGAGGCCGCTGCCTCGGCTGCTACCACAGAAGGCGAGCCTGCAGAGGAAGACGCAGCGACGACGAGCAAAGACAAATCCACCGCACCAGCCAACCTGTTGTCCGACTCGCGTTTCTCCCAACTCTTCCAAGATCCCGCCTTCCAGATCGACACTGGTTCGCGAGAGTTCGCCATGCTCAACCCATCCACGGCGCTCAAACAGACACGAGACGGACCGAGGAAACTCACCGCTGTGGAGGACGAGGAGAACGAGAGCGATCGCGAATCGGTCGATCCCGATATGGAAGGGTCTTCCTCCTCCGCATCAGAAGATGAACTGGGAGCAGGTGATTCGGGCGATTCGTCTGACGAAGGCGATCTGGGTCAATACGATCCACGCGCGCGAGATGCATCTGGCAAACGACCCAAGAACCTCAACCAGGCGGTCGAGCGCGGCTCGCGTCGTAATGGACGTGCTTCTGGCGCCCGATTGGTCGACGACGATGATGAGGAGGGAGGAGCGGGTGGTAGAGGAAACAAGAAGCAGAGCTTCGAGGATAGACTCAAGTCGACGTCCAGAGGTTCGGCGGGAGCACGTCGTCCTCGTGCGTCGGACTTTATGGACGGAGAATCTGCTGCTGGCGCAAGATCTTTCACCTGGACACCTTCGTCGGCGTCGAGGCGAGACGATGACGATAGGAAAGGAGGTAAAGGCGGTGGGAGGAAATCGAAGGACGGAGACGAGACTTTCGGGTACGGACTCAGTAAGGGCGCAGGTGCAGAAGAGGGTAAGGGCGTCGAGGGGCTTTCGGACGAGGCCAGGTTTGGTCGTCAGAAACGTAGGCATCCCAACAGGTCGGCGAGTAAGAATGTCATCATGCGACGGACGTAGAACATACCTACTCCATTCGATCCATTCTCGCTTGTCATCGCTTGCATCACGTTCAGCTTTACAGCCCATGGCAATTGTACTTGTACCATTCATGTCATGGCTTTCAGTGTGGCACGTTGAGCAGAGTTGTGGTGGCATCGAGCATGATGAAGGTTTGGATTTTCGAGACGATGTTAGGCTTCATATTGTGAACAATTTTGTCGCGGCGTTAGGGCGCGGCTGCAGAGGAAAGTGGAGGAAAGGTGATCGAGAGCGGCGCAGTACACGGCAGCAGCAGTGCTACAGGGTTCAAGTTCCCAAAAGTGTCTGCAATTTCTGTGTGTTAATTTCAGTGTGGACGCGTTGACCACCTCGCAAAAGAACAGGCAGCAGCTGCGCACTCGCAATCCGTCCTCAGGGTGTTGCTGTTCGTTGTCCACAACCACTCTCTTCATCGTCGTTCTATCTCGCTGTTCCTCTAACATCATCTTCAAAGCGCTAACACAGCCAACACAAGCACAGCGTCATCGCAGCGATATCTCGTGACATAGCAACCCAACGAGTCAAGACCGACCAGCCGCTAAGCGACTCCGATCTATCAGCAGCAGGTAGCAAACAACATCAAACCATAGAACGCTCGCAAACATGTCGGCAGGTGCAGGTGAAGGAGCATACTCGTAAGTCACAGCTTTCAACCGTATACTCCGTGTGAGAGCGCCGCCACTTACCGTCTTTCCTCATCTCTCTTTCGTTGCTCCTCCTCCACAGCTTCTCGCTAACAACATTCTCGCCCTCCGGCAAGCTAGTTCAAATCGAACATGCCCTCGCCGCCGTCTCACAAGGAGCCACTTCGCTCGGCATCAAATCACCCAACGCCATCGTCATCGCCACCGAAAAGCGAGCACCGTCTCCGCTCGTAGACGATTCTGCACTCGAACGAATCTCGATCGTCTGTCCCAACATCGGCATGGTGTACTCCGGTATGGGACCTGACTTCCGCGTTCTCGTCTCTGCCGCGCGGAAATCCGCCCAGACGTACTGGAAGACGTTCGGCGAGTACCCACCCACCCGCGTCCTCGTGCAGGAGATCGCCACCCTGATGCAGCAAGCCACGCAACGCGGTGGTGTACGACCCTTCGGCGTATCCCTCCTCGTCGCAGGCTACGACTCCGCAAGAGGCCCCAGCCTCTACCAAGTCGACCCCAGCGGAAGCTACTTCATGTGGAAAGCCTCTGCTATCGGGAAAAACATGCAGAACGCCAAAACCTTCCTCGAGAAGAGATACAACAACGACATCTCGCAGGAGGACGCCATCCACACTGCCCTGCTGACGCTAAAGGAGGGCTTCGAAGGTCAGATGACCGAAAAGACCATCGAGATCGGTGTCATCAGCGATGGGTTTACGAAGAAGCTGGGTAACGGGGATGTCGGAGATGCGATTCCCGTGTTTAGGAAGTTGAGCGAGGCAGAGATCAAGGATTACTTGGCTTTGTAGGGGTTGTGAACAATGGTAGACTGGTTGCATGTAGGACGATGTTGTTCGTGCAAAGCGTGATCGCCATCTGAGTGACGAGAGGCCGTCTTGAACAGCCAGCAGACACCGTCGACAACGTCTCACTCTCGAGACTTGAAAACACACACCTCGATCACCGCCAGTCACACGCGGCACTCCCTGTCACACACATTCGCACTTGCCTGTCCCCGATCATGCTTGAATTGCACTAAGCAGACCCACCCACCACCCTCCCCCACCCACTCAGCAGGGACACGATCAACGTCAACACGCGCTTGGTCTCCTCCGTCCCGATCCTCGTCTGACTCTGCCCGGCACCTGCGCTGAAGAGCGCAGCGACGAGCAGGCCGGAAATGCCGACGACGGCGAGCATCTGCGTCGCCGGATGGGCCGCTTTTGTGCTCTTGGTCAGATGCCAGCGACGGCGCTTCTCGTCGACATTGTGGTGTTTCTCGTCAGATACCGGGAGATCGTCTTCGACGGAGGGGGACGGGTGCGGATCTTGCACGATATCCTCGGTGGGGCCGGTGAGAGCGGATATGGCGAGATCCGTGGCGCGTTGCCAATCGACATCGCCAGCAGGGCTGCTGTCTGTGTCGTTCGGTGTTGTTGACGTGGTGCGAGGGTCGAATGTTTCCGACCAGGTGAAGAGGACGCTCTTCGGACCCATGATAGCATGCGCTTGGCATGCATCCGATGACAGGGGATACTTCTCCATTAATTGCACCGCACCTTGCAGCAACGTCGATATCGGAATCCCTTGCTTGATCGGCTTCTTTTCTCCAGTCGTTGCAGCTCCATCGCTACCCGCTGCCAGCGCACGATCCGATGCAAGACTCGGAAGCTCTACGTCCGGATCCGTATAGATGGCTGTTGAATCAGGTGATCCGCTCGTTTTCCCTTCGTCGGTTCGCTTCTCCGACGCTTCTTTCCTGTCTCCCTTCAGATCCACTCGCTGCACCTCTGCCTCCTCGTCAGCCACTATCGTCGGCAACCTCCCCAACACAGCATGCAACATAGCCGGATCCTCCAGCACCTCCTCCCCCATCCCCTCCACCTCCCCCTTCTTCCCCTTCACCACCACACTCGCACAGAGATAAATCGCCGACACCGGTCCATACGCCAACACGAACTCCATCACGCGCTGCATCACCGCCACATCCCCCGCATCGTGCGTCAACAGCGTCAAGAGCCACGGCAGCGCGAAGAACGGCAGCGGAGACGCGCGATCCACCAGCTGCGCAAACTGCGGGTCGGCACAACGGACGAGGTTGGAGAGCAGCTTGAGCTGACCCATTATCGGCAGCAGATCGCGGGTCATGCTGTCTCGGATGAGGAAGAGGCTGATGCGTTCTGCGCAGAGTTCAAGGATGGATTGCGTGCGCAGGGAGGGGAAGAGGTGGGTGGTGGACGGAGCGTCGGGTGACAGAGTGAGGAGCAGGACGGTGAGGATGTCGTGGTAGCCTTGGAAGTAGGAAAGAGATGGATGGCGGGAGAGGGTTGCGAGTATGAGGTGGGAGAGTTGTTTTCGACGAAGTGTCTTGAGCTGTGGTGTGGCCGAGGGGGCGTCGACTGCATCATCGTGACGGTTGAGTGGGAAGAAAGACGTGAATGCTGGACCGATGAAGCTTCGCTCGACGTCTTTGGCCACTTGCTCCACGTCTCTGCTGGACAAATTGGGGTATTGTCGTGAGGAATCTTGAGACTCGGTCTGGTCCCCATTCGAGTCTTGGCCCTTCTGTGGCGCGCTGTCGGTGTCTGGGTTCGGCGACATGCCCATCTGCGAAGACGGGGACGACTCGCCAGACGCGCTTACATCATCACCTTCTCTCTGTCTGCCCAAGTTGGGTGAATGCTTCTCAGATGCTGCTGATTCCGATCCGACATCTTTGCGCCTCTTCGACCTCTTCGACTTGACCACCTTCCACTCATCGCCACCTTCCTCGGAGCTACCGTTCCGACCACTGCTCGTGGTGCTCCGTCCGTGACCTGCGTCGCCTTGTAAGAGATCGTCATCAGCGACCTGCCATCCATCCTTGTCGACTGGTATTGAGGATGACTTCGACTCTGTGACCAGGTCAGACTTGGTCCCAGAAGAAGAGTGCTCGGCAGGTCGAAGTTTGCTGGCTGACAAGGACAAGATATGCGCTTGTATGTGATCTTCAGTGATGCCAAGCAGTTCGAGCCATACTTGCGGTCGCGAGCGTGAGAAATTTGGCGCTGAGGGCTCGAGACATTGCTGTTGGAGTCGCCGATGTCGATGCTTGCCGCCCGGCAGATGAGATTTGACCGCTGGGTCGCGAGTTGAGGGTTTTGAAGCCGATGCTGAGCCCGAAGGTGCGTCTTTCTGCTCGATCGACATGTCGAGACCAGTCTGCCGGAGATCGTCTCTGATACGCTTGAGGCCTGATGGTATGTGAGCGCAATGACCAGGCTGTCGGGGCGATGCGATTGATCGGAAGGTCCGTCCGCCCCCAAGTGGACGAAGCATCCGTGCGTTGCCGTTTTGACACCGCGACAAATCCAAAAATCCGACGTTCCGCTAAAAAGACAGCTTCAGGGTCCAACCTGACTTGCATCGCGGCCATCACAAGGTCGCCGAGATCCGATCTCAACTTCTTTCACTCACTCGAACGTCGCTATCTTAAGTCCAACAGCGATGAATCGGGACAAAAGCGATACCAGGTATGTGCGCGGTGTCGTCCGAGTCGTCGAGAGAGAGAGATCTGAAGCAGCAAAATGGATGTCACAGAAAGCCACGCGGGAGCAAAGCTCGGCCTGTGACGACGCGCGCTAAAGCGCCTGTCCCGAATTCCATCCCTGTCTCAGCCAGCCATCAAGGGTCTGCGATGGGATCATTCCATTACATTGGATTGTGCGGTCATACGGCAATCGACGATGACGCTAAGCTTCGATAAGAGATAGCGGTTCAGTGCTCGTCATTGAGCGAAAGTAAATTGAGTCGCTCAAGGGACAGTCCCGCGCAGACAATGGAATAAGCAAGCAAGTTGGCATCCTCTCAAGCGCTGGGACAGTTGTCCTGGCGCCACCGAACCGGGATGCGGTTCGGCTCGTGACGTTCACAAGTGCTGTCTCCGCCTCCAAGCACAAGCCGAGGGCGCCCAAGAGCTTGTGTCCCTGCCTTCTGATTGAAAATGACACGGCAGACCCGATATAGTCGTGGCTGGGGACGTGTCGGCCTCAGAGCTGTGGAGTGCGGGATCCTATGCGGATGCATGCATGCAAGGACGCCATCTCTAACTGAGTCCCAGGCGGCTTTCACTTGGCGATCCACGTACCTTGTGCATACTGCACAGATGCCGTCGTCCCTTCATTCTCGCCCCCGACCCCATGGTGGCGCTGGTCGTGCGACTCGATCTGGTGTGCAGAGCAGTCGCCGTGCCCAGGAGCGGTTGCAATGCTCCTTTCGATCCCGACCACAGACGCGTGTGTCCCGATGGAGCGCTCCGTTTTACAGCCACTCATGCTAGCTGCACACGACCCGTGCAAGCCGTGATATGCCGACACAGTATGCGACCATGACCTGGGCTTAGTAGAAGCGCACCGAATCACAATCGTAGGACCAGATTGGAAATGCACAGTTGATCCGTGGCGCAGAGTCGCGCTCTGGAGCTCTTGGAGCAGTCTGAGCGAACGGCAAATATTTCCAAACCCGGTCTTGCACCGCGCTCTCGTGCCATTCTATTTTTCTCTCCAATGAACTCCACCAGATGCCTTGCCCCTTTTGACCGCATGAACTCTCCTCACCTCGCTCCACCTCGAGCCAGAGAAACGATTTTATCAAATATTATCAATTTTTTGACGGGAGTTGGACCAAGATGATCCAAGTCCGAACACGGTGCCAAAAGGCGAAACCTATGCGAGGGCGTAGGCGAGTCGGCCAACGGACCGACCACAGGACACGCTCCTCGACACACTCTCTGCTGCTGCTCGGCCCCTCATCCCAAAGTGGCACGGCGGCTTGCTCGCTTGCTTGAACCATCCCGACCGACAACATCAATCGTCTCGTTTGCGCTCCCGTCACCGCAGTCACTTTGCACTCGACATCGATATAAAGCAGAGCTGATATCGTGTCGCAACTTTCGCCAGCGACGCTATCATCATCGTTGTCATCGTGTTGTAGCACTTGCAACACTCGAAGTCTCGACCGGGTTTGATACCGGCGCGTCCGACCTGCCATCACACCGCTTCTTAACGGCTGCTTCCCCGAGACCCACCAGCACCACCACTTGCAGCACACGGCTTTTCGCACTCACATCATGTCAGCTCCAGGAAGCTCCACTCTTCGCAAGAAGAGAAAGATTGCCGTCCTCGGCTCACGATCAGTCGGTAAGTTGATCTCCTCATCCGCCGGTAGAGCATCAGCCCTATTGATCCTCTTGCTTACCGATCGATCGCTGCTTTGACTTCCTCTTCCACCCACAGGCAAATCGTCCCTGATCGTACGATACGTCGAGGACGCCTTTGTCGACTCCTACTACCCAACCATCGAAAACATCTTCCAGAAAACCATCACACACAAAGGTCAAGAATACGACTGCGACATCATCGACACCGCAGGCCAGGACGAATACTCGATCCTCAACTCGAAACACGCCATCGGCATCCACGGCTACATGCTCGTCTACAGCATCGCATCGCGCAACAGCTTCGACATGGTGCAGACCGTCTACGACAAGATCCTCAACTATACCGGAACCGAATCGGTACCCTGCGTCATCGTCGGGCAGAAGAGCGATCTGCACGTGCAGAGGCAGGTCAGCGAAGCAGAGGGAAAGCAGCTGGCGGCGCAGTTGAAGGCCGCTTGGATCGAGGTCAGTGCGAGGCACAATGCGAATGTCGCAAAGGCTTTCGAGTCTATGTTGGGTGAAACGGATAAGGGTACAACCGAGGGTGGTCCCGAGCCACAACCTAGCAAGTGCATCGTCATGTAATCGGCGAAAGCTTCCGCAATGGAGCGGAAGTCAACGCTCGGTCGCCTTCCGTTCACCGCCGGACTCTTAATCGGTCCGACCCTCTCTTGTCTCCACTGTCTCTCTTTGTCCCCGTAGGATCCCCCACCGTCATGTTTCTTTCTCATCTAATCTATTCTTCTCGCTCTCATTCTCTCTCTCTCTGCTACACATCGCACACAAGAGTATATAGCTTGGGCAATACAGTCTCCCCCGCCTCGCACGCAGTTCTCCGACATCATCATCGTTTGGAATGGAATGCATTTCTCGGGTATATTGTTGAACCGATTCAGGGGACGGTGGGACCAAGAGCCCCATTCTTGCCGACACCAGTGACGAGGAGATGGTCGCCTCTCGAGTGAGCGGCTGATTGCCAGAAGTGGAGTGCTTGTGACGCGTGATCGTCTGTGGAAGATGTGTCGATGGGCGATTTGGATGCAGAATCGGCAAGGAGGGAAGAAAGCCGTGTGAGCGGGTCGTCCCAGTGCGAACCGTGTAGACGGTCGTTGAAGTGCGGAAGTTGAGGACGGGGTGCTCGCGGAAGCTTTTGTCGTCGTGAAGGAGCGGTGCCGTGGCGTAGCAGATCTTCTGTCGGACGTCGTGGCGGGGTGTCTTCAAGAGCGGCGAGTGTCGGTAACGGCGAGTCCCTAAGGACGTAGAGGGGCTCCATTCGTGCGTGCTTTTTGCGTTCACGTGGCTCGTTGACAGCAGGAGCAGCAGCAGAGGCGGATGTAGCTCGGTTGGCGATACGAGCCTTGCGCTTTTCCGCTATTTGTCGCCTAGAAGGTCTTCCGGCAGACGAGTCTTTGTCTGTGGTTGACATCGCAGAGACTGAGGTTGCAGAGGGGACCATTGAGAACCCTTGAGAAGCATTCTGCGGATCAGATGGATCGATAGCGTCAGAGTCGGTGTGGCGCAGGATATGCCGCTTGATGGAAGCCGTTCTTCTTCGCTGCCTCTGAGGGACCTTGCGCTTCTCTTGTCTCCGCACCTCCTCCCCTGCTTCTCTTTCGGATGGAATCTTGCATTCGCTTTTCTCTTCCGTGACATTTGCATCACCATCATCTCCCTTCTCCTTTCCACCCGGATCGTCAGTCAACAGCCTCGGCACCAGATCCGGCGCGGGCCGCCTCGTCACCGTCCCGCAAACCTTGCACCTCGCTTTTATAACATGATCGTGTGGGCCGCTAACCCTACTTCTCACACTCGCCGTCAACCCTTGTACCAACACCGTGTCGCACTTTATGCAGAAGTCCCTCTTCAACCCAGTGTCCATTCGAATCACCGCTTTGCGAGATAATGTCTTGGCCGACCTCACCATCTCCGCCTGCAATCGCGATGCTGTATCGATCGGAGCGACGCTAGACGAGGATGTAGAGAGGACAGCATAGTAGGATGCAACCTGGTTGAGGTGGTTGAGCGTATGATGGTGTTCGGGATGAGTGAGGGTCTTGGGCGCCGTCCATGTTGGGTTGGATTTGGGGCTGGTTGATGAAGAAGGACCAACGGTGTGGGTGCCAGTGCTCGGCTGAGCCTGCTTGCCTTTTTGCTTGGACGTCATGTTGACAGACGAGTGCTCGTGAAGGAGCTGGTCGATGTATGCTATGGAGACATACGTGCGGTCTTTCGAGGTAGATTGACGGATGGTGATGGAAATGACAATGGAGGTACAAGAAGATCCAAGCGGCTGCATCGCAAAAAAGGATGCCCAAATTCGCCGAGCAAGGGTCCAGTCACCCTCAAAAGGCCAAAAAAATGCATTGACGGGGACTCGAACCCCGGTCGAGTCGAATCGGTAGTCACGCCTAGGAACAGACGATGAGTGGCAACGACTCATGATACCCCTACACTATCAATGCTTGTACGAAAAACCCACCCTCATTTGCGTATATATAGATACATGTATGATTGCTAGCTTACTCGTGCAGCTGAGGGACCACCCCGGAAATGCTCGGGCTGTGCTTCGTTGACAAGCGTTCAGATTCGATGACCGGCGTCAATGTGCGGCAATCGATCGAACCTTCGGTATTCTGTGCAATCTGATATCGAAAGGGAGGCAAGAAGGGCTTGCAATGCTTCGATCGTGCGGGACCCCCGAGCGGCAGACATCGTGTGAGAGTGTCATGCAGCTGTGGTTCCGTTGCCGAGATTGTTTGCTAGCATGGATGCCGTGTGCAGCATCATGGTAAAAAGCTCGGCTAGGTGCATATTCCACCCCTCCTTCGCGCCTCTGCAAGCCATGCGCCGATTTGCCGTCGATCGGCTTGGCAGCCTCCAGTTGCTGGTACACAGGCTGACGCTCAGGGGCCAGCAGGACGATCATGCCGTCCGTGCTCGTGCTCCTCTGTCCCACTGTCCGACAGCACAGCCTCTTGAGCGGTGTGGATGTCCGACACACATGACAGCGAATGTAATGCGCAAGGCATGGTACACAGTAGACCGTCTTGCATCGGCAATCAGAATACGTTGCTGTTTCTCTCGACGACAAGGTCCCTTTCACACTCCTCAACAAAGATCCTCAGGTGTCGTCAGAAAGTGACACTGCTGACCCGAGAAAAATTGGGAATGGGGAAAAGGAGCGGGAAAATAAGGGTCAAAGAATCTCGTTGCGGAAAATGAAATGCGGCGCACACTGAAACCAGCGAGGAAAGGAAAGGCCAAGGCGACGAAGAGCGTCATGCCGTGTGGAGCTGCAGAGCGACAAACGCTTAGATGCACTTGCACCGAAGCTCTTCGCCGAGTTGACATGACAGCACACGGAAACAGCGCAGCAACCTGAAAAATTAAAGCTCTTTTGCTCCGCGCCGCACTGCATTGAGCCTCTGTGACGCGCCTTCTGAGACACTCTGGCCACACACTCACTGTGTTGCACAAGCTCGCTGCCACCAGCACGAACCGCCTTGCAAATCATACACACACCACACTCTCTCGTCAATCCCGTCCACGTCTCACCATCCTCTTTCCGTCAACACCCTCTTGCCCCCCCACTTCCTTTGCCATCGCAATCCTTTTCCCACCCCTAAACTCGCACCCTCCTTTCCACCCTGCGTCTCTGTGCTCTTTCCCTCACAACCTTGTCTGTACTTTGCAAAACCTCATCGCAAAGGCGTCTGAAGAGAAAATCTCCGGACAGAGCATCAGAGCGCAACGTATCAAAAGTTTCGTCGCTTCACCGAGCCTTCACGGTGGCTTGCATCCACTTCATCGAACACTACATTCACATTCCGTGTCCGCCGTTCTCCATATCGTCCTCCAATCCACGGCGCCGCATACAGCCAACGAGCTTCGGTCACAGAGTCACTTCGATCTGAGGCCAATGGACCATCCACTGCGTTCCATCCAATCCTACCTCTGAAGCGCTGCATTCACCCTTGATATCTCTTTTTGACAGATATGACGGCATCAGCTGCCCACATACAGCCCATCATCGTGGACAAGATACCATCCGCAGCAGCTCAGCCTATCTCGGCAGGCTCGGACAATACACAGCTAGCACCGTCCGCTTCGTCGATCGCAGGCTCTCGCCAGCCCTTTGGTGCGCACTCGCCTGGCGCAAAGATGGACGCCGTTACAGCTGCTGCGGCCATGGGCGCGCTCCCTGCCGCCAACGGGCTGCCAGACGATCCTATTGAAGCCTCTACCGTCTCGCGTCTCTTCCCGCATCCGCCCGCTGCTGATTCAACTCCTTCCTCGACACCGGCAGCGCTCACAGCGGCATCAGGCTCCGTACCTGTATCCCCGCGTCCCACTTCGCCGCCACGTACTCCCGCAGCTCCCATCAGCCTCCGTTCGGCGGCTTCCCCTTCGTCTCTGCTGGGCTCGCCAGCGTCGGAGCGTGCGAACCCAATGTCGCATGCTGGTGTACACCCTGCTCACCTGACGCACAGCCTCCATCAGCACCAGCATCAGCCCCATCGCTTCGGCCCTTCCGAAGCTGTGCCCTCGCATCCATCTGCAAACAGCAGCGGCTTCCGCTCACCCGTCCGAGTGCGACAACACGGCGCTGCTTCTCCCATTGGCTCTGCTGGCACCTCGCCGCCGGGTCTCGCGTCGGCACATGCCGTTCCCTGGCAGCATGCCGATTTGCACGCTTCGCATACTCCTCACACTCCTCGCAGCCCCAGCATCTTCGAACGAGACATTGAGCACCGCGACGCTAGCCACATCATGACGAAGCAAGAGGCCATGGACGTCGCAATCCCGAGCGTGCTTGATGACGCCGTCGAAGCCATCATCGAGGATGACGCCGAGATTGAAGTCGTCGCTCCACAAAATCCAGCTCCGCCGCTCGCTTTGAGCTCGGCTGCGCTTTCGGCCCACAGCGGTGCAAGCTCGCCTTCGTTTGGCCTGGCGTCTTCTCCTTCGCCTCCGCTTTCGGCTTCGGGTCCTCTTGATGCGGCTCCTCCCGGCACTATGGCAGCGCAGATCGCAGAGAAGCTTGCACCACGAGGCTCAGTCCACGAAGACCCCAACGTCACGCCACGACGCGCAGCAGCAGCACCAGCCTCTCGCCGCCCTGGCTCGGATGTCGACAGTGCCGGCCACTCGATGCGCTCGCGATCTCCCCAGGCGGCTAGGTTGCTCGACCTCGGCGAAAGCGGCAGTCCAGTCAGGTCGCGAACATCCGCCTCGCCTGGGCCTGGTCTGCCGCCCGTCTCGCTGGTTGCGGCAGTCTCGCACGCGCAAGCCACCTCTCCGCTTCCGACGCTCGCAGCTGGCAGCTCTCCTATGCCTACAGCCACCGCTTTCCCATCGCTCCCGCTGCCCAACCCGTTCCGCTCCAGCTCGCCCAACCTTTCGGCCATGGCCATCCCTTCGCTTACAACCGGCGCCGATGCAGGCCGCCCTGCTACATCGAGTGTCAGCATCGACGGAGCCATCATTTCGGGTACCGAAGTTGCCACGCTCGACCACAGCCTCGACACGATTGCCGACGTGCTCGCTGCTCACGATGCTGAGCAGGCAGCAAGCCCCTACGTGCCTCGATCACCCGCACCACCTGCTGCCTCTGGCACCAACAGTCCAACCGTGGATAAGAGCCGAGGCGCCGCTGGTTCAGTCATCCGTCAGCCCCAGCAGCATCCAGGAATGGGCGCTGCTGGCGCCAATCGAGCCGCCGCTCCCGGCACCCTCGGGCTGCCCACAAGCACCAATGGACTTGGTTTCAATACCGGCGAGTCGTTGTTCCAATCCCTTGCCTCTGGATCGCCCTCGCCGTCGGCGGACAAGCGAAGGCTCTCGTTCTTCTCGTACGCCGATATTCTGAATGAGAACAAGGGCGAGGTCATGGACTTGCAAGAAGTTGTTCGTCACGCCGCTGAACGCGATGAACAACAGCACGGTCTCTTTCATCCGCAGGCACACGCACACCAGCACAGCCCTGGCTATCTCCACGCTGCGGAGATGGGCAGTGGATACGAGACTTTTTCGTCCCAGCCGTCGATCATGCAGCAGCTCGGTGGAGCGAGCATGGCCAGATCGGTCAGTACCAGTGCAGCTGCGAGCCCTCGCATCGGCTCGGCTCCCGGAGCAAGATCTACCAGCGGCGGATCCACTGCAGCTACTGTCGGGGCAGGTTCAGGAGTCTACACGCCCGCTCGAGGTCGTCGCGATCATCTGGAGAACAAAGCGCTCAGCAATCGTCTCGACAGCTTGCAGCTCGCGACGTCTTCTGCCGCCGAAGCAAGTATGCGAAGGGCTGCCTGAACGGGACCCTCGCCTCCCAAAACGACATTACACGCGACGTGTACAATTAAAAGGACGAAAGATCTCTTTCGTCTCCGGACGCTTCCTACATCTCATCATTCAGAGTTTCTTTCGTCACAGTTCTTCTTTCATGGGTAATCGTTGATCTGCTAAAGCCTGTTATGCTCTGTGAAACGTGTGCTTCGTCGGTGTTGACCGGACCGACATTCGAGCCTGTGTGAGATAGTATTGAGGCTCGCTTCGGAGTCATCGTGCTCAGTGAGGTCGGAAACATGTCTACAACCGGAATCGGCCCTTCACCGCCCTTCCCCAACCTCGGCTAGACTCACATCATTCCATCGATCTCACTCTGCGGCAATGCGAATGCAAAATTGTCCATTGTATGTGCGGCTCCGGTGCTTCTATTAAACGAGTGTTATGTACGTCGATGCCAGCAAGATCAGCATTGAGGGTGGGTCAACCTATTCTTTGGAAGGCGATCCTTAGGCCAGGTGGTGATGTTGACATTCTGGTAGATATCCTGGTGCCTCTCGATATACTTTCTGGTAGGGAAGTCCTTCGGATCGCAAGTAACACGGTCCGGGCGCCCATCCCGCTGGTACATGCGTACGTAGTCGATCTTCAACGTGCCCGGGAACTCCAGAGTCCTCCAATTCGGAGGCTGGAAGTTGTAAGCCATGCCAAGGTTGAGAATCATCGACATGGCTTCCCTTGGGATTAATCTTCTGCTGATATCCAACTCCGGGACCCCAGTCAATGCGCTTGCCTTCAACGTCCAGGTGGGCTTGTCATCAATCAACCACGTGATGTATGCCTCACTTTCGCCATCCAATCCTTTACCGTCGCCATTCATGTCCGGCTCCCACTCGACCGCGAAGTTGACAAAGTCCGCGTTTGGAGACCTCTGATAAGCTCGATCAGGAATTGCAGCAAGCGCAGACACCGATTCTTGCAGCTCGTTTCCGTGGTAGCCGTTGATTTTGGTGGTGTCCGTGTCATGGACGATGTAATCCGTTCCAGAGACATTGTTGTAAAAGTAGTCAACGTCGAAAGGCGCTACTTGGAGCGACTGAGAGGACTGTCCGCCTTTTGCTCCGATCGTGGCCTCGAGCATATCGAGCTCTGGGCTGCTGCGCGCGACGTTGTTGTTTGGGCCAGGATGGTCCTCACCTGGACAGGTACAGGCGGGGAAGCGCAATCCTGGCAGATACGAAAGCTTGTGGTTGACCTGGTAGGAGAATTCTCCGTTTGCGTAGATAGCATGTTGGGGACCTGTACCGTTGATCCAGGTCTGGTTCGGTAACGCACCAGTGTCGCAGCCAGCGTACGAATACGGCCAGATGCCTTCATTCACGCCATTATATCCTGGTCGGCCGAGGTTACCCATCAACCATAGACCGGGCCAGAAGCCGGCGGTGTCAGGAGCGCCTGGCAATTGCGCTCTGATTTCGAGGTAGCCTCCTGTGAAGCAGGCCTTGTTCCAGCTTTGTAACATGCCCGAACGGAAATTCAGATTCTTGATCTCCTTCTCCTCGAAAGATATCTGAAGTTTGCCGTCGTCCGTGGTATTGATGGCTTCCGGCGTATAGAACTCGTAGTCCCTCGTTCCTGCATAGTAACCATCAAACGCTTCGAAGAAGGGATCGTCGCCCGGCCAGAAGGTGCGTCCGGGAGTGTTGAACTCATCGCTGAAGACGAGATGCCAGCCGGAATTGTCGGTGGGCGAAGTGCGCTGGTAGGCTGTCTGTGGCGTCTCTTGGTCGATCAAGCCGCGCTTCATCTGCGTAGGGAACGTGGTGAAGGTGTTGGTGGTGGAGAGGGATGAGGAGCCGGTACCGTCTGCGTGATTCTTGCGAAGCTGGATGATGACAGGGTATCCGAGAAAGAGCATTAGGAGACACAACCCGATGAGGAGCAGAGTGCCTACGTTCAAGATTCCTCGCATGGAAGCGAAGGAATCGCCGCTTGCCCTGCTCTTGGCTTTAGGGTCGTGGAGCCAGTCATCTTCGTCATCTTCAAAGTTGGAGCCCAGGGGAGCCGCTCCAGCCTTGGCAGCGAATGCAGCTTTTTCGCCGTTGCTAGCATAGCTGAACTGGGAGGATGAGTGGACGCTCAAATCCGACTCGGAGTTTGCTGATGATCCACGATAGGCACCCAGGAATCTGGGCGTCGCCATGCCATTATGGGTGGATTGCGACCCGGTCGAGTAGGAATGAAGTGTGCTGGTGCCTTTGCCGGGCTGGACAATGTTGGAATGCAACACATTGGGCGAAGGATCTCTTCGGAATGGTCTCGAGTAGCTGCCAACCTCTCGTTCGTTGTCTGATGACAGCAGACCCGCTCTATCGATAGCATCGTCGTCGCGATTCATGTTTTCGCCGGGAATACGTGACTGTGAAGCGAAATGAAGAGTACTGGGAGACTGCGGCGAGATAGGCTGATACCGTGTAACTGCAGCGGCTGAGAATGTGGGCGTGTGGTGATCTAGTCTTGAGCTGCTCTGTAAAGACAGTGAGGAGCGGAGCTATGATGGTGGTGCGGCAAGATGAGAGAGATGATCGAAGCAAAAGGTTGAACTTGGACGGCAGGTAAGCGAGCATAGCGAAGAAGTCTGCAAACCCACCGACCCGCACCAGCTAACCCACCAAGGCGACGCGGCGGCCAGACAGCACATCAATTGTCAAGCACGGGCTAATCTATAGGGATGCGGGAACTTCACACAATTGACCGGTGGCGCACGAAGGAGACGACCATCAGGTCTCGAAGCGTCCTGCTCATTTTGATAAAGTCACCGTGATTGTGGTGATTGGGCACAGAGCTGAGTTGGCACTGCGCAAGCCGGCAGGAAGGTTCGTACTCCTTGCACGGTGCAGTGGGAGGACCGTAGCCGCAGGATTGATACCATGCGGTTTTGCGGCCTTCCAACACCGACCCGCACCGCTGTACATTCCTTTCTCATCGCGGACTCGGACTTGCATGCTGCATTCGAGATCACACGGTTCGCGCAACGCAGAAACAAAGACAAAGTGAGCACGACACCTCGGCAGCTCCTCACACTCACACAGTCTTCGGAAAGCCGGACGCTAGCCGAGGGGGACACAGAAGACAGAGCAGCCGGTCAATGGTACATTTTCTGCGAAGAGGATCGCGGTCTCGACGCGCTAGCGCAGGCGCCCTGTTTGACATGCGAGGAACATGCATGCCAAGACAAATTTGGTGCCACAATGATCTGCACAGGCACACCGCAGTGAAACCAACACCGAGCCGCTGCACATTTTTCGGTCCAGCGAAGAAAAAAGTTGAGCCGCCCGCGCCGACCACCGACCTGCTTCCGCACTTTGCCAGCGGCCAGCTTTTCTTTCCGTTGTTCCCGCAGGAACGCAGAAACTTTACCCTCGGACAACCGAAAGCACACGCCTGATCGCTCGGCTAGGCTCGCTCGCAGCCAGAAAGCAGCTTCACCTTTATCGACGCCGCTTCGTCTCATTAGTCACAATCTGCTTCTAAGGCTCCTTCGGCCATCCCGCAACTCTGTGTCGGCGACTTGATGTGTCTATGAGAAGATCGACACTCTTGCTGCTGCTAACGTCTCGTCCCTCCGATGCGGAACGGACCTCGCGGAGGGTGACGGACAATGCACACCAAAATCTCGGTGGTGGCGGATGAAACTGCGCAATGCAAGCTTGAGTGAGAAAGCGTCGTGCAGCTCCCATTGTTTTCCTGCTCGCGGTAGCAGCTCGTCGGAATGCATCCCCTCGCGCTCGCTCGAACTGTGACTTAGCACCCCTAGTCTGCTTGCGATACTGTGTGGGCTGCAACAGTCGTCTGGTCGCAGAAGTTGCCGCACCCTGCGGATCGTTATCGGGCCAGCCCTCTTCCGCACCTGCTCGCCTGGGGCTTCACATTCTTGCGTTCCTTCGTCTGACTGCAACCCTCACAAGCTCCTGAATACATCTCGCACCGTCCTAATCACCATCACACCTCCCCCATCGAGCCTAATTCAGCATGCTCCCACATCTCCCAGCACTGCTGTTGCTCATCGCTACGCTGATCGCTCTGGCAGCAGCACAGTCCACCGGCCAATTCGACCAACTACTGGAGGATCTCGCAGGCACATGGAGTTCTGGTAGTGGTGCTGTACGCACCGGTCCTGTAAGTCTCTCACCCGCACACGAGGCATGTCATCACCACAAGAGTACTAAGCTGACTTTGAACACATCTTGAATCGGCGTGTTGGTAAACAGGGATTCTGGAACCCCCGTTCGCAGCAGTTCACCGTCCCTCGTTCAGCAGGTCACTCGTTCAGCTTCACCAAGGACGGCTTTTGGGAAGAGAGTCTCTTCCAATGGTCGAACGATCGTAAGTGCTCTCGCGCACAACCCCTACACGTCCCGCATACACCGAATCTGACACCTTTTTCTCCCTCGCCCTTACTATAGCTACGGACCCACAATGCGTGACAGCCCTTCTCCTATGGCAACACGGAAACTTCTCCATCAACCCGATCAACGGCACACTCCGCATGGACCCTTTCTGGGGAGACGGCTTCCAGTCGCAATGGACCGGCTGCGATACCACTTCGTCAGCGAACAGCAACAACACGCTGGCTCCTGTTGCTTCGTACAACCAGTAAGATCACCCCGGTCTCAATGTTCTCTTCCTTCTTTCGAGCTTAGCGACACTGACACTCACATTCCTTGCTTCTTTTCGCAGAGTGTACCTGTACGACACACCAGCAGTTAGCATCGACATGCACTTCGGCGTCTCCAGCTGGAAGCTCGAGATGGCTCAAATCACCGGCGAATTGCTCAACCCCATGTGGAAGTTCCTCAACCCTCCCTCGATGTTGCCCACCGACGTGCTGCACGTCAGAAGATATGGCCTCGAGTAGACGAAACATGTTGCTTCGAACAATGCAAATGCAAAAGGACAATCTATGATACAATCTATCGTCGGAAGATCTCTACGGCCCGCGCGCTCACAGAGGATACGAGAATGGGTAGCCTTGCGAGACATCAATCCTGCCACCGGTAAAGCAGACGCGTACTCCGTCCATCCAACGGGCCTGGTCTGGATCGCTGTAAGTACCGTTTGGCACGCCCTTGATGGTTTCGTAAAGCGCCATGTTCAAGTCGACACTTCTCCAAATGTTGGCGTCACCAAAGAAAGCGGTAAACTCTCCAGCTGGTCCCCTGATCTTTGCTTCGGCACCGCACCAGTTGCGCGTCATGTTGTTCCAGAGTTGTTGATCGACATCGTGCGTAACGCGTTGATTCGACCCGACAGCAGCCGACATGTTGAGCAGCGGAAGCGAAAAGATGGGTGACGATCGGTTGAACTGCGCGCCACACCACGTCGTTGTCTGCTCCTCCTTCCAATTTGGCTGGAAGGCGGTCGCTTCCATGGTGAAGCAAGTGCCGAAGGGGTTGTCGTTGGGACCAGTACCATTCCAGAATGGTGGATCAGCGAACGGTGATTTGGTCGAGGTGCCGAGTCGATCGCGGAAGACGACGAGGGGTGGAATGACAGCTGCGCAGACGCAGAGGAAGACGACTAGACACCAAAAGCCTCCTCTGCGGTAGAAGGGCTTCTTTGGTGGTGCGACCTGGGGCTCGTCGGAGAACCCGCGGGTCTGGGTCGAGATCGAGTCTGTCTCGTAGCCCATTATGAGAGTGTGATGAAGGCACGGGCCAAAGGTGAGCTGGCAGAGACTTTTGGATCAAGATGCGAATGATGGAAATTTGCGATTGAGGTGTGCAAAGTCGAGTCGCCGGCGGGTTTTGAATGGAGGTAGGGCGATGCAGTGAAGTTTTTGGAACTAGTCCAACTGCGAAGTGGCGGATGTCGGTCGTACTATGCAGGTGGCAGATCGAAAAGACCACAGGTTCTGGTGAGATATAAGTACGAAGTCGAGATGCTAATGTGAGGAAGTAGCGAAAGTCGTGAGTCTGTCTTGCGATGGAGGTGAGATCCTTGGTCTGTGGGGAAGCGAGTGCAACGCGATGGCAAACCTTTCTCTTGGCTAGATAAGAGGATCGAAGTCAGAGTCAGGTGAGGGTGAGACGAGAGAGGCCATCGACGAGAGCTGGCGAGGGCCGCCAAGCGTCTTGGAGCGCGGCGAGATCGGAAAGACCTTTGTATGACGGCTAAGCAGCGCCTGAAAAATTGGTCATCTTGGCGGTGGCAAAGCGCTATGACGGATACACTGTACTCCGTATCCTGAGTAGCGAAACACTTGAGCCTTTCTTCTCGCGCCGAGCTAGAGAGGCGTACACACAGCCATCTCGCAGCTCGCTAGCTGGGCTAGCTCTACAAACACGTTCAAAATCCGAGACAGGGAAACAGAAGCGACCCGCTCCAGGCTATTTTATAAAATTCCCCGAAAAGGCCAGACAGGGCGGACGGGACGCTGATGACCGTGATCAAGATAGCTTGGCAACCTCGCTCATCGCAGAATTTGTGATCGTCTTCTACAAGCGAGGGTCGAGGCTGCGTCACCAACCGCGTGGTAGCGAAGAGGTTTCTCGATGCCTCCGTCTTGCGCGCCCCTCTCAAGGGTATGTAGGAAAAGGTTTGGTTACTGTCATTGAGATCTACAGATTGCCTCGCAACTCGGGCCATACCCGCCGTGTAAGAGCGAGCGACGTCGCCTTCGAGCTTCAGCACTCCCCGCAACTCGGGTTGCACAGAGAAGATGACTGGAAATCAGGTACCGACTGGGACAGCCCTGGTAACATCCGTGAACCCTGCTTCTGTTCAACTGGGCAAATGGATCTGTGCCGCGTGTCGTCCTAACGCATAACAAGACAAGCTTTCCGAGTTACTTTGACCTGCCTCTAGACCGGACTCGGAGGCTTTTGACGGCGAGCAGCGCTAACTCTGACCCAGGGCAATATCCCGCCTCTTGAGTCAACGTGGACGACCGGAGATGACCAGAAGCCCGATCGCCCCAATCGTCTGGTCAATATCATCTTCGGATATGACGATCCGACCTTGCGAGTCGTGTTGGCGTCGTGCAGAGAAGAATCTCGAAGAGGCTTGCAGTGGTGATGCAAGCACCGAGCAAGATCGGCAGGTGTGAGGAGCTGTGTCGCGACGCGCTTCCCGATCCATTCGAGAAGGGAGTTCGGGATCGATTTCTGCTACAGCGACGGACCTGCAATTTGCTGACTGCCTTGCTGGCTCCGTGCGTCATTATGCACGTCCGCGCTCGTCACATGCCTCCACCCTCTCTTCACTCCCCACAGCGCGTTGTGTGAGAGGGCGTCAGCAGCGCCAAGCCCAACTCCCCACTGCAATCGTGACTTCTCCGACAATCAGTTGACAGGAGAGCGCTCCTCGACGAGACAATCGGACAACAGAGATTCCAAGGCTATGAAAGGTGGATCGGGTCAGATTCAGTTCCATCAAGTGTGTCTTGTGTTCGGTGTCCAGAATGTCGAGCTCGACAGCTCCAACAGAAGTGAGCTGAGCAACTCGAGTGGCTAGGTTTGAGCTTGATTGTGCGCGATCCAGAAGGACGGAGGCCAAGTGGACATGTCACGAACCAGGAAAATGCAATCTAAGACTGCAGTCCACCGATCCAGTGACGAGGTCACGCATTTCTTTCTTTCCCAATGAATCAGCGCCTCGGCGACGCTCAGGCCAACCCAGAGACAATCGACTTAGCCGCTTCCAACTTCGCATCTGTCTTTCCGGCAAGGCCTCCTAAAGATTCACTGACAGATCAGCACCGCCTGCAGCGAATGACTGTTCCGATCCTCGTTCCTCGCCGTTCGTTTGGTGGCTTTCCCACGAGCTGGATCTCGGTTGAGGCTTGTGAGGCTCGCTCGACCCTGTCGGATCACAAAGCCTTGAGCTGAGAGAACAAGTTGCCCGCCCTCTCTACTGTATATATCGCGTACGCATCCCTTCATTCCGCTTGTCTCCTTCTCTCCATCCGCCCATCACCACCATCCGCTCCTCGATACTCAAACTTTCATCCCTCATCTCCCCTCACTAACAAGCATCTTTCCGGAACAATGCCTTTCGTCATCGACCTCAAGGGACAGACCGTCGTCGTCACTGGCGGTAACCGTGGTATCGGTAAGTTTCTGTCGTCGTCAGTGGCTGCCTACGCTGCTCCGAGTTCTTCGTCGCGGAGCAGGCGTAGATAGCTGCGGGTCCCCTGCGCTTTTCGAGCAATCCATTTCTGCCGCAAGAGGTCGAAAGGTTGCTCACAAGAGCGTTAGCGAGCCAAAATCTAGCCGATTCAGCAGCGAATAACTGACCATACTCTTCCGATCTTGCTTTCTTTACCCGAATCGTTCGACTTCCCATCGCACTTTCTGGACCGTCTTGTGATCTCTGCTTCCCTTGGCACGTTTTCGAACTTGCAGGTCTCGCTATCAGCGAAGCCGTGGCTGCCGCTGGTGCCAACGTCGCCATCCTCTACCGCTCGCACCCCAAGGCGCAGGAGGCTGCCGAGGAGGTCGCCAAGAAGTTTGGCACCAAGGTCAAGGCCTACCAGTGCGACGTCGGTGACGATGCTTTGGTAAAGAAGACCCTCAAGCAGGCTCAGGACGAGTTGGGTCAGGTCACTGGTCTCGTTGCCAACGCCGGTGTCTCGGTTGTCAAGCCCGCCGTCGAACTGACCTCGGATGACTTCCGCTACGTCTACGACACCAACGTCCTCGGTGTCTTCAACACTGCCAAGGCTGCTGCTCAGCTCTGGATCGAGTCTGGCTACAAGAAGGGCTCGATCGTCATCACCTCGTCCATGTCTTCGGAGATCTACAACCAGAAGGGCCTCAACGACCCTTTGACTCAGGTGTTCTACAACTCGTCCAAGGGTGCCGTCACCAACCTCGGCAAGTGCCTCGCCGCCGAGTGGGCCACCCACGGTATCCGCGTCAACATTCTCGAGCCCGGATTCTGCAACACGGAGCAGACGAGCGGCATGGACAAGAGCATCCGCGACTTCCAGGCCAACAGCATCCCTCTCGGCCGCTTCTCTGAGCCTCACGAGCAGGCCGAGCCTGCCGTTCTGCTGTTGAGCGACAAGTCGTCGTACATGACTGGTTCGGTTCTTCGCCCCGACGGTGGTTTCACCATCTGGTAAATTGTCACGCGCAGTCAAGCAAACGTCTGCGAGGTCAATCGTTGAAAATGCAATACCATTCGATCCTGTTTAGAAAGGGACCTTCGTGTGTCGTGAGAAACAAGCGCGAGAGTGGTAACGGCGAAAGCACAGGGAGCGCAGGAGTTCGGGAACGCAGTGATGCGAGTTCGGATGCGGGCCGAAAAACTTCGATGCGAGAACGAACCTCCGCACACCGAGAGAAGACTGTCCGAAATCTCGCTTCAGTCTCAGTAGATAGAATAGTCGTCACAAACGTTTGAGTGCAAAGTGCATACTGTGATTGAGAAGCAAGGGTGACTAGAGTACATGTGATTTCGGTGCGACGGCTACTTGCATCGAGCGTGAACGATGGCAGCTCCATGTTCTTCATACTCCTGTTTCGAGATCCAGAGCTGGTGGAACGTTCCCAGACTAGCCAAGATGCTTCCGCCCAACCAAGAAGAGTGTCTGCGTTCAGTGGTGTTTCCCGGCGAGTGGATCTTGACCTTCTGATTGGGAGCTCTAACACCGAGTTCGTAGCTCAACCTATCCGACAACCCTTGGATGAGCGAACTTCCACCGACCAGAACAATGTTGCCGAAGAGACTGGGACGCGAGTCAACATCGACAGCGTTGATCGAAGACAGGACCATATCAGCCAGTCCTACAGCAGCTTTCCCGCCAGCCACGCTGGCAGCTGGTTCACCGTTGCCAACACCACCAGCAGCGCCTCCATTGCTAGCGTCAGAGGAAGCGGTGGAAGAAGGATGAAGGACGGAACCGAAGCTTTCGCTGGAGGAAACACCGTTCCACAGCCCAGGGGTGAAGAGCAATTCGGAAGCTCGCAGTCGCTCCGCACCAAAGGCATCGTTGTAGCCGTCGGGGAACTCGTACATCCTTCCGCTTCGGAACTGCGCCTGCTGATCGTCCCAAGGTACCTCGAGCACCTGCGCTACGCTCTCCTTGAATTCGTTGACGACGCGGTTGACGTGGTAGTTGCGGAAGGAAGGCGTAGCACCCGTGACGCGGTCTTGCCTCAACACGACGTTGGCAGCAGCACCAGGGTCGACAGAGGATCGACTCTTGATGAGATACTGCGGTGTCACTCCACCGAACGTGGTTCCTCGACCGTGGTGCAGGCTGTAGAGCAATGCGCGGTTGATCGCATCTCCACCGTTGTTGTGCCTGTGAATGCCCTTTCGAAGGATGAACCCGTCGACGATGGGGATGGTGGAAACGCTCGTGCTGCCAACATCGATCACCAAGCTGCTAGGCTTTCCCGCCGCAAAGCTGCTCAGCACGGATCTGTTGGCCAGGTAGAACGCCGGACTACCCAACGTCTCGAACGCCAACTCGGTGAGCTTCTCCCTCGATTCGCGGGCATTCCACGCCGGTTCGGTGAGCAACAGGGGATGTTCGCGTGCATCGCACGAGAGCGAGTCGAGACCGAACGAGCACAGCTGTGCGAATGCGGATGTGTCGGAGAGGATGCCGTCGTCGTCAAAGATGGGTGCAATGTCGAAATCGAGTCGGTAGAGGTTGAGGTCGTTGTCGCCGACGAATCGACGACGTTTCTTTTCGCGATCGACGGAGAAGCGGAGCGTCTTGCTGGCGGATTTCGCACGTGCTTGGTTGAGTCGGTTGTCGGAGGCTTCCTCTGTGGCGGCGGCGTCGCTGTTGCCGTTGGGTGTAGATGCACCTTCGCCGTCGGCCATGGACTCGTCACCATCGGCTGCGGGCGCAATGGTGGAGGAAGATGCAGCAGAGAATGCAGCTTGCGATTCAAGTTCGGCGATGGCTTCGTCGGTGATGGAGGTGTGTCCGTAGTAGGAGGGCACGACTACTCGAGGTGCGTCCTCGCCTGCCCAACCGACACGGCTGGAAGAGTGACCTGCATCGATGACGAGAGCATTGATCTCGTCGCCTCCATAGACGCCTGGCATTGCGATGTGATGTGCTTCGTAGCGTGGTGAATCCTTCGGAACGAGGAGTACGGAAGGTGATGATGCGATGCAAGGTGCGGGTGAAAGTGAGGGTGATGATGTCGCCTTGGATGGAGATGGTTCGCAGCGACGCTCAGGGCAAATCTCTGAATCTCGCGACGCGATACTGTAGAGAGGCGAGCGCTCTTCTTCCATCCGGCCGAGTGGGAGCAGGTGAGCTCGACTCCACACTGTTTTGCTTTCCGCTTGGCTGCAATGGCAAAAATTTCGAAAAAGCTCAAAGCGAAAAATCGCTTTCTTCTCAAAAAAAAGTTCAGTGAACCCTGAGCAGAAGGCGCACATTCTCAACATTCTCAGCTTCCGACGCTTCTTCGACTTCCATCACACTTCACTTCTTGTCGATAATCTTCTCACCGTCGCAGTCGAGGCAACGAGGAGGAATTGCAAGGATGGTCAGACCATCTTCAGCCAGCTCGGCGGCTTCGGCGCGCAACGGCGCTTCAAAGAGGAAGCGCAATTTGCCCCTTGCCTCAACCACGACTTCAACATCCAAGACAACAGCACCTATCGCCAGCAAGGGCAAGGCCAAGGCGCTTCAGCTCGAGCTTGGCGCATCAGACGATGAAGAATCAGGCGAGCTTGACTTGGAATCCGATCAAGGTGATGTCGATGCCTCGGACGACGATGAACATGACGAGTTTCCAGAAATCGATCTCGAAGCGAGCGAGGACGAAGCTGCGGAGGACGAGGACGAAGAAGAGGATGACGAAGAGGAGGAATCAACACAGCTGAGAGATAGACAAGCGGAAGAGGGCGACTCTTCCGAGGAAGGCTACAACTCGTCCGACATCGACAACTCCGACTTTGACAATGACGCCGACGAGGGTGACTTCGCGTACGACTCAGCAGACGAAGACGAGCGTGCTTCCGCCTTTGCCGCTCGCAGCGACGCTTCCCAGACCAGCATCGATGAGGAGCTCTCACGCATGATGTCGCGCTATGCGTCCAAGCCAGACGAGCAATCCGGCTCCCTCTCCGCAACAAACAAGCTCGGCATCCCTCGGTCCCAAGCAGCGCAAGCCTTCGATCTGCGCGTACGCAACCCCGACGGCTCGGCCAAAGGTGTGTTCAAGCGAAGCGAGATCACAGGCGAGATGAAGCGAGTCTACCCTGAAATCGAAGCCGGCTACGACTCGGATAGCAGCACCGAGGATGCCGAAAACAAGATCGGCAACGTACCACTCGAATGGTACGACGACCTCCCACACATTGGCTACGACATCAACGGCCGCAAAGTCATGAAGCCAGCAACCAAAGACGAACTCGAGAAGTTCCTCGATACCGTCGACGGCGACGGAGAGGCTTGGTTCTCGGCCCGCGACAACTCCACAGGCCAGGATGTGCGATTGAGCGACGAGGAGCTCGCCATCATTCGCAAACTTCAGAACGCCGAGATCCCAGATGACGCCTATGACCCATACGAGGATTATGTCGATTGGTTCACAGGCGAGGACAAGGTCATGCAGACGGCACTCACTGGTCGACCCGAACCCAAGTCACGCTTCGTGCCGAGTAAGTGGGAGCACAAGAAGGTCATGAAGATCGTCCGTGCCATTCGCGACGGCCGAATCGTGCCCGGTGCAGCTGCCAAGAAGGACACCAAGCCTAAATTCTACAACATTTGGGCTGACGCCGACGAGAACGACACACGCAGCCCATGGGCCGTCATGGCTGCGCCCAAGCTCACGCTTCCCGGCCACGCCGAATCCTACAACCCGCCTGCAGAGTATCTCTTCAACGACCAAGAGCAAAAGGACTGGCAGGAAGCCGAGCCCGAAGATCGCAAACAAAACTACCTGCCGTCCAAGCACGATTCGTTGCGCCACGTCGGTGCATACCAAAACTTTGTGCAGGAGCGATTTGAACGATGTTTGGATCTCTACCTAGCGCCGAGGATGATGCGCAAGAAGCTGGACATCCACAACCCGGAGAACCTGTTGCCCAAGCTGCCTTCGCCTAGGGAGCTCAGACCGTTCCCTACCACCACCAGCGTCGTGTATGCTCACCCAGATGGCGGAAGGGTGCGTTGTTTGTCGGTAGACCCGACGGGCAACTGGCTCTTGACCGGTGGCGACGATGGAAGGGCGAGACTGTGGGATGTAGCCATCGGAAGATGTACCGCATCGTGGGATGTGTGCGAGGGAATGCCAAAGGCAGAACGTTCCGCCGTCCACTCGATCGCCTGGTGCCCCACCAAGAACTACTCTCTCTTTGCCGCTGCTGTCCACGGCCGTGTCGCTATTATCGCACCACCTCAGACGCAGAACTATGCCAAGACCTCGGCCAACGCCATCTCTTCCAAGTCTGCCTCCTCTGCGAGCGGCTCTACGGCCACCTCGACCGCGTCGTTCCTCTACGCCACCTCTGCCGCTGCGACGTCGATGCCCAGCAAACCGGATGCTCGCTCGCCGGTCGCCTGGACGCGCCCCTCGGAACCCGAACGTCGCTCTGGTGTCGCTATGCATCTCAACATCACCTCCTCCTCGGCGAACAACCTCAAGACCGTCGTGTGGCACAGCAAGGGCGACTACTTTGCCACCGTATGCCCCGACTCGGCCGCCGGCTCGGCAGGTTTGCTCATCCACCAGCTCTCCAAACACCGATCGCAGTCGCCCTTCCGCAAAGCGTCGAAGGGATCGTCTGTGCAGAAGCTCGTCTTCCACCCGACCAAGCCGTGGGTGTTTGTCGCTACGCAACGCTACATCCGCGTGTACGACCTCATGGCGCAGTCGCTCGTCAAGACGCTCCAGTCCGGCTTCAAGTGGATCTCCACGCTCGACGTGCACCCCTCGGGCGACCATCTGATGGTGGGAAGTTACGACAAGAAGCTCGCCTGGTTCGACCTGGATCTCTCCTCGCGCCCGTACAAGGTGTTGAAGTACCACGCCAAGGCCGTGCGTGCGGTGCACTTCAGCACCAGCTGGAACCTCGTCGCTGATGCGAGCGATGATGGAACGCTGCAGCTGTTCTACGCCAAGGTCGGCGCGGATTACGGCGAGAACCTGGTATTGGTGCCGTTGAAGGTGTTGAGGGGCCACGAGGTGAGGAATGGTTTGGGCGTGTTGGATGTCAAGTGGCATCCCAGTCAGCCGTGGTTGTTCTCGGCGGGCGCGGATGGAAATGCTGTTCTGTGGACGACGTAGAAGCTTTTTTCTTAATGCAGTGCATTCGCAGTCGATCTTTTTTGTTGGGAGTATGGTTCGTGTGTGCACGAAGGATCTTCGCAATTGTGTCAAACATGTGCGTTCGTACAGGACATGACTTTTGAGAGGATGCTTCACTGATCCTTCTTATCCTCGCCACCCTGTGGCAACCCACTAGCCGCTGCCGCCGCCTCTTCCTCGTTCTCTTCTCCCTCTCCCTCTGCGTCCTCCTCCCTCCCCAAGTCCTCCGCCTTTGCCTCGCCCTTCTTCCCCACCGCCACCACCTTCTCCTGCGCCTGAATCATCTCCAACTCTCCCTTCAACTGCACCAGCTCCTTCTCGAACCTCCTCCCAAACACCTCTACGTAGTAACTCGCACCGTTCCAAACACTAATGACAAAGATGCCGGCGAAAAACACGCCGGAAGCGGTTCGGTTCGGGTAGAGCAGCAGAGGGGCGGGGAGGGTGGTGATGATGGTGTAGACGAACTGGAGGAGCATGAACGCGGGTTCGCGACGTTTGGGCGGTGCTTTGCCGAGGAGGTTGGCGACGGGACCTTTGCCCTTGCTCATGGTCGAGTACGAGTTGATGCGTTCGCCCGTCTCGATCTTGGTCTTTTTGCGGATGACGATGAGTTCGTAGTAGACTAGTTGCCAGATCAAGTAGATCGTCACATTCTGTCACCCAACACAGTAAGAAAAGATGGTCAGTGTGAGATGTGTGCTTGATGAGAAGCGGCGGTGGGGGAAAGGCAAGGGGAAAGGAAAACTTACAAACCAGAAACTCGTGTAGCCGTTCAACGTGGTCAGGTTTTTCAAGGCGGGGAATCGAGTCACGGCTTGATCGTGAGGCATGAAGTGTACCATCGTTGTAAAGACGAACGGAGGGTAGAGGTGGATGAACAGCGAAGTCATTTTCTCCAATGAGTGGAAGACGAGGCTGTTTCGCCATGTGGCGACGCTGAACGCCAGTGGACCATGAGCCGCACAGTAGCAGCTGTTTCCGGGGGATCGCATCAAAAAGGGCAACCACGATAAAGTCAGTGTCCCTCCCTACAACAGCCCGCAAATTCTCCCGAGCGTAAACTTACACGGTGAACAAGAACTCCGAGTGAGGAAAGACCCAGATGAACAATAGATTCGCCATGTTCAAAAAGTAGCAGAAATCGAATAAAAAGTAATGCCACTTCCTGCTGGTATACGACCAAACCCTCAACGGCAAAAAGTACAACGCCAAGACCGAGTACAATGTCGGGATGAGCTCCGGTCTCAACGCAAACACCAACGAGCTGACGACCAGATTGCACACCCCTACGACGAACGAGATCTTATCGCGCAAACGGACCACTTTTGCATCCATCCACTTCTGTTGCAGGTTTTCGATGCGTTTCGAAACGCGCGAACGCATCTTCTGAAGTTCGTCGTCCATCTGCTGAAGTTCGCGTTTGGAGCGGGCTTTGCGGACGAGCTGTTCGCGACGACGACGTGCGCGGGACTTCATGTCTCCGGAGAAGGCGGACCACTTTCGACCGGCGAGATCGAGTCGTGGGGAAAAGTAGGTTTCGAACAGGTCGCTGAGGGGGAGCGCGCCGGCGGTACCGGAGGTGCCGAGCAGATCGATGCCTTCCATGGACGCGGATGCGCTCGAATGATTGGTGCGGAACGAGGGCGTGGATACGGATCCATCGTCCGAGTACGCTAGACTCGAGGCGCGCGAGAGCGTCGGTCGCAGAGCATCGCCGGAGCTGGAGGCGTCGGAAATGTGCGAGTAGGTGGAAGATGTGGAAGAGGCGCGTCGCATGTCGGCTCCCTCGACTGCTCCGTTGCTGTCGACGTGGCTGAAGGAGGAAGAGTCGGGTACGGAGAGTGTGTCGCTTGCCATGATTGCGGCTCTTCGCGGTGGAGCGGCAGATGGTGGATGAGGAGGAGTTGGTACGGCTGTGATTGTGAAAGATAATGGAATGCTTTGAAACACGCATGCCTGTCACAACGTGGATCAGTGACAGCATCGCGCATCGCCCCCCTTTTTGTTCCCTTTGGTCCACACCAACACACACACTACAGCATGCAACGACATCCGCGGTGTTCGGCACAACGCGTTTTCCTGATTTTGTTAGATCCGGCAACATTACCGTCCCGCCTCTTTCTCATTAAGAATGCCTTCCCAACGGCAATACAGTCGATATGAATCGAGCATTCGGTGTGCTCCCAGCAAGAGGCCACAGATGGCAGCTTCGCTTCGCACCAGACAATCCGTTGCGGTCCAATTCGGGAGAGGATTGGAAGACTGTGGTACGGCACACGACAGCACCCTTACGGTGTTGTAGACAAGGCGTGGCAGGCGAGTTACACACACACACTCACTCCCTGCTTGCTGCAGTCGAAGCCGTTCAGCAAGCCCCAAATGTCGAAGTGGCGCGAGAGCCCCAGTCTTGACGGATGGCTTATAGGACGATGATGTGTGAACCGGTTCTAGAGAGTATGCTAAGAGTACAAGGTGAGGAGAAGACAATACAACGAGAAAAGAGTGAGGTGGACGGGGAGGGGACTGCGAATGATGCGCCGCTATACGAAGACGGTAGGCAGTGTGGCGAAGCGAAGAGTGAATGTGGGCTTTGTGAAGGGGAATTGGCTGGGTGATTTGCAGATTGTCGAAAAGACTGTGGAAGAGGGGCTCGGTACCTGACTGAAAGCGAAGACGAACGAAGGCAGGCAGCCTTCCAGCGCGAATCGATCACAGCCGTGTCTGACCAAGCCGATGCACTGGTATCTGCCGTGCAGAAGCACGTAACAGCCGTCTTTCGTATGTCGTATGGCGTGCCGTCACGGCCTTGTAACAATGCAGCGCATCGACATCCATTTGTTTCGATACGGACCTGGAATCCACCTTCATCTTCATCAGACTAGCGACCGAGTCGAGACGACCGACGTCACACGTGGCCCAGCTGCGCGGCAGATACTCCCATCTAGCGAGCTTCGAAATGCAACTGTTGTCATTGCGCACGAGACATCGAAAGCAAAGTCAGTAACTGTTCATCTTTCCACAAAGTATCCGATCTTGCTTCGTCGGCGCACCGATACACCACGAAGATAGAATCAGAACTTACCATACGCTTCGTCCTCTTCTTGTACATGACACGGTGACCGCATTCTCTGCAACGGATGGGTTCCCTTGGTCGGATCTCATTGGTGGCGGCGCAGTCGGCGCAGATGTACTCCATCACAGGGTTGCGAGATGCGATTCCTCCCAAGCCTGGGCCGCCGCTCGGCGCTGATCCTGCTGGTCTTGCCTGGTATGACATGCTGTGTGTGTGACTGTTCCGTCCTCCTCAGGTATCGTTCGACAGGGGTGGATGGTGTGAGGGATGCGAGGGGGAAGGTGTGGAAAGGAAGAAAGAAAGTGGAGAAATGTTGCGAATTTTTCCTCCTTGAACGGACCCTGGACAAGGTGCGTCACGTGACACTGCCACACCCACGCTCAACCTTCTCGATTTCGTTACAGGTGTTGGACTCGTTAACCTCGCTCTCGCATCCTTCCGCCATCATCACCATCAGCGACCACGGACATTCATTCACGAAGGGTCTAGCGCGATGTCTGGGCAGCTGGAAGGCATCATCGTGCTGAGTGCGGATGGTCGGCCCGTGGTGCATTCACACTTTGCCAACCGCATCCCTTCGTATCCTCTCCTCCATTCGGACTATTTTGCGACCCTGTTGGCAGGCATCAATTCGGCCAATGCGCACATCTCGTCCTCTTCAGCATCCAGCTCAAATCTAGGAGATGATTCGTCGTCAGCAGGACCTTCGTCGAATCGCATCTACTTCACGAAAGATATCAAGCCCGTCATCTGGGTGCCTGGCGTACCGGATGTCAACCCCTTGGATCTGCAGAACCAATCGGAGAACGACGACGACAGCGATACAGACGAAGAGGGGGCAGCGGATGTGACAACAAATCTAGCGGAGCTCTCGCTGGCCAGTCAGCTGAGTGCGCGCGTCTCCGCCAGCCGTGCCGCATCCTCGAATGCCGCTGTTGAAGACATAAACGTTTGGGATGAAGCCGGATCTACACAAACGTCCAACACAATCAAACCAGCAGCATCATCAGAAGCAGCAGGAGAAGACACCTCTGCACACACACTCACCATACCACTGACAACAGCGACAGCAGAGGAGAGAGGCGCAAAGGTGGTCCAACACGCCGCCGAAGCACTCGCCGAACAAGGTGCAGCCCTCATCCACGTCGCTTCCGGACCGCTCCGATACCTCTGCCCCGTCTCCCGCGAGATCGACCCCCTCGTACCCCTCACGTTCCTACGGTCCTTCATCTCGATCCTGCAAGAATACCTCACTCAGTCCACCGACCCCACCCTGCTCACCGAAGACACGCTCCGTGACAACTTCGACATCGTCTACCAGCTCTTCGAAGAGATCGTCGATACCGACGGCAACATCCTCACCACCGAAGTCAACATGCTCAAGAGTCTCGTTCTTCCGCCGAATTGGGTCGGAAAGCTGGTAAAAGCGGTAGGCGTGTCCGGTCTGGCATCTGCTGCACCGCCGCCGTTGATATCGACGATCCCGTGGAGAAGACCGAATTCCAAGTACACGAACAATGAGTTGTACGTTGATCTGGTCGAGAGCTTGGAAGGTGTGGTCTCGAGGACGGGTAAGCCGATCGCGTTGGACGTGTGGGCAGCGGTGCAGTGCAATGCGAGGTTGTCGGGGACGCCGGATCTGTCGTTGACGTTCAATGCACCGAACCTGGTGCAGGACGAGAGCTTCCATCCGTGTGTTAGGTGGAGAGTGTGGAGGAAGGAGAGGAGGTTGTCGTTCGTTCCCCCGGATGGCAACTTTGAGTTGGTATCGTTTCGAGTTGGACAGCCGTACCTTGCGGTCGCTGATGCAGACAAGTCGGGCAGCAAAGGCCCGACAAATGGATGGGCGAAGGCGATCCCCGTGCAGCTTTCGCATTGTATCGAGCTGCAAAAGGGTTCGGGAACAGCACTCATCCAGGTTCAAGCATCACCCTCCACCAGCACATCGACCTCTTCCTCACTGTCATCCCAGCCCGCTTCACGCCCATCCAAAGGCCCCGATCCAGCGGGAACGCTTGAAGAAGTCACCATCACATTCGGTCTCGGACCTGGCGTCGTCTCCTTCGAAGCCGCCGTCGGAGGTGGACCCCTCCCCGCAACCACCCTCAACTCCTCCATCACTCCCTCAACGGGCGACGTCTACGGCAACTACATCTACGACCCTTCCACCAAAATCGTCCGCTGGACCATACCCAAACTGCTTCCCTCGGCATCCCAAAGACCCTGCCTGCTCAAACTCACCTGGACCACCGGAGATCCGCGCACCGCACCCACCCATTCGAGCGCCATCACGCTCAGCTGGACAAACCCTTCCCAACCCCTCTCCCACCTCAAGGTGGACTCGGTCAACCTGACTAACACCAACACGCACCCGTATCGACCCTTCAAAGGCGTCAGATCCTTCTCCAAAGGAAAACTCGTCTATCGAGTCTAGCAAAAGTGATGGACAGCAATGCATGTATTAACGCACCCAAAAGATAAAAAAGAGGTATCGCAGGGTGACAAAATCAAGCCAAGAACAAATTACAGCTGCTGCCCCAAATCGAGTGTCTATTCAACCCAAAACCACCAGAGCGCCGAAATAACATCAGTGAGAGACGCTACGAAGCATGCAACATGAGCTTCCACCCTCTATCCGTAGCTTCGTCCAACCAAGCCGTGAGCGAAGCGTCGTCTACGATCGGCTCCGGCTTCTCGTTGCACTGGAACGCTCCGACATCCGCACCCAGCCTCTCGCGTGTCTTCTCCAACAGCTGTGCAAACGTCGGACTCGGTGGCATGCGCAACGCTATCACGCTGTCGAGATCGTTTCGACGAGCCACCTTGATTCGATGGTACGCAACGTTGGCCGCCGAACCCGAAGTTGCACCTTGACCCGACGAGTTCTGCTTTCGGTGTCCACTGGATGCCTGCGACGTACGACCCGTGCTCGCCGCGCCCGTCCCGCCAAACACGGCGCTGCTCCTCGTCGAATCACGTTGCCCTGAGGAAGCGCCGGCTGAGCCAGAAACAAGCGAAGCCTTGCGCATCTTGGCGCTGAGATCGTCCTCCGCTTTCGAGGATGTACTGCTGTTACCCACGGGCTGATCCTCGGCGTACCTGTCGACGCCATTGCCTCGCAGCTGCTGACTCGCCCGTTGGTCGACGCCTCCGGCAAGGTACCCGTACTCCTGTTGCTGCAAGCCGAGATCTTGTTCATCGGTGGGTCCCCTTGGCGGATGCGAGGTGCAATGATCACCAGGTCGAGGCTCGAAGAAGAGACGCACCAATTCGGAACGCATGATGTATTCGGGAAGCGAGCAGAGCTCGATGATGTACTGATCAAGGTCGACGCGACGCTGCGATGTGATGAGATCGTCGACGACATCGAGGGGTCCAGGCATGAGGGGAAGAATACGCTCGCTGGCGTGACCGTTTGCGTCGGTCTCGCGACCGGCTTCGGCAGGGAAGTGGTCGAGCAGTGCGATCTGGAACTCGTAGAAATCTTCATAGAGACGGTAGAGGATGAGATCCCGTTCCTCGCCGTCGGGCGCTGCGGGCGCGTTGGCGGGTGCAGATGCAGAAGGGCCGGCCACGTGTGTTGCCTGGATGCGGAACCAGTAATCGCCCTGCTCGTAGTGGAACGAGTCGACAGTGGCTGATGTGATGATGCCCGTAGGTAGCGGCTCGCCCGGCGACATACCTGGCGGAAGTTGTGCGAGCGGGTCGACGGCGTCGGCGTCGAAAGGCTGCATTGCCCCTGCGGCGCCCAGCGGACCGCCTGCGTGGTTGTAGAGCTCATCTTTAGGTGGTGGTGTAGGGACGGGAAGAGACGAGATGGACGATTGTTGGGCGTGCAGACCGCTCTGTGGGAAGCCGACATTGTTACCGCTGCTCCCGGAGGCGGCGGCTGCCATGTTGGTGTAGGGTGAAGCGACGCCTGGCTGCGCTGATTGCGGAAAGTCGAAGCGGCCGAGCGGGATGGTGTTCTTCTTGTACTCGGCGGTCATCTTTTTCCACTCCTCGACTCTGGGCACGACGCCGCTCTCGATGAGTTCCTGGACATCTTCGATGGGCCTTCCAGTAACCAAGTCGCGGATCTCGACGAAGGCGACCGGTATGAGGCCCGGTCCACCGAGTCTGCCGATGGGTTTGGCGACGAACCATTCGAAGTTGGACTGCGCAATGACGATGATGGACTCGCCCGCCTTGGCTTCGAGCTCGTCGGCCCGTTCGGCGAGGAAATCGTACTTGACTACGGCGTAGAGGCCTCCGCCGCCTTTTGCAGTCATAGCGGCGCCGGCGGCACGTCCACCGTAGGCTGCAGTGGAAGATGATGCTGCTACGGACGTCAAGGAAGCGTTAGGGGGCGACATGCTGCCAATGGTGGGCGAGGTAGCTCCTGGACCAGCAGCGGTGGCTGGGTTGGCGCGATTACTCTTGGAGAGCACGTCGAAGTGGCTGGCTGGAACGAGACCGCGTGCGTTGGTCATAGGATTGCTGGCCTCGAACCAATCCGCGTTGGGAGCGGGGTCGACAATGACATGGAAAAAGTCGCCCTTGTGGAAGCTGAGCTCGTGCGGCGATGCGGATTTGTAATCGCGGATGGCGCGGATGACGAGCTTAGGTGGTTGGATAGCGACGGCGCCTTTGACGCTGGCAAACGTGCCCGGGCTGGCGCTGGATGCGGAAGGCTTTCCACCGGAATGGCGATCCTTGTTGAGAGACCTGCGAAAGTCCTTGAGGCCCTTCATGATTGGGACCGGCAGATCTGAGGCTCGTCAGTGCGGCAGGGTCGGCTCGATAGCTTCCAAAGGTGCAGCGATGTCTGCGAAGTAGGCCGACAGGCAAGCTGCGTTATAAGGTCGTGATTGTCGTCAAGAGGAGTCTGCGCTAGAGAAACAGGGTCGCTGATGCTCGCCGATCTGAGCGTGCGCGTGCGCGTGGTGAGCGCAAACGTCTGCGTCGGTGCTCTGTGTTGACGGCACAGCAGCCGAACCTCGTAGCGGAACGGGAATGGTCGATGGCGGTGATGATGGAAGGGAAGCAGCGAGGCGAGAGAGAGTGAGAGATAACCATGCGCCGACCGAATTAATGGCGCGGACCAGCTCGACGGGAACGTCAGCCAGTGGAAGCGTGCCGCGACGAGGCTGCAAAGTCAAGCACGGCGGACAGACCGGGGTGCAAAGCTGAATTGAGCCCTTTTTTTCACGCCGCAGATCCTCAGCGCAGCAGCCTGCAGTAACAGCAACATAAAGAAAACATAATTTTAAGCAAATGCGCGAAGCGGGCAACAGAAGGGTCAAACTGCAACACCCTAAACACGCTCTCCCCGTCAACTGACTGAAAAACCGCGGGCGTGGAGAAGGCGCCATGCGGTGGGAAGAAGCGCTTGGTTGTGCATCTCGTAGATACTTGGAGCATGTCCGGGTGAACAAATTCAAACCTCGAGAGCCTATCACAGGTCGTGTACGGATGCGCTCGGCTGTGCAGGTACAGTGTAATGCGATGATTGTCGGCACCATGCAAGGCCATTGTTCCTTGATCTGCTGTACAAGTGTACGATGATAATGGTGATGCCATCTACGTCGCTTTCTACGGAACTTGCACCACACCATATGCGGCTTGCCAGGTTAGTCGGGCAACTCGGCAGCATCCAAGATCTGGATCCCATTTCCAGAGAAGACGAGGTGAAGGCTTCCGAAACACAATTTATGCAGCTGCGTCTGTGCGCTCTCGCATCCGAGCTTGCCGCTCATCATCTTGTTCGCCTGAGACGGGCGCCATAGTAGGCGAGTGTTGCCGAGATCTGCATCTATCCACTGCACGCAGCCGATGGGCTTTTTGGCTGAATCTTGTCGATTCAACTCGATAGCAGACGGCTCGCTTCAGAGGTAAGGTGCAAGACGGCCATTGTCGAAACCTGAGTACAGTAGCCGGAAGGGGCGTGAATGTGTGCAGCCTCTTGACGCGATGCATTATTGCAGCGTAGAAGTTGCAATTTGTTTTCTTTGCCGCTCGCCACGATGCTTGTCCCGCTTTTCCTGTTTTGCCAGGTGATGCCGCGGCTCCACCCGCTCTTCCCAGCTTCTGCCTGCTATCTGCTCTAGACAGCTATGATCACATCGGCAAGCTGAATGCTGAAGTGTCGGATCAAGTCCGATTCAAGGGTCACGATGGTAGACCCTACTTCTTCGCACGCAAGGATCATTAAGTGTTAGACTCGTGAAATTGTTTCCCTCGTCCCAAGAAATTCTATCCGCTGCCCTGTCCGCGACCTTGCAAGGAGAAGCGGCAAGAAACAGCGCTGAGGTGCTGCAGAGCCGTGCAAAGTGGAAGTGTGACTGAATACAGGTCACTCTACGCCTTTCGACACTCTGCGCTGAACCGAACGTGATTATGGATTTCTTCTCGTCTCCTTTCCTCCGCCACTCCTTCCATCTCCACCACTCACTCCCGCAATCGTCCTCTCAGACCGCAACCCATCATGTCTACTCGAGTCTACGTAGGAAAGCTTCCTCCTGATGTCCGTCGCGGTGACATCGAGGATCTATTCCGCGACTATGGCGTAAGTTTTTCCACCTGTCAAGCTTCTATTCTCACCGTGTCCGATGATTTTTGTATACTCACACGCACATACGCTTTCTTGCCATACTTCGCCCTTTGCAACAGCGACTGCATGACATCCGCATCATGGGCGCGTTCGGCTTCGTCGAGTTCGAGCACCCTCGCGACGCCGAGGACGCCGTCAAGGACTTTGATGGCAAGAACTTCATGGGAGAGCGAATCGTAGTGCAGCACGCAAAGAGCGGAGAGCGCCGCCGTGAACCCGCTGGCTACGGCGCCGACTCGTATGATCGTCGAGGTGGTGGTGGCAGCAGCTACGGCCGCGACGCTCCTTCCTCCCGATACGGCGCTCCTCCTGCTCCCAAACGCGAGCCCCGCCTTCGCCGCGGTCAATTCCGCTGCATCGTCTCGAACCTTCCTCCCAACACCAGCTGGCAGGACTTGAAGGACATCGGTCGCGAGCATGGATCCATCTCGTTCGCAGATGTCGACGCTACCCGCCCGGACGAGGGTGTCATCGAGTACGACAACCGCGATGATTATGAGCGTGCCCTCGACAAGATTGAGGGTGTCGAGCTTCGCGGTTACAAGCTCCGCATTGACCCCGCCCGTCCGCCTCGCGATGAGCGCGACCGCAGCCCTCCTCCCCGCCGCCGCGATGACAGTCCTCCCCCTCGTCGACGCGACGACAGCCGCGAGCCTCGTGACCGCGAGGACAGCCGCGAGCCTGTCCCTGAGCGCAACGGTCGCTACGACAGCCGAAGCCCTCTTCCACCTCGTGACGACGATGACGTTTCTCGTCCTCGCGATGACTGATCTGCTGCTTTCGCCCTTCAAAATCAATCAAGAAAGAATGACTGCCGACAAGACTCCGTTCCTCCCCGCTTGCTCTTCAAATCTTCGATGTATCTCCTGATATTTGTACAATGTCGCTTCCGTGCTGGCTCCTCGGCTCCTTCCATTTCATTCCAATCGAACCGATCGGCTCCCTTGCTCAAGTTATCTCGTCTTCGCACGGCACTATGGCTCCACTGGTCCGACTTTCTCCGCATATGACGATGGTTCTCTGCCATTTGCAAGCAATTCTAATCCTCGCGCTTTCTGTGTTCCCCATAACCTGACGGTTTCAACGATTTCGAACGATCGCAGTCTCACGACTCGATCTTTCTTCGTCAGAGCAAGCAACGCCTGACCCCGGGGGTCTACCGCGATCGTGTCAAAGAGGCTCTGTGGTCGCCTGCACCGATGCCGCAACGAACACCCTTCACCGACTCCCTACGCTTTGGATCTACGGCCTCTCTTCTTTGAGCGAATCTTCAGGTCGACGTTTCCGGTCCTCGGCTTCTTTCGGGACCCACTGGCTCTGAAAAGGTGATGTTCATCTGTCTGACATGCTTCTGCTCTGTCTTGACGTGCAAGGTCTTGGATGCCAGTTTGAACAGCTGCTTCCCTGCACGGCATTTTCTCCGATACTTTGTTACCACATCTGTGCCTTTGACGCATGCTTTGCTTTCCTGTTTGTTCGCCAGGCAGGTCCCTCCGTCAGAAGGCTAGCCACCTAATGTTCTACGGACGAATTTCTTGTACATTCTTTCATCAGCGAGGAGCAACGCACTGGCAAACGCACTGGCAGAGAAGCCGCTCTGCCCTACCGCGTAGAGACTCATCAGTCAGCTCGTCAAAGCCGCTTGGATCAGGACCCGCCACGCTGTCTCGATGTCGCGAGTCGCAAAGCTAGTCGTTTGGAACACGGTCCTGCACGACGGAGAGGAGACGCAAAGTTAAACATAGAACTCAATTTGGCGAGGTGAGTATTTCAGCACCTTTGACGGCTCCTCTACCATACACCCTCCATCTGCGCACCTTCGCACAGCTCTCAGCTGCCCACGTCGTCGGCAGAACGAGCACAATGCCTCTGTCAGGCGCCGCCATCCACTCTTGTCGTCCCCTTCTGTCGGCTGATCTTCGCATCGGCGTCGGTAAAACGTTAGCTTGATCGCTTCATGAAATCGAAATCGAGCTTTCACACGATCGCGACTCGTGCTTGCACACCACCGCGTAATGACACGTCCTCTGTAGAGATTGAGCGTTCTATCTCACATGAGCATGACATCCCTCCTCGTGGGCGTCAGATCCACCTGACTCACCCCACCAAAGAAGTCCGTCACCTTGACATCCGCAACATCCCTTCCGAACAGATCCGTCCTCACCCCCGGATCGCTTTCGATGACTGCACTGTCGTAGGCATCGAAGAGCTGTTTCATAGTCGCGTTGCTCGTCTTGTCCATACCCTCCATCCATTGGAGGACAAAGTTTGTGAAGCGATCGATCATGGCGACGCCGAGATCGTCGTCGGCGCCGTGGCTGTAGCTGTTCTGGCCTTTTTCGCTGGAACCGGTAGCCAAGACGTTGGGGGAATAGATCTTGCTGTAGAGGGTGTTGGCTTGACACGTGTCGACCATGAAGAAGAGTTGGTGGTAGCGTTTTTTCTGCCACATCTGTTCGACTGCATCGGCGATGTCGAAGGCGGAGATCTCTTCGTAGTCCTGGAACTTGAGGAACTCGTCGCCGCCGTGTCCGGTCATGTAGAGGAAGACGTTCGAGCGTGCGTCGGTTTCGAGCCGTTTGGATTTGGGAGTTGTAGGTGGCAGTCGACCGGTGAGCAGCCGTATGAGGTTTTCGACCGACACTTCGTAACCCCGGTAGTCGACTTCGATGTTGTGCCCGTACAGATCGAGTCGGTTGGATGTGGATGACCATACGTTGCCAGGGAACTTGTTGCGAGGATTGCAGGCGGCATCGTCGGCTAGCATTAGGATGATGTTGGAGTCGGGGATGCCGAGACGCTTGACGGTGCGGTACATGCCGAGCGTGTTGGCGATGTGTCGGTAGTTGAACCAGAATTTCGAGGTGCACACCAGCACCGCCCAGTTGTTCGTGTGGCCTCCGCGAAGGCTCGAAGTGATGTTGGAGGAGAGGTGCGAGGACGTTTGTGTGGTTGTGGGGTTGGTGGTGGGAATGCCGAGGGTTGAGAGTGCGTCGTTGAGTCCTGCTCGCTCGAAGAACTGCGTCACTTGTTGAACTTGATCCGATGTCAAGACGGACTCTGGGAACACGAAGGGTATCGCGATGGCGGCCAGTAAAGCTACGAGGATGCTGAGCAGCAGTATACGTAACGCTGTACGTCGGCCTGACCGTGATGGTGAGCCTTTCGGTATTGCTACATGTCCGCCGGTCGTCGAGGTGCGCTGCTTTCGCCGTTGCTGTACCTTGTGCGGACCCGCGGCATCTGCCGTATCGACGACTGTCATCGTCGTCCCAGTGTCGCCTCGGGTCGTTCCGGAGACGGAAGCTAAGCGTCGCGGGATGATGGAATGGCAAAAGGCAACGTTGAAAGTAACACTAAGCGTGCCGCTCCAACGCACAGGTGGAGCAACTCGCAGCGCCGACTTCCGGGACCCTCACTGAGAAATTCGCGGTTGCAGACCCACTATCTCGGGCTCTTCTCTCTTTTCCCCTCGACTTGTCCGTTCGCCATCCTCACACCATCCCAGCTCGGTATCATACGAGCAATCACCAGCTCCCTGGCGTCCTTGCAGCTCGTGACGATGTACCACATCCACCGCTGTCCACGTCTTCACCCTCATGGTCGAGTTTATTAAGAGCTTTTGTGAACCAGAAAGCTCACCTCTGAGACATGGCTGCCAACTCCGACCCATTGCGCGATCTTCCTCGTCCTCAACCCCACACTCTAACCCACGACCGCCACTTCTGACACCACGTCCATCTTTCACACATCGCTCTGGTCAGACATGTAATTTTTCAACGATTGCATGCATTTGAGTATTTCGGAACAAGCACAGGAAAGAGAAACGGCGAGAGGGATCGAGACGTCTCGACCCGACTACTGCATAGTACAAAGAGTGTGTGGTTTGTGCGTGTGAGAGCAAAGACAGAGCGCTTCAACAAGAAGACCGGCACGCAATCGAGACATCAAGCATCGAAACTCCGGCTCTTTGCGTCTGTTATGCGCTCGACGAAAACAGGAGCCCATAGCAGGTAAAGGAAAGCAGTCTAAACAGGTAATGATGATATGCTGAGGAGACAAGGAACGAGCGAGGGGATGTCAACTAGGACGATCCGCGAATCCGGGGGTCCGGGGTGGTACGTTTAGTAGGCGAACTGCTTGTTAGGGTCGTTACCGTAGTCAGCAGAGGGTGCGCCGTTGGCGCGCTTGTACGACCACTGCTTGTTAGGCTGCAGACCCCAGTCACCAGCAGGAGCGCCGTTATCACGCTTGTAGGAGAACTGCTTGTTGGGGTCGTTACCGTAGTCAGCAGAGGGTGCGCCGTTGGCGCGCTTGTAAGACCACTGCTTGTTGGGCTGCAAACCCCAGTCACCAGCAGGAGCGCCGTTATCACGCTTGTAGGCGAACTGCTTGTTAGGGTCGTTACCGTAGTCAGCAGAGGGTGCGCCGTTGGCGCGCTTGTACGACCACTGCTTGTTAGGCTGCAGACCCCAGTCACCAGCAGGTGCGCCGTTGTCACGCTTGTAAGCGAACTGCTTGTTAGGGTCAATACCATAGTCAGCAGAGGGAGCACCGGTGTCACGCTTGTACGACCACTGCTTGTTAGGCTGCAGACCCCAGTCACCAGCAGGAGCGCCGTTGTCACGCTTGTAGGCGAACTGCTTGTTGGGGTCGATACCGTAGTCAGCAGAGGGGGCGCCGGTGTCACGCTTGTACGACCACTGCTTGTTGGGCTGCAGACCCCAGTCGGCGGCGGGCGCACCGTTGTCGCGCTCAACGGCGGCAGGGGCTGCGGCGACAGCGCCAACAACGGCCAAGCCCATCAGCGCTACGGCCTTGAACTGCATTGTGGATGGTGATGTGTTGGTGGTGTGGGTCGGGAGGCGAAGCGGCGATCACAATAGCAACAAGAGGGTGAAGAGAGCACCGATGTCAAGTCGACGGTGATGGCAGTGGTGGTTAGAAAGGATGGAGGTAGGGGGCAATCAAAACCGGGTCGTGCCTTAGATACCAGGCTTCCTTATAAGCTATAACTGCAGCCGAGGTGACTGGCATGCCTCACGCCATCCAGTCGATTGTCGTACCTCACAGCGCCCGAATGGAAGCCCATCCGGAGAAGCGAGAGAAGCGAGCTGCATCGACCAGGGCAGGGAGGCAGGCACAACCACACGGGTGCGGCAAGGGGGGCCTCGCAGAGAGAGAGAGGGATGTTGACAACGATTTCGCAGGCGGTCGCCAAGGGTGGGACGGCAGTGGCGCACACACAGAGGATAGGACAAGGGGTTAGACGCGGCTTGCCACTGTGTCAGTGTCGTTGGCGGCTGCTGCAGGATCCCATCGGCTCACTTAGCGCCGGACGTTACAGCAACTTGGTGCAATTGAGACATGATGTCGTACAAGAGGGAAAAGTGCGTTTTCGCCTGGCAAACAAATCAAAGAATAAATTTAGAGGAGAGCGTAAGACAGCATATGGTGGCCGAATAAGGGCCTGACAAGCGGCAGGACAGCTGAGCAGGAGCCCTTGCATTCCTTGACCAGGGGAACAAAGGTTGAGGCGCGGTAGATCGGCAGTGTGGCAATGTGGGTTCATCAGAACGGCAGTTCCCGGTCGAAGATCGCTCGAAAATCGATCTTAAAATTCTAATTAAATCTAAGAGTAAACACATTTGATTGATGCGGAAGTAAGGGCAGGTCGTACAAAGAGGCACGATCGCACAGACGGCAGAATCGATGGAGGATCCAAGCAATGGCGATCCACAGAATGAAGCTCTAGCGTGGTGCCTGTAGGAGCGGGCAGAGGAACGCGCCAGGTCAGAAGGCCCAGAAGCGAGGCAAGGCGATGCAGAGTCTCTGATCTAGAGGCTGAGCAGGGCAGTCGACGACTCTTTTTCAGCGTCATTGACTAGCGCAAGCCGAACGGCATCGAGGCATGCAAAAGGCATCAGCGTCATGCGCAACTTCATTTGCCTGTTGCCTCGAACCTCAAGACTTGCAGGCAGCTCATGAGCCAGCCAGCGTCTGCCAGTCGCAAGTTCATCCGCACGTTCCGTTCACCTGTGAACAGCGGTAGACGGCGGTCAAAGTGGCTTCTGGCGGGGCTGAGAAGCCGTCTGAGATCGATTCGTTTTATTTATTTTTAAAAACCTATTTGTAATTGATCTTCGAAATGAAGCCACGCCCGCAGTGTGCAGGCATCCGTCGGATTCATTCGGATTGCAACCGACGCTGCAGCGTGACAGCGTGACAAGCAGGAGCGTGAGAACGCCGGGCGCCTTGTCTGAGTTGGAAATTGCAAAATGCACGGAAATCGTCTCTTCGCAAATCTTTCCACACCAAAAGATGGCCCGCTTGTGCCGCTCTGACTTGACGAGTAAGTGGTCCCAGACGCGAATTCGGGCTAGTCTCGCCTTGCGTGCTTGCACATCTCAGGTCTATCCTGAGCTGGGTACGCGCGCCTACCTCATCAGGTTCTTGACCTCACATCAACCTCGTACGTACACCCCTCACAAGGTCGGAACATAAGAGGAGCGGCTAGCGTGAGAAAGGTCTCAGACTTCAAATCACCCAACAAGCAACACAGAAAGCCGAAAATGCGTGATGAGCGCCTCTTGAACTTTGAATAAACCCTCTAAGAAGCTTGGCAGCTATGGCAAAGCACAGTATCCCACGTATAATGATTCATGATTGCTGCTGCCAGAGTCACAAAGGCGTGCTTGTGTGTTACAGCAGCTGCATCCACAGGTTGATCGCAAACACGATCAGGGCGGAAAAGCAGGAGGCGGCTGTTGCAGCCCGGACGGACGATCATAGGCAAGGGGCGGTCTCGTCCTGCGTTTGCCGGCAGCGCCCACGTTGTTTCCGCCCTTTCTTGTTCCCTCTTAGGCTCCTGGCGGTCAGTGATAACAAAGGCGGGGCTTGAAAGGAAGCGCAAGTGACATGCAGGAAAAGAAGGCTAATGCGCGCGGAGTTCGAGTGGGCTTGGGAAACAGTCGGAGAGCTGACGACCGAGCGAGTAACCTCCCGCAAGCTTTGACTGGCTGGCAGGAAGGGGTCGCAGGGGCAACGCAACGTTTCGAGTCGTGGAAGGCTCTGTTCACGTGTCTCGCAGGTCACGGCAAGGCTGCCGAGCAGGATACCCTTTGCGTGTCTGGCTTTCGATCTTTCGTCGAATCCATCTGTCATCGCAGGGTCCCAAGCATGTCGAGGCAGCGTCGCTTGAAATTTGTCGCAGTGTCGGTGTCAACAAGGTCAGAAGACCGCCGACCTCAACGGTACTGTAGCAGCCAAAGCTGTTTCATTTAGTCGAGGCGGCGCGTGTGCGCCTCGTTGCTCCTTTCCATGAGTACCAGGTGTGGGAATCCCCGCAACACTCGTTGTCGCTGATCGGACGTCTTCAACCGGATGTAAAGAGCCGTGCGCTTCATGGAAGCGCAGAAACAGATTCCGAGAGGCGTCGCTTCTATGACGAGCCACCAAATCCGGTGCATGTACCATTCGACGAGCGCATTCGCCAGAATTGTGTCATTGGAACTGCACGAGGTCGTCGCAGGCCGAGGTATGAAAGCAGACAGTCGGCGCTATGGACGCTGTACCTAATCACAAGACCACAGTGAGCGCCTTATCAGGTGGGGTTGCGCTTTGCACGGCACAAGTGAATCATCGTTGCTGTTTGTGGTGCCGAAGCGACTAGAGAACAAGAGAAGGCTGGGACCTGCATCATCAAGGGAGCCGTCTCCTCGATCATCGTGACGCTAGAATCACACACTGTGTTCTATGCGCCAACGCGTCTTGCGGCGTTCCTATGTATATGCCTGGGCAAGCGAGGGACCTCACGAAGCGAACCCCCTCACAAGCGACCTTGCCGGCAGGCTAAACCTAAGCACCAAACAAAGACCGCAAATTGCGAGGCACGCGAGCCTCCACCGACGAATTTCCGCCCTTTCTGAGCGCAGCTTCGTAACAACCGAGCGAGGGTGTTCGCACCTTGCTCGTGACCTCATCTTTCCCAAGCCATGCTTGCGTTCGCACCGAGTGCGTTGGGCGACGTTCACCGACGATGACTACTGAGTCCGGAGCGTGAGAACAATGCGCCAGGTTTCAGAAACCGATTGCCTCTCTAGGCGCAGTATGAGGAGCAAAGGCGTTGCTGATCGTGGGCCAAGTATCGGTGATCTGGGCGTATGAGAATGGCCGGGAGGAGTCTGAACCTTGACGAGGCCTTTTTGTGTTGCTGAAAAGTCAGCTTGGTGACGCACCAAGAAAATCAACGAGAAAGCCCGACTCGGCCATGCTACTTCGTACGTGCCGGAAGAATCACCATGTTTCCCCACTTGACAGGCTTCCGTCGGTCGACTGATCCGTCGCCATCGCAGCACATGCTTGCGTCACGCAGTGTTTTCTTCTTGGTTAAGCAAGATTCGCGTCATCGCTGTCGACGGAGCTCGTCTGCCGAGCATCGCGTCTTGTTAGCGCAACAGCATTCCGATCCAGGCACACCTCAAACATAGACGTTCTGAGCCACCATTCGAAGCGGGCGTGTGAGAGGATCCCGACGGGTGTGTCTTGTTCGACAGATGTGTGCGAAACGGCGCGACGAGGCAGCTTTCTAGAACTCTGACCTTCAAACGTTGTTGAGGCGCATTTCGGCGGATGGAACATCACCTGCCGCTATGTCGATCCAATGTGTTCTTCGGCCAACCTGGGCGATCCATCCCAGTGCCTCCCAACATCTTGCCAGCTCATTCAGTCGAATCCATGAGGTGATCGTCGACGAAAAAATATCGTTCAAGCTCAGCAGATGTCTCGCACAGCAACCCACATGCTCTGCTGCGACACACACACTCACACCAAACTCCGACTGTATCCGTTGCGGCTCTCCAGGCGTCCGCTCAATTCCCGACGGATTTTGAACCATAGCCGTTTGTTTTGCGATAAAGCTCCGCTGTGCGAGTTTCCGTTGCCCAGGCGGTTGCGGGTGGTCACCGCCGTTCGCCGATTGGAGCATTCTTGATCGACCGCAGCGAATTGCATTTGCGAACGGTTGTGCTCCCGCTTTCCGAATGTGCAAGAGCCGAGCTGGTCGTAAATGCGAAGCTCGCGGGTTGGGGACAAGCACATGTTCTCGTGACAGCATCGACGTCGATCGGGCAAGAGATCGTATCGCTCAAAACATACCGTGTGTCAAGCAAAGGCTGCTGACTGGCATCTGCCGGACAGCTCTTTCGCGCAGTAGCTTCGCGTCGCATACCGGTGTCTGTTTCACCTCAGACCCCCCCGCAATACGCGACACCTCCCACACTACTGTAATTGACCGCATGGTGGGGTGGTGTTTCCCGAAACCGTACCTGGAATGTATGTACGCTAAAGAGAGGTGCTCAGTCAACTAGTCGCCGAGGTTGTCTGGCTCGCCGCGGGCAGGCAAATCCATGCTTTGAGTACATCCGGCTGCATTTCGTCACGAGACGTTGGGCACCACATGCTGACTGCTACAGAAAAGGTATTCTTTCGAGAAAGGAGAAAGGCCTTTCGAAATGGAGGACCCAAAAAGGTTTCTGGCTAATATTGAAGATGTCTGCAAGCACGGGTTAACATGTTTCGCGTACCCACTCCATCTCCTCACATCGCATACCACACACAACCCAGAGCTGCAACTTAAGATAGGCGATCAAAACGAGCGTTACGAGTCCAAAAGGAGCGTATCTACAAAGACGATCAAAAGCACAGAGGCCAAATAAGCCAAAAGAGAGAGAGCGTGTACGAATCGCAAAAAGTGAATTTTCGAATGTCCATGAGTTTCAGCACCGATCCTGTAGAGAGTCCATCATAGAGATATCTCATCGAGTCAACGCGCTCGATACAGCTTCGCGGAACGACTTCTTGAACCTGTCCAGACCGGGCGCACTCCTGTGCGGTCTGGTCTCCCTCGGCAGGTAAGGATCCGTCCTCGTCCTACCCTTTCCATCACCCTGGATCTGGATCGCGTGGTGCTCCTCCGTGTCACCCGCGGCCCACCTGCACGCGATCTCCATCTGCCTGTTGCGCTTCCTCCTGGCGTGCTCAGCGAGCGAGTTGATGTCGCGCATCGTGGCGGCGTCCAACGCACCCTCGTAATCGGGGATGCGATCAGGATCCACCGACTGACCGCCTTCCGACGCCGCATCGTCCTCGCCAACGTCCGCAGCGGGCGGGTTGGTCCAGATCTCAGCGAGATCCTCCGTACCGGCACCAATCGTCATCGCGAGATGTCGGAACCACGCAAAGAAGCTGAACACTGTAGGCGTGGAGTCGGCGGCCGAACGAAGGAACTTGTACCAAGTCGGCGCTGCGTCGTCGAGCATCTCGGCGATCCCGTTCACCGCGTGCAGCGGATCCATGACACGAGCGCGAAGACCCGTGAGGTGATCCAGCAGTCGGCCCAAGAACGCTTGGAGGTCCATCACCGCGTTGCCTACGCCCTTGACCTTGTGCAGACGCCTCACCTCCTCCATCAGCGGCTCGAACACAACGGAAAGCGCATCGGCAACCATGGGGTCCTGCAGCATGCCTCGAACTTGCGCTCCGTCGCGTTGCAACGAAAGCAGACGCAGCGCCCTCTGGAGATCGAGGATCAGTCGGTAGCCCGGCTCCTTGTGGCTGTTCTTCTTGGTGATTGAGGGCAGCGTCTTCATGAACGCCTGGTACGACTGCGTGGCATCCATGACGCGCTGCACCTCGATCTTGTTGAGCTTGGGCTGTTCCGATCCACGCACAATGGCAGCAACGAGCGGAACCTCTTCCTTTTCCGCATGCTGTCGGATGAGACGCTTGAGATCGTCGGGCGAGTCGACAAAGACGCGGAGCTTCTGGAACATGACTTCCGACCCGATCGACGCACGCAGATCGACAAGGTCCTCCTCGATCGTCTCGGGCTCGTCTTCCAGCATGACGTGCAGCATCGACTGAAGGAAGCCTCGTCGCAGGAACTGATCCCTCCATGTGCGCATCATCTGAGCCACGGGCGACTTCATGGCAAAGGCGAGCTTCTTCCAGGGAACCGACTCGTAGACGTCCTGCATCCTCGCCAAGTTGGCACGCGATTCGTCACCTGCAACGAACACGCCGTACAGCCAGCGTGCCATCTGCAGGTTGCCCCACGAGACCATCTTCTGGTAGTCCAACGGCAGACGCGCATAGTCCGGCGTCTCGCGAAGCGCGTCGTACATCTTGAGGAAGCCATCGCCCTCGACGCAGTCGAACCAGATCTCGTCGCGCACCTCGCGCAGGTCGTGAACGTCATCGCCGGCTTCCGCTGCGTCTCGTTCGTGCTCCTGTCGACGATGCCTGTCTTCCCTGCGTCGCTCCTGAATGTCTTCGTAGTCGCTGCGACGCAGGTTGCGTTCAGGGAACCCGCCGATCGTGAGGAAGTTCTGCGTCTCGTTGGCATGTCCAGATTCACGAACCGAAAGCGCGTCGCGCAACCAGCTTCGGAGCTTGTTGCGTCGAGCCTCAAAGTCCATGGCGCCCGCAGCAGGGGGTCTACGACGAGAGCCGTTGGAGCGGTCGAGCTTGTCAGCCGTGACTGGCGGAGGAGGCGGCACGCGCGCAGCGTACGGACTGCGCTGCGTGCCGTTCGGTCCATCTTTGCGTCGCATGGAACTGTTGCGCGAGTTGGGCTGAGATTCCTTGCCAGTGAGACGGCGAAGCGAGCCCTTGCCCTTCTCCAGCAGCGACGCACGGTTCTTCGGCGCGTCCTGGCCTTTACGTCCGCCAGCGCGCGAAGGACCTCGTCTAGGCTGCAGCGTTGCATCGGAACGGTCGTCATCGTCCTCCTCCTGATAGCGTTCATCCGCGGTATCCTCAAAGACGTCGCTTTCGTAATCGGAAGCAGCGTCGCGGCCCAGAACTGGACGGCCATTCTGTTTAGCCGAGCTGTAGCGCCTTCGGCCATCGCGTCCGCCTCCACGAAGGCCTCTTCCTTCAGGCGATTGGCGTCCTGCAGGTGCCTTGTACAGCGCAGCAGAGCCGAGACCGGCTGCGTTGAACCTCGCAGAGCGCTCCGATCCAGAGGCGTAAGGGCTGGCATCTTCCACGTCGCTCTCGCCCTCGTCTGGGCGACCACGTGTGCGGGGCAGAGGCTTGACAAAGGCAAAGGGGCTGAGATCCTTGATTAGGTTGCGACGGAACTCTTCGAAGTCATGGTCGTTGCGCACGACAAACTGATCAGGCGCGTTGGGGCGTCGAAGACGGATGATGTAGTCACGCTCGCTGACGCTGTGCTTTCGGATGCCGACGAGATCGACTTCGTAGCCGCCATACTTGAGCCGATCCAAGGGCTTTCGGAAGGCGTAGTAAGCTTCGGGAGGCAAGAGGTTCGACGCCGGCCAAGGCCAAGACTCCTTTTCGACTGCTTGGTCATCGTCAAAGTATGGGTCGCCAGGTCCCACGCGCAGAACAGCCGTGACGTATCGAGAGGCCCACTTCGACAGAAGATGTCTAATCGAGCCGGTCGTCGAGACTGCACTGAAAGGCGTTCCATCGCCTTCGCCGTGACGGTCGACCCAGGCGCTCAACGAACGGGTCTGAACAGCGCGAAGGATCGGCAGAATACCTGTTAGGAAGTAGTTGCGAGCGAGCGTAGCCTTGTCGGGTGGGCCGCCGACGTATCGGTCCGCCTGGTCTTCGGCAGCGACGAAGAGCGGGAAGGTGCAAAAGGCGTTCTTGAACAGGAATCGCAACAACGGCAGGTCCGGGACGGTAGGCTGACTGTAGAGCATGCCTAGCTGCGTTCCACGTCGGAAGACGGCTTCCTCGTCCTCGTCTTCATCGATGGCGAGCAGATCCTCGTCCGACGACTCGTCAAAGTCGTTGATTCGCGAGTCGTCCTCGATGTCCGATAAGGCTTTCGGTGCTCGTCGAGTGGGGCGCTGCGGCTTCTCGAAGCTGGTGAGTAGCCAGGCGCGATCCAGTTCCCATCGAAGCTCTCGGAGCGAGAGCTCGCGCAGGAAATAGTGCGTCTGCTGAGGGGAGAGGTCCTTGGTGAGCCACTGACCCTTGGAGCTGTTCGTGCGCTTGCGGCCTGCGTCCAAGGGGTCTGCAACGCTGGGAGCGACGCTGGGCGTGAGAAGGTATCGTCCCTTGTTGGGAGCCGGGATGTCGCGTCGGTAAATGGAGCCGTCTTCGTTGACCGCAGGCAGCTTCTCGACGACACGGCTGCCCTTTGCCAGCTTCTGGGTCTTTGACTTTCGAGTGGCAGCAACGAGGCCACCCGCGATGGCAGCACCGGCCAGAGGCGCGGCGGGAGCCGGTAGATCACGCTGCGTATACCCGCGCTTCTCGTCGACTGGCTCTACGACCGATGGAGGCGCAAGTTCGTCGTCGGCCAGTGCAAGCTCGGAGCCATCGGTCATGGATGGCGGAGCGGCATAGTCGCGGGTCTGGACAGGCTCCTCACGATCCTCGCCGACGTTGAGAGATTCAGGAGCAGCGTTGGCAGCGACGAGGACGGGCGGCTCCTCCTGTGCAATACCTCGAGACTTCTTCTTGTTCTTCTTGGCCTTCTTCTTCTTGATCGTTGCCTGGACGCCGTCATCGTCACGGGTGGAACCGGTTGCAAGGCCTGCAGCAGCAGCAAGACCGCCGAGGCCGGCTCCCGCAGCCAGGGGAGCAGCGAGTGCAGGAGCGGGTCTGGATCTGTCGTGCACGGCTTCGTCATCGACGACATACGGCAGCTCGGAGGGGGACGTGGCTTCGAGCGGCTTCTCCTGCGTTGCATCGCTCAGAACGGAAGCTTTGCTGCTCTGCCTACGGTTCCTCCTCGGCAGCAAGGTGACCTGCGAGGCGGTTGCCGGGGTCTCGAGCGAAGCCGATGGGGCCACCGTGTCGACAGAGCTGGAGGGTACTGCAGCCGCGGCTCGCGTGGCGGGCTCTTCGGATGCGGTGAGGCCCAACGCATTTGCAGCCGGATCGTCCTTGGCAGGAAGCCCGTTGTTCTTCTCGCGAAGCGCGTCGAATCCGATCATGGCGGCGAGACCACCCAGAGCTCCGCCGGCAGCGGCGCGCAGATCCATGCTGGGCTTTCTGGAGCGCGACATGTTCTCGTCGTCAATCTCGCGATCTCTGACGGACTGCATCGAAGCACGCTGACTAGGCACGACAGCGTCGTTGTGGCTGAGAGGACCAGAGGCGGGGATCAAGGGCGACGAGGGAGGAATGACCGAGGCGGCATCGCTGGCGTCCAACACGCTAGGCTGGACACTCTCCGCCACCGATTTGGAGCGCACGTGCGGCGCCGCGACCACATCCTCGTCACCATAAGGATCTACGAGTTGAGGAGATCGGGCATTCTCTGCGTCACGTAGGGCGATGGGTAGCGGGATTCGAGGGGGAGCGTCCGAGGTAACGACAGGCTCGTCGGCTGTGCGAGCCAGGTCGGTGCCATCATCACTATCAATGACGGAAGGAGGTTGACGTGTGCGGAGACGCGAGCCGGGACGAGCAGACCCGAGCTCGCTGTCAAAGTCGGAGGTGCCGGTGCTGCTGCCTCGGATGCGAGGGGAGCGTGCGGAACCCAGTGCGACGCCAGAAGCAAGAGCAGCGGAGGAGGCACCTCGACTGTCGGAGCCTCGATCGCGTCTGGAGGTGGAAGCCATCGACTCGGGTCTTTGGCCGAGGAAGCTTTTGCGGCTGCGGAGTTCGCGGACGGCTCCGTAAGAGCGACCAAGCACAACGTCGGTGTTTGCGCCTTCGCGTGTCTGACCTACGGGCGCGTCCGATGCCTTCTGCTTGCGGCCAAGACGCTTCAACCTGCCAAGTACTCCACCTTTGCGACGCTTCGCCTCGCCCTGGAGCGCCCAATCCTCTTCTTCGGGTGCGAGCTTGTTGGATCGGGAGTAGGCACGAGGTCGAGTAATGGGGGCGGCAGCGAGATTGCTTCGGCTGCGGTTGCGCGGTGTCGGAGCGCGACGATCGTGGTCATCTTCGTCGTCGTCGCCGTCGTCGTCGTCGGTTTGCTCATTGACGTAAGCACCACGGATGGCAGGGGCGGGCCTGGCCCTAGTGGCTGAGCGAGCCGATCGAGCTTCCTCATGTTCTTCGTCGTCGAGAAGGTCATCCTCGTCGAGGTCGTCTTCCTCCTCACCGTCAATGTCTTCGTTTGCGGTGACGGCGTTCTCGTCGGTCTGCGTGATGAAGCCTTGTTCATCGTCGTCGCTGTGGAAGTCGTCCGGATCGGTCTCGCCTTCGCTGATGAGGCGTGCAGGCGGACCGCTGTCACGGTTGGAGCGGGCGAGTGTGTTAGGGTCACGGCCCTTTCGATCGGGTCCCTGGTCTCGGAATCGATGACGGATGCCTGGACGAGCAGAGCGGTGACCCGGCTCCACGTAAGGTCGACGCATCGTGATCGTCACAGCCTCTCGCAGAGCGCAGGGTACAGAGGTGCTTGAAGTTGCAGTTGCAGTAGCTGGGGCTGTGCTACCGCGACGATATTCTTGATCGCTTGCGCAGCTCTATTAGGTTCGGTGTGAAGACGGCCAACGGGGTATCGTGGAGAGGGACGCACGCTGTAGCAACGACGAGCGGTGTCTGCTGATCTACACGAGTCGGGCCGGTCGGTTTAGACAAGATGGATGTCAGGAAGAAACGTCAGCGTCTCCAATATGACCTGAAAAGCGGATCAAAGCCAGCCCAGACTCCGAATCGAAGCATCGATGGGAACGGATGGACGGAGCATCAGCGCAATGAGAATCAGCTAGCGAGGAAGCAAGTAGGCAGGCAGGGAGGCAGTGTAAGCATGTGAGAGGTCAGATCTGTGCGAGACCTCGAACATTTGCGGAGCTTGGCTTGGAAGGTGAGCCATTCTGGATCGATGCGAGCATGCGGAATCACCTTTGGCTGCTCCTGCGCCTGAAACGCGGAAGAACGGATATACACTAAAATTAATATAATTGTTATAATGATTTCATCAGAATCGCACCATGTCCGCGATTTCTCGAGTCAGAAAGAGAGAGAGGGAAAGCGAGCTCTTGCGACAGATCAGGAGTTGTCAAATACCAGTGAATGTAGGAGCAACTGCAGCAACAGCTGAGTATCTTATGGTGTGGCCGACCGACGGATTGGACGGGTGGATGGATGGATCGACGGACGCGAAACCTGAAATTCCAGTCTTCTCACGGTCTGCTCGCTTGCAGAATGCGTCTCAGCCATCTTGACTCGACGCTCTTCTGCCTTTTGCTCATCCGATGCAGCACAGCCCTTCAGAGGGTAAGCAATGCAATTGTAGGGACGAGCGACGAGCTCAAGTGCACGACGGCGGCCTGGGCGTGCTTCGGAGCAGCCGCTCCTTGCGTGCGCCGTTACGGCGGGCTTCATCTTTGAGAACTTGACACTTCGCCGATGGAGAATCGCCGAGCCCGTCGGCAACATGATCCGTCCCGGGACCGCCGTTCGGACCACCGTTCCAACAGACAAATCTTTAGCAATGAGTGCAGAGAGCGACACACAATGATGGTGGTCCAGGCGAGTCCGGCCAGGGTGCGGGCCAAAACCGTACTTCTCTTTGAAAATCACGCAGAGCGATCGGATCCACGCCTAAGCGAGCGAGACCCTTTGATCGACGACCACGTCCTGAGGAGACGATGTCGAGAAAGCCCGTCTACAGAGATGCATCTCCGTCCTCATTCCTCTGTCTCTTTCGCATTGGATCTAGGTACGACTCAGGACCTAAAGCTGCTTGTTCAGCTAGATGATGACCGGCATGCTTGTCTCGACTGGCATGGGCGAAAAAAAGTCGGTCGTTCCTTATAGGAAGCAGAGAGAGAAGACGGATTCGGAATTCTCTCCCACTTGCCTGCGGACTTTATCTGCAGCTGCCGGGTGACGTGACTTTGACAGTTACAATTGCACAGGCACGACCGCGCTCACGGGAGGGAATTTGAAACCTAAGTTGCAGGCAAGTACCGATCCACCAATCTGAGAAGTTGAAGCTGAAAATTCGGAATTGGCTTTCTCGCTTGCGTGGTCGCCATGCAACTTTGAAATTTTGAGAATGGACCCGAAGCGGAACACTGCAGCAAGCACCGTTGATCATCTTTGTGTGGGGTGAGATCGTCGACAACTTTCCGTGCAACAGTTGGTACACAAGGAGATCTTAACATTTCTCTTTCAATCCCAGGTTAACTGCACATAAAGAAAATCTTAACATTGCTTCCAGATTCAACCTCTCTTTTCCCAACATCTTCCGAAGGTCTCCTCAAGCTGGTAAGAGGCGCCCCGACATTGTCCGATGCACGACGACCGGAACAAAATCTTTGACTCAACGCTTGTCGACCGTTGTGTTCCCTGCAGCAAGGAGGTACACTCATGCGCATGTCATCTGACACAGACACGAGCTCCAAGCCAGACCCTGACCTCTCAGACGAGGTGAACGTGGAACAACTCAATCTCATTGCGAGTTCCACGAGGTGATACTCATACATGGGTGCGTGAGCCCGAAGGGAGACGTGGCGACACCCGAATCCCCGCACGGAAGATGCGGGAGTATCAGGCTCGAACGTTTGCTTCAAGGGTCACAACATCATTTCAAGAAGGCTGGGGTCACGAGTGCAAAGCGGATGAGGGGTATCATTAGATTCAAGGCGTAAAGGGTGATATGGTAGTTTCCACACGGGGTCTTGTTGAGCTGGCTGGGTATCTGCGAAACTGCGATGGGGCCAACTGTTCGACCAATCAAGAATGCCAGATGCGAGCCATCGAACGATGGCTTCGCGCTGTTGTCTGCTGACAAGCCGCGTCGGCTTTGCAAGCAAGGTTGTTTTGCTTCTTGCCGCTCTTGCTCAGGCGAGAGCCGATGTTGGCAAGAAAGGACTGTCGCGGTCGGGAAAAGTAGATGGCACCAACATCCTTGTCTGACGCTGCGTCGAGCACGGCTGCTGGCGCATCTGAGTCGTGACTGTCCGACGAGCCAGACATTTCGGATCCTGAGCTCGAGTCGCGCTTGGCGAGGCGAGGCATGGATGCAAGCATGCTGTCGCTTCCAATGGCTTGTTCCAGTGCCTTGAGGCCCGCTGCTTTTTCCGATGCGATCACGGCTGCTATGCTGCCTGGGACTATCGCTACAACGCGTGGTGCTGGTGCCGGCGCCGGTACGGACGCTCGCTCGCGGCTCCGGCACGAAGGCGAGACGTCGATCGAGTTGCGTCCGATTGTGTTCCGACCGTCAATCCAGCAATGCGATGTGCGCTCCGATTTATGACGAATGTGATTGATGCGTTTCAGACGCCAGTCGAGGTACGAGAGCTTCTCGTCGGTGAGCGAGCCGCGAGGTGGCGGTGGACCCGACTTATCGTCGAATCGGTGACGACGACTGCTATTGCTGGCTTTGGTCTTGCTCGAGCTGTGGTGCTTGCCCTTGCTGGATGAGGACGATTCCGCGTGCTTGTCGACGCGAGCGCGGCCCGACAAGGCTGTGAACAGCGACTTGGGCATGGTGAACTCTTTGTCCTGCATCTTGGAGGGATCGGCCGTTGCGGCAGGATGGCAGTGGCGGCGGTGCTGGTATTCAAATTCTGATAGGAGAAGGTGATCGCTCAGAGGCGAAAGGAACAAGGCAGGCGCGATAGGGACGACGGATGGTGGCGTGTGGGGAGGTGATGTCGAGGCGATCGTCTTGGGCCAATGAGGAGCGAGGGGTGTATATAGTTCTGTGCGGGGAGAAGTCGACGCTAGTGGCTGGAACAAGCTCACATGAATCCGAGCGCTACGGAAGAAGTGCATGGCAACTTAGGCAGTGCAGTAGCGCGGGAGCCCATGCATGCAAAGGCACAGTGAAAAGTTGGAGAGATGGCTCACCTCGCCACGCTACAGGTGGCGGCCAGGAAAGACTCGGTTGGACTGCCAAGCTTGGGCAAGAAAACAGCTTTAGTACACCAGAGCCCAAATTTGCTTTCAACTTGCCCTGTGGCCACAGTCGAGCGGAGTCTCAATAACACAGAGGGTGCAAAAAAGCGAATGCAAGAGGCGCAAGAATTGGTTGCTGACCCCCGACGCTGTGCTCGAAAGTGAAGAGTCGAAAGCTTGGCCTCTTGTACTTTGTCTCGGCTAGGCTCCAGACCTGATCAGCTGGTCGTCCCTTTGCCCACCCGCCGTCAGCAGGCCGCTCTGAAACTATCAACGGTCTCACCAGCCCTGATCGAGCTGGACGGATTGTCCGACATTGTGCACTCCGATCGGCACCTTCCCATGCTTCCAGAGAGACAGGGCGAGGGTGTTAGGGTCGGCGGACAGAACGCCCAGCCTGATTGCTGGAACGCCACGCGAACAACTTCTCGCTTCGCAGCAGGTGGGAAAACGAAAGCCAAGACGGTTGAGCAGTCGCAAGCTCGGCTCTGGTGGATGTGGCCAATTTTTTGCAGGGCGGAAGTGTGGCTTCCCGTTGCCATCGAGATCTGTGGGGTCGTCTGCTGCTGGCCGACACGGGTCACACGGGAAGGCGCAAGCGAACAAGTAGGGGGCTTGTACCAGGGACAGTGCCGTTGTGCCTGGCCTTACCACATCCATTACGGCTGTAAGCGAGACAACTTTAAGCAGTAGTGGCAGCGTGCCCGGCTGCTGGCGCGGTACTAGTGCTGTTTGCTGTTTCGAAATTTTCGGGCAGTCTAGTTCGGGCAGATCAGCAGTGTCGCGCTCTGCTTTAGAGTGGAGCCGGTAATTTTGGCCCAAATTTGAAACTGTCGCTTGTATTGGACGCTGCTTGGCGTAAAAGAGGCAACAGGGATCTGGAACCTCGCAGACCCCAAGCTCTAGATGCAGAGTCCAGGAGCAAGGAAAGGTCTGGCCAATTTTTTCTCTCTCTCGCTTTTCGACCCTCTCTGCTCGTCCAAATGTCGACCCTTTTCCGCCCTTTTGGGTGGCTCCCGCTGCAAGCAAATCCAGCCTTCGAACTCGATTCCGGGTATCGAACCTGACCCTATTGACGCAACTTTTGCAACACGACGGCGAGCGAAAAGCTGACCGTGACCGACACGTCCAGACCTTCAAGTGTCCAGAACGGCGAAGCGGGAGAAGCGGGAAAGCTGAGGAGAGGACTCACTTGGCATTCTGTGCGTTGGACGTCACGAAGCGCTTTCAGACCTATCATTGTACATTGCCTGCGCGCTTTGAGCGACTCGGTTGACATTGTACCGGCTGTCAGGCTTTGTTGATGAGGTTACGGGCGTCTCTTGGCCGTTTGGGTCTGCCGAAAAAAACCTACGGTCTGCCACATGGCGCATCTCGACCAGGGGCGACGAAGCAAATGTTTGCAGTGTCTGACACGGATCCTGAGAAATGTCGCTAGTGGGAGAGAAATGTCTGGCGGCCTGCCAATTCATACAGGGTCCGCGCACATTGTGGATCAGGAACAGCAAACATCGACGATCTAGCCTTGTACTGTCCTACCCTGTCCAAACCACTCTTGCCACTGCCAGGAAGAGGGGGACTACAAGCAACGATGGACCGCGGTGGTGGAATTGACGCGGGAAGATTTGAGACGAAAGGCTGAATTCGCAATTTCCTATGAAACGATCTGCGCCCGCACGGAGAATGTCTCTCTTTCTCTCTCGGTCGCATTGCTGCTTCCTCCCCCTTTCGATTCGCTCATAGACACACTCGCTGACGCTGATCCGGGTCAAGGTCGGCATGAAGCTCGTCCATCGGACGGACGTGACTTCCTAGGGTAAATCGAGCAATCTTCGTCATCATCGATCAAGGTGCCGAAGCCGTGATGTCAACGCCGTGCGAAAGGGTCTGCAAAATCTCCGACAAGTGACCGAAACAGCTCTTGCTTCGGCGTTCCTAGTCCGCTACTAGCCAGACAAGTTGTTATGCGACATCGGTAACTTTGGAATCGTTGGGATGAATGGACTCGCATCAGCCTGAATGGCATCCGCGTGCAAACCGCCGTTTCGAGCTGATCGGCATCGTCCCAGAGTCTTGGATCGGCGATGAATCTCGTTTCGCGAAAAGACAGTCTCTGTCGCGCGGAAGAGCGAGGGTGCAAGCCACATTCCTAATCCACCCCAATTTTGGAGACAGGTTTGCCGAGCGAGCCTGCACTCCTCGAGGCGATTCCTTCCTTTGTTCTTGCGAGGCGCCGCGTCGCTTCGACCGTCGAGTGCGCCTTGTGCATGCGCATCGACCCTGAACGCGGATCTGCTCCGTTAGCGTACAGATGCCGCCGGCGGACGTTGTGCCGGTGGCGTTCGAGATCGACAGTCCCGACGACTGTTGAGAGCTGGCTAGCTACTCGATCGTCGCCTGACCAAGTCAGTGTACAAGTAGAGCTGGCCAGCGTGACAGGTGAATCCTCGGAAAAAACACAAAACTCAAGACGCGTCTTTGTCAAGTCCTTCTGCTAAGAAGTGTTGGTTTGACATGGGCCGCAACACGAGCTCGGTATGCTCCCGTCCTTGCCGAGCGCGCTTCACAATGGGGACGAACTTGCAATGCAGCAGCCTTGAATGCAGCAGCAAGGCGTACTGTACAGTGCAGAAGCGACCGCCAGCGCACTCGATGCAGCTCTGTGCGCTAGGTTGCAACCCTCTTTCTGAGAACGCTCGATGCCCATTGTAGTCGCCGCTCTCTTGCAGCACCACATGCCTGCATTCTTTCAGATTCAAGCAACCGCGGCGTCCTCACTGTGCTGTCTCTGGTCAGCTTCGTCGCTGCCTTCCGCTTTGACGAGCAGATATGACGACCCTCGAAAACGCCGTGATATGTCCAAGCGAAAGACCGGTGCAGCCTCTGAGATCACAGCCTTGGTGGTCAACCGAGTTTATCGACCGAGATCGACAGTGTTTGTTGTTCATGCCTGTCTCGTGTCTGAGCCAAAGGATCGACGCTGCGGCATGGCTGGCCCCTTGCGCCCTTGCTACCCGCCGTCTGCTCCCAGACCGCCGCTTGCCTGCACCGCCCCGCTCTCCTGTCGATCGATCCATGTCTACTCGCCTACTTCCCTCCTTAAGATCATCCCCTCCCATCCCTTTCCTCTCCCTCTTCTCGTATCCATCCCCTCGTACCACTAACAAGACACTCTCGACCTCACAAGCTGGCATTGTGATCCAAAGTCTGTTCCTCCCTCTCCTCTGTAACGTCTCAACCATCTTCCACCACATCCGATCCTCCACCTGTCTCTCTGCTGCAACGTTGTGACCTTCCGACCCCACACCCTCCCCTTGTTCCCTCACAAGCACCTCTGCATCTCACAATGAAGTTCTCTTCCGCCTCGCTCGCGCTCGCAGCGCTCATAGCCAGCACTACGTTGGTCTCGGCATCCAACCTGGAGCACTCCAACATCGATTCTGTCGTCCGTCGACACAACCACAGGCAACATGCTCGTGGTAGCTGCTCTTCCTCGAACCACTCCAAGCCCCACAAGGCCAAGCAGGTATCGTCTGACCTCAAGAAGCCTGCCGGCTCCAAGTCCAGCTCGCAGTCCAAGTCCGGTTCTTCGTCCGATTCCTCTGCCAACTCCTCTTCGTCTTCCTCTTCGTCATCGGGCAGCAGCTCTGCCCACGGCAAGACCTCGGGAGGAAAGATGGGTCTCTGCTGGGCCAACGCCAACGGCATGCCCATCAGCAACTTCGACTTTGGATCCGTCTCTTGGTTCTACTCGTGGGACGCCACTCCCGGTTGGGATGCTGCTCCTGTTGACAAGCTCATGTACTGCCCAATGCTCTGGGGATACAAGAACGTCGACTCGTTCAAGAAGAACGTCCTTGACAACCAGAACTCCAAGTTCAACCAGCACAAATGTGCCATGGCCATGAACGAGGTAAACCAAAAGGGTCAATCCGACATGAGCCCGCAGGATGGGTGCAAGCTCATCGAACAGTACCTCCTGCCCCTCAAGGACAACGGATGGTATCTCATGGGCCCTTCCACCACCAACGCTCCCGACGGCAAGGTTTGGTACCAAAACTTCAAGAAGGCCTGCCCCGACACCTTCAACAAGCTCGATTCGATCGCCATCCACTACTACGGCACCGACGTCAACGACTTCAAGACCTACCTTCAGGATTGGTACAAGACGTTCGGCAAGGAGATCTGGGTCACTGAATTCGGCTGCACCAGCTTCAACGGTCAGCCCCAGTGCGACAAGACCAAGACCGACAACTTCGCCACCGAGATCGCCACCTTTATGAACCAGCAGGATTGGGTCAAAGGCTGGGCACCGTTTGCTGTCATCCAGAATTTGCAGGGTGTCAGCGAGACGCAGCGTCTCAGCAACGGCAACAGCCCCACTGCGCTCTTCCACACTTATGCTCAATCGAGCTAGACTCCTCCACGCGGCCGCTCAGTCTGACAATCCTCACACACTCTCTCACTAGCTTTTGCTTCGCTCACAAGTTTACTAGCTCAAGACCGCCGCGATCAGGTCATTGCTTGGCGTCTCAGTTTTGCATTTCATTGTCTCATTTGCATGGACAACTTCTTGAAGTCCCCTCTCTCATTTGTCTTCCGTTCTTAATCTTCAACACTGGTGTCGAGGGCTGCAGTGCGGTCCTCACCTTTGTGCTCTGCTTGGATTTGTGCTTGTGAACGATGTGTGTATTGCAGTCAGAATGTTTGTCAGAGTCGAGACTGTCTGCCGCCGTGGCGCTGCTTCCAACCGTCAACGAGATCGGCGACCTCCTTTGCGATTCCGAAACTGGCCTGATACCCAGCCGGTCCGATTCCATACGAATGCACGACCGTCAAACCACTCTTGAGTGTCTCCAACTCCACCCTGGCTCCATTCTCCCTCGCTGGTCGCAACCCGACATTGTGGGAGATGACCTCGATGTCCTTCCACGTCTTGCCCTCGGGTACGATTTCAGGTGCCAGTTTCGAACACTCTTCCATGATGGATTCCGCTGTAGCACGATCGGGCGTGGTCGCAGACTCGCGGGCTTGAAAGGTGCCTCCGAGGATGACTTGGCCGGATCTTGCGCGAGGGATGACGTAGCTGGCGTTGGGCTTGTCGACCTTCATCACGCATCGAGCTGCCTGGTTGGGAGCGGCGAAGGAGGGAACGTTGATGAGCACGGTTTGACCGCGGATAGGATACACGTCTTGGTCTCGTACGTCGATCAAGTCTGCTGCTCCAACACCGGTTGCATTTACGACCAAGTCGCACGTCGGAACGATAAAACGGATAGCAGAAAGAGACGTCAGTGTTGAAGATCGTCGGATTTCCACAGGAGGACCTGCTCTTGTACCGTCCAGCAGTGTCGGCTTGGTCGCAGTCAGCTCCGACACCAACCATCGAGTGTACAGCGGTACACTGATCGTGAACGACTTGAACTTGACAGCAAACGATCCATGCGTCCCATTGGGTAGAACGGCAAATTCCGGAGTGAGACTGCTGAACCAGAAATCCTTCGCTTCTCGCTTTGTTGGACTGATATCGGTGAACTCCATCATTGCCATCACTTCGTCTGGTAGCTGTGTGTGTAGTTCGAGCCATTTCTTGAATGTGACCTCATCTCGACGTTGCGCGGGGATGTCGTCGAGCGTAGCGAAGGAGAACCAGTTGGCGCCGGCCCATGGGCTGGCAAAGTTTTGCGAGAAAGAGTCTTGCGGAAGATCGCGGGCGAGGATGGTGACTTTGTAACCTCTTTCTCGCAGCTCGTATGCGTCGGTGAGTCCGAGCACTCCTGCACCGAGGACGACGACGTGAAGCGGTTCCGCCATTCTCGAGCTTCAGATGAGAGCGAAGTAGTGATGTATCGTTGTTTTGTGATGGTCGACAGGTTGACAGGTGTCGGGATTGGTCTCAGATGCCGAGTCATGAGTTCCTCTGGTCGATTGGAGGGGGTTATCTGGTGCCGGCTTTTCCGCCGCGCAAATCAGCGAGCCGTACTGCTGCGTATCCACGCGCAAATTAAGACTCAAGGGTCCTTGCGTCACGCGCTACCCGCTCGTCGCTCCAAGTTCCGACCGACACCTCGTAAGGCTCCTCTTTACGATCCAGAGCAGGCAACGGCAGACATGGACGCAACCCCACCAGTTCCAATCATCTCGCTCGGAGGCGAGGGCGACGAGTCGCCTCTGGGTCCAAAGATCTTGGACGCGGTGGTCCAGACAGGGTTTTTCTACCTAGCCGACCACGGCATCACCCCCCAAGAGATCGATCTGCTCTTCAGCCAGAGTGCAGAGTTCTTCCTCCACGAACCTGAAGCGGAGCGTGTCAGATGTCAAGATCGCAACAACAACACTGGCTACACGGCGATGCAACAGGAGCAGCTAGATCCGACCAGCAGAGCGGGAGGTGATCTCAAGGAGTCGTTTTACCTCGCCGGTCTATCTCGAGCTGAAGGCGGTTCTTCTTCAGTCGATCCGCAATATCGGCCACCTTCGCAAATGCTGCCACCAACGCTGGCGCAGCACCGAGAGGCGATTTCAACGTTTATCGAAAAGTGCAAAGGCATCTGCGATGCGGTGCTAGCAGGCTTCGCCGAAGCAATCGATCTACCCTCCAACTTCTTTACCGACTCCCATCACGGCCAACACGATCGATTACGTCTCATCCACTACCCTCCGACTCCCATCGTCGACCCCGACGCCGAATCGACGCTCGCAACGAGCATCCGTGCCGGCTCTCACTCCGACTACGGGTCGTGCACCCTGCTCTTCCAAAAGGATGTCGGTGGATTGCAAGTGGAGACCAAACCGCAGCAATGGGTCGATATTCCTCCGCAAAAGGGATGCATCGTGGTCAACGTCGGTGACGCGATGGAGTTCTGGAGCGCAGGGCTCTTCCGCTCGACACAGCATCGCGTGGTGCTCCCGCGCAGCGCGTCAGAGAGCGGATCCCGTTTCTCGGTGGCATACTTTTGTCAGCCGGACGAAGACGCTCGTCTGGTGCCGCTAGACATATCGGACAATATCAGGGAAAAGTGTCGAGGCGACTTGATGGCGAGGGACGAGTTCCAGAGGAGGTGTGCTGCCAAAGGTGTTTCCAACGCCGCCGAGTTGACAGGTGGTCAGCACTTGCGTGCTCGTCTGACCGCCAGCTATCGACCCACCCGATCGTGATACACCCTCATTCCTGACGTTCCATAGATGTAATGCTCTACGAGATCGCGACGGTGCTTCTCCTGCTTGCACAACATTGCTGTGTGCAGATGTGCCGGTCCAGTGAAGTGGCAGTTAGACCAGGACGACATGAGTGATTGCCGATCGGGCCCGATAAAGATATTACAGACGAATCGGTGATGTGGTGCCCCTCGGCAATTAGTAATCTCTTGCGCGCGATACAGACGTCGACGGAACTCCTACATTTTCAAGGTGCTCGAAGCGAGGTCGTGATAGCCGATGGCGAAGCCCGCCGGTGGATCTGTAGAGACGAGCGATGGCCATAAGACTTGGAACAGGGCCGTGATAAACATCCGGTCCGGGCTGTTGTAGACAGTATCTGGTTCGCTTCTGAGAACGATCGATACTCCGACTATCGACTGACGAAAAAAGAACCATTTTCAGAAGTTGGATGTGTCGAGATGCTCGATTGCGACGTCTTGCATGAAATTTCCGATCCTGAGCTGCCAGGCACCAAAAACCATGGCAGCTCGCTTCTTTTCGTTGTCGCTTTGAACTCCTGCAACCGTGGCAAATCACAAGGTCTCGAGGGCCAACTACGCCGTCGTTGAGCTTGCTTGTGGTGTCAAGAGCGCATCGGATCGGCCAACATCATGAAGGTCGTTCTTGGTTCGATGGTGTTGGTGGTCTACAGCTATGGGAAAGGCGAGGACTGCGTACACCTCTTGCCATTCTGAGATATTATGTTTGATGCAAATGGTCAAGGGCGAAGTACCTGGAATTTCGTTCTCGTCGACGCCGCCAATTTGCACGGAACGGATGCCTCCACTCAAGTCACAAAATGGTAGAGAGACGCCGCTGCTGCTTTCGCATGCATCGCAGAATTGTTTTGTTGTGGTGAGCGCTTGCCGCCCTGATCCGCACGGAAATTCTGGCGGCCCGGCTCTGCACAACTCAAAGTGCGCCAAACCGCTCGTCGATCATTTTCTTTCCCACACTCCACCATCCCACTCATCACGCATACCTCGTGCTCTTGGTGTCAACTTTCCGCTTGCTCTGTAGCTCGCTTATCTCCCTCCGATAGTCTTTGCCAAGAGCTTGCATAACGCCCGTCTTTCGGCCCGTAGGACTAGACCCTCGATTTAGCGCCGTGTCATCAACGCCGCACTGCCGCCGAATCGGTACCTAGCAGCACACTCGTCCCACATAATCTGTACACCGTGCAGCCCTTCCGCGCGCGAACAGGGTTACTTGGCGTAACGCTCCTTCGGTCCAACACTCAGTTTCCACCTGCCCTCCCGCCTCTCTCGATTACCTGCCTGGCACCACGTAGAGTGGACCGTCCCTGAACAAAGATGGGTAAGTACAAATCAACTTTGCGACCCTCCCGGGGGCCTTTTGACATAGGCTGCCCGCAGCACATCCTATGAGCAGCCGCATGGTCAATCATTCGTGGGCCTTGCTGCATGCCTTTCCAGGAGACGGTGCCTGCTTCCTGATGGCTCAAAAGTCGATAGAGGGGTTCTTGGTCTCAAGGCGAGCTGTGCCTGGCTGTACATGCTCTCCACCGACTGGTAGCACGGGATGTTGTTGCTTCTAGGCCACGCTTTTGTCGATTCAAGCGGGCCCCACGTTGGCCTCTGTTTGCTCCTTTGAGTTCTCTTGCATGCTGTCGACGAGCCTCGTTCCGAGAGGTTGCGACTCAAAGGCAGCAGCAACAAGGTCGCACCGACCGTTGGGCCACAGAAAGGGCTCGTCGGCAGTCTTGAATCGTAGCAACTGTGTTTGCTTCGAGTCGGGCTGCTCTGTCTCTTGAAAGGATCTTGAGCTTCGAGATTCCTCTCAAGACCACGCAAAATGTTGACAAAGACGCTTTGTTCGGCTTTCTTTTCTTTTTGCGTGATGTTCCTCCGTCCCCTCTCTCTGGCCTTTGCCCTTTCGTCGCTGTTCCGCGCACCGCTTTGCTTTGCTTCGCTTGCGCTCGGAACCGGCGGTGATCGGCTTCTTTATTTCGGGCTTCCCTTCGCTTGTCGAACGCCCGACTTCGGCATCGATTCCGATCCTGATGTATCGCGCACGGTGGATTTGATTTGATTGGGTTGATGTGCGATTTGGGTTGGTGGCGCTTGCATTTCGCTTGGTGCGCTTGTTCTTTGCGACGGTGATTTGGACCTGCAGCGGACCTGGTTACTCAACTCGTGCCTATCCTTTCCTCCATCCTCCTTCCGGATGGTTCGACCCGTGAGTATTGCTCTCGTTTCCGACCGTTCTCCTTGCCGCCTCGGTTGCGATCTTCGTTCCTTCTGGGGCTCTCTTTTTTTAGAAACCCAAATGGAAATGAAGGCAAAAATTATTCGCTGCACCGCCATCGGCAATCAGCCGCTTCGTTCCCTTTCCCTTTCCCTTTCCCTTTCGCTTTTATCACATTTGTCACCATTTTCCACCTCCGACGCTGTCCGGCTTTTGGCTGCCACACCTGTCATCCTTTCTAGCCGCTTGTCTTGATTCCACCTCGTCACCGCCCTCCTCTCCGCCATCACCTCTGTCACATATATCATCCTCCCTCCGTTCTCCTTCTAGCGTCACTAGCCACTGTCGCCTCATTTGCACGACCGGGTGACTTGGAGTATCTTCGTGGCTTGCTCGTCGCTCGCTTCATCTACGCTCATCCTCACTCACGAAGGGTCGTCTACGACTGGTCAACAAGCCGGTCTCCACCATCCATCGTGAGCTCGAGCAGCTTTTCGAGCACGAGCCTGTCATCGATCGACTCGGCGTCATCGTCGGCATCGGGGCAGGCACCTTCATCGTCTTCCTCTTCATCTTCATTGCTATCTTCGTCCAGCGTATCGACCACGACAACCATGGCTGACACGACACGAGCCTCTCCCATCGCTACGACTTCAATGTCCAATTCGGTCTCGACTCAAACGTCTCCATCTACGCCTTCCTCGTCCTCAACAGAAACCGCAACGGTCGGCACGTCTTCTTCCACAGACTTTTCAACCACAAGCTCAACGTGAGTACATCTACTACCCTTTCTGTGCTCCGTTCACTGCAAGCAAGCATCACATCTGACGCCCTTATTCTGCACGTCTTTCGATTGCGCATTACTTAAAAACCTCGCAGATCGTCCTCGACGTCTTCGACGACAGTAAGTTCGACCTCGAGATCTTCGTCATCCACTTCGAGCACATCTCGCCCCGTCTCCACTGTAAGCTTCAAGTTTCATCCTTGCAACCAGCATGGTCATAGTGCTCTGCCAGCTTTCAGAGGAGGCAGGGCCATGTGCTTGCCAACATTGGGAGCCAGCCCTCCTCGAACGCAGTCGTCTGCACCAATGAGCCCGAAAACTGATCCCACTGCATGGCTGTTCATCTATTCGGCCCCTGACAGTCATCAACGTCGTCCACTTCGAGTACGAGCTCAAGCTCGACCTCCAGCTCGACTTCATCGACGACCTCAACCACCACTTCGAGCTCATCATCGACCGTTCCAACGACTTCCTCGACGAGCGACGCTCCTACCACATCCAGCACCAGTGCAGCACCCACAACAAGGTAAGTGCCTTGCCCTCGTCGCACCATATCCCAAGTCCCTTGTCACACTTTCCCCTCCACCGTGCGCCTGCATGCATCAGATACGTACATGTCCGGCAGCGCACACACGAGCGACCAGTTCCATGCGCATCATCGCCCGACTTTACCTACACCCTTGCCACTCTCCCTTGTATTTCTTGGTTTGTTTGGGGTCGTCGCCTCTTTGTAGGGACGAATGATGTTGATCTGTTCCGTCCTTTGTATGCGCTGCCTTCATGTTCCGCATCGACCTTTCTCAGTCTCTCGTCGCCATCCAGCACACGTGTTCTGACATCTTCTACCTCCTCGCCCTCCTCGTTCGATCCGTCATCATCGACGCCACCGCCTGCCGCTACTACCTCCTCGTCTTCCGATCAATCCGAACCTTCGCGCCAATCCGATCCACGCAGCACTGAATCTGTCGTATCGACCTCAACCTCGCAAACGCCCTCGGTGATCACCACCCAAACCTCGCTCACCACCATCACCTTGCCCAACGGTCAGACCTCCACATCGACTGCCTTTGCCGTCACAACCGCCAACGGTCAATTGAGTGGCAGCGACCGCAACGGCAGTGGCAGCAACAATGGCTTCTTCAGCAACTCTGGCGCCGTCGGTGGTACCTTTGCCGTCGTCGGGCTGGTAGTCGTCGGCATCATCGCTGCCATTTTCTACATGCTTTGGAGGCGTCGCAAGGCACAGAGGATGGACGCCGATGTCGTCGCTGCCGCCTCCGCCGCCGCTGCTACGAAGCGAACGCCCTTCGACGATGACGATCCCGAAATGATCGAGGACCCTAGCTATGGCACGGGTGCTGCCGGTGCAGGAGCTTACGGTGCATCGCCTTCCATGATGCAGCAGTACTACAACAACTATGGCAACGCCAGCGAGGGGTACGAGCCCAGTCATATGTCTGGCGGCACCAACCCCGGTTACGCCGGCATGGGCGCATACGGTCCCATGGCGGCTGCTGGTGCTGGTGGTGCTGCTGCTGGCGGTGCTGCTGCCTACTACGCCGGTGGTGCCGGCACCGACAATTCGCACTACTACGAGAGTGTCCCCGGCGGTCTCAGCCACGAGGGCGCCTACAATGGTATGGGCCAAGATCCTAACGGCTACAGCCAGGGTGGTCACGAAGATCCCTACGGCGCCCAGAGCGGTGGTCACGGGTACAGCCATAGCGGCGCGCCTCAGCTCAACTGGGCTCCCGGTGCCTCGCCGCCGCTGGACCAGGAAGCGTACGGTGGCGTCCACCCCGCTCAGGGCTACCCGGTTGGTGCCGCTGGTGCAGCGGGTGCAAACAATGTATTCGCCGACCCCAGCGGCAGCAGCAACGAGACCGACGGAAGGATCGACATGACCGCTCACGGAAACGGATCGTCGGTCAGTCTTCGCGACGACCAGGACTACGGTCGTCGCTTGGCGGTTCGTAACGGCGAGCAGTGATCGCACCTTGTTCTGCAGTTCCGAGGTCAGACTGCTTCTACATGTCAAAAGTCGAAGGCCTCGCCACGCATCCCTGTGCTTGCGCGGCTGCGAAGGCCTCCTACATTTCCTTTCCGCTTGTTTTGCTATGCCCTACTTTGTACCCCAAAATAATCGCATCCATCTTCTTCGCAATGGACACTGCCTTGTCTACTTTAGCGTTTTGCTGTTGCGTGTCTCAGCAGCTTTTTGAACCCTATGATGCTGTAAGGCGGTTGGTGAAACTTGTCGATATCAATTGATGATGACCTATGAAATGTGAGCGGACGTCGGGATGCATTGGAGCTAAAAGTACACTTGATTGTTGGCTTGCTGAGAGGGATCAGACGCTTCGGGAGACACTGCTTCGAGGGTTGAAAAGGCTAATGACGGCCAGGGGCGGGAGTCATGTTGCTCAGTGGGTTTCGGCTGCTGCCAGCTTCGCCTCTGAACAAGCCTGCATCCGGGTTGTAATCCAGACTGTCGCCGTTGGCGCTTCTGCGTCTTGCAGAGAGTGGTGCGTCTGCATCGTCGTCGCTCTGGACGGCGTATTCGCGGCTGCGCTTGTTGCCACGCGGACTAGCCTGAAGCGATTCCGCGTCCGGAGTCACCTTGGCCGTGTTGATGTATCGACGCATGACAGAGGCGACGTTCGTGTTGAAGAGCACGTCCTTGAACTGCGATCGCACATCAGCCTTCAGACCCTGCACCAAACGGAAGAGCTGCGAAACCGTCGCATCCGGGAACTTGAAGATCATAAAGGCGATGTAGACAAACTCGGCGGGCGAAAGCGGCTTGGTCACGGGTCGACCGACGCGGTTGAGTTTCGTCTCTGGCTTGATGCATGCGCCGTATCGTCGATGGTTGGCGAGCGCAACACAGCGCTCGAGCGTGCGCTGCATGTTTCTGCGCAGTGCAGACGAGGGTTCGCTTTTGGCGTTTTGTTTGAGGAACGTGTCGATGGTGTGCGCCGTAGGAACATACTGGTCGACATGTTCGTGAAGGATGAGCAAAGCGATCTGCGCCATAAAGAGGTAATCCTTGCCGCGGCTGACGAGCAGCATGCTCTTGCCATACTCGTCGTGCACCAGCGAAGGTGTCGGGTCGATAAAGCGCTTGACCATCTGTCGGATAAAATCTGGCCACGCTCCCAAGTGTGCACCGAGCTTCTCGGCTGACGAGAGGGTGACACCCATCTGTACACGACTGAACATGTCTCGCTCCGTCTCTTCCGAGAGACCTTCGAACTCGACAACGGTGATTTGCTCGTTGTCAAACTTGCGTCGCTGGGCAGGCGTAAGCGCCGGTGTCTTGCCAAGAGGAAGGTCCTCTTTGTACCAGTATTTGCGGCCACTGGAGGGCTCCCTGACCGGGATATCGTTGTCCAGAAAAGCGCAGATGGATGAGATACGCTGCTTGCCGTCGATGCATACGTACATGGTCTCAGCTTTAGGATCATCGTTCGTTTGTACGGAGAGCAGGACTGGCGGTACGTAGTAGTGTCGCATGAGCGATTCGATAACAGCGGACTGCTTGTCGGCTGGCCACACTACGCCTCGCTGATATTCTGGCTCGAGATCAACGATGTCGTCTTTGACCATGGTGTAGATGGTCTTGGTCGAGTACTGAGCCGCACGCGGCGCTTTGAGAACATGTCCGAGGTCGAGCACCCTCGTACTCGCCGTCTTTCGGGGGGCACGTCGCTTAGGTGAGGCTTTGCTACCATATTCAGGGTCGTCGTCGTCGCTCAGCTCGGACTCGGATGTGAGGGTGGGCTGATAATCGAACAGCTCGTCGAGCTCGTCACCTTCGAAGAAGCGGACACGTTGTATGGGTTTGATCGCCGTCAATGCACCGACAGATGGAAGATTTCGGATCGAGGGCATTGTTCATGCAGGGGTCGAGAGGAGGACGGAAGGTGGATGGATGGTGTAGGCAGCGCAAGGGGCGGAGTGTTGGGATGAAGGGGTTGTAAGCCCACGACAGAGGTCATAGTAGGTGCGAGGTGCGGAAGTAGCCAAAAGAGCATCGTTGCCGCAGCGGCGCAGCAGTCAAAGTTAAGGTTGAGCGTGGTCATGGCCGAGCAGTGACGGAAGTGCGTGAGAAAAGCATTGAATGTGATTGTCAGTACGATGCGATCGGTGTCTGTGAGGACATATGTGAGTGGATTTGAGCTCCTTACCATTCTCGGGCTTGACCATGATGTCTTTGTCGTTGCTATGTGATGTCGATCGGCGTACGATGGAGGGCCAATTGGTCCGGCTGCGGCTACAACGAACATTAGCTCGCAATGTCTTGAGAGGACCTCGGAAGGATCAATGCCGTTCGGTGCTGCAGAAAATGCTTTGTAATCTTCGTCGACGGTGTTGAACCCGCTTTCGCAGAGGTGTGAGCCGCCAGCACTGCTTCGCCGAGTGATGCACTCGTACGTCGCCGAACACTAACAAACGTTCCAGACGTGCGGCGACGAGGACGGTGCCTGCGAATTGCAACCGCTTCGAGAAGAAGTATTGGCCGACAAGGCTGCCGGGTCGGAGCGGAAGGGCAACGTGGAGGAAAAAACAAACGCGTTGATGCGGGCGAACAGCGACGCGAAGAGACGCGCAAAGTGATAGAGCGAGGGCGAGAGCTTCGAAAATTGAAGGAGGCGCTGAGCAGGCTGGAGAAGGTGTGCACAGAAGGCAAGCAAGTCAGGGAGGACTGAGCCAAGTTCTGTGAGACAAGGATCTACCTTGGATGAAAGAGGAAAGGGAGGAAGAGGCTTGGGAGGTTAGGGAAGAGGAACCTGGAGTTTGGAGGTTGAGAAGTTGGATTTGGGTCCCCTTATGAGGAAGGGAGCTCAAAAGCAAAATTTGACTGAGCCCTGTCTGAAAGAAGGACCCTGCAAGATAGGGGTTGGCCAGAATTTTCGAGCACACTGATCTGGTGCCTGAACTTTTGGCTCTTCTCGTTCTGAAGCCTTGACTGGTCGATCTTGCTCAAAGACTGGAGAGCAATTCAATCAGAAGCGAGCATTTAGCGCTTTGGCCCCTTAGCCCTTTGTCTCGCTGACTCAGCATTGGGCCAACTTCAGTCCAACTTGTCCAATCTCACCTCAACCTCACTTCACTTCACTTCAACCTCACTTCATTGAACCTTGTCATCCTGATTTTGAGTTTGTTGAGAGGAGAAGAAACCTTGCAAATCTGAGATGCACTTGACCAGCCTGCGTAAGATAGGCGAGTTAAGGCGTGTTTGCAAGTGCGCCTGGGTTCGCGTGGGCCAGAGCGAGCGAAATGGTGCGGAGACCAGACACAGCGGATCGTCACACTGGATAACGCGAGTCGCCGTGTGATACACTGTAGCCTTTCTATAGCGGCGAGGCGCACCGGCAAAGCAGTGGTGCGAGCGACGCCGGAAGTCCCGCCGTGTGATCCAGGCGGGCTGCATCTGCGGGAAGGGGCTTTAGAGCTGAAAAGGGTCGTGTGCGGAGCGCGCGAAATTTCGAGCTGAACTGAACCCTGCGTTTGGACCCTCCTCGTGCAGTCTGCTGCCCTCAAAATCCCGATCAATCTATCAGGGGCCATCCATCATCCTGTCGTTCTCCGAATCACGATCAAACCCTTCTATCGAACTCGAAGACTCTTCGCTCAAGGCTCAAGAGACGACATCAGCTGAGGCAGTCCACCATCGCTGCCACCTGGTCTCACTACGAACAGTCGGAGCGCGATCTCGGAATTCGTCAATCGCCGCATCCTCGAAACCTCTTATCGACGAAAAGCAAATCGAGCGCCGTCGTCGCTCGCACCGTAGGCAAGCAAACAACATCCCAATCATGTTCGGACGCATCTTTCACCTACTGGTAGATGCCATGCTGGTGAGCGTGGCGCTGTCAGGTATTAAACGCAGCACCGGACTCACACCAGCTGTATCGCGCATGCCGAACAAAGACCTGCGTAACCTGATGCGCATCTACTTGGAAGCGGGAGAATGGGTAAGTGGGCCGACATTCTTGGTGCGCAACGTCAAGCAGAGTGCCTGTTGCTGATGAGACTTGACGGTCGCCTTCACTTGACGCTTGATTCGCTTTCGATGCAGGTCATGGACTTTTCAGTCGTCATCCTGGGTCGATCCAGCTCATTTGAGCGAGTGCGCTGAATCTGAACGGCGGACACATGCGTGCCGACGATCTGTACGCTGCACTGTCAACATGTTTACTAGCTAGCACGACACTTCGAAGTCTGCCCACAACCTCGGGACGAAGTTGTGGCTGCGAGCACGATATCGTTCGCAGCATGCTAGGCACATCGTTCCCCTTTTCGGCCTTCCATCTTGTATCATACGGCTCGGACCGATCATCGCATCGAACCTGCTTGCTTTTGACCGTGCTCATGGTAGATATCCTGCGATAGTGGACCGATCGATACGGGACAGTTGGTCTTGCGCTGCTGTGTTAGACCACTTCTCCACACCTCTGAGCCGATTTTGCTTTGACCGGCTTTGCATTTCGGAAAGGCAGACGTCGAATGCGCCTGGCATGGCCGTTGCGCACTGATGCACGACAAGCTGCTAGACGACAGGCAAGGAGCAGTGAGCACGCCTCCTCGATCGCAAGCCTCATTGCTGCTGCACAGGTCGGCTTGGCCAAGACATCGAGATGCCTTCACGAGGCGTGCATACCACACTGTGTAGGGCCGGCTGCCAGAAGGTCTGTCGGCCTGCCTCTGGTACGTCGAGGTCATCACGCCAAATCCTTACAGATCCGCGAACAAACAGCGCACGCACACAAACGCACTCCCACGAAGCGCATGCGCGCAGGCAGCCAGGCACCCTCGAATTTCCGCGAGGCTCGCTTGGCAAAAAGGACGGAAAACGGTGGTCGATGATCTGCTTGCACGAATGCACGCCACACATCTTGTGCCCCTCTGTGGTTCTCGAGAGCCATGCGCGTACCGATCCATTCAGCAATGAGCACTGATCAAGCTTAGAACGAGATATATTCGCAGATTCGTTGTCACGGCTAGGCCTGATGGGCCCTTCGATGGCACAGCATAGATGCAGGCGGAGCGACTCGTGCCATTGCAGAAAGAGAGGCAGATGATCCCGTCGTTGAGGAGCGAGAAAGGCGAATTGCAAATTTCGAAAAAACCAGCCCCCACTTTTTTCGCCTTCTGCCAACGTGTGTGTGGGTGGGTCTTGCTGGCTGGTCGACTGAATTCTGGCTAGAGCGAGTCGCCGACCCTTGTGTTCTGCTGCTCTGCTGCTGCTGCTAACGCTCTGGCCTTCGCTTCCATTCATATTGGCAGGCCGCGAAATTTTATGGCTCCGCTTTTTCGCACGCTTGACTGGGCTGCATCCAGGGCCTCACAACTGTTTGGTCGCTTGCAGCCGCTGAGACAGGGAGGGCAGCAACGGCGAAGAACGCAAGCGCTGACCGACACACATCCCTCCGTCTCCAATCGCCTCGTTTCTGTGTGTCTCCCGTTACACTATCTGGTGTCCTTTTTTCTAGTGTCCGCTTGCAACTCTAATAATCAGCCATTGCCATTTGACCGACACACATCGACCATCTTCGCCGACCGATTGGCTCATTTTGCTTGACTGACCGTCTTCGATTTTGACTGTCGATCTGCCTGTCTTCCCCGCTATCCCGCAAAGCACGCAGCCAACACAACCTTCCTCCGCAACTTGTCCTCATCGGTCACCATCGTCGTCGTCCACTACCACCACATCTCTCGACTGCCATTACAATCTCCTGCTCAACATCGTAAACGCACCTGAAGGCTCTCCTTGGAACTTGACACGATCGTGGCGGTCATTCTGTATTTCACGGCTGCACGCGTCTCGATCAGGGCAATCGTCATCTGACCAGTCGCTGCCACGCTCGGTCACAGGCTCCATAGTCGGACAAATCGCTTGTTCAGCCGCAGCGGTAGCTCAAATCGCTTGCCTTTGGCCATCTCGCAGCTCTTGTCGTCTCTTTGGACTCGCATACTTGCTGGCAAAGTCCGGCTTTCGTGTGTTTCGACCTCCCAAGCTTCCTCGTCCTCTCCCTCGAGGAAAACATCGATTGACAATCGCATTCGGCGACTCTTCTCGACCTTAGAGTCATCCTTGATCGCCGCCGCTGCCACTGCTTCCGCGGCATGCCCTCGCTTGTCGCTTCTCACGCAACATCGACGATGCAGGCCAATCACGTTCACGAAGCTGGGAATGCCTACGCTACGCCACCGACTCAGTCCACTTCGAGCTTTGCCAGCGGCTCCAACACTCCCTCGCACCAATTGCCTCGCCTCAATGGACAGAGCTCGGGCATTGGCGAATCGCCTGCTCCTTCCATTTCACGTCCTTACCACACCTCGTCCAATGCCAACCAGCTCAACGGCGCCAGCTCCAACGGCGGAGCCAAGGACAAAAAGTGGAAGCAGATGTTCAAATTTGGCTCTATCGGCAGAAAGGCAAGCGGCAATGCATCAAACGACCGCAGCTGGCAGACCGATTCGGCCGAGTCCAGCATGCACAAGAACGGCGACTACTTCGAGCACGTCCAGTACACCGGCTCGCAGTCGGGTTCCACCTCTTTCCAGCCTATCAACGGCTCCACCGTCGTCAACGATCCCAGCTCCTTTTCCAACGACAGCTACTCATCTGAAGATCGCAACGCTTCTGGCTCCATCGGCGATGCTATGACCGCCTCTGCCTCGGGCAAGCTTCAGCCGCCCGCAGACATCAGCGACAACGACTCGGCTCATCAGGGATTCGCTTCTCGACTCATGAGGCGCGTGTCGAGCGCGCCGGACGCCAACAAGCTTTTCAAGAACGGATCCAGCGCTGCCCAAAAGCCTTCGGACGCTGCCCCGGCGACCAAGAACGGCTATCTCTCCCCTGAAGCATCCAGCGGCCAGCACAGCCAGTTCGCTTCCGAAGGAGGCGCGCCCACCACTCCATCCAAGGACCTAGCCAACGCTGCCTTCTTCTCCAACTCGCCCGTCAGGATGGACAGCAATGCCACCTCGTTCAGCAACAAGGACTTCGAAAAGGGCCGGTCCGTCAGCGCAAAAGGTTCTTCGACGCCCAAGTCGGGTCGAATCAACTTCCCTGGCTCCGGTCGCTCCAAGAGCTCCAATGGCAAGGACAAAAAGTCGCAGCTCCCACCTCCCAGCAGCTCCGCCAACCTTGCCGCTCTAGCAGGTGACATGTCCATCAATCGTGGACCCGGCAGCTTCCGACGCACGTATTCGAGCAACAGCATCAAGGTCAGAGAGGTCGAAGTGGGTCCCAACAGCTTCAGCAAGGTCAAGATGCTCGGCAAGGGCGACGTCGGCAAGGTCTACTTGGTCCGAGAGAAGAAGACAGACAAGCTTTTCGCCATGAAGGTGCTCTCCAAGAAGGAGATGATCAAACGCAACAAGATCAAGCGTGTCATGGCCGAGCAGGAAATCCTTGCCATGTCCAACCACCCGTTTATCGTCACACTCTACCACTCGTTCCAATCCGAAGACTACCTCTACCTCTGCATGGAGTACTGCATGGGCGGCGAATTCTTCCGCGCGCTTCAGACGCGTCCAGGCAAGTGCTTGCCAGAGGAGGACGCCAAGTTCTACGCCGCAGAGGTGATCGCTGCGTTGGAATACCTCCATCTCATGGGCTTCATCTATCGCGACTTGAAACCGGAAAACATCCTCCTTCATCAGAGCGGACACGTCATGCTTTCCGATTTCGATCTCTCCGCCAAGGCCACACAGCGCGGTGGTGCACCGGCCATGATCCGTCAAGCTACGCCCAACAGCGCGCCTCTTGTCGACACACGAAGCTGCATAGCCGATCTACGCACCAACTCATTCGTCGGCACAGAAGAGTACATTGCTCCCGAGGTCATCAAGGGATGCGGCCACACGTCGGCGGTTGATTGGTGGACGCTGGGCATCTTGATCTACGAGATGATCTTTGCCACCACGCCGTTCAAGGGCAGCACGCGCAACGAGACGTTCTCCAACGTGCTGCGCAACGAGGTGCAGTTCCCGGACTCGATCCCGATCTCGTCGTTTGGCAAATCGCTCATCCGCAAGCTGCTCATCAAGGACGAGCTGAAGCGCATGGGCTCGCAGTCGGGCGCGTCCGAGGTCAAGCAGCACAAGTGGTTCTCCAGCATCTCGTGGGGCTTGCTGCGTAACTCGACACCGCCCATCGTTCCCGCTTATTCGAACGGCGTCGATGCCGTCAACTTCCGAAACGTCCGCGAAAGCCGCAGCTTGAACCTCGACGATCAAGGCAACGAGACGCGAGCCAAGCCGGCCGTGATCAAGGCTGTCGCTGGACAGAAGAATGTGGGCGACGAGGAGGGAGATGCCGTCGTCAGCAACCCCTTCAGCGGCTTTTCCAGCGTCACGCTCAAGCATGATGACTATTGATCGCGTCCGCTGCTCTCTTGTCAGCTCGCAAATCAGCAAAGTGCACGCAGCTTCTTTGACTTTCGACATTTCTCGACTTGCCCTCAGCCCCTTTTGCCAAAGCTTTCACTCATCTGTCTGTCATTCTCTCGTTTTTGTCTTCTGCATCCTCGCTCCGAAACAAACTAGCATCTCAGTCGTTTGTCATTGCCATTTCGAGTGCATTTTGAGCTGGTCTGTGAATGTGGAGTGCTCACGAGTGGTGGGAGGCTGAATGCTGATCTTTCAAAGGTATATCTGTGGAAGAAGCATGTGTTGTGTCGAGAACCTTTTGCGGATCGTATTTGTTGATGCATTTCATATTTTGTGTTTGCCGCTCGGCTGCCACGCACGGACTCGCGTTCTTCACAGTGTGTTGCTCTCGACGTCGTTTCCTTCCTCCATCCCCTCACACCTTCTTTCACCCCAACAAACATCGCACGATACGTCCATTCTGCTTCGGACACACACTCACATCTCATCGGATCAGCACCATCGCCTTCTCGCAATCATAATGTCGTACTACTTCACATTGATAGGTACACGCGACAATCCGCTTTACGAGACAGAAATCACACCCAAGACCGCATCCTCCTCGTCATCGAATACAAGTAGCTCGACCACAGGGAGCGGGTTGTTCTCACCGACGACATTCGGTGGTCTCAGTGGTGGTAGCTCTGCTTCAGCGTCTGCTCCGGATGCAGCATGGAGCAGCGGCGGTGGTGGTGGAATGTTCGGAGGGTTGCTGTCACGGATTCCCACCACGAGCATAACATCAAGCGGAAACAACTCTGCTAGCGGTACAGGTGCCAGCGCAGCAGCTGGAGCTGGGAGTGCAGCGGCACAGGGAGCGAGGAGAAAGCAGAGATACGAGCTGCAGATGATCGCACATTCAGCGTTGGACACCATTGAAGATGCGCTGATTACGAGTCCTTACTTGTGAGTACGAGAAGAGCTTGCTGCGGATATTGCCCACCGTCATCAAAACTTGATCACTGAAACTTGTCATGCTCTCGATCGGAATCATTGTCAAAACAGGTATTTGAAGAGTATCGATCGCATCCAGGAATACACGACGAGCTGCTTTGTTCTGCCTGGAAGTAAGTGTCTCCCTCCTCTGCAGATCAGAAGTCGATCGCTGCTAGCAGTACTAACTTCAACTCTTCGACCCTTCACAGACGTCAAAATGGTGCTTCTACATGAGCACAAGCACGAGGACGGCATCAAGAACTTCTTTCTCGATGTGTGGGAAGCCTACCTCAAAGTCTCACTGAACCCTTTTCAGGATCTCAATGCCCCCATCGAGAATGCCGCGTTCGACGCGCGAGTAAGAGCAGCTGCGAAAAAGTTCTTGTAGCTTACACCGCCACTGCTAGACTCACACACATCGTAAGTCGGCAGACATGATACCCTCAGCGCTGCTACTTGTGAGGCATGGATGATTGTGATTCCCGATGAGCTCTATCCTAGGAAATTGAAGACGAAAAAGTGAAGTATGACCGAGCCAAAGAGGAAGTCGCCGAAAGCTCTGACAGAGGCGAAGCGATGATGGAGAGGTGTAAGACGCAAGCAGTATGGTCAGCATATGGCTTGTTTCCGTTCTGAACTGGTTGCCATGGACCTACCTTTCCGGTGAAACCTTTGGGAAGGTTTGACCATTCTCAGGATTCGCTTGGATTCGAAGGGATGCTGCAAGAACGAATTGACCGACCGTTGATGCGAATCTGTCGAAAGTCACGTTCAGAGGAATAACGATCAGTTTCCACGTCCTTCCTCAAGAGCTGCGACTGTTCTGCGGCTAGCGAATCACTTACCCGGCGATGAAAGAGTTGAAAGGAAAGTTGGTGATGAGTGCGCAGTAGACAAACTGGATGATGCCAGAGAGCATCAAGAAGACGAGGAACGCATCGATGACCTTCAGCTTCTTTGGCGTGCTGTCGACATAGGAGCTGTATAGTGTTGAAAGCGGTGATTGTGCGGACGCTGACGATGAGGTTGACGCCGAAGTGCGGGATTTGGCCGGAGCCGAAGTTGACGCTTTTGCGCCTTTGGGTGGCATGGTGGAGCAAGTGCTGTGAGGCGCTGCGCAGATGGTTCGTGATGAGTCCGTTTGATGTTCTTGACGGAAGAGTGCGGGTGAAGATTGCTGACTAGTCTTGAACGCCTCGAATAGTAATGTTGATGATGCACCTCGTCGAGGAAGGTCGAGTGGCCCAAACGTCGAGCGGAAAGCGCACTCCTTCCTCCAACGTGGCGTTGGTAAACTTAGCAATGTTAGATCCAGGCGAGCGTTTCGGCCGTGAGGTGGAAATGAGAAGAAATTTTTGAGAAGGCTCAGTGGGAGAAGAAAAAGTGGCTCCACAGACACTCTCTGACGTCGGTCCATCGATCCACGCTCAGACGACAAAGCGCTTCATGCCGAGCGAGCTGAGCCTTGCCTGTTGCAGCTCCCCACCACAGCGGCACAGCTCAAGCCAAAATCGAGAAAAAAGTGCACATCGTCGATTCCACGCACGTTTGGACATCTTGGCAACAAGCTTTCATTCTTGGATACCTGGCAACTCAGCGGGATACACTCGACCTTGCACCATCACCACAGGCAGGATCGCGACTTTGCCGTTGTATCACTGAACTGGTCCATCGATTCTTCGCCTCCGATTTCCTGCACGCCGCATCGGACCCGTGCCAACGATCCACGTACCCGTACCATCTACACGGCTCCATTACCATCGTCGCAGAACAACTCATCGCTTCATCGAAATGAACCCAAACGCTCCCAGCTTCGGCGGCTTCAACCCCAACGCCTCGGGCTTCGTGCCCGGTGGCCAGCAACAGCAGGGTCAGCAGCAGTACGGCGGCGCACCCTACGGCCAGCAGGGTGGATACTACCAGCAGGGCTTCGGCCAGCAGCAGCCGCAGCAGCAAGGCTTCAACGGTGGCTATCCCAACCAGCACCAACAATACCAGCAATACCAGCAACAGCAGCCCTACGGCGGCGGCTACGCTCAGCAGGGGTTCGGCCAGCAGGGATTCTCCCATCAATACGCTTCACAGGGTTTCAACGGTCTGCCTCCTCGCCCAGCTGCATCAAGCTCCAACGAAGCGCCAGCACGATCCGCTCAGCCCGTCGGAGCACAAGCTGATGCTGCTCCTCGCAAACCCGTCAGCATCTCCATCGGTGGCGGTGCCAAGCCTGCCGCTTCCTCAGCTTCGGATGCGCCCCGTAAGCCAGTGAGCATTTCCATCGGAGGAGGCGCAAAGCCCGCCGCTCCCGCCGCCGCCGACAAGTCGGATGCTCCTCGCAAGCCCGTCAGCATCTCCATCGGCGGTGCCAAGAAGCCCGAGGCTGAGAAGGAAGCTGCCCCCGCTGAGACTCCAGCGCCAGCAGCGGCCGTCACCGCCGTAAAGAACACCGAAGCGCCCTCGTCCACCGCTGCATCTGCCCCTTCATCTCGTGCCGAGTCGCCAGCGCCTGCCGCTGCCGCTGCCGCTGCCGCTCCCGCACCTGCTGCTCCCAAGACCGACTCCAAGGTCGCTTCGCTGTCCTCCAAGCCCGTCCCCACCGAGCGCGCAACCACCAATGCCGACCAGATTCTTGCCGAGGCATCCAAGGTCACAGACGAGGAGACTCTCAAAGACCTCTTCGGCGACAAGAGTGACGAGCTCAAGTCACACCTCAACATCGTCTTCATCGGCCACGTCGATGCTGGCAAGTCCACTATGGGCGGTAACCTGCTCTTCCTCACCGGCATGGTCGACAAGCGTACCATGGAGAAGTACGAGCGTGAAGCCAAGGAGGCCGGACGAGAGTCGTGGTACCTTTCGTGGGCGCTCGACTCGACGGCGCAGGAGCGTGAGAAGGGTAAGACGGTCGAGGTGGGTCGTGCCTACTTCGAGACAGGCAAGCGTCGCTACACGATTCTCGATGCGCCAGGACACAAGTCGTTTGTGCCCAGCATGATCAGCGGTGCATCACAGGCCGATGTTGCCGTGCTCGTCATCTCGGCCCGAAAGGGCGAGTTTGAGACCGGGTTCGAGCGAGGAGGACAGACGCGAGAGCACGCCGTGCTTGTCAAGACTGCCGGTGTCCAGCGCCTCATCGTCGTGGTCAACAAGATGGACGATACGACGGTGGAATGGCAGAAGTCGCGCTACGATGAGATCCACGGCAAGCTCACTCCTTTCTTGCGATCGGCCGGCTTCAACCCCAAGACCGACCTAACCTACATCCCTGTCTCTGCCTACGCAGGCCAGAACCTCAAGGAGCGCGTACCAAAGAGCATTTGCGACTGGTACGATGGACCCTCGCTGCTAGAGTACCTCGACAACCTCGAGCTCGGCGACCGCAAGATCAATGCGCCGCTCAAGATGCCCATCTCGGAAAAGTACAACGACATGGGTACCGTCGTCGTCGGAAAGCTCGAGGCGGGTAAGATCAAGAAGGGCGACACGCTCTTGCTGATGCCCAACAAGGTCTCGGTCGAAGCTGTGGCCATCTTCAACGAGCAGGAAGAGGAAGTCCCCGCCGCCATCTCGGGCGACAATGTGCGTGTCAAGTTGAAGGGTGTCGACCACGAGGAAGTGACCGTCGGCCACGTGCTCACGGATCCTAATAACCCGGTTCACGTAGCGACCCACTTTGAAGCGCAGCTGGCCATCCTCGAGCACCGCAACATCATCTGTGCCGGCTACAGTGCCGTGGTGCACTGCCACACCGTCGCGCAGGAGGCCAGCTTGGCAGCGCTGTTGCACTACTACGACAAGAAGACGGGCAAGAAGAGTCGACGTGGTCCGCAGTTTGCCAAGAAGGGTATGAAGATCATCGCACTCCTCGAGCTCGCCGGTCCCATCTGCGTCGAGAGGTTCAAGGACTACCCGCAGCTGGGACGTTTCACGCTGCGAGACGAAGGACGTACGGTGGCCATCGGCAAGGTGACCAAGCTCATCACTTCGGCGGACGAGTTGCCGGACGTGGCCAAGCTCAGCGTCACCGATGCTGCCTCCGCCGCTGCCGCTACGCACTAAGTGAGGTGAGTGGTAGGCAGCAGAGATGTCGATTCTGATCGCATATGTAGATAGAGATAGCTGCGAAGAAGAATGCAACGTGAATCAGCATCAACGCCGTGGTGCAGTGTTTCTGTTTGTTCGGTTTCGAACGAGCTAAGCGAGGCTTTCGGCTCGTGTGAGAAGGTCCTCTTTTCAGCGCCGTGACACCGTGTTCTACAGATAAAAGCAGCTTACCAGGACGTCCGGCGTTCTCGGCGGATTGTGATGTCAGACCTCCTTTCAACCGCTCATCGGCCATGTGCAGTGGACGAAGGCCGACATTGTGCGTGTGTCAGTCGAGGCCGGCAATTGCTTTAGATTACCAGCGGGAAAACCGCTCGGGAGCGAATGGAGGGTGAACCACGTAGCCGGTCCCGCATGCCATTCATCGACCAAATGGGAAAGATGGGGGGCGGATCGATGACACAGACGATGACACAGAGTCGAAAGTGAGGAAAGCGATGCGGGTCTAAGGCAGGCAAAGCTGCGAGTGGGGGCATCCAGAAACTCGTACCCCTCGCAGCGTGCGAGCTGCCGGACACAAGCGGGCAGACCAGCTTCACTGCAGCGGTCGTCGTCACTTTCAGTGTGGGCTGCTCGGCAGTGCACGCCGAACAACCGGTCGGCACGATCTTAGAACAACAACACTGATGTGCTCCTCCTCCTTTCGAAGAAATCAAGACCCGAAAGACACTCTCGAAATCAATCATCGCAACCGAGAAAAAGGTACGAAAACCGATTTCCTTTTTGGCACTTTTCGACATGGCCCGGCTTGGGCACGCTGCACGCTCTGACACGCTGCCTGCATCATCAGGGCGTACATTTCGGACCGGCGTTCTGACAAGCGATAACGTTATGCGATTGCGCACAGCCGTATGCGCAGCCGAACGACTAGAAGCGTTCCAGACCTGTCTCGCCTGACCTCGCGTGGCTCTGCGGTCAATGGGAGCCCATTCGGATACAACCGCATGGCAAGCGAGGCATTTTTGCCGTTCCCGAGCTTTCGTGGCCATGGTACAGCAGTGCCGATGCATGTTACGGGTCGCCAAAATCGACGCAATCACGAGCCACGTTCGACGCTAACGTGGGTCGTCGTTGCGGCTGCCGTCTGATGACTGCATGCTGCGCGAGCGTCGAGAGACCCAGAGATCGCTGAAACAGGTTTATCCACCTGGAGGTTTGATCGTCTGGGACGGTTCATTCCACCCACGCGGGAGCGTTCTGGGGACGGCTTCCATCATAATTTCGTGGATTGGACTAGCGTATGGCACGTTGTGGGCTGCGAGATCTGATTCAGCGTCTGCACCTTCCCTGCGCAGAACCCGATCCGGTTGCGAACAAACCGTCGTGCCTCTTCCGATCGCTGTTGACACTGGAAGTACAGATCTCGCATCGGTCAACAGTGTCATGTTTGTTCTACGATTGCGCTGACTCTGAGAGGGATTTTTGCATCTCCGCTTTGCCGCCTTCTTGTTTCTTTTTTCGTCGTTTTCCGTCTTGGCATAGGATGGCCTTGATCCGATGCTGATACTCTTCGTCAGACCCAATTAATCCGTCCTTGTGCTCTCAAGATCCGATTAATGCTGGGGTCCAGTGTTCACTTGGAGGAAGAGCTAGTAGCGATGCAGAATGGATCGACGAATTCGACCGCTTCGTGGTCGTTCCGACGGCACGTCTTGAACGATTCTCTCGCTTGTTCGAATCTACAATTTCATTATCCGACCGGGTTCCGACCGGCGTTCTTGAGACAGAATCATGGTCGGTACAGGCACACCTCTGGAAACACCCATAACGGCTATGAGAATTCACACGCCTGCTGTGTCATGCCAACGGATGCTCGGTGAAGCTACTTGTACGAGGAAGCTGCATTCCCCGGAAAGATTGATTGCTTCGGCAGTGGGGGTTCGGGATTTGGATCGGCAAGCGGATGACGAAGCCATGTGCGGAACCTGAGCCGTCGAAATCGGTTGCGACAAATGGAGACTGCGTGGCATAGGCGTGCATATCAGCATGAAGTCTGAGTGTGCCCGATGTCGTAATCTGCCGCTCATTGCGAGGTAGACGACGGCTTCGGATGCCCATGTCGAGCTTTCAGCAGCTACAGGCACGCTACAAACATGGGTGCACACGTCGTGGCTCCTATGAAGATATATATATCATCCACGGCTCATCGGCGGACCGGAGGTTCGTTGGCACTTCGCGTCCTCTCCTTCTTGGTTTGTTGCTCCTTTCTGACCCTCACTCGCTGATAGAAATACGGCCATTGACCGCTAGCATCGCATCGAAGGAGGAAGGATCGACGTATACTCGTTGTCGATTCAGTCTTCGAAAGGCGTCGCTCTCACGGCCTCCCTGTTCTTCACCTTTCTCGACACTACACAGCCAACGATTTGCTGCTCGACCGTCTGAACTTTTTCAGCATGGCTGCGGTCCCATCCAGCGTAGGCGCCTGGGCCTATACGACGCCTTCCTACGCTACCACACAATCGCAACGCTCTCAGAGCCTTGCTCATTACGACCCACACCCCCATCACCACCTCCAGCGGCGGCAATATCATCAGCACCCTACCTCCTCAGCATACGGTCTCGGCATCGACGATGCTGCACCTCGAACATCGCTTACCTCGACCGCTCCAATCTCCTCGTACCCCTCAAACGAGCAGAGTGCTTCCTCATCGTATCGCACCAACGCCTCTAGCACCTATCACAGTCAACCCTTTGCGGATGACTACCATCACGCGCAGGCTACGTCGCATCCGTCAGACTCCCGTCTGCACTACTCTTCGCTCCCCGCGTCATCTTCCGCGATCAAACGCCGCGGACGATCCAAAATGTACGCCAGCGAAGAAGCCCGCCAAGCCGCCAAGCAAGCGCAAAAGGCGCGTCGTCGAGAGCAGAATCGTGACGCTCAACGTCGGCTTCGAGATCGCAAGGAGGAACACATCTTCAAACTCGAAGGAGAGCTAGCACAGCTTCGTCGGGAGAACGACGAGGTGCGAGGCTTGCAAGAGATGATCCGAAAGCTGCTGGACGAGAGGCAAGATCTGCATCGGAGACTGGGCATTCAGCAGGAGGAAGGAAAGATCGGACGGGACAACGCCTTGGGACTCGTCGATGACTTGATCATGGGGAGGGGAGATGCTCCGGGGCTGCGTGATAGTGCGAACAGCAGTCGGAGCCACAGCGCCAGCGATCAGGATGGCAAAGATGCAAGTAGCAGAAGCAGCAGCGCTACGGGCGCGTCCGTCTCGACACCTAGATCTCCGACGATGATGCTGCATGCTCCTTACGCTACGGAAAGCGCAAAGGACAGCCTGTCGAGCGCACCATTTTTACAAGGACGTATGCAGACGCCATCCTTGCATTTGCCGAGGATCAAACTCGAGGCTTCTTCGAATCGCGCTTCCAATGGCCCCCTTGTCACTTCTTCTCTGCTCCCTCCCGTTTCTGCCACACTGCCACAGTGGAACGTTTCCTGATCTCTCTTCCAATCTCACTGTTGTCGTTGCTTGTATTTGTACCACCTCTTGTTCGTTCCGTATTCACGTCACCAGCGACCCAGAGTCGAATATAATTCAGTGCGCGATTCATGGTCCACATTCACGCAAGACCAACCGCACGCCTACCCACCCTTATCGATTCGTCTCTCGGCTGGACTGTGTTGCTGTGTTGATCTGTCCGCATTTGATGAGCGATTGGGAGTAGAGAGTGCCGCTGAACTCTCGACCAAACCTGATGGTCTCGTGTTGGAAGCAAGGTGACTTTCGGAAAATGCATTGCGATATATACGAGATGATTGACAGACAAGAGAGATACGAAGCAACCGCGTTCTGTGCCGAGTAGACAGAATTTTCACCAGTCCTTGGCGATCTGTTGAAAAAGAGAATGTCAGCATATGAACGTCAGCGATAGAGCGTACGGGAGCAAAGTGATGGATTGAGACAGCTTACCTTGAAAGCCCACTCCCAATCGGCAAACACATTGTTGTCGTCGTCGACCACACGGCTGCGAACGCTGTAGTTGCCACGAGCCATCATACCGCTGGGAGCTTCGCTGGAAGCAAACGCCTTCTCGTACGGCTCGGCTCGTGGACCGTACGATCCGATCATCTCTTCCATCTTGTCGACTTTGATGCCGGCGCGCTTCACCACCTGAACGTACTTGAGACCCGAGAGGATATCGCTGCCTACGCTGAATTGGATCTTGACGCTGTACTCGACGCCCTCTTTGACGGTGAGCGGGTTCTGCTTGATCTGCGCGAGCTGTTCTTTGGGCTGCTGGAGGTTGATCGAGATGCTCCCACCGGGCGCAGTCGCGGATACGAGTGAGAGGGAGTGCAGCGAGAGCTTGGGGGCATTCGGGTCGACGGCACCGGTGGAGGCACCGATGCCGAGACTCGCCTTCCACCTTGCAAGCGACTCGTCTTCGGCGTCGAGCTGCGAGTATTCGGCGAGCGACTTTTTCTCGCCCACCTTGTAGCCGGCGGTAGCAGTGGTGGCAAGCTCGTCGTCTGCGATGCTGGGATCTTGTGCGTGCGACATTGCGAGGGTGATGTTCCGATTGATGTCGTTGTGACTCGTGTGGTGGTGGCAAGGGCTTCGATGATCGGCGACAAAGGGGCCAAATGGGCGTGATGAATGGTTTGACAGGTCGAGAAGATCGAACGTTGGCTGTTCCCTCGGTCGAGTGCAGTAAGCGCCACCGTTGTAGGGAGAGAGTCTGCTCGGACCAACACCGAACGAGTGAGAGTGAAACATACACACGCAAGTTGCAGGCACGCCAAAAGAAAGGGCCTCGACCGCTCAGAAGTTCTGATGGCGAATGTGAGATCGACAGCTGAAGAACATTATCACGAAAATCCATTCCGGGCGGCATCGGTGGTGACAAAAGCGAAGATCCAAAATCAAAGCTCGCATCTTGACATGTCACTCTATCACTCCCATCCCTCATCAAGACCTGACCACCTTCGACTCAGCACTCAACGAAGGACGAGCGTTACGCGCACGATCAGTTCGTCTGACGATGGCAAAATAGGCTTGCTTCGACCTTCGCGCAATCCTCAGCATCCTGCAAAGGCCACTCCGCCGCTTGGCTCGAGCCTTTCTTGTTCGTCTGCCTTGCGATAGCCACAGCAGCATGAGCTGGAACGTCGCCGGCTCCAAGGTGGCCGCAAACCTGGCGAGGCAGGCTGCCGTCGAAGTGCCTCATCATCATGTCTCAGCCCACAGGCATTCGTTGCCCCGACACCTCTTCCTCCGACAGCGTAGCTCCAAGCCCCTCGGCACATTCCAGAAGCTCGCCCTTTCCACGTCGTCAACTCCAAGGGCTAGCACCAATGCAAAGGCAAAGGCATCTCGCAACGCTCACGATGCCGTCGAAGTCGAGTCAAAGGCTGCTCCATCCGTCAGGGTGACTGACAGCAGGAGTCAAGCACCCTCCGCCAGCAACGCTGCTGAGGGCTCTTCACGCATCCCCCCGGCCGATACTGTGCTCGAAGTCGACGAGAAAAGCCAATCTGCAAAGCAGACCACACCAGCTTCATCCGATGCTCCTGCTTCTTCTTCAGCTTCAACGTCGGGCGCGGAACAGAAGACATCTCCACCGCCGCAACAGCAGCAGACCTCCACCGAGAACAAGCAGCAAGACGGCCAGTCCAGTCAGCAGACTCAGCAGACGCAGAGTACCGCCTCAGCAAGCACCGGCCCCGTGACGGCAGAGGATCTGCTCAAGCAGCGCTTCTTCCACGCCCAGGAGCAGAACAAGAGAGTCTATTCCGGTCTTACATCGCCTCCCAATCCAGCCGCCAACCTTTACCCCTCCTTCACCACGCCCTCGTCCGATCAGAGCATCATTCCGCCGGGTTCAGCTTCCGGCCCATCTGCTGGTCCATCAAGCACGTCCTCTTCATCGACATCTTCCGATCCGTCCCAGCAGACAGGCAGTTCGTCTAGCACTGTCTCGGATGCCTCGGCAGCCGCGCAGACGACCGCGACCACACCCAATAATACCAGCAGCGACGTCGAAATCGACCCAAGGTTCCAGCGACCAGCTTCATCGCAGTCATTGCAAAGTCTTCAGATGCCATTCGACACGCATGGCTTCGTCAAACGGCTCGAGGCGGGCGGTTGGATCTCCACCACCGCCAAGATGCAACGCGCTGCAGCCAACGCAAAGACGACAAGAGGTAAGCAGTCGCAGACTGAGCCCGGTGCTCAAGCGCTTCAATTGCAGATTGCTCGTCGACACGATCCAGCAGAGGCCATCATGGAAGGCGTCCGACATCTCATCACCACGCGAGGCCGACAGCTTGCCCACGCCTGCCTCAACAAGAGCGACGTCGAGAATCAAGCCTACCTCTTCAAAGCAGCCTTGTCCGAGATCCGCACCGAGGTACAAGTGCGCGGCCGTAACGACGCGGCCGGCTTGCGCAGCATCACCACCCTGCTTCAGCGCGAAGTGGACACGCTCGAGCAAAAGATGAAGGAGGACGTCGAACGTCTCAAGCACGACATCCAGGTCGACATGAGCAATCGCAAGGCCGAATCTAAGGAGGAGCAGAACAATCTCGAGCAAGAGATTCAGGACCTCAACAATCGCTTCACCATCAGCCTCTCGGATCTCAAGACCGAGATCGAGCAGAACGTCAAGTGGGACGCAACACGACGAAGTCTTTTCCTCGTCTTTGGTATCGCTGCTATCGTTGCCGCCAACCTCGCTATCGCAGACTATCTCACCAGAGACGACGAAGCTGCCAAAGCGGCCGCCAGCAAAGAGCCTGTCAATGCGGGGATCCCTCCAGCATCAGCATCGCTCGGATGGGCCACCGAGGGCCGCATCCTTTCCGTGTTACCGATCGTGCTGCTCAGGCCCAACAGCCGCCTAGCCGCGGCGAGCCGTCAGGTCTGCCGCGAATTGCGTCGGCAGTTTGCAACTCAGATGCCCGCCGTTGCTCGTGCCGGACTTTACACTGCCTCTGATCGAGCTGCACGACAGCATGCGCGAGGCCATAACGGCCGCGCAGCACCGACTGGCTTCGCTACACCTCGGCGTCCCTTCAGCTCCACGACGACCCTTTCCAAGAGCCAGACCTCGGAGCTTCGAGTTCCGGACTCTGACATTGTCGTTCGTGTGCTTTTTGACGGCATCTCGATCGAATCGCCGCAGCTGGATTTGCAACCCTTCCGATTCGACTACGTTTGGCTCCGTGATGCGTGCCAAGCGCCAGATTCAGTTCATTCTAGCAACCTTCAGAAACTCTTCCACACCAGCGATGTACCACTCGATATCGCCCTTGATGCCGAGCATCCACCGACGCTGATCACGACCACAGACGAGCCAGCACTCAGGCTCACCTTTGCGAAGGAGCACGCCGTTGTGAACGCGTTCACTGCCACCTTTGGTGAGGTCGAGCCAGCCGACACGCCGCACGTCTCGGACTTTCCGATCTCCTTCCTCCTTCGTCACGCCATCGACACACTCTACGCCGACACGCACATGGATATCATGGCCGTTCCTGAAAGCTGGGCTGCCAAGGATCTGACGCACTTCAAAACGGAGCCATGGTCACCTGATGCGCCTCTATCCTCCGATGCTGTGGAGATTGGATGCGCTGCTCGACCAGCACGCATTCCTTGGGATGTCATTCGACCTATCGATGCTGGCGATGAGACGGAACGAACCAAGGCACACTATGCTCTCACCGAAGCAGTCCTGCGTGACGGGTTCGCATTTGTGACCCGCCTGCCCACGGACACGACCGGAACCGAGGAAGGTCCCGAGTCAGCACGCCTTCGAGACCTGGCAAACATCATGGGCGAGCTGCGCAACACATTGTACGGCATCCTTTGGGACGTTCGTTCGAAAGCAGGCGCACGCAACATTGCTTACACTAACCTCGACCTCGGCCTTCACATGGATCTGCTCTACTTCCAGAACCCTCCTCGCTTCCAGTTCCTCCACATGCTCAGGAACAAGGTCCGCGGGGGTGCCAGCATCTTTGTCGACAGCTTCAAGGTTGCCGAGCGTATGTGGCAAGAGGATCGACAACTGTGGGAGGCCCTCACCAAGGTGCCTGTCGGCTTCCACTACGTCAACGATGGCAAACACTACAGGTTCACTCACCCCACCTTTGAGCTTGCACACGACACCGAGGGTCACGCAGGAGGTCCGTTGACCGGCTCCACCATGCCAAGGCTGAGCGCAGTCAACTACTCGCCCCCTTTCCAATCGCCACTCCCGCTGCATCCGACCAAGCATCTCGAGACCCCAGAGCAGCGACAGACGTTCTACCGCGCGCTGCAACGCTTCTCAGATCTGACGCTGGCCGAAGAGTTCAGGTACGAAAAGCAGATGGAGGAAGGTGAATGCGTCATCTTCGACAACAGACGCGTGCTGCACTCGAGGAAGGGATTCGAGTGGGATGAGAGCAAGCCGGGTGAGATCAAACGTTGGCTCAAGGGGGCTTACGTGGACGGCGATGCCATTTGGAGCACATACAGGACGCTGCGAACCAAGGTTCACGGACGAGCTCCGCTCACCGCTTCGAGCATCGGACGTCGCTCGTTCAGCACTTTTACAACCGCCAATGCCGTCGCAGCTGCCAGTCGAAAAAGCTCGGTCGCGGCTGCACCAGTTGTGCGCGAAGCTGAACTGGACGTTTCGTCCTTCGCGCCGCTGTCTGACGATCCGACCGTTGTCGATCTTCGCTCTGTCGGCAGCCTTCGATCGCGCGAGTCTTCCACCACATTCTCCGCATACCGACCCGTGCCGCCGCTCTCCACCGCAACGCTGCCGAAGATCTACAAGCAGCTCACCAAGTCTCAGCTCACCTTTCTCGTCGTCCTCACCGGTATGGCAGGCTACGCCATCTGCCCCGCCTCCCTCACGGTGGGTGTCGCCGTCGCCTCCCCCGTCACCACGCTTCTCGCCCTCACCGCCGGCATGGTGCTTTGCTCGGCAGCAGCCAATGCACTCAACCAGCTCGTCGAGTCGCCCTACGACGCCCAGATGCAACGCACACGTGCACGACCACTCCCATCCCGCGCCGTCACACCCTTGCACGCATTCACGTTTGCTTCCGCATCAGCAGCCTCGGGCGTCGGACTGCTCCTGACCATGGTCAATCCGCTCACCGCCCTCCTAGGCGCAGCGAACATCGTCCTCTACTCGTTCACCTACACACCCATGAAGCGCAGCACCATCGCCAACACCTGGGTCGGCGCCGTCGTAGGCGCAATTCCACCGCTCATGGGCTGGGCCGCTTGCACCGGTACACTCAACACCAGCGCCGATCTGGGCGGCTGGTCGCTCGCAGCACTCCTCTTCGCGTGGCAGTTTCCGCACTTTAACTCCCTCGCACACACTGTGAGAGCCGAGTACGCAAAGGGTGGGTACCGCATGATGGCCGTCACCGACCCGGCGCTGAACAGGAGGGTGTCGTTGAGGTACGCCGTTGCGATGTTGCCGATCTGCACGCTCATGATGCCACTCAGTGGCGTCGTCAGCCCGGTTCTGTATGCGGTGCTCAGCACACCATTGAACCTGTTGATGGCACATGCGGCGTGGAAGTTTTACAGACAACGAACGGTCAAGTCTGCACGATGGTGCTTCTGGGTCAGCCTCATCCATCTGCCAGCTGTGATGCTGCTAGCGATGGGTTGCAAGCCTGAAGTGTGGGACGGGTTGTACCGCTTCTTCGGATGGTCCACGGAAGAAGAGACCGAAGGGAGACTCGTCTGAACGCCATTTGTACCACATTCACAGCTCTTATCCACAGAATTCAAGCCTGCATCAATTGCTTCCGCACTGTCGCCTTTCATCGTCACTGTCTAGGCCGGGACTCGCGCTTACTACTGTCCATCGATCGCTTCTTCGCTTTGAACTTGGGCACCAGCCCGAGCAATTGGCGCTGTTGAACCTTGATCAATCCTGCCGCTGCCCTGTCAACCGCATCGCGCCTGGCTCTCCCATCCACCCCTCCATCACGATGATGAGACATTGCCAACCAGCCATTCGCCTTGGCTGCAGGATTGCGATCGTAGAATCCATCCATGTACTGCTCCGTCCTCTTCCTCGCTTGTGCTTGATCCTCTTGCCAAGCCCGTCGTTCTGTTTTCGTCTGGCGGTACAGTGCGTTGGAATGCGCGGAATGTTCGTCACTGTTCCAGCTGCATTCCGCATTCGAGGCGTTGAACTGCGATGCTACGTCCTCGGGATTGCATTGTCCCTGCCTGTTCAGCTCGAGCCGCCTCCCCTCCTCAATGAGGACCGTGTCAAAGGTGATTCTTCCGGGCCTCAACTGCGCCACTCTTCCGATCTTGCCCTCGCCCCTGCGTGCGTTCTCATGCTTGGTCCGACGACGTCTTGATCCCGTCCTCACCGGCTCAGACTCCTGCCGGGCGCTTGAACGACTTCGACGGATCCTCCTCAGCCCAAGTACTGCAGACGATAAGCGTCAGTGTTCCTATGTCCCGAGAAGATGAGTAGAGTGGGGACCGAAAAGCAGACTCACCTTGTCGACGTGAACACTCGTCGCATTCACAACTGAATCCGTGTTCCAAATCCTCACTTCGCTGATGCCATTGACCTGAGAGATACTTTTGGATGCGCTCTTTGGAAGGGACCGTTCCGAGACTCAGGAGCGCTGCTTGCATGTCGCGGACAGTATCATGTCAGGTGAAGATGGTGCTGAAGGTGGGCTGGACGTGCGTCCTCACGGTCCCTCAGAGCCTTGCTTGTCGCTTCCACTAGTCTGTCGCTCACCGCGAGTCGGTGCTGGACATTGTCGCTACCTCATCACCATGAACAAGGCAGAAGCCGATTTCGCCGAATGGAAAGATTAGCCAGGGGTCAACAAGCTTTGACCTCGTCAGCCGCCCGGTATCTTTCCGAAGATCATACGCTCGAACCCGATAGGTCAACGCTAGCCAAAGCTCTCACGTACACATGCCAGCTGCACGAGCCACCGGCCTGATGCTAGCCAGAATGCACTTTGTGACGTACCTTCCGATAGCTCAATGGACGCCGCTCCGAGCTCTTCTTTGTTTTCCGACTAGTTGGATCCAGTCTTGTGGGTTCGTGATCCGCTCGGACCTGACAGAGCCGCGTTCGGATCAATCGAAGAAGCTACAGCAACAGCGGTGGAGGAAAGGGATCCAAACGATGCTGATCCGGACGCATTGCTCGCTGGTACTGTATCGGCATCGCATATGCAACATCGCTAGCGTCGTCAAATATATCCTCTGAAAGCTCCGGCCCCTCGGATTTCTTTCGGCTCGTTTCCCCGGAGGAAGATCGTGATCTCACACGACGTACTGTCTCGAAAAAAGAACAGGTCTGCGCGTCCTGCTGTGTCTGCGTGCCTCGCTAAAGATTAGGCTGCGAATGCGGAAAGGAAAAAACTAAGGCAGAGTAGCGAAGCGAGCCGAAGTGAAACGAACGAATCACAGAGAGTAGGGAAGCCGAATGCGAGCAGACGGTGTGACGAGAGCCGCCCATTGTCGCTGTACCTTTCCCATGGTTTCGTCGACTCGAGGCAGGTAGCGGGTCGTAGCGTCTCCGCTGCATGCTGCGCACCGGCCTCTGAGACATGAATCTGAAACACGGCGGACCGAAGATTTCGCGCGGTGTGTGGCCCTAGAGCCTCGCGGCGCGCGGTATTTACGGCATGGCATGGATTTTGGCTTCGCTTTTCCCACGGTCGCGCACTTTGCTAAGCGCCAACCAGGCCAGGCTTCCCCGGATTTCCTCGGTTTCGAGTCGGATTCTCATCTCAGCTCATTTTCACCTCACTTCGAGCGTCTACACCTTCTGTCCTCGAGCATACTATTACACCGGAGATAGGAAAGAAATGGCGAAGCTTCGCAGCGGTTCGTCGTACATGCATGATGGTGGAGTGCTATTCGGAAGAAGAGAGAATCTAGATCTGTACAGTGCTCGCTTAGTAGCGGCTTGCTGCGCGATTGAATTTCCACCAAATATTTCATCTTTTCATGGACTTCATCTCTATTTTAATGAAATTTATTTTTTTGCCCCGACGACAAACAGGCTGTCTCGCGGTCTTTCCAGGTTCGCTTCCAACCTTTGTCCACCAGTCGTGTGTTTGTCATTAGCTGCTCCGAGTGGGAAGCAGCAAGGGAATCGTGCATGTGTTGAGCCTTGAAAGCTCGGGAACCGCCCAATGCGAGACTAGAGGGCGATCCTAGCAGAAACAGGGTGCAGTAGTCGTGGACAGGGGAAGAAAAGGGTTCACAGCTCGGTCAGGTGGGTCTGTGTAGCATTGTGCTGCAGCATCTCAAGATCTCGCTAGCACTCACTCAGTCAGTCAGTGATATCGCCTTTTTTCTGGACTGTCAAACATCAACCGTTGGGACGCGATACGTTCATTCTCCGATGCAGCCTGCAGCAACGCAGCACGAACCCTTTGTTTGGGTGTGCCACAAAATTCACGCCGGGCTCTCGCACCAAGCTTGGGAAATTCGGCAACCAAGAGCGCAGCGCGGCACGACACCTCAGCTGCCAAACGGCCTCTGACGGACTGTCTAGTAGACCTGCAGATCCAGTTGCCGTTTCTTTTTTTTTCTTTCCTTATGCCGTGTTTTTCCCATGGAGAGAGAGGCCCGGAACCACGCTCGGTAGGAGAGTTACACTGTCGTCGTGCAGTCCCGTGCCTTCTATGCCTTGTCATTTTGCGCACCTTTTCCGGACCTAGACTCTATTAGTGGTGCTGCTTGGCGTCGTGAGCCATTCGATGTTCGAGGAAAATGACATACAGAGCCTGACATCTGCAAGCTGACCCGGTCTATTTGGCGGCTGTTCATTCGTCCATACGGCCATCGTCCTTGAAGCCATCTCGCTCAGATTCGAACGATTCGTTTCATTCCAACTCCGCTTCTTGAGATGTATAGTGTAGCTGCGTGAGGATCACACGGGCTCATCCTCCGCTCCCTGTGCCAATCTTCTTAAGCGCTCCTACTCTCGCATGTTCTCGCCACTCTGTCCCGCAATGCCTTGTGTGGTCGGGGTCTAGAGCTGACCTCTCCGCACGCTCGACGCATCGAGTCGTCCCGCTTCGGCCCACTCGTTGAACCATGCTCTCTGGGTCTTCCCCACTCTTCGCCTTCCACTGCTGCTGGACCCATGCTGGTGTTGCTTGCTCCGAAGCAAGATCTCGTCGTTTGCGCCCACATGTCTCGAGCTGAGATGCATGGGAGTCAACCACTGTAGCGGGAATCTGACCCATTGACCGTGTTGCCCTTCCTACCTGTTCGCCCCTTGTCTCACCCGCAACCTTAACTCCACGTCCTCTCGATCCGTGGCGTAGTCTTTTGACCACTTTCGGCGTTCTTCCTCCCCAGTCAGACACACACACCACACACACACACACACACACACACTCTCTCTCTCTCTATCCTCTCAACCACCTTCCTACGCCTTCCACATCTAGCACGCGGAACTGGTCGAATCACCGACTGACGCCCAGCATCTCCGAACTGTGTCTTCTCCTCCAACTCCTCCATATTCCTTCCACCAAACTGAAATATTCCGCCACTCAGGTACCGGTCCGGATCTACTCAGATCGTGCCTGAACTACTGTTGCGGACGTTCCCTTGGCAACGTCTTCTCCGCGTCCTTCTCGCCGACTTTCTCTTTGTTCATTCCATCACCTGTGACACCAGATCATACTTGCGTCTGCACCAGCGTACCTCTCATCGTCGACCACTTAGCTACCTCCGGCTCGTCTCAACGTCGATCAGCAGGCGTGACCACCAAACCCATACACACTCATTGTCGTAATCATCGATACGCTCAGGGCAACAAGGCGTAGTGGAGACGCATTCATCTCGGCTCGTCGCTGCCTCTGACGCCTTGGTAATCGTCTGAGCACAGCATCGCCATCGTCAAGCTTCGGCAACACCATCTGGGATCTCGACACGCAAAGCTCGACGGGCCATGTCCGCCCTGCAGGCATCTGAGTCCAAGCGGTGAGCCACATCTCTCCGGACTGCTTCAGACTAGTCGATATCGGGCGGTGACGTTGGCTCTCACGCAATGCCTTGGTTGTCTGCTTCCAACGCGGACGCCCTGGGCGGCGAGCCATCGCGTGTGGCAAGCCAAGTCGTTCAACTCCTTCGCGGGCCCAGTCAGCCGTCCGACTTTCCCGCCTCGATCGTCTTCGGCCTCTCCTCGACCAATGCCACTGCACAACGCGCAGCCATTGCCGAGCTACGTTCCTACATCCATCGCCTCTTCTTTCTTGACTTGAAACCCTACTTTTTCATCTCGAGCGTCGCCTCCGCTGGCATCATCGCGCTTCTCATTGTCATCGGCTTTCCCGTCGTTCTGCATCGTCTCTTCCACGGACGACTTTATCCATTCCGTCTTGAACGACGAGCGCAAGGGTCATATCTGGTTCCGAATGCCATCAACTGCTTTCTGTTGCTCGAAGGTGTCTATGGCATCCTCACTGTTGCCTACAATTTCGTTGTCTGGCAACTGTTCAGCAACCACCACCAGTCGTATATGAACATCTGGCAAGCGAGCAGGAGTCTGATTTGGATCCCCTTGTACATGGGCGCTTTTTTGACGGGATGGGGAAGCTTCTACACGGCGCCGGGAGCGTTGGATAAGCCTACTGCAGCGGCGAGTAGGCTGAGCGGTAGAGGGAGGATGCCTTGGCCGGTGATTGTCAATCTGGCGTGTTGGGGTGTGCCGGTGGCGCTGATCGTTTCGTTGTTGCCGCCGGTGTGTCTCAGTTCGGTCAAGATGGTGGATACATACCATGCATATCAGGATTGGGATCGGAGGCTGGAGGCGTTGTTGAATCGGACCGCGGTCGGATCGCTGGTGGATCAGGCGATGGTGAACGACTACCGGTCGCAGGCGTATGCAATTTTTACGGGCTGGACGAGATCGTATTACTATGTGGACATCGCCTACTTGCTGTGGGGGGTCTGGGCCATATTGTTTTTGGTGTTCTACGTCCCGGCAGGCGGCGTACTCGTGTTTCTGTTGTATCGTCAGGTGACGAGACAGAAGGTGATCCTGCTCAGCTACCAACGCAAGCTCGAGGAACAACTCGCGCACGAGGAGAGACAGACGCACGTCACCGTGCTCAGCGGCGAGCACGCAAGGTTGGGCCGTCCGCAGAACGGTTGGACTCCACCCAACGCAACCTCGCGCATCGGTGCGCCACTGGAGGATATCTACGAGGACCACGGTGCATCGGATGACAGCAGAGGCACAGGCCGAAGCGGCGGCAAGAATGGTCACGATGCCATCGGTCTCGAATCGGCGTTGAGGCAGGAACCTCCGGCATCGCATCAAGTCCACGGTGCACGAACTCCCGGTGCTGGACAGGTGACATCTTTGGCTGAAGAGGCTGAGGCCACAGCGCCAGCCGTGATCCCCGTACCGCCGAGACGGCCATCGACATTTCGAAAGCTGATGAAGCTGGAAACCGGGACCTCGACTCGGTCCACGAAACGCAAGCGCATCTCGATCACGGGTGGTCCCATGTCCAGATACAGGTATCTGCGAAGGTGTTTGGTCAACCTTCTCATTCTGTACTTCGGCATCATCTCGGCTGCCTGCTTCTTCGGTGCTATCACGATCTTTCTGGCAGCGGTCGAGTACGAGCACGCACTGAAGGGTCCAGATGAGATCACCAAGCCGATCGGAATTGCACAAGCAACAGTCGCCTGGGTGTCCGCCGTGTTCGGTTTCCTGACGATCGGTTCGATCATCTTCCGCAACTTTGACAACCCTGAACCGGAAGCAAGTCAGAACAGCGGTGAAGGCGGTGGAATAAGGCGAAGGTTCGTCAGGAACACGTCCAAGACGCAAGGATCTGCTTCCGGTGGAGCGGGGGAGCAGGGGGCGGTTGCGGTGGAGCATGAGAAGACGAGGACGTTGCCTGCGGTGCCGGAGAGCGTAGATTTGGAGGCATCGATGATGTCGGGAGTACAGTCGAGGCCGAACATGGCGATGAATACGGCGATGAAATTCTCCATGGCGGAGCAGACGAGTCGACCGGGAGGGTTCGTGATCCGCCCGGACGACCAATTAGCGTCAATGATGTCCGCCGAGGAGACGTCGAGGAGCGGCCATTTCGAGTCCGTCGGGAGAATGGCGGATAAGAGCAGAGTGGGAGTGCTCCGAGCACCACCAGCGACACGCGCGTGGATCGGGAGGGAGAGGGAGGCGACCATGTCGATTCCCCAGGACGTGACTGAATCGTTCGGCGTGGGGTCGTTGCCTATGATCGCGGTCGGATCGCATCAATCCGGCGAGAGGTTCGAGACGGGAGATACGACCCTCAAGGAGTACCCGTCGTTCGACCCGCATGTGCTAAAGGCGCAGCCGGAGGCGGGGGCCAAAGAGGAGGAAGAGGCGGCGCCTCGTTCGCCAGTGCTGAAGAGATCGTCCAAGCGGGCGGACAGCGTGGGCATGGAGACTCCGGCGAAACGCATCGCGAGGGAGTGGGCGCAGACCCAGTACATGGCTCAGCCGCTTCCGCAGACACCGCAGACACCGCCGACGGCAGTCGAGCAGGCCGAGTTGGCCAGAACCGCGGACGGAACACCAAGAAGACCAGCACGAGACGCAAGGAGGGCGTTCGGAAGCCCCACGTCGGACAACAGCGAGCTGTGGGGTTGAACAGACATATACCATTCGCTAGCAATACTATCCACACTTTCCTTTGCACCCTTGCGAGCGATCCTGTCGTGCTTTCTGTAACCGTGTGGACAACGTGATCGTGCAACTCTCTGAGCGTTTCCCTTCTTCCAACTTTGCGGGTCAGGTTCAGTAGAGAGAGAGAGATACCATTCGCTAACAGTACAGACACACTTGTCTTTGCACCTTTGCGAGCGATCCTGTCGTGCATGCTGTAACCGTGTGGACAACGGGATCGTGCAACTTTCTGAGCGGGTTTTCTCTCAAATGTGCGGGACAGGTTCAGTAGGATACCATTCGCTAGCAGTACAAACACACTTTTTTTACACTTTGCCGAGCAACCTTGTTGTGCGCCCAGTGTTAGTGGGTTGGGCAGCATGACGTCGGAAGAGTGGCAGCGTTTTCCTTCTCTCGATTGTGTGAAATTCCGTAGAGACACACACCACTCGCTAGCAATACAACCGCACAATCATTTCCAAAAGGAGTTCTCGTCGTGCACTGAGCTCAACGATGGTGCCGGACACCGTGACAGTGATGACGACGATAAGCAGCCAGCGTGCGCGCGATGTAGCTTGCACCTACAGCACGAGATTCACAGTTTCTCGCAAATTGTGTTCTGTTTCCCTTCTCTCAGTGTGCGATGGAGAGGTCAGCTTGTCCGGAGATCGTAACTTATGCGACTCTGGTGGCCTTCCGAGGTGCGAATTGGTACGAAGCCTTTTGCTGCTGCGGACCGGATTGCCTGGCTTGTGTTTTGGCTGTGTCGACACTGGCGACCGAACAGCGTGGTTGGAATGCCAAGGCAGGAGGAGCAGCCGGCCGATACACGCGCTCGAGAAGGACGGTTGGCGCGGGATTTCCGACGCGGAGGGGTCGAACATTCGCCCGTGACTGGCTGGACGGCCGGGCGATCAAAGCTTCTTATCAGATCCGCGGACCAACCCTCCCTCTATCCTCTAGTAGTTTTGATGATGCTCCGTCAGTCAGTCGAGGCGAACTCGTAGGAGAAGATGTCAAGGTTGGTTGCGATGTGCGCTTGTAAGTGTGCAACCAGCGGACCATAGGATGACTCGATTCCGACCACGCTCTTTCAATGCAGGATGCCGACAGCCGCATGTCTATGTCTTGATACCGCCGGAAAAGCTCAGACTGCTGTACAGCATCTCAGATCGAGCTGAGCAAGTAAGGGCTTTGCCAGTCGGGGATACCGACCGAGCCTGCGGTTCTGCTGTAGCTATGATTTTATCTGATAAACTTTTGTCCCCAAAAGTTGAGCCGCGGTGCCCGCGCTGGCTGCAAGCGAGGTCGAACAGTCTTAAAAGTTTAGCCCCCACTTCGGCCGCAATTTGACTTCGACACGTACCCGGCAACGCATTCCTGTTCCCGCTTTCTCCTCTAGCTCCGCGGACAGCCCCGAATACTTTGCTTCTCTCTCACCGAAGTATAAGAGCCGGTCCACGAACCGAGCGAAGTCGTTTGCTCCACCGAGGAAGCACCCCGTTCCTCCGACTCAGCGATTCTCTTTGCGCTGCTGTAGATGCATGTAACCCGACACCTCTTGCTCGCACTCATCCCCCTCATCTGCTCGATCCTCTTCTACCGCCATTCACAGATGAACATTGCCGCCAAAATGACCATCAATCAACAACGCACCATCGCTGTCGTAGGCGGCTCCTACGTCGGCATGAACCTCGCCAAGAACCTCCTCCCCTCGCTCCCCGCCTCGCACCGCGTCGTCGTGGTCGAAGCAAACTCGCACTTCAACCATCTCTTCACCTTCCCTCGCTTCGCAGTGCTGCATCGAGGTGGAGAGGAAAAGGCACTCATCCCCTACACGCACGCTCTGGATACCACGGGTGGTCAGGGCAAGATTTTGCACGCCAAAGCGGTTTCCATCCATGCTAGCGACGATGATGAGGGTAGAGGCTGGTTGAAACTGGACCGAAGTACAGAGGAAGGTGACAGGCTCGAGTTTGACTACCTGGCCATCGCGACGGGAACGCAGTTGCAACGACCCTGGTCTCTGCCTTCGAAGCAGCCGGATGCAGCGATTGCGAAACGCCAAGCGGTGGAGACGCTCCAAAGCTATCAGGATGCCGTCAAGCAGGCGCAGAAGATCGTCATTGTCGGAGGTGGAGCGGTTGGCGTCCAGGTGGCATGCGATATCGCGGAACTCTACCCTGGCGAGAAAAGCATCACGCTGCTGCACAGCAGGGATCGAGTCATGAACAAGTTCCACTCCGATCTGCATGACATCGTCTCCCAGCGCTTCCAGCAACGCGGTGTTTCCACCATCCTCGGCAGCAGAGTCGTGATCCCTGCTTCGGGAAGCTTCCCCAACTTCGTACCCGGTCAAACATTCAACGTGGAGCTTCAGAACGGCTCATCCGTGCAAGCCGATCTGGTGCTCATGTGCACTGGACAAACACCCCGATCCGACCTGCTCTCCACCTTCTCCCCGCAGTCTATCAACAAGGACGGCTTCATCAACGTCCACCCCACCCTCCAAATCTCCTCCCCCACACCCCACCCTCTGCTGCACAACATGTTCGCATTGGGCGACATCGCCGACTCGGGTGCATCCAAAACCGTCCGCGCCGCCTTCGGTCAAATCGAAATCGTCAAATCCAACATCCTCTCGCTCATCAATAAAGAGGAAAAGCTCAAAGAGTTTGCTTCCGGCCCATCGGGGATTCATCTCAGCTTGGGTCTGTACGAGAGCATCAAGTTCGGTAACCCGGCTAAGGAAGGAGACAGGCCGATGAACAAGGGTATCGAGAGGGATCTCAGTTTGGACATGGGTATCGAGGGCGTTTGGAGGAGGTGGAATGTTCCAGAGGGTACGCCTTGGCATCTGTAGGGATTAGCAATGCAAAGTAACGGTCCGCAGCAACTACCGTCGTAGACTTTTCGAATGTGTTATCTGAGATTGTGTTTTTGCCATTGCATAGAGAGCCTCGTAAAGAAGTCGAGAATTAGCTCTGAAGATCAACAATCCATCTCTTGAATTCATCCAATCCACCGCTCGCGAAAACCTTCTTGTCCGCCTCATCTTGCTTCTCCTGCGCTTCGTCCGACTTGTGAGACCACGATCTGTCCTTCCCAACGCTAGCGAGCGCAAACTCGACCTTGCCGCCAAACACCACGTGGTCGTCCAGCTTCTCCAAGCTGAAGCTCGCCCCGCCAACTGCTGCATCGCTCGAATCCACCGCGCGCTGGCTGGCAGCCCAATCGATGTAATCCACCACCTCGTCTTCCTCCTCCTCCTCTTCCGCGTCATTTGCATCTGCTGAGCCGCTGGATCCGCCGTCGCCTCCGAGCCCCAATGCTCGCTTGATCCAGCCGAACACACCATCTGCACCGCCAGTCGCACCGGGATCAGCGTCGGCCACCTTGCCCAATCCGGCGATCTTGACGTTTCCTCCCGCTCCACCGCCCGCGCGTCTTCTACCGAACCCCATGTTTGCACGTCGCTGACCGAGTTCCGCTTCGAGTGTGGTTTTGCATCGCGAGAGCAGCTGCGCACGACGCTTTTCGTCCTTGATCGCGTCGGTTCCGGCTGCGCTCCCGCCGAGCAGAGGGGAGAGGTCGGCACGGGTGAACAGGACGAGCACGGATGGCGGTGCCGTGTTGGTCGAGGATTTCGCTCGTTGTTTTGCGAGCGCTGTGAGTGTGGAGTGCATTAGATCGGCAACGTCGGTGATGGTTGCGGCATCTCCAGGACGGGAGGTGGAAGAGGAAGCTTTGGACGCCGTGACAGCATCGACGCAGACGACGAGTCCGTCTGCTTGATGCAGATGCTCGTCTACCAAAGGTCGCAATCGGGGGTGTCCCGGCAAGTCTACCAATGTCACTGGCTTCATCTTTTCCTCCTGCAGAGTAGGAGCAGCTACTACACCCTGCGACATTGTCTGCGAAGGTAGGGTCGATGGCGTGGTGCCGTACACGAGCGAAGAGAAGAGCGACGTCTTGCCCGTATCGCTCAATCCGACAAGCACCACTGTGGACGGTCGATTGTGCGATCGCTTGGTCGTATACTCGGATTCGGATGAGAGGGATGCCAGGTGGGGAGCGTTGACCTTGGCCGATGCTTTTGATAGAGTGTATGTGAGGACGACAGCAAGAAGCGTCGCGGGGACAATGACAAAGTATTGAGGAGGGATGCCAGAGTCTTTGAGTGGTTGTGGGAGGTGAGAAGCGACAGCATCGGGCCAGCGCACGGCTGGTGCGACGAATGCCATGACTGTCGGGTGTTCAGAGGGGCGATGTAGGATGGTAGAAGAAGTAAAGGGCGAGAGAATGTTATTGAGGTGTTGGTCTGTCCGCACGATCAAGAGCAAATGACACGGAAGTCGGACTGTGGAAGTTGGTCAGCACTTGTCAGCCGACTTGCTGTGGAGCAGAAGGAAACGCGAGACAGGCTCTGCAATGGCATAATTTACAGAGGGAAATTGTGCGGGTCGATCACCCGAGCCAGGGAAACTGCGCTTGCGAAAGCGCCTTACGCAGTCTGAGCCTGCAACGCGTTCTCACAGCTGTTACTTTGGCAGAGGCTCGAGCACGCTCCACTTTTCGAGAAGAGCCTTCTTTACGACTCTTCATCAACTTTCCGCTGCGCTTTCGTCCCTGTCTCTCACTTCTTCATCAGGGCAATTATCCTATCAGTACACTCGCAGAAACACACTGGAGAAGCTTCGACCTTTGCTACGCATTCAACTCGAATCCGAGTCTCAGCAAGTCCGTCTCCTACAGATCACCAGCTTGACTTTCATCCCAAGCGGCAGGATTCGCCAACGGCAACCATGTTCCGCAATACCTACGACAGCGACAACACCGTCTTCTCGCCACAAGGCCGACTCCATCAGGTCGAATATGCGCTCGAAGCCGTCAAGCAAGGGTCGGCCGTCGTCGGTCTCCGCAGCAAAACACACGCCATCCTCGTCGCCCTCAAACGAGCACCTTCAGAGCTCGCCTCGTACCAGAAGAAGATGCTGCGTATCGACAACCACCTGGGCATTGGATTCGCTGGTCTCACCTCGGACGCACGTGTCCTCTCTACGTACATGCGACAGCTCGCGCTCTCGTCTCGTCTGGTCTACGACCGTCCCCTGCCCATCTCTCGCGTCGTAGACTCGCTCGCAGACCGAGCGCAGTTCAACACCATGGACTACGGAAAACGCCCCTACGGTGTCGGTTTCCTCATCATCGGCGTCGATTCCACGGGCCCGCATCTGTACGAGTTCACGCCGACGGCCAACTGCTTCGAGTACTACGCCATGTCCATCGGCGCCCGTTCCCAGTCCGCAAAGACGTACCTCGAGCGCAAGTATTCCGAGTTCACCGAGGCGAGCCTGGACGATCTCGTGCTGCATGGTCTGTATGCGCTGAGGGACACGCTCCCGCAGAACAAGGATTTGGAGCTCGACCAGGTCAGCGTCGCCGTCGTCGGTCCAGGGGCGGATGCAGACGTCAACTCGCCAGAGGCGAGGAGAGGTGAGAAGTTCAGGGTGGTCGAGGGCGAGGAATTGAGACCGTACATGGACAGGTTGGAGCCCAAGACGTTGCCAGGTGCCAGGGCGACAGCGGCAAGCACCGAGACTGCCGAGGGAGAGGCTCCGGCTGATGCACCGGCTGCTGGCGGCGAGGCACCGATGGAGGATTAGACGAGCAGAAGCCGTATGCTTTTCCAATGTTATTGATCTCAAAATATGGTGTTGTTTCACGTAGAGCATGACGTCTCTGCCTGGACAGCAAGATCGGGTGCGATGAATGTGGGCATCGCTTTGCGTGACTGCGACGGCTCAGCGGATCTCATTGAGCGAGACTGAATCGGTTGGCAATCTGCAGCGACGGTCTGCTTCACACTGAATAACAAAAACAGCGTTGAGTGGGGTGGCGTGGTGATTCGAACAAGTAGAGAAGCGAGCATCGAAACGTCTGGCTCGAGCATCACATCGGAAGGAGACCTGAAGGAAATGTACTTTACAAGAGCGTAAGCAGCGACAGTCATTCTTTTCTCCTCGTCGGCCAATCGAACAACAACATCGATCAGCAATTCGGAAGCTGATTTAGTATCCCGACCCCTGCTTCTTGGCCGTCTCGTTGGCCCAGTAGCCCTGACCGCCGATCAGGCCGAGCACGCCGACGGTGATGGCGCTGATCAGACGACGGTCGGTGCGCTGGACCTGCTCTTTGTGGGTGTACGCGTAGATGCCGAGACCGCCGAGGAGTGCGACGTTGACGGCAGCCAGGGTGGGACCCCACTGCTTGGGATCGGACGAGAACGACTGCCAGAAGCTCTCGAGCTCCTTCTCGGCCTCACCGGCCTTCTTCTTGAGCGCCTTTGCGCCCTCCTCACCCCTCTTCCTCAACACCTCGGCGTCCTTGGAGAGCTCCTTCTTGCCCTTCTCGTAGTACTCTCCGGCCTTCTGGCTGGCTTTTTCAGCTTCGGCGCGTGCGTTCTTGGCAAACTTGTCGGCTTCGGCGCTGGCATCCTTGCTGAACTTGTCGGCCTTGTCGGCAGCGTCTTTACCGACTTTCGAGGCTTCGTTGGCAAAGTCCTTTCCAGCCTTCTTGGCGTCCTCAGCAGCATCCTTTCCAGCCTTCTTGGCATCGTTGGCCGTCTTCTGTGCGGAATCGGAGGCCTTCTTGGCATCGGCTTCGAGCTGCTTGCGCTGCTCGCGCGCCTTTGCAACGGCTTCGTCGTAGGCTTCTTGGGATTCGGTCTTGAGGTGTTCGAGGTCAGTGTCGGCGGGAACGACGTTGACCTTGCCCGAGTTGACGTCGGGAGCGGCGGTGTTGACGTCGTCGCTGGCAGTCTGACCTTCGAGGTAGCCGGGGTCGGGCTTGGGCTGCTGCGACTTGGGCGGCGCGTTTTCGGCTGCGATGGATGCGTACGACATGGCGAATGCTGCTTGTTCTGTCAACGAGGGTGTGAGCCGATGTTGTGGATCGTAGGAGACAGAAGTTATACGGAGACGGTGATTTGAACAAGAGCCGAGTGGATGGGAGGTGAGAAAGATAAGAAGGTGAGTATCGAGGATGGAAATTGGCCATCAGCGATCGGAATGGTGACACTATTGCTTTATTCCTCCTTCGGGAAGGCCTTTCTTTCTGTGCGACCCGCAGGGCCACCAACCACAAACTCCTCCACACACACAGACACAGGCACGCAGAACATACTGTAGGCTGTGAATTATCGCGCAGCACCCGTCAGCTGCATCGGATTCGGCAAATGCGAGGTGACTGACTGCATTTCGTGTCTATACATAGCAGCAGCACGGGCCGACTGCTCGTTGCAGAAAGCGCAGCCTAGCCAGCACATGTGCGTCATCTGGCGCCAATTCTCGGAATGCCTTCTGTCTTGACGCGCCCTCTCTTCCACTCCCCTCTCTGCCGCACCAAAAATAAGTCGAGAAAATCCAGCCAAAAGTCCATTTTTGGAAATGGATTCGCAGCTGCCAAGACGGTACAGAATTCGAGCCAATCGATCGGGCGGTGCACCGGGCGATGGATCAGCCGATTTACGTTAAACCCTTTCCGAACATCAAGTTGGGATTTTGAGTTTGCTCAGCTGCACCGAAACCTTCTCACTCTCCATCTTTCCCACACCACAACGTCTACCGCGGATCGTCACGGCCGCGCGACAGGCTCCACTCAAAGCGATTCGACAGCGCTGACCGTGACCAGCAGTCAATCTTTGTCCTCCTGCAGGCCAGGCAAAGGCGGCAATCACAACACAAGGGTGAGCACTCGATCCCTGGCTGCTTTCGTCAAATCTGGTCCCTCTCAGAGTCAGCGTCATTGCTCACAACATCATGTCCGAGTTTCAGAAGGAAGAGCTCTCGCTCGAAGAGACCAACAAGCTTCGTATATCTCTCGGTCTCAAGCCTTTGGTCGCCGATGATGCACCTGCTCCTGCCAGCGGTAGCGGCGCGACCTCAGCACCCAAGCTGGATGGAGATGCGCTCGCCGCGAAAAACTTCCAGGATAAGCAGGAGCGTGAGCGCAGAGAGCGCGAGGATGAAGATGTCAAGGAACGCTTAGCGAAGGCGCAGGCGAAACGCGATGCTGCACGACGACTCAAAGGTCCCACGCTAGGTGATCTGGATGCAACCGCTTCGGCATCCGCATCAACGTCGAAAGACACGCTCGCCTGGCTCAAGGAATCCAAGAAGCGTGCAAAGGAGCATGCCGCTCGCAGAGCCAAGGAGCTTGAAGAGCAAGAGGCACGTCAACAAGCGCAGTATCGCGAGTCGGATCTCGCCGGGCTCCGCGTCGGTCACGATGCCGACGAATTCGGCGAGGGCGAGGAGCGCATCCTGACGCTCAGAGATGCCGGTGTACTCGACGGAGCCGATGATGAGCTCATGGATGCTGCGCTAGATCAAGCTCAACGCGATGCCAAGAACATAGAGCGCAAGAAGGGCGCAAAACAGTACACCGGATTGGACGAGGAAGAGGCGCTCACCGGGAAGAAAGCCGGTGTCTTGTCAAAATACGACGCCGACCTACCAGATGGAGGCATCGCTTCCGCTGAAGATGCTGGTTTCCGCTTGGGCGCCAACCTCTCCGCTGCCGACCGCCAAGCACAACTCCGGCAGGAAGCTGAACACGCAGCCAGACTCGCCAACAAGCAACTTCTCTCGCTCGACTACGAAAAGAACCAGGAGGTGTCGGACTATCTGCAGGAAGGCGATGTCGGGTTCAAAAAGCCAAAGATCAAGAAGCGGAAGAAGGCAGCAAAGGTCAAGATCAGCTTTGACGATGACGACGAGACTGCCGAACCCGGCTCCAGCGCTGCAACAGCGACTGCCACTGCATCGAAACCGGATGACCTGCCGGACGTCGACATGCAAGATGCTAACGCTTCGACGAGATCTCGTCAGCAAACGGACAACTTTGTCGACGACGATGAATTGCAGGCTTCGCTCGCAAAGTCGCGGCGTATGAAAGCGAAACGGACATTCAACAAGATGACGCCGGAAATGATCGCCAAGAATTTGGCTGCACAGCGAGCCGCTGAAGAGGCGGAGCGGAGGTCGGGTACGGCTACTCCTGGTGTGGCGAATGGCTCGGCGGCTGCGAATGGGGACGCGGGGAGGGACGGAGGCGGTCTCACGTTTGACGAGACGAGCGAGTTTGTTCGAGCGATCAGAGAACGCCCGGCACAGAGCGAAGAGCCAAGGAGGCAGCGCTCTGTTAAGCGGGAATCGGTGGAAGGTGAGCTGGATGCTCATGCAGATGTCAAGAGGGAGGGTTCAGTCGATGCTCTCGCTGCCGATGTGCCAATGAGCGAGCTCGATACAACAGCAGTCAAGACCGAAGCAGACGACGATGTCGACTTGGGTCAGATCAAAGACGAGCTAGAGGAGGGCGAGGCACTGGATCCCGTCAAAGTGGAAACCGAGGCATCTGCGGCCGAAGCAGATGAACACGAGCCAGTGATCGGTCGCGGCATGGCGGGCACGCTGAGCTTCCTGCGCCAGCAAGGCATGCTCCCGCAAGCCGACCCCTCGCTCGCCTCGCGCGAACAGCAACAGCGACAGTACGACGCCTGGCTCTCGGCGCGACGACTCGAGGAGCAGTCGCGCGAACTCGCGCGCCAAGCCTCCAAGGCGTCCGGCTCGTCGCTCGACCAAGCCACACGCGAAGCCGCCAACCGCAATCGCGAGCTGGACGAAGCGCGTCTCGCGCAAGATCGATTCCGCGACTACAAGCCGGATGTCGAGATAAAGTACCACGACGAGTTCGGAAGGGATCTGGATCAGAAGGAGGCGTGGAAGCACCTGTCGCACGTCTTCCACGGCAAGAAGCCGGGGACGAAGAAGCAGGAAAAGCGGTTGAGGAAGATCGAGGAGGAGCAGAAGAGGGAGAGGATGGCAGCGGGAGATACGCCCATGGGCATGGGCAAGGCGTTCAGGGAGAGGAGCGAGAGGATGGGCAAGAGCGGCATGGTGTTGAGCGTCGGGAGCAGGGGTGCGGTTCCGTTGGAGAATGATCTGCTGGGTGGAGAGGGCGAGATGAAGTTGAGCAAGACCAAGGGCAAGGAGACCAGTGGGAAAGCGAGGAAGAAGGTGGATGGAGGGGAGCTGGTGGGGGTCTTGTCGGAAGGAGCAAGTGTGGTGGCGAGTGGGGATGCGTCTGGAAGCGCGAGTGTGACGCAGGGAGGTGGTGGATGGGCGAGGATCGGAAGTGCTACGCCAGCGCCGGCGGGGAACGGAGCTTCGACGGCGGAGGTTTCTGGAGCAAGTGCTGGGTTCAAGCCGGTATCTGCAGCTGGCTTTACCAGCATCTCTCGAGATTCGCCGGCGGCAGGGGAAGGTGGTGCAGACGCGGCTGGACGTGCTAACACACCGTCCAGTGTACCCTTCCGGCTGGCTTTCAGCGAAGTCAAACGTAAAGCTGAAGGTCAATGATGCGGTATTGGTGGAGCAATGTATTTGTATCCGTAATCAGTTACAGCGTGTCTGTGGTCTAGCGTAGCAGAGCCGATGATTCCGTGTCTCCTGCACGGTTGGACCTTGAGCTGCCACTTTCAGCAGCACCATATCCAGCATCTTGCTCTCCTTCCTCCTCATCATCTTCTACCTCTACCGCCTCTCTCTGAACCTCCCTCTCCGGTTCCTTATCACCATACAACACGTAATGCTGCCAACAGAGCACTGCGTCGAAAGCGATGCTCAGAGCGCCTAGAGCGAGTTTTCCCCAATCTCCCGTCACACCCTGCCAACTGCCTTGGATCCAGACGGAATCGATGAAGAGTTGGGCTAGACTGAGCACACCACCGGTTAGGTCGAGGAGGATGTTTTCGATGGCGAAACCTTTGGTACTTTTTCTGTCCTTGTTGAGTTTGATTTGGGGTAGGTATTTTGTGAGGGTGATGAAGAGTTTGATGGAAGAAGCAAAGTCGACGATGTTGAGCCAGGAGACGAGTTTCAAGCGTCTCGCACCTAGGGCGAATACCGTCAGCGTCAGCACCAACGCCAGCGAAAGCGAGACGGTTCGAGAAAGATGCTGGTTCGGTTTCCTATACCAGAGGTACTGAGCTAGGGTGAACAGCGCAAGAATCGTCGCGTGAAGGGAAAAGATAAAGTCGTTCAGCTGAACTACCGAATCCCTCCCACCATGTGCGTGGCGATAGGCCCGTCGGACAGGCTCATAGTAAAACAGCAAGAAGTTGTACACGAAGTACGAAGTGTGCCCGACAGCATTGAGAAAGACAAAGTCGGTAGAGAGACCGATGGTAGAGCGATGGGTGTAGTTGTGAATCACCTGCGGGTAGAAGGACAGCGACCAGGAGACGGTGTATATCCAACCCAGAAGATGGGAGAGGTTGGTGAGGATGCGGGAGGGATGGTCCGAGAGGACCACTGCGGAGCGCGCGATGAGGGTGTGCGAGATGACTCCCATCTTGAAAAGCTTGTTCTAGTGGCGAGGATGGATGGGGGTCGAGAAGAAGAAGAAGGGAACAATCATACCAAGAGTGGTTTTTGGCAGGATGGTGTAAGCCTCCGCCCAACCCGGCTATCATATGACAAAGTCAGAAATGTCACCATCGGCAATTGATAAACGAGAGCGCCAAAGCCCGACGGAAATTCGCAACAGCACGTCACAAAGCGCGCCTGAATCGTCTTTCTGGATTTTTGTTCCGTTCCTTCTCAGGGTTCAGGCTGGCGAAGATCGCTTCGTGTGCGCCCTTTTGTGAGTCGAAAAGCACAACGCTGGAACACACGCACACTCTCAAGGCTTTGCATCCCTTGACACATCGATCAATGGGTGCTACGACAGGCAGAGTAGGCTGAGTGGACAATAACCATGAACGAAGCGGAAGGAGAGAGAGGGAGTAGGGGCTAGAAGTACAAAGGGTGAAACTGACCAGGAGAGAGACGTAACCCAGCTTGTTCTGGCGCACAAGTGGTTTTGAGTGTCGACGTGTTCGGCCACCTCAAAAGAGCGTATCTTCATCTCTCAGATACTCTCCCACATCCGCCTGATGAAAGACGATGATACTCGTCGGGTCCTGCTTCCTCGTATCCACCGTACTCCTTGCCGTCACACCGAAACCCAACGGTGTGCCACTCATCGCCAGCACCACCACGCCCGCATGTTCCGGCGTATCATCCGTGATCCTACCCAGATGCGCCTTGACTACATGGTTACCGTACAGGAACGGCAGCTCTCCATTCGGTTTGATCCACACCTTGTACTTGGCGTGCTGTGCGAGGTAGTCGAGCGATGTTACGTGGAGACGGAATTTACCCGTCTTGCTGAACTTGCCGAAACACGTTCCGAGAGACATGAGGTTGGGTCGTGCGATCGAGATGGCGAGACGCATCGAGGATTCCGAGACGTAGTAGACACGATCGCGGTGGAGGCGAAAGACGTGCGGGTCGTCGGGACGGTCGATGAGGTTGACGAGGTTCTTGCCGATGTAGTTGGCGAGCTTCTCGAAGAGCGTCTTCGTCTCTTCTTCTGTGAGAGGTCGCATTGTGTCTGAAGGGGAGAGAGCAGTCCAGCTGCTGGTCGAGGAGGGTTGGTGTCTTTGCTAGGAAGATGGTCGAGTCTGCTACTTGGTGAGCGTTGAAGGAGCCCGATTCGGAATTGTAGTGAGAGAACAAGCGATACAGACACCGCTTGAGGTACGACGATTGAAGGATGCAGCTGTTCAGCAGGGCAGTCGGTGATGATGGTGTCGAGGATGACAGCCAGGAAGGGAGCAACCACGAATAAAGTTCTTCTCAAGCCAACACAGTGCCGCCTCAAGAAGAAAAGACCAAGAAAAGAAAAAGTTTAAGCTCCACATTTCATCAATGCCCAAAAAAATCAATACAAATCCTTTCCTTCTCGAGGACCCTTTGATTACAACACTCTATTCCACCTGCTGCAGACACCCACATTCAAAATCACCAAAAAGAATCAAAATTTCCTTCCCTCTCTCTCTCTCTCTCTCTCCGAACTCAGCCTTGCCCTCTGATCCCTCAACACCATCACCCTCTGGACCATCTCATACGCTCACCTCACAGCTCCTCTACCATGGCACGCACATCTCGCACCGGTGGATCATCGTCCACCAGCGCAAAGGGCGGTCGTTCCGGCGGCCGTCGAGGTGGCGCCAACACAAGCTCTTCCACACCTTTCTCTTCAGCAGCCTACTCTTCAAGTGCCAAGTCCCGACGCACCCCTCGATCATCCAAATCCGCCGCAGCCACAGCACCCAGTGGACTTCACGATGTATACGACTTTGCCCAGGCCTCGACCGCGTCCCAATCCAAACCGGGCAGAGGCGCTCGCCGCGCGCTAGCCGGCATGAACGCGGACGACTATGCGGATTTGCCCTCCAAGGCGAAAGGCAAGCAGGCAAGGCGTCGTGCAGATGATGACGACGATGATGACGGAGACGACAATGAGGATGATAGCGACGATGCCGATGCCGGGCCGATCGGGCCGAAAGTGTTTGACTCGGACGACGAGCTGAACGGTAGCATTCAGGGAAGCGACGAGGAGTTGGATTCCGACGAGGCGTTTGGCGAGAGCGACGAGGAAAAGTTTGAAGGTTGGACGTTTGGTAGAGGTGCCAAGCAGAGCAAGCGCAGCAAAGGTGATTCCGATGATGATGATGAAGAGCAAGACGAGGAAGACGAAGAGGCCGAGGGAGACGATGGCGGAATGATGGATCTCTCACGCATGCTCGACTCTGCCTCGGACTCCTCTGATGACGGCAATGATGACGACAACGACGTTTCAGAAGACGACGGGAACGATCAGAGCAGCAACAAGCTTGCCAAGCACATCGAATCCTTCGCCGCCGCCGGATCCAAACGCACAGCAACCTCCACCTCGGACGATGAACACAATTCGGATGCACAACCTTCCTCAAAACGTTCGCGCCGCATCCTCTCCGAACGCACCGAAGCCATCCCTGAAACCGAGTTCGCAGCCGCCCACTCTGGGTCCACGCTCCGTCTTGAAGATTTCCTCAGCCCGCTCTCGTCCAACATCGACTTTGCCGACGTGCGCAAATCCACCAAGCTTCTTTCCAACTCGAGCTCCCAATCCACCTCTGCCGCCCCCACCGCGTCCAAAAAGGGAGGAGGTGCTCTCTCCGCCCCGCTCCCCTCCGTCCTCCAAGACCGACTCGACCGCCAAGGAGCCTACTCGATCACCCGCGACGAAGTTCAAGGCTGGCAACCAACCATCAACCGTCTTCGCGATGCCGAACATCTCTCCTTCCCGCTCCAGAAACCCTCCGTCACCCCTGCCTCCACCTCCGGTCTCGTCGCCACCTTTACACCGGACAACGATATGGAGGCGTCCATCGCCGCCATGCTTACCGAGGGCGGATTGACGGAGAAGCAGCTGGCGGCGCAGGAGGATCTGGCCATGAACAAGCTCGATCCATCCGAAGCCAGGGCAAGGCGCGATGAACTGCGCAGGATGAGGATGTTGATGTTCCGCGCAGAGCAAAAGGCGAAGCGCGTCAGCAAGATCAAGAGCAAGACGTACAGGAAGCTGCACAGGAAGGAGAAGGAGAGGCTGAAGGAACAGATGAAAGAGTTGGCCTCCGACGACGAGGACGAGGAGGACGACTTGGAAGAGAGGATGAAGCTCGAAAGGGATCGGGCTAGGGAGCGAGCCACGTTGAAGCACAAGAACACGAGCAAGTGGGCCAAGAACATCTTGGCAGGGAGACACGGAGAGCACAACCAGGAGGCCAGGAACGAGATCGATGCGCAGTTGCGCAGGGGCGCTGAACTCAGAAGCAAGATCCAGGGCAGGGAGGTCGGCGACGATTCGGATGATTCGGACGATGACGACTTTGACGAGCGAGCAGACGACGTGGATGACGAGCAGGTGGTGGGCGACGCATTCGACGAACTCGAGGCGTTGGAGGCCAAGGAAGAGGCCAAGCGTCGCAAGGACGAGGCCGAATTCGAGAAAGTGGGTGGCAAGAAGGGTGTGTACGGGATGAAGTTCATGAAGGATGCGAGGGAGAGGCAGTATGCAAAGATCAGGGGGGATGTGGATGACTTCGTTACAGAGATGCGAGATCTCGGTGCTGAAGACGAGGAGGAGCGGGACGACGGAGAGCCGGTGGTCGCTAGGAAGGGTCAGAGTGAAGGCGCGAGCTCGGTGTACGTTCAGGGCAACAAGGGCAGGGCGATGTACGGCACCACTGCGTCGTCCAGCGTCACCCCTGCTCCCACGGTCGAAAGCAAGAAACCCGCTCAAACGCAACACCACCCTTCCTCCTCCGCAGCCCCCGCTTCGCACAGCATCGAAGTCGCACCCACCCCAACCACCACCAAGAAACCCGCTACATCATCCAAGCCCCTCACCACCGCTTCACATGACGATGACGACGACGCCTCCAACCCCTGGCTCACCATCTCCTCCTCCGGCCACGCTTCCAAACTCTCGCGCAAGAACAACACTTCTTCGCACGATTCCTCCTCGGCATCCAAATCCCAGCTGCGGGCATCCAAAACCGCCTCGAAAGCCTCCGCTTCCAAAGCAGCAGTTCTTGCGGACGAGGCGCTGCACATTTCGCTGGATTCGCATCTCGCCGATGGCGAGTCGGACGATGAACAACCGAGCGAGATTGTTTCCAAGCGTCGTGCTAACGCGGGAATGACGGCGCTGGAGCAACGTGATTTGGTGTCAACCGCCTTTGCAGGGGATGATGTGGTTGCTGATTTCGCCGAGGAGAAGAGACGCGTGGTCGAAGAGGACTCGTCCAAGGTGGTGGATACCTCGCTGCCCGGGTGGGGCAGTTGGACTGGTCGGGGCATCAAATCTCGACCTTCTAACCCCAAGTTTCACCGCAAGATTCAAGGGATCGACGCCGGTCAACGGAAAGACGCCAAGATGGATAACGTGATCATCACGGAAAAGAGGGATAAGAAACAGGACAAATTCCGGGCAAAAGATCTACCCTATCCCTACACCAGTCTGGCTCAGTACCAAGCTGCCATGCAACAACCACTGGGGAAAGAGTGGAATACGAGGATAGAGACCAAACGGTTGAATTTGCCGAGGGTGCTCAAAACCCCAGGCAAGGTCATCGCCCCCGTCAGGAGGAAGTTCTAGTTGGCAGTGCAGTACATTCGGGAAAAAAAAAGCGATTTCTTATAGATCAACGGTTTGGTATTGTGTGTGTGTGGAAGCAGTACGAAGTGAGAGAGCTGGCGTGGTTGACAGACGAGCAAGATTCGGCGGACGCTTGCAGGAGTGTTATACTTGTGGATGATGCGCGGCAAAACGACGAAAGACATACAAGGTGCTAGGTGCAGAGGACTTTCTCTCAGTTCTAGGCCGTCGTGGGGTGTAGCCCTACCACAGGGCGGAAACGCAGCGAGTTCCAGGAAAGTATGATGCCTAACAGGTGAAAACGACGTTTGGCGATTGAACTGAATGAGGACTCTCTACACCTGACCATTCGACCCCTTCTTGACGATCCTCAACGGCCGTGTCTCGCCTGCTCCCACCTTCACGGCACTGTTCAACCCCAACCCACTCACACTCTTCCCGATTATCCCGTCGCCGCTCCCGCTACTCTCCTGCCTCCGACTCCTGCCCGCAAAGAACCTCGCCTGGCCCGACGTCGGCGGTCTCGGCCTATCCAACGCCGACACTCTCCCATCCTCCACCCCCAACTTCGGCGAGAACGACGGCATCGACGTCGAGTTGCCCATCATCGGAGTACGTGCGCCTTCCCTACCCGCCTCTTCGGCCGCCTCCTGTCGCATCCTCGCATAGTACCTCGCGATCGGGGTCGACGTTGTAGCCGAGCTCGAATCGTCCAGCGCCAACGCGTCCAGTCGAAGCGACGTATCTCGAGACGTGTTCGACCGTGCCGATGAAGACGATAGCTCCGAAAAGTGGCCGAGTGACGTCGAGGGTCGTTCGTACGCTTCTCCGCGTCCAGCCGTGGTAGAGAAAGCGAGGTACTCGGGCAGATCGATTGACGGCGTCACGCTCGGTCTGCGTTGATGAACCTTCTCCGCCTGCTCCTGCTTCTCCTCCGCCGCCTTTCTCGTAGGAGACGAAAGCAGTGCGCTCAACCTGCTCGAGCTAGCTCTCTTCCTAATCATGACCGGCAGCTTGCTCGGCGACGCCAACTTGGCCGGCTTGGCAGGTCTCGCCGGCTTCTCCGGCTCCACCTTCTTCGCCTCGAACGCAGCTACAACGCTGGCAGCCGCCACCCCCACATCCTCGGGAGATCCCGAAAACACCACCTCCCGATGTCGCACCATCACCTGCAATAGCGGCAACGAGATGCTGACCGTAGGCGCAAGCACCAGCGTCAGGTTGCTAATCGGCATCTTGGTGCTAGCCACCACCGACGGCTGCGCCAACATGCCCAGGTGGTCGGTCAGCTCGCGCAGGAGGTACCAGTTGTAGATCGGGAGCGGGCGCATCAACGGTCGCAGCTCGGAGGCCACTTTGTCCGAATCGAGTGCTGCCGCGCGTTCGTCGGTGATCTTGCCTCCGCCGCTCGTCGAATGTGCTTCCGCGCCAGCTCCGCTATCACCGTGGGACAGCAACCGCAACACCGCCTGGTCGAGCAGCCTACTCTGCGCTAGCGGAATCAGCGGTTCAGGCAGCTCTCGAAGGTAGCTCTTGAGCAAGCTGCAGACGGAATTGATGTCGAGATCGGCGGGGCTGATCTGGTCCAGAAGCAGATCGTTGCGCGGGTCGGAAAAGTGGAGACGCAGTTTCGACGTGTGACTGCTGCGACCGCTGATTCGGTAGATGCCTTCTTCGGACGGACCCCACTTTTCGAGGCTTTCGATGCAGCGTACAACCACGCGAGGCAGGTACAGATGACGCGCCTCTTCGCGACTGAGGGGCTCGTTGGGGGAAACGGCGACAGAGGCGCGGGGAGTGACGTGAGGCGATTCGAGAAAGTTGGCGCTGAATTGCTGGCCGAGATCAGGTACGCCGAGATGGTCGTCCTCGCCACCGCTGCCGTTGGTCAGGCGGTTCTGTTCGGACGCAGCGAGACTGGACAGACGAGAGCGTAGAACGGCGTCTTGAAGAGGTGCACCGAAGACACCGCCTACCGCCGACCGTGTGCTGCTCGCATCGTAACCGTCGAGAAGCACCAGCCACTGTCGCGTGGGTTCGTTCTCGGCAGTGCTGGCAGCTGGAGCAGTGGCGTTGCTGCTAGTTTGATAGCCGAATGTGTTGCCGGAGGAACCACCCGCACTACGATTGGCAGCAAAGCCAGGGCTGGTAGCATTGTTGGAAGTCTGCAGCGTCTTCATAAAGTCCCATCCCTTCCTGCCCATAGCAGCGCCAAATTGGCCGACGTGTCCCAAGGCGCCGACCACACCACCTGTACCGTTAGATGAGGACCTTGCCATGGCGGGCGAAGTGTACTGGGAGTAGCCAAACGAGGCGCCCGCTCCACCCGCTCGCGGCGGATTCAGCCTTCGCGGAGGCGGCATCGGCGTACCTGCCGACGCACGTAGCGCCCCTGCATCCAGTCGAGCTTCCGCCACAGCTTCCTGCGATCGCGCGTGCGCGACGTTGCGGTAGACGCCATTGCCTGGCCCTGCACTCGCTGGTGGTTGTAGCAGCGCGTCGCCCGCGTTGCCACCGTCGCTCCTGTTGGTAGAATCGTGCAGTGGCGGGATGGTTGCAGTGTTGGGTGCAGATATGGATCCGAGCGACGAGTTGCTGGCTGAGCCAGACCGTGGGAAAGCGGTCAAGAGGCTTGGTTTGGGCTTGGGTGGTTTGGGCGGAGCGATACCGTTGCTGGTCGAAGCGTGGTAAGGGTTGCCAATGGAAGACGCGGGACCCACGGTGGCGGGTGGATTGCCTCTACCGCTGAAGACCTGAGCCAGACCGTTCTTGGCGGTATCGCCGCCATTGATGCTGCGAGAGGCACGACCCACCGTCGCAGAGTGTTTGTTGAGGAAAGGCGATGCCGATGAGCCAGGCCCCGGCGTGAGATAGCCAGGTGCAGCCGCACCGCCGTTGTAGACCGGTTGCTGCTGCTGTTGTTGCGACGTGGTACGTTCGCGTGATGGGAACAAGAAAGTTCTACCACCGATGACATCCTCGCTGGAGGAATCCGCCGTGGAGGGTCGAGAGGAAGCTGCGACATTGCTCTGCTTTGCGCCTGCGCGCCTAAGCTTGGTAAAGGAGAAGGAATGCTTGCTTCCGCTGCTCAGACTGCCTGTGCTACCGTTGTTGAGCGAACTCGCATCGTGTGGCAGATGATCGGTAGAACTGGCCGAGGAGATCGAGAGACTGCCGCTGCTGGATTGATTGCGAGAATGGGAAAGGGCACGGTGCATGTTGGCAGACGTGATGGGCGGATCGAGGGGCCGGTTGAGCAATGGACTGGGCTGTTTGCTGTTGATGGGAGAGTCGATCAGCTCGAGAAAGTCGGGATGCTCTGCTCCATACAGGCGCGGTGGCATGACGGGCATGGTGGCAGAATCGTGCATACGCGGCGTAGATAGACCGCGAGAGTCCTTGGAGCTGGCCGAGGTGGTTGTGGTATCGTCGTCGCGTCGTCGAATGATGTGGATGCCAGCATCGAGCATCTCTTGTTCGGACAAGAAGGTTTCGACGACGGGGCGAGGCGACCGCGAGTCGATCGGCGAGCTACGAGCATGCTCTGCTTGGCCCGGTATGGCGACATTGAGCGGGAACAGGTGGGCGTTGTCCAAGTCGGAATGGTGCATTTCGCGATTGTAGGGGTTGTCGAGTTGGATGGTCTTTTGTTGAGCCTGGTACCATGCCTGCTTGTGTTTTTTGGATTCATGGAGCGGAGGACTGAGCGGTAGAGATGACCTGGATAAAGATTCTTGTTTGAGCGAGGTGAGGCTTTCGGAGAGGGAAGGAGCAGGAGAGACAGCACGGAGCGTAGGCTGAGGCGTTGCAGCACGCTCTAACGCCGAGGCCAAGGAATCGGCATCGGAGCCAGAGAGGGAAGCGCTTTTGCGGTGACGGCGACGAACGTCTGCGGTGGAGGAAGGATCGGAACGATGGTCTCTGTTGCGCAAGCCCAAGCCAGTAGAGAGGATCGAGATGCTGGACGACTTGGTGCGCTTCGGTCGCTGAAAGGCCGGTTTGGTGGAGGCGGACGGCAGAGGCGGAGGTGGTGAGCGTTGCGTCCCTAGCGGAGCAGGAGAGGCGGCAGGGCGAGTGGTGGATGGATAAGCGGGGATGCTAGTGTCTGCGTAAGCCGAGTATTGACTCTGCTGCGAGTCAAACGACTGAGAAGCATTTGGCGCCGGAGGAGCAGAGGCAATGTTGAGCGAGTTGGAAGAAGAGAGGCGTCGGAAGCGGCGGAAGGGGTCGGGCGACTTGCGACCAGAAGAGAAGAGACGAGAGCGGGGAGTGGTTTCGTGTTCGAAGGTGGCCGAAGAATCGGCGGTGGTGGCAGAACGCGGCGAGCTCGGGATGCGAGACGAGGAGGCATCGATGCTGGCCGTGCTGCTGCTGGGTGTGCCAAGGATGTGGACGCCTGCGCCCCTGTTCTGAGTGTGGTTCTGGTGAGTGCGAGCAGCAATGGCCGACGAAGAGTAGGAGTGGGTGAACGGCATGATGGACAGCAGAACAAGGACGGCAGTCTGAGAGGCCCAAGCGTAGGGCACGCGCAGCACGATCTAGCGCGCCGTTGGACTCGGTAGACTGAAGCTAGTAGTTGGAAAAGATCATCGGGGTGGATGTTGGCACGAATCTGCAGGTATGCAGGAAGTGTGATGTCGAGTGGGCGAGAGCGATACGGAGCAATAAGTGAGATGGGAGCTCTCGATGGTGGGCTGCGTAGATGCAAAGAAAGGTGTAGCCGAGAAAGTGCTACGAGCGTGAGAGGGTCCGAGAGCAAAGAGAGAAGTGCTGTTCAGCAAAAGACGGGGCCGAAGCGACAGGCGTGCATGCAGGCAACAAAGAGGGTGGACTGGGCGCTCGTTGCAAGCGATGAATCGAGGTGCGAGAGATGGAGGAGCCGTCGCACGATCGTCTCGAGTTGGTGACACACCGCCAAGCCAGACGGTGGATACTGTTGACGAACAATGGCAGAGTTGATGAAGACGGAAGGGACCAACGAGATGAGATGGGGGGAGAGGAGTAACCGCAGCGTTGGATCGTGCGAAAGAGAAGGGTTCCACAAAGGAACGCAGCTGAAATGTGACTTTTTGGAAATGCAAACGTGTGAAATGTCAAAGATGCTGTGCACAATGAGCACAAACAGAGGTGTGCGGAGGTGTGACTTTAACGCAGCGTCCAGCCTCCCTGTCTCACAGGAGTCAAGAGACACCGCAAGACTGGACACGGGTCCACTTTGTGCGTTGCGGCGGAGGTGGCGTCGTGTTCCAAAAAAAAGACAAATTCGAGGCTAACGTTGATTCTGAGAACGGCAGCCAACGCTTGACACCAAGAGCAACCAGATCGTTGCCTTGACGACCACCATCCTGTCTCGTGAATACCGTGCATTGTGCTTGAGCTAGGACAACAGCAACCGTCGACCAGCGACTATTGAATCACAAAACAGATCGCTGTCGTTTCTTGTTCCTCGATCTGACCTGCAAGGAGCGAGGGTCGTGTTGCATTCAGCGGGCGGCTCGCTTGGCGAGCTTCTCCAAACGGCTCACCTCGCTCGCTCGCTCGCACAAACAAATCGCCATGCGTTTAGCCGAATTTGCCTGGCGCGCGCGCGGTGTTCCAAGTGAAAGACACCGCAAAACCCGGACCGAACGATTTTCGCAGATCCTACACTCTGTAAATGGTAGCTCATCTCGTCGTTCGGCGTCGTCCACTGTCCACAGGAAGCGGTCCTCGAGCTTGCCGAGCTTCGATCCGATACAGCTCGAAGACGGTGCGTGCAAAGCGCCATGCAAGACACGAGCCAATGCACGACGCACCGAGACCCCTTAGACGGCGTCGACAAAATCTGAATCCCACATTCAGCCTCAAAATTCCAAAGAGTCTGGATCCAAAAGGCGGGGGCTGGGCGGGGCGGGCTCGTTCCTAAGCGAGGTCTGCTTAGCCGACACTGGCACCACGAACCATCCTTTTCGAAAGATTGATGTGCTGTTGCGACGACTCAACAACTCCCAAATATTCATCGCAGACTTCCTCCTCTTCGTCGAGCGCACAAGGAGTCTCACCACATCCCAAACATCACACGATTCATCGTTCAAATTGTCCATATCAGATCCATTCGCAAAGCCTGTCGCTCCTTTTACGTGAGCAAGACATCCGAAGCGACACATCCAACATTGCCCCAATAATCCCTCGCCCTAACGACCAACCTGTATTTGCCCCTTCCACCCTCCTCGCCATCCTGATCTATGACGCTCTGAACGTTGAACGCACCACCCACCCTGGGCTCTCCCCTCGTCGTTCTGCTTGCCGAATAGTAGAGCCTCTTCTCCTTCTCGTCAAACTGACTCGTGATTTTTTCTGGGAAGAATCGTCCGTGCGAAAACGCAGCCATGTAGTGCGAGAACAGCTTGGACGTCCAACGATATCCGCCGTCCTCTTTGCTCTGACTGGGAGGAGTCCAGTTGTTGGGCAACTTGGAGTGCTCGAACACGCTCCTCCAGTAGCGCTTGTCCTTTTCGGCTGTACCTGTGGGATCGGTGTCTCCACCGAGATCGCACTCCATCCCTCTCTGCACCTCCCTCTGCCCCGCAAGCTTCTTCTTGATCCCCAGATCCAATGCGTACACCGCCAGATTGTCCATTCCATCGCCTGGATCCCCGGGAGTCTGTTGGAAGTACTCGAACCCGACAATCACTTCCGTCGGACCTTGCAGCGTCGGTGTCCAGAAATCGTTGCTCGTGGCATAGGCGTTCGGAGGAATGTTCAGCGGATCCGTCGAAGGTTTCGCAAAGTAGACTAGAGTCGGAGATCCGTAGGGGGTGATGCTCGATCGGTAGTTCTTGCCTTCCGTGAACGCGTGCAGTGGATGGAAGTATTGCCACCCTTCTTCGTCCGGTGACTTCCACTCGGTCCAACTGACATCTGGTCGCGAAACCCGCACCTCGAGCGCTCGATACCGATACGGGTAGTAGGAGACTTGGCGATCCGGTTTCGAAGTAGCATGATCCGCAGGCGGTTCCACCGACGGAGGCTCGATCGAAAGCCCTTCCCTCAAAGCATGCCCTACCACGTCGCCTCTCAACACCGTATCGCCTTCCTTGACGCTGACGGTGGATCCATCGATACCGAAGATCTGGTACACGATCGACCACTCGTCCCGAATCATGACACAGAAACTCCTCTCGTCATTCTCCCCCGCAGCAGGACCGTAGATCGGCGGTCGTCGGAAAGTATGCTCCCTCGCCCAGACGATCTGACCCGACACCGGAGCAAAGACTTCCTCCGGAGGCAGGATCATCTTCTCGTGAACGTCCTCCGGCTCGTCATCGTCATCATCGCGTGGATTGGTGATGCTCATCGGAACCTTGATCTGTACGCCCAACGTCCATGCCGACTGATCTACAAACACGCCAAAATTGCGATCGTTGACGAACCGTGACGATTTGGGAATCATCGGATTCTCCATAGCTCCCGCGATGCGGTTGACATCCTTGGGATGCCAAGTCCTGTCCTCTTGACCTGGCCTTCTGTCTCGCGCGTTTCCGGCGAGCGGCCAGGAAGCACGCGATTCTTCGAGATGCAGGTGTCCCACCCAGAACTGCTTGATCTCTTGCTCTGGTTTGTCGCTTGAGGAGGGTGCCGTGATCTTGTCGAGCTTCACTGTAACGACGAAGCTCTGCAGGGCCTCGTGGGAGGAATCTTTGCGCGTTGCTTCGACCGACTGCCAGTATTTCGTCCAACCAGGACATGATCGTTCGTCGAGGTGGAATCGACCGTCGGGAAGCAACGATTGCGGAGATGCTTGGCAGTCGAGTGCGCCATCCCCTTGATGAATCCACTGCGCAGACGGATCCTTCGGATGTGGGATCGGTGACCACGCATGCTCCGGCGGCGAAAGCTTGAGATCGTCCGCTTCGCACGCCTCGATTCCTCCTGCCTCCTTGCCACATTTAAGCATGACTTGATCCCGCGTCCTCAGCCTGACGGGTCCCAGCGACGCTCTTGCTGAAGTAGAGGCGTACAGCGTTGGATCGAAATGCACTACCAGCGGTTGCGGCTGGAACGGGTCGGTCTGATTAGAGTGATCTGGACGGTGTACGACGGATGGTGCGTGCGCCTGGTTGATGTAAAGACCCGAATGAGAGAGTCGGAGCGATGGGACTGGTTCTGTATCGTCATCTTCGACGAGCGTCGAGCTGGCGTACAGTTCCTGTGCTTCATCGTATGGGAGCTCGGCGGACGACGCTGCTGTAGGAGAAGCAGAGGGGAACGAGAACGGGATTTGGCGATGGGGTCGATTTGAGCCAGCCAGGCTTATCGAGGCTTGCGCCAAGAGCAGTAGGAGTGAAGCGCCCTTCATGGTGGTCCCAAATGAGTAACAAGCGAAGCGTGGCTATGGTCGAGATCATGCAACGCTCATCTCCCGAGGTGTTCAGCAGCCGCGATGCTGAGGAATAGCGCGAGAGTCGTTCGCAAGCGTAGTGACTGGAACAGATCGTAGTGCGATGTATGTGGAGAACAATGAGTGGGCGTGGCGATGTTGATGGTGATGGGAATGACGATGATGAGGGCAAGGCGGGGGGAAGCACAGTAGAACGTGCACTCCTCTTTCCAATTTCGATTTCTAGATTTCAGCTGCAGTTCGGCTTTCCAACCCAAAATGCAGCGCCACGGATCGACGTTGCGTTGTTCTGCCTTGCTTGCTCGGCTGGCTCGATTGCCGCGCTGTGCTGCTGTTGCTGCTTTTCCTGCTGTCACCTTGACTCCGCCTGCTCACGGCGCGAGGGAAAGCTTAACTTTCGCATCCCGGAAGACGGCTTTGAAGCTGTTTTGGCCTCCACATGACACCGCTCTCACACAGTTGTCTCGACAACCTCAACCTGCTCCTCCTCCGCCTTCCAGTCGATCATCAGCCACTCAACCCTCCCGCTTCACGCTGCATCATGGCGCTAGGCGTCCGTCCCTCGCGCCAAGCCCTCTCCTCCCTCTACCAAGCTCTCGACTTTACCGACCACCTCCGACTCACGCAACCCGACCTTGGCTACACCACCACGCACTCCTCCTCCTCCGCCAACACAGCCGCCAATCGGTACCGAGACATTCTCGCCTACGACCACGCGCTCCTACCTCAGCCTTATCTCAACGCCGCCTTCATCCCTCCCTTTCCTTCTACAAGCCTCAGCTTCATCGTCAGTCAAGCTCCTTTACCACAAACCTACACCGCCTTCTACACACATGTGGTGCAGCAGCGCGTCAGGGTGCTGGTGAACCTCACTCCGCTAGTCGAAAAAGGAAGGGCAAAGTCGGATCAGTACTGGCCTGACGAGGGTAAAGAGTCGTCGCTAGAAAACGGGTGGAAGGTGAAGAACGAATCGGAAAAGACGATCGAATTGGATCAGGGCAAAGCGACTCTGATCCGACGAGTCATCCACATCAACGGCGGCAACGACAACCAACTCTCAGACCACGGATGGAGCGTCATGCAGTTTCACCTCACAAGCTGGCCAGATCACGGCGTCTTCCCGACCACACTGGTGCTCCAGCTCATGCACGAGACGCAGCAGGTGGCCACGACAAAGATGTACCCACCTCCACCGACCTGGATCCACTGTTCGGCGGGTGTGGGTAGGTCTGGTACGCTGGCAGCTGCGTACGTCGCACAGGCTGTCGTCGGTGGTGCCAAGCAGAATCAGGACATGCCGAGGGACTCGTTGATGGGTAGGAACGCGAGCGCAGAGCTGTGGGATCTGCCGGTCAGGATAGTCGAGCATCTCAGGAGGTACAGGGCGAGGATGGTGCAGACGATCGAGCAGTTTGAGGCTGTCTACGACATCGTTGCTGAGCTAGGCAAGCAAGCTGGATTGGTGGGAAAGTAGATACAGTGATTCGCATGATGTATTGGTAGCACAGGTTCGCAAAACATGATCATCATCTTCGCAACTAGATCGAGCGTAACTGGACCTTTCTCTAAAGCTTAGGCACCCGACCATCGGCCAAGGGACCCTTGTACGGCACCCGCAACCACGCAGCCAACTGCTCGAACCTATCGCTACCAAACCACATACCCGTCTCACCATCGCTTCCCCTCTCCACCACCATACTCGGCATTCCGAACATCCCCTCTTCCTCCACCAACTTCTTCGCTTCCTCCTGCAGTTTGCTCCTGGCGTCCTTCTGCATGCTCTTGTCCAACACCTCGGCGACCTTTTCCTTGCCCAACCCGAGATAGTTGGCTTTGGCGAAGATACTTTCGAGATCTTCCCGAGTTGCGCAGGGGGAATCGTGTACCCAGATCGCAGCGAAACACGCTTCCACCGCCGCTTCCAGCGTCGACGGAGAGGTGGTGGAGAGAACATCTAGAAATGTCTGGAGGTGCATGGTGTTGATCGGGAAGTTGGCCGGTTGGTTGAGAGCGATGTCGAAGAACTTGGTGGCGCGGTCACGATCGTGCCACATCCAGGCGCCTTTGTTGACCACCGAGATGGGTGGTTTGTTGCCCGAGAACTGCAGAACCAAGAACGTTGATTCGAGACAGAAGGGGTCAGCTTTCTGAGGAACGAAATTGAAAAGGGGGATGTCAAAGGCTTACCTTCATGATGTATCCCAAGTTGACGGGTTTGTACGTCTGAACCAATAGAAATGCAATAAGCACACATCGAAAGGTCAGCCAATCCCTTGCGACAACGTACCACAACATAAGAATGCCGCGAAACGATTACTCACAACATCCAAATTCCAAAGCTTCTGATAGCGTTGAATCACTCGAAACCCAACATACGACCACGGGGATACCACGTCAAAGTAGAACCACACCTTGTTGCGTACCGCTGCCGACATTCTGTGTTTTCGATGCTGTAGAAGCTTAGAGCAGAGAAAGAGGGGTTGGTGGTGGGAGGTTGGAGAGAAGAAGGGAAGCAAGGTATGGTGATGGATTGAGGGACTGTACTACCCCACAATTTCGGCAGATTTGCGTGGACTCGGCAATCCGGTTTTGTGCAGACGCCGAGGCAGGAAAAGGTTGGCGCGTGCATTTCCCCTCACGAATGGTCACCGCCAGAAATGTCCGACTTTGCTCAAAACCTTGTCGGATCATCCGGCTGTCACGCTAACTCACACACGGGGTTCTGTCGTGAGACATTAGATCGAAGATCATTGATGAGCGATGGTAGACTGATATCAGCGAGGGAAAAGACATCACTGCTGCTTGTGCTGCTGTTCCAATTCCTTACCCTCAGGGATCCTCATACCGGCCTTTCTCGCCTTGTCCACCACCGCGCTCGCCTGCAACAGCATCGGTCGATCGATCATGGTCATCCCGCCCCCCTTCTCCTGCAATCCGTACGCTCCTCTGTTCTCGCCCTGACTGGCGTGTTCGTAGAGGTGCAGGATCGTTGCTGCTCTGTCGACGGCCTCTTGCGTCGGGTTGAACGTGTCTTGAATCGCATCCACCTGAACTGGGTGGATGGCCTGCTTGCCGTCGTACCCGAGCTGTTTGGCTTCTTGCGCTTCTTCGACGAGGTAGTCTTGGTCCTTGTAGTCGATGCACACCATGTCGATGGCGGACAGGTTGTATGCCTTGGCGATGGTGGCCATGTGAGCTCGTGGGAAGAGGAGGGATTTTCGATCGCGGGTGCGCAGGATCCCCGTCGAGGCACAGTAGTCTTCGGAAGCGAAGAGCAGCGCTACCACCTGCGCTACCGGTGTTTTTGTAGCATTTGAAGCCAGTTCTCCTGAGAAGGGATCCTGTCCTAATCCTTCCCGAATCGTCTCGACGATCCTCGGCATCCTCAACAAGCTCGCAGCAGACTCGACGGACAACACCAACGCCAACGGTCCCACCTCGTCCAACGTCGATCCGTCCCTCAACGCTTTCGCCTTCTCCACGATCAGCCTCACATCCTCCTCGTGCTCCACCTTGGGCACCACGATCGCCTGCAACTGACGGCTAGGCAGGATCATGTCCAGATCGTCTTCTGCCAGCGCTCGTGCCTCGGAAGGTGGGTTGATGCGCACCGCCAGCTCCGGGCCGGGACGAGCGGCAGCTTCGAGCGCCAGGAACACGGTCTCGCGTGCAGAGCCCTTCTTGTGCGCTGCCACCGAGTCTTCGAGGTCAAAAATGATGGTATCGGCGGAAGAGGATTGCGATTTCTTGATCATCTTTTCCGACGAGCCGGGGACGTACAAAAGCGATCGACGCGAGCGGGAGATGACATCGTGGTGTGGTGGTGAAGAAGGTGGTGGATTGGGTGGAGAAGAAGCAGCCGTGGATGCTTTTGCGGAAGGAGACGATGATGGAGGGGCAGCGGTTGAGGCGTGCCTGGTGGTGTTGTCGCTTAGCGTGGGCAGTCGAGCCAAAGATTTGGTCGGCGGACGTGGCAGCAGCGATGTTGTCAGTGTCCGTGGTCTGACCAGCATCGACACGGATCGGTGCAGGCTTCGTGTGACCGTCATTCTAGCACGATGATGGATGGATGATGGAAGCTGGTCGAGACGAACGATGACAAAGAGAATGCGTTCCATCATCTCGTGGCTTCGACTTGGGCGCTATTTTGCGGTGTTACAATCCAGACGCTTCGACAATGCCCGCGGTAATACGCATCACAAATTGACTCGGCATCAGGCCTCTCTCCTGTCAAAATGTAGAGCGCTGCAGTTGTGTTCGCGCAAATGCACGGACCGCAGGCTGGCTGCCGTCCTAGATACCGATATCAGCCCGGATTTGAAGCTGCAACAAACCAAAAAAATCGATGACTCGTTCGACCTCCTCTACCTACCAAACCATCATCCATCTCGTTCGCCGTCATCGTCTGCTGCATCTGGATCCTACAAATCGCACCCAACAATGACCGACGCCGCTCCACCTCCCGCTGCCACTGGCCAAGCAGCTCCCGAGCTATCCTCTCTCGCCGAAACCTTTGCCAGCACCAACCTCTCCTCACCCCTTCAGCATGACGACACCTCCTCCACCCTCTCTCGTCGCGGCGCCGTCGGTTCGCAATTTAAGCTTCCCGAAGGATTTCGCCGTCTACTCGCCAACATGTACGACCCCGTCACCAACCCCACGGGGATCATCAATGCCGGCATCGCCGACAACTCGCTCTGTCGCACCGAGCTGCTCGAGTTCTTCCTCGCAAAGGATCGTCTCCACCTCTCCCCCGCAGATATGACGTACGCCAACCGCCTCACCTCATCCACACGTCTGCTTGAGGCGATCGCTTCGCTGTTCAACGATTACAAGCCGGATTGGCCCGAGGGGGATGCGTCTCCGTTGCCGATCAAGAAGGTGGAAGTGGATCATATTGCGATCGCTAGTGGAGCTACAGGTGTTCTGGACGAGTTGTTTTGGAATTTGTGCGATGAAGGGGATGGTGTGCTGTTGAGTGCTCCGTACTACAATGCGTTTGATAATGATCTCACGAACAGAGCGAAGGCGAAGATCGTTCAGGTGAACCTACCCGGATCCTCAGAAGATTCTTCGGCCGTGAATCTTTTCACCGCATCGACCGTTCAAGCTTACGAAGAAGCCTATGCCACCGCAACCTCTTCTGGCATTCCCGTCAAAGCTCTCCTCCTGTGCAATCCTCACAATCCCACCGGAACCATCTACCCGCGCTCCACCGTCATCGCCCTTGCCAAATTCGCCGCCTCCCACCACCTCCATTTCGTCTCGGACGAGATCTACGCCCGATCCACCTTCCCCACCTCTACCAACCCGCACCCACCCTTGTTCGAGAGCATCCTGTCCATCGATGTTCGGAAGGAATGTGGGTTGGATCCAGCGTACGTGCACGTTGTTACTTCTGCATCGAAGGATTTCGCGGTGAACGGGTTCCGACTCGGTGTGTTGGTGACACAGCACAATGCGGCGTTGCAGAGGGCCATGGCGAGCATCGGAAGTTTGAGTCAATCTGCTTCGCCTGCAGCGAGTCTGTGGACGACTCTGTTGCAAGACCAAAAGTTCTTGAAGTGGTATTTTAGGGAAAATAGAAGACGTCTCTCTCTCGCCTACCAACACAGTATCGAGTTTTTCGAACATCACTCTATTCCGTACTGGAACAGCAACGCTGGGTTCTTCCTCATGATCAACCTACGAAAATACTGTGGCATCACGCAAGACATGGACGAACAAACGGCACGAGCGAAGGAAGCAAAGTTTCTAGACAAGTTGATCGACGGTGGCGTGCTGATCAGTCCCGGCACCATCTATCACTTCCCCACGCCCGGTTGGTTCAGGTTCACGTTCAGCCAGAATCCGAAGACGTTGAAGTTGACGTTCGACAGGTTGGAGAAGGTGATGGGTGTCGAAGGAGGGGAGAGTTGTGAAGCCAAGAGGGGGATATTGGATTTCGGGGATGGGGAGGAGAAGGTGGGGAAGGGGGCAGGGCGGTTGAAGCGGTTGATGTCGAGGTGAGGGGTTGGAGATTTCTTCGGTATGGCCACTTGTGCACAGTCTGGTCATTGTAGATCGCGAGGAAATGACGTTTCTATCCACTCTATTGCCTTTCGAACCGAGAGAACGGTGCTTGGGTGTGCAGATCATTTCCGCCTACCGTTCGAAATGTCTCCTTCATCGTCATCGTCATCAGCCTCGATGGAAATGACATGTTGAGGACCCTGCAACAACTCGTCCTCCTCATCAACATCCTTCCTCTTCCCCGCCATCTTGCCCTTCGGGCCACCAGCCATGCCTCCCTTTCCTCTCGCGTCTCCCGCACCTCTCGCACTCCTCCTCGGCAGCTCATCCTCATCATCCTCCTCAATCTCCCCCGCTCTCCCTCCCTCTCTCCTACTATTTCTTCCCTCCGCCTTGCTCCTCATCGCCTCCTCCTCCTCCTGCGTCTTGTCCCTGTACAACCTGCTCTGCCCCAAAATCGCCAAATCCACACTCAACTGGAACACCGCACAGCTCGTAAACTGCGCCGGGCTGCCCTTCAACACGAAATACAACAATTTGAACGAATCGCCTCCCAACCATCCGAACAGCACACTCGATCGGAACCCCGCGAGACTCTTCCTGCGGTAGTTGGCGATGAGCTGCGGAATGGGTAGCGTCGACTCCAGCCCGAGAGCAATGTACCCGAGCAAGGAGATGAAGGTGGAGGAGGTGGAGAGGGGGATGTAGAGGATGAGGAGGAGGAGGATGTAGAGGAAGAGGAAGACGAGGTACGAGTTGTAGTCGGACCACTGCCAGAAGTTGAGCGGTCTTGAGGAGGTGGATGGGATGAGTTGGGATAAGATGGATTTGACGCGTGAGGTGGGAGTAGTAGTGGTGGCGGCGGTGTTGGGTGCAGGAAGACCTGATGAGGTGTTGTACGAGGAATGGTCGGTCGACGACACCCTTCCATAGGACGTCGAACCGCCATTCCCACCCCTGAACATAGCACCCAGTGTCACCAACAGCGGCTGCTTGTTCGCGTATCCCTCCTCCTCCTCTTGCTCTTCCGCCTCCCTTGTCTCTGCCTCGTTCAAGTCCATCAAATCCCTCTCCATACTCGTCTCGCCCTGTCCCTGCTGCTGCTCCTCCTCCGCTGCACCATCAAACACAACCCTGGCACCATCACTGCTGATGCTCTTGCTCCACCTGCCCACCGGTCTGTACCGGATGCACAGGTACAACAGCCCCAACTGAGCGGCGATCATCAGCATACTCTGCAGCAGCAGCGCGAATTCGAACCGCTCGCCGAGCCAGAAGAAGCATCGCGTGATGTTGGCGATGAGCAGGACGGCGCACACGTCGTGCGAGAATCCGCGCGCGTCCTGTTTGCGGTGGATGGAGTAGGCTTGATCTGCGTACACGAGGGGTGCGCCTAGCGCCATGCCTAGGGAGGCGAGGGTCGATATGCTCATGGTGGAGACCACGATGATACGGTGTATAGCTTCAAGATGGGAAGGGTAGTGGTGGTCGTGGTGGAAGAAGGAGAAGTGACAGAGGTTGGTCAAAGCGCTTTGATTCGGCGAAGGATTGAATTTTGTAACCCTTATTTTTCGCCAACATTTTTCGATTTTGCGCTCAATTCCGCTCGCCATCACGCACCACCGACACAACGCATTTACTACGAACGCCTGCTCTTTCTCAGTCAGAATCAGAACCGACGCAATCTCTTTGTGCTCCAAGTCGAACGGCACCAGCTTGATTGCACGTGGTCAACGTCCTCTACATTCTTCCCCCTGCAGCCGTTGGCACCGGCAACGCTCTGGCCGGAGGCGCACTCAACGTCTTGCTCTTGTCCGCAAACTCCCTCACCACAATATCGCACTTGACCGTCTCGCACAACTTCTTGCTGCTCTCCTTGACCGCCCTCGGGAACAGCTCCAACCCCGCCGCTCTCTCCACCGTCTCCACGGGCACGGCAAAGCTCTCCAACTTGGCCTCGTTCGGGATCACACTGTTCGGCATGACAAACGCACCCAACGCCATCAACCCGCTTCCATGACCCAACCCTACTTTGCCCAGTGCGCCCTTCCATTCCGGTTTCGGTCCTGGTGCGGGGAGCGAGTCTTTTGCCTCACCGATGCCCAAGATGACTTTGGCAAAGTGCGTGGGTACGGCGACGTTGGGAGGGGTTCCGATGACTTCGTAGTTGACGCGGAATTTTCCATCGGGGTATTGGCGAGGGAGGTAGAGGGGGATGGTGAAGACGTACAGATCGGCGAAGCGAGACGTGAGACGACGGACAAAGTCTTCGGTGTGAGCCCAGTAGTCTCGATTCATCCCGACGCCCACTTGAGGTGCAATATTCGTGAGCAGGAAGGTCTCATCCATCGCGAGCTGCGAGGACTTGGCATCGGCAGCAGGAACCATGTGTCCTCGATCGTAGCCCGAACGAAAGTAGTCGGCCATCTTGGCACGAAACATCTCGGGAATGCGAAGGTCTTCCTTGAAGACGGAATTGGATCGATCGGATTTAGGTGCATTCGGTGGTCGTTGAAGCGACGCCGAGGTGAGGTGCTCCGCGGTCCAGGAGGGGTGACGCAGTCGACGGTCGTAGGAGGAAACGTACGCGGCGTGATGGAGAAAGTCGGAGACAGGTCCGGGGTAGCCAGCTGGTCCGAGCTGGTCGGAGGCTGTGAAGCCGGAGTCGACGACGGCTGTGGGTGGGGTCGATGTGAGCGCCGGTGTGCCAGGAGATGCGGCCTGTTGGGTCGGTGCGGCTGAGGCAGGCGATGGCTTGTGGGAGCTGCTCGAAAGCAGCACGGCTCCTCCTGCTCCGACAACCAGACCGCCTGCGAAGAGACTTGCTTGCACGACGTACGACATCCTTGTATTGCGCGTACAGCTCGCGTTCGCGCGATCGTCGAGATGATGGATGATGGCAAGCAGGAAAAGCACGACGTTCCTTTTTCCACAATTGCCATCGTCGCTCGCTGCCCTTTTTTTTCTTTCGCCTTTTCTTATTTTCTTTTTCGTAGCAACCAAATTTCAAGATTCAGGGTCCAACACAACGCCAATTCAGAGACCAACACTTGAAACTATAACACTCCTCCGAACTGACGGTATCGGGCGACACAATCGATTGAACAAGTTATCATGCCTTGCATTGGCAGCATTGTATTTAGATCAAGATGATGCACGACCGCGGGCTACATCTGCCGCTTCTCCCTGTACTGCTCCATATCCTTACCCGCATTGGCATGCTTGGCCAGTTCCTTGGACCAACCCGGCAACGACCCGTACTTTTCCAGCAACTCGGCCAGCTCTGCGCGCTGCTCCTTCAGATTCGATGGCATCTCACCCCTGTACGTCCCCTCGAACAGACTGCTCAGCTGTGGCCTCTTCTTCTTCTCCGCCCTTCCCATCGCCTCGATGACCGTCTTTCGATGTTGCGTCTTCGTCTCCTCCTCCAGCGTATCGTTCCACCACCCTCGATCGGTGAGGAAGTTGCGCATGCGGTGCAAAGGATTGTCCATCTGCTTCCAGCTTTCCACGGCTTGCTTGGAACGGTAGGCGGAGGAGTCGTCGGATGTCGAGTGATGGCCGACTCGATAGGTCATGGCCTCGATCAGCACGGGACGCTGTTCCGACAGGGCTTTGGACTTGGCTGCTTTCACGGCGGAGCGCACGGCAAGTGCATCGTTGCCGTCGACTCGGAGGGTGAGCATGCCGTAGCCGGGACCACGAGAGGCGATGCCGTCGCCGCGGAACTGTTCGGCTGCGGGTGTGGAGATGGCGTAGCCGTTGTTACGGACAAAGAAGCTGTTCGCATCGAGAAGGAGGAGTAGGGCGTCAGCGAATGGTGTTTGGTCCACCTAGGAAGGACTGATGCCTTGAAAGCGTGGGATACTTACATGACCGGACTCTTTGTCGTGCTAGCGAGATTCATTCCGGCGTGGAAGTCGCCTTCGCTCGCAGCACCTTCGCCAAAGTAACAGATGACCACGTTGCCCTCCCTCCCCTTTGTCCTCTTGAGCGCGTACCCTGCACCTGCCGCCTGTGGGATCTGCGTCGCTAGCGGACTGCTGATGGTGTGAAAGTGATGCTGCGTGCTACCAAAGTGGATCGGCATCTGCCTTCCGCCGCACAGATCGTCCTCTGCACCAAACACCTGCGACATGTAATGATCGATCGAGAAATCCCTCCACAGCAACACACCGGACTCTCTGTACTGCGCAAACACTTCGTCTTTGGCGTCGAGCCCAGCAGCGCTTCCGATCACGGCGCCCTCCTCGCCGTACGAAGTCATCATGAACGAGATTCGACCCTGACGCTGCGCGTTGTAGAGGATGACGTCGATCTGTGGTAGCAGAAGCATGGTGCGGTACATCTTGACCGCTTCGTCTTGTGTGATGGAGACCATCTCGTCTGTGACTCCAGGTAGGAGGCGGCCGACACCGTCCATGAGTCGATAGGTGGGGATGCCGCCTTTGGCGTTCTGGTTGCCGGAGAGGGTTTTGGGTTTGACACTGTCGAAGAAGCTATCGTTGAGCGAGGTGAGGAAGACCGAGGATGGATGGCCGGGTAGATGTCCTTGTGGTTCGTCGCCGTCTTTGCGTAGGAGCGAGGATGAGGCGAAGGGGCGAGCCGAGTTGACATTGCAGGCGCTGACAGCGATGGGACGAGCCGACGCGCGCAGGTGGTTAGGCAAGCGCAGTCGGCTCATCGTCGAAACTGCCGAGGAGACCATGATGTGCGACGAAGTGGCGTTGGCTACCCGAATACGATGGTGCGATGGTGGTGAAGAAGAGGAGTCTGCTCAGCACGGCTCGAGCCTGCGGTAGAAGGAGTGTGGGGTAGACACTGTTCGACTCGTCCTTTCCCCGGAAAGCTGTCACAAAGCCGAGCGCCGACCTGCGTGGATCCGCCCATTCATCGGCCTTGACGGCCTCGCTCTTTGCCGACACAAGCAGTGAAAGGGTCCAGCTTGCCGTCGCCAAATCAAATTTGGGCTCAAGATGTTGCTCAGAAAGCTGTAACATTATCCCCGGCCAAAAAAACAAGTCGGTGTTGCTCTTCCTTCGCTTTCCCTCGCTTTTCACTCGCTTAGACTGTGCCAGCAAGGAGAGTGAGATCTGACCCTAGCTTCACGTTCAGGGTGTTGGGAAACCGAATCTCTCAGAGTCGCAAGGAGCTCCCTGCACGCTGGCCTTCTTGGAACGAATCAAGATTGTCGCCAACAGCATCCTCGTCTTCGAGTGCAATCCCATGAGCCACCAAGCCCGTGCCTGTCTGATGCGCCGGAACGTGGCTAGCCTCAACGAGATTTGCTTTGGCGTTGGTGCGTGCTCCTTTCGAAGGGGCCCACTCGAAGGTGCGAGGCGAGTCGCCAAGCAAATCCTGTTATGCCCACGTCGTCGATGCGAGGTCAATTTACACGTCCGCTCTCGCGCCAGATTCGCGCGCGTTTGGACGGCAGCCAGCCGCCGCCTCGTTCAGCTCGCAAAGCGAGAGAGGATCCAGACTCGAGGCTCTTTTTCTCGGCTGCCCATTGGTCGCGTCTTCGTTGCAGTGAGTCCGTGTCGGTCTCGTCTGGGACTGCCTTGGCGGAATCCAAAAGTTTACCAGCGAATTTTCATAATGCAACCGACACGCTTGGCTTGCTGGCGGGGCTCAGTTGTGGCGCCACATCTCTAAAGCAAACATCCGACTGCAGAATGCCAGCTCCGCGCCCAGCGTGCATCTCGTCCATTGTTCTTCGAAAGGCGTCGAAGCGAATCAGCATGTCTGGAAGCCACACAATGACTTGCTCATGCAGACAGCACGGATGACATCCGACGGTTTCGACCCCGGTGAATTGACAAGGGGTTGGTGCCAAGAAGAGAGAGCAAGAAATGAAGCACTTGATGAACAGGCAGGCTTTCGCCAGCCGAATGAATTCAAGGGTTCAGGTGCTGCGTGTTGCTGCTAGGCGAGTCCAGTTCAAGGGTAAGCTCGGTTTTGAAGTCGCAGCAGGCAGCAGCAGCAGCAGCAACAGCAACGGCGGGCGGCCTCGTTCGTCCGAAACCCAATTTCTGTACATTTTCGGCCCTCTGCCTGCTTAGCGCTGTGGTGTCTGTCCTGTGTCTCTCTGCGCGCTCTTCTGACGTGCGTCAGCTACAGTGTACTGTAGCTGGCTGAATGCGAGTGAATGCAAATAATGGCTGAGCATATTTTCTCTTCTGCTCGTCACCGTCCTTGTCGTCGTCGCTGTCGTCGTCGACGTTATCGTCGCTCTTCTCTCCCATCATCACTTCCGTCCCGTCATCACCCCATCTTTCCTCTTCCATCCTCCCCGACGTTTCGTTCTCGTTCTTCTCATTCTTCTTCTTACTCCGTCTCGATCGTGTTCCACCGACCCCTGCCCTTGCTCGCCACAACCTCCTCTCTCCCGCTTCACTTTGGTATCAAGTTCTCGCCTTTTCCACATCTCCTGTCAAAAACCACATCAAATAGTCACGCACTCTTGGCTTCCGAAACGTTTCCCATCAACTCTTCCCTCCAGTCTCTCTCTTTTGCTGCTTTAGCACTCCTCGAGTCGCTTTAAAAGTGACAAAGCCCACGTAAATTCCTCAGCGTCAACTCTGCTCCAGAGCCACATCGCCATTTCTCGACCACACACTGCGGCTTTTCTGCTAGTGCTAACTTGCGGTCTTCTGCCCGTGAAACGTGACGTAGTACTTCACGGCCTTGTCGCAGCAAGCCCAGTGCCCGACGCTCTCAACTTCTCGTCCACCTTCCGGTCGAATTCATATCTCGCACCGACATCCACCCACCTCGCCGCTTTCGAGTCGGCAAACAATCGGTCTATCCCATCGACCAACGTCTACATCCGCCCATCCTTCGGCGACTTTTCTTTCTGATCGCAACAAGGTCTATATTCACCTTGCAGCACAGTGCTCGCTGTTTCGACTCAGCTGTCATCTCGGTCCAGCTGCCTCGTCGACAACCACATCCTCGTCACTCGCCATCTGCCTTTGCCCACAAACAACTTTCCCGCCAGCTTGCATCAACCTTGCAGCTGCTCTCGACCTTTCCCCAACCTCCATCGCTTACGAGCATCCATCGCCTATTTTGCTTCGGCTTGCCGTCGTCACTATCTGCGCACTCACCCTGGCTCTCTTTGCGGCCAATACACTCAAACAAAGCGTTGATCGCAGACTGCAGAGCAAGTCTCTTCCTTCGCTTTCCACCAACCAAGCATATCCGAGTCTCGTTTTCTCGGTTCGACCAAGGCCTTGAATCAACAATACAATATACCTGCTTCCTCAACAGCACTTTTCGAGATCTCCTCTCCTCCACGATACCTCTGGCTCTCAACACATTGACCGGGCTCTTTCACAATCTTTGCCAGACGTGTAATAACAACAATCGATCCTTCAACAACTTCGGCCGGGAGCCACACCTACATCGCACATCTCCATTCCGATACCCTCCGACCCGATCGCAAAGATGAACACTTCTAATCAACAGTACTACGGCTCCAACGCCTACTCGAACCGCTCCGACCTCATCTCTGGTCTTCGCACCGAGGGTCTCGGTCTCGGCTCCATCTTCCCATCGCAGACCAACTCGCAGCAGTCGAGCGGCCGCAACAGCACCACACCTCCCTATCAGCAGCAGCAGCAGCAGCAGCAGCAGCAGCAGCAGCAGCAGCAGCAGCAGATGGCCAATCACCGTCAACAGCAGAACAACGTTTTCAGAGCCCAAGACTCGCTTCGCGACATCTCGGCTCTGCAGGCTAGTCTTGAGGACCAGCTCGCTGCCATGCGTCTGCAGTCCAGCCTTTCGCTCGGTCAGTCGGATGCACAGTCTGGCTACCAAGTATACCAGACTGGCTACGGTCATCAACAGCAACAGCATCAGCAGCATCAGTATGCTCAGCACAACGGACACAGCCAGCAGCAGCAGCAGCAGCAACAATACATGCAGATGCAGCTGCAGCAACAGTTTGCTCAGCAGCAGGCGGCAGTGCAGCAGCAGCAGATGGAGCTGCTCCGTCTTCAAGCGATTCAGAAGCAGCAGCAGCAGCAGCAGCAGCAGTACGGAGGCCATGGTCAATACAACCAGCAACAGCTTGCTGCTCAGCAGCGCTTCCTTCTCTCCCAGCTGCAAGGCGGCAACAGCGACGATCACGCAGCTCTGATGAACCAGGCTCACGTTGCCGCCGCGTCGGCGCAGGAGCAAAGGCAAGCCGCTCAAGCTAGCATCCAAGCCAGCCTCCGACAGCGTCAGGTTCAACAGCTGTACCAGACCATGGGTCTTGACAACGACGCGACTGGTTCCGGCTATTATAACTCTGTCCAGCAAGGAATGCAGCCACAGCAGCCGCAGCATCAGCAGACACAGCAGCAACTGCAGCTGCAAAACATTCTCAACCGTCACGCTCGCCAGGTCAGCAGCGAGGGCCCGTCACCCTCACGTACGCCGTTGGAACAGCGAAGCTGGCGAGGAGGTGCTTTGCCCCATCAAGACAGGATGCCTACGCCTCCGGGTCAGCGAGGCGCGTCGCCAGCATCGAGCGTGCACTCTCGTAGAGGCGTGCGGCCTTCGTCGGGCACGGCGGACAGCATCCTCTCGATGCGCTCGCGCACCATGACGCCTTCGATCGTGATCGACGACAGCGCCTCGGAAAGCTCGCGTGCTCACTCCGAATACGACCAGGTTGAGGGTGATCAGACGCCCGAGACGAGCGAAGAGAATGTTGAGGTCAACACGCCGGCTGGCAAAGGCTTGTCGAGCACCCCCAGGCCGCACAATTCGGTGACGATGGCACAGTCGCAAGGCGGTGCCAACAACAGTCGGTACGGCTCGTTGGGTCGTGGTGTGGCGAGCGCTCCACCGTCGACCAGCACGACGCCGCCGA